TTTGATTTTCAAGGTTGAACATGAATTCAACTGAAGGCCGCAAGTATAATTTTGTGAAGTAGTTACTAAATTATTTGGAAGAAAAGATGGTAACTGCAATTGAACGTACTATTTCCCAGCATGCATAGTAAATAAATCGTTAAATCCTTAGGAAAAAAATACTGACTATTATTTTAGGCATATTATTATATATGCTTAGAGTTAGTAATGTGTTCGTTCCAAAATATTTAGAATGAAATTTTGTTACTACGTAGTACGAGTATAACAATGTACAAGGTAATTACTACCGCAAATCCTATAACGTAATGCGACTACTAACCGAAAGCCTATAAATGTTATAGATTTCCTTTATAAACTACAATAAAGTTAAAATTTTTATTGGTTCCAAATTGTGACCATCTAAAAATGATCGTAAATAGGTAAGTCATTGAGGCACTGTAACATAAAGAAAGAAGATTGAAAACGCGATAATGCTAAAATCATAATATATTTGTAAATTTCGCTTATAGTAGGTACCAAGTCATGAAGCGAAGAAGTATGTACTGTATTGCTGCAGTACTTTCTTTTAATATTCACTTCTATCAAAATATGCGACCAAAAATACTAATTGTAGGCTGACATCAGGAATTATCTTAGTGACGTAAGGGCAAATAGGCTAGAGTATACTGAATTTATATAATAACATAGAAAGTTCACGTCTACAAGTCAACTGTGTCCTCCAAGATGCTGCCAGTTTAAGAAATTCCAATTCTGAAGTTAGACTAAAATAATGTACGTATATTAGATTTGAGTGCATACTATGCACACTGTACATTCTACTGCATTGAGCGTCATAGGCGCGATACTCTCAGATATTAACACAATATGCAAGTGGTACTCGCCAGTACAGTATCTCTCACAGTCAATTTCTCGAAATAAATTAGAGCACTATCAATAGCTGACAGATTTAAAATTAAAACCAAGAACTGTTAATTTTTAGTATAATATAAAGCATAGTGAAGATTAGCTTTCATTAATACAAATGTCTATATGTCTAACACTTAATCGTACGCACCAAAAACCGCCAATATTCATAAGCAATAATGCTTAATCTTTAACCATAGAAATATATTAATTATGAATATATAATTTATTTCTTTAAAACTACTTCGTTATGATTAAATTATTACTTAAGAAGTTGAGTAATAAACTTTAGAATTATAGGAAATACAATAATAATTGTTGGAAATGATATCAAAAATTAAGTTTATTGACTAGCTGCTAAAAAATTTTACTATAAACTTGTATAGTGTTAATTTTAGACTGATTTATAAACATCGCTGCATTTGGTAATTTGGCAATTTTGACAAAATTCTTCTATTATTACACCTTTCTACATAAGAAAAGGTTATAAATACTAATTTAAAAATAGTTATCTTACAAGATTTAGCGTTTAATCGATATTTAAAAATCGATATTTATTCAGTGTAGAATTCTACCTAAAATGCGTATAAATTTTGACATAAAATTAGTTATTAATGATAGTTGCCCTCTTAAGTGCTGTACATGTTTGTAATTTTTAATGTAGTTATCATCATTGATGCTCCTAAATAAGCATTGCAGAATGATATGCCGCATAATTCATGACCTACTATATAAGTTACGATGCTTTAGCATTGAACAGCTAATACAACGCTAAACGTTATAAGCAGACAAAGTAAAATAGAGATCTTTGATCAGTTCGTTACGAAATTTTGATTCGCCTGCAGAAAATCACAAGACATCATAACTTTTAGAAAATGCTTTCCAGTTTGATACAATCTGTAAAGAACAACCTTCAAACTCACTAATGCGATTCTATAACTGAATTAAAATCTATACGAACTTATCAATAAGCATTGATGATGCAATGCATTGCTTCTGTTAAATATCAGAAAGATCATAAACAGTTTGCGAATTTAAAAAGTGCAATGTGTTGCTTTAAAATGTTATTAAAAAATTGCCAATGTTTCTATGATACTTGATAACTTAATCGTTTATTATACATACTGTACTTATTGGGAGGTAATGGACAAGTGAGCAATAAGCACTGTCTGGCTTGAGTTAAGGTGCAAGTCAGTTGTCTACTCATCTCATGCCTACCAACATGTTGCATCGCTGTAATGTAACTAGGTATGAGGATTGTAGACTATCAACCATATTTAGTACGATTTATGGTGGCGTAACTTTCTATATTTAAATATCTTAATACATATTTAGTAGTTCATAACAATAGACTGTAGCGGAAGATTCCATGCTAGAGTAGAAATGACCATACGCGTATGCAGTAAGGCGTCAAATTACTATTATGATTAGAGGTTAAAATAGAACTGTAATTCATATATTAGGATATGGTTAGTTCATCGTGCTCTGACTGGTAGAAATGATATCTACATAAATACTGTAGTAGTTTCCATATTGGATTAATGAGTGTCCGTTGTAAAATGTAATTACTAATAATAATCTGAATATGTGTAAAATATGGTGGAATGTTGCTAGGTTGATTGTAGCTGCGAATGCTACGAAAAGTATATAAGTTGGTAACTTAGATTATTCTAGTAGTTCTTTTTAGAAGTCTTTAGTAGTTGTATTCGACTAGAGTAGATGTGAATACATTATCTTTGTGTAAGATCTAATAAAGTTCTAATTTTCTACAAATTTGGGATTTCCGTGATCATTTATATCACAATCGCAAACAAATCAAGCGATCATGAATATTTGAAGGTTCCTGTATAATACCGCTTTAAGATTAGCATTTTTTATTAAGGGTTATTGCTCAAGGAACATTAGATACCTCAGGTTGGCATTATAGCTATTATAGCGATTAGTAGTATTTATGATATGCCCAAATTGTAATTATAGCATGTTGGCAGTTTCTATAGAGAAGAAACAGTAGTTAAAGGTCCATAGTATGACCTCTAATGCAACACAGAATGGGGCCATAATTGACGAATTGTTTTGTGGTAGATGAGTAGTAATTATCAAATACCCATAATACTTTGTTACAAGCGTCTCCACTAATTCATTGTTATATTAATTAGGATGAAGCACCAAAGATTGTTTCACCATCTGTCTTGGACTTTGTTAGTTTAAAACTATTGATAGATTTTTTATCATAAATTATACTGTATTCTAGTTAATCACTAGAAAATCACAATATCACCGCTCACACCAAATTAACAATCAAAGCATTATGTATTGCTGTTAAGTAACTTTAAACCAGTAGAAAGTATATACTATTAGACACGATCATAACTATCAGTCGTTGGATTGATTTCTTTTCAGTACAACAGAACTATATCCTCGCAATCATGAATCAGCAAGATTGCTTTCAGATGTATGCACGGAATATAGAACCAGAGTGCATAATGCATATCGTGCCTTTACGCCACTCATCAGCATTTAAACTACAATATCGCATTTCGCGTGTCTGTATTCTGTCAAATATTGAAATTCTTACTCCGTGTTTGGTACATAAAAATTCTTTTTATCTATAGTCAGTAAGAATCAGAGGTTATACGGGTATAAAACAGGAGCCTATTATTAGAGACTTGCACTTTGCGAACAATATGCATAATTCCAATTAACTAGTCGGACATTCTGCTCGCGATACTTCTCGTACTTGTCTACCGAGTATAATATTTTAGCATATTACCTGTAACGTGTATTCTGTAATATTATATTTCATTGGAAAAACACTCATTTAGAGATCAAAATCAAAATCATGTCGATCGCTATGTAAAGAGGTATACACTTCACTGATATTAACACTAATACGATACCATTACGTCCCTGTGTGTTCTTGTACAGTCTTTGAGGTCAGCGTATAGACTCTATCAGCATAAAACTTTAGCGTATTAATAGTAAGCTACAATTTATTGATTCTATGCTTTGAAGTATGAAGATATCAATCAACCAAATTCTATAGTAAACTGTACACGTGAGATCTTAATACGATATATAGTAATCTTCACATAATTTTTCTAACGTATTCTATTTTGGGGATTGCTACATCAACACGGTGAGGAAACATCTTAACTTAAATATTGTGCAATTATAATTATTACATTGACAATTATGGTACGCCTCATGCACTCAGGCAGAAATGGTCACGCTTGCCGTGTGTGCAACTATTGTATAAGGATTTGCCTACACTGTACAGCACAACTATTTCACAGGCAGATCATACATATTACAGTACTAAACAGGTAATGATGATATCAGACGTTTCCTCATCTGAAATTTCTAGTAAAATATCTCATAGAACTTTAAAAATAGGCTATGAAGATAGGTTACAATTTGTAATTATGAATATTTTAACTAATAAATGCGGATAATCCAACAGAAGCTTTCTAGGACAGTAAAATGACCAATTATATTATCAACGAGGGAAGAACAACTTAAAATCCGACTTTAATATCTTACTACTACTACTGTAATAGTTACTATAACGTGAATAATACACAGTGCTTAACTAATGATAATTTCCTGTACCGTCATTTAACAGTCATGATAACATTAGCAGTTATTCTAAGCTCCTTGAAATTTAAGGAATAAAGAAATGCTTCAAAATTATAGCCATACACGGTGAGAATTGTAAGATAGACCTAGTAAAGATTTTATGGATAATGATTAAGATAAGCAACACAAAAATAGATTAATTTCATCGCTTACTGAATACTTTAGTAGGTAAAATGAAACAATTATATCATAAGAGTAATATAGTCAAAACCTGGAAATGAACAGTTTTGGGTTCTGAAAATCATAGCACATGTGAATACTTACTTTGCAACATATTACGTGATGTCGAGAATATAATGAGAACTCTGCAATCACGACTCCACATTATCGTCATATTCACCCAACTTTGGTTGGTTTTCGCTAAGACTAAGATCATCAAGGTTCTAAACAGAAAATGTCGATCACGATTATTAATATTATTAATTAAATAAAGAAAAACCTTCACTGGTTAAAAATCCTGATCATACCTCCAGTTCTCGCATAACTTCATCTAGGAAATCTGTCGACTCTTCTTTATAAACAACAGCAAGTTTTATAGCATTCCGAAAAACCTTATTACATACATTAAGAGAATACATAGTTTAACATATTGTAAGAGAACGTAAATATGTTTATCATTGCAATAGCTCAACTTGCCAGAAGAGCTTTTCGAGTCTAAACCACTTCAATAGGAATACGCGTATCTCTCACTATCGACAATCGTGATGTAAAAGACTACACACTTAAAATGTTATTCAAGATTTATTACGAAATCTAACCTTGACAACATTTGTTCCATCGGAAGCAGATACAAAATAAAATGGTAAATTATGTTTTTTCACAAAATTAAACGATTTCTTCGTAATACTGAAATCCACTGCAAATTGTGAGCATAATTATGCATTAGTAGGATATTCGAATGATAAAAATAGCTGTGAATCAATATAGTTTTACGAAATTTAATACTGATATTCAATGTCTTCGAATCTCAATTATGTAAGAAGTTCTACAAATTTGAATTAACAATTACATCTTCTTACCATCAATCTTATTTGCAACCACCACACATGGGATTGATGGCCTGTATTCTCGTAATTCTTTGTACCACCTACTTAAATTCTTATACGTTATTTTTCTAGTAACGTCAAAGGTCTAAAAATGGAAATCATTCTTATAAATCATTTTTGTTTAAATCCGCTTTGTTTCTTTTAAATCCCATTATCGGTAACGGAGTTAATAGGCATAAATACGACATAGTATATCTTAATGATCACTACATGACGTACATACACGTATACATTCTCATATCAAAATTGAAATTTTTCATTATTAAGTCAAGCCGGACACTTACAAGAATGCATGCATGGGCTTGATGATAGTAGGAAGGATGTAAACTTGCAAATCTTTCTTGGCCTGCAGTATCCCATATATCTTAGCCAGTCAAATAAAAAGAAATTAAAATAATTTTGACTTCATTCAAACAACAGTTTAATTAGACAAATAATTTCATACGAAAAAACTCGAGAATCACAAGGATATATATTTGATGACTATTTCAGCCAAATATGCCATTGAACATGATCGAAAGGACTTACCAACTCCAATAGACTTGCCATTCATTGTTGTGTTATATCGAAATAGTGTCAAGGCATAGGTAGACAGTTGCTGTGGTTTACTTTCAGATGGGTCAAGGTAAAATTCGTAGTAAAATATCACGGATAAAGTAAATTATAATAATGATCACCCATGCCATTTTATCAATTGCTAAGACGATAACCAATACTTTCATAAATAATTATAATTATTGATCGTAAAGTATTCACTATAGTTAAGCCAAATATTAAAATTGTAAACAATAGCTTTACTGTATGTAGTTAAATGGTTACATTTTTTGCTATTTTTGTATAAATTCATAGGCTTCAAGTATATGAATTATGAAATATTTATCAACCGATATTACAGTAATAATTTACTTAGGTCCTCTAAGATTGAATTCGAATGACATCTGCAAGTAATTTTCTTCTACTACGAGATACAGAACTATTTCACTCATACTTTGCTATAAGCTGTGCAAGGTTCTATTCATTGCTATACTTATAGAAATACTGTAATCACAAAGTATCCATGTGATCCATCAACGTTATCTAAGATTTTTTACATTTAATGAATTAAATAAAACTATTGATTAGGAAGAAATATATATAAATATTCTCGCAATTAATCTTGTAAATTTCTTAAATCAACTTAATTTAACCCTACAACTTCATACTTTATGAATCTTTTTTAAAAATTTTTTGCAGCATTTAAGAAGAATGCTTGTAAAAGATGGGAAGATGAGCCTATTAAAATTATCTATTCAATTTTAAAAAGATACTAATCGTCCATCAGAAATCTTTCAACTAACCTAAAGTAGATATGAAAAATAAGAGAAAGGAGACACAAGTTAGGCAAGCATCATTATTAATTATAATTAATTATCAACGTACGACTGTCTTTACATAGAATTGAACACAATCATTACCGCATGCATTCATAATTGCACACTATTTACTCTATTATCTTTGATATATTGTATCTTACTCATAAATGTAGAGTAAATTTATCACCCGATTAAGATTTGACCGAATTACTTTATCACTAACTTTCTTATACAGCAAAGGTGTAATCTTAAGTTTTTGTAAATTTCGGAAGATTATTTAGATCAAGCGATTGAAATCTAGCATGTTTATTATAGTCCTATTGAGAAGTATGCTCTTAAGTGCCCAGAGTACTATGCCATTAAATAGATTTTTACGAGCTGTATTATTTAAGTTGCCATAATTTTTACTTAAATAAAAGTAAGATTTCACAGTAATTTAACTGTGATTACTACCATAGTTGGTTATATAGTAATGCTACAAATTACTCGAGTCTTCTTCATACCCTTTGAGACTTAGACTTGGACTGTGCCGATAATTTAGTCGATATATGGTAGACAATGTATATTCTATAAAGAATTCGTTTCAAATTAAACAAACAAATGAATGCGTATTAGCATTTGCTCATGGAGGACTAATTACTCATCATGCTTATTGCTTTATCACACATAAATACGCGTTAAGTCATAACAAACTGTATTCAGAGATTATTTGCCAATACGTACTACTTGTCACTTCCTGAATTATCATCAAACAATATACTAAACGAATTAAAGCTATAACTTAATGAGCAACTTGCAAACTTGTCATTTTCAATAATTAATTTTTAAACCAACTCGTTTATACGTCATTCATTAATTGCTAGTAACCGGGAATCAGCGTACCATATAACTATATTAACCACAAAATTAATGGCATAATATGTACAGTAGCAAGATTCAATAACTTGGGCTACACTCTGAATATTCTAACTTCTTTGGAAATTGGTTATAAAATTAACGGTAAGTACACAAATTTATCTACAGATTCATTTTTCATATTACAGTATACTGTATACTTTTCACTCTACAACGGCTAATGGAATAGGTCTACAGTAGACGCCGTTCACTATTTTGCATGGTATATTACTTAACTGCACCCTATTCTGATGCCTGTATGTAAAATGTATAAAATACCGATAAAATATGGGTTTACTGTTCTTATTAATTCCAAACGTCACAAAGATATACTCTACCATATTATACTACAATGAAAAGACCAATAGAAAGTAAGTAAATCGAAATTTGAAATCATCCAGGTAGCATAAACATGACAGTATTTGCAACACATAGAAGACTATTTATAAATCAATTAAATTAAACTATTAAATGTAAGAGTAACCGGCAATACACCGTAAATCGATATTTATCGTGGGTAGCAGTACAGTAAACTGACAAGTTTCTTATCATTAGCTTTGGTATATAGTTTCTAATTTAAAGTTATTCTCAGTTTGTTTTATAAATTACAATTTACATTTACGCAAAAAACACAATAGATCAACCAGAAACAACTACTTGAAACTGTCTCAGCCTCCCAGCCATATTAACGCTTCGCGGCCGAGTGAGTGGGTGCTTCACATGGCAGTGATACATATACATTTATACGGTATTTATATTTATAACTTAAAAATTATCTAACACAAAATGTTAAAAGTTTCGAAACCAACCGCATTTGAGATATATCCAGTAAGTTCGGTAAGTACCGAAACATTTATTACCGGTATTCATTCTCATATGTATTCACTGTCACCACATAAATCACTGACTCAATCAACTGCACCTTATGAGGGTAGCAAACATCCCCGCCGGAATCCCTTATATTTATACTATATGTAAAATATTATCATGGTCTACTAGATGTAATTTAGTAGTCCATAATATACTGTATATATATAATAACATTCTCTTTTTGTGTTGCATTATACCCGATTGCCCGTACATCCACAATGTCAAGAGAGATTGTAGAAATTCCTCCTTTTTGTATATTGTTGATGATTAATCTTATTATAATTGTTACTAGCTTAATTAACCCGCACCAATAGGAGAATTAAATATTCAAGATAACACAGTATAATTTATATATGTTCATATGTAATGTATAAATTGTATAGCTTTGGCCTCGGTCGTATATTTTGTAAACTGCATACTGTATAATGGGTATGTAAAGTTTTTAGAGGCTGTGTATTTGTTAATACAAAAAAGTGGTAGTCTCGCAATCATAGAGGATAGAGCTAGTACGCGATATAATTAGCGCCTGTAGTTTATAACTACGAGTGATTCAATACTTTAGTTGCTCGTTTTATACAGTACTACTTTCTGGTAATATCGTTCTCCATAAGTTACAAGCAAATCATTTAAAAGCTAGCTCTTCTTGGATACTGTAACAATCGGATCAGCCTAACAATCAACAAATGAGACATTGCAGTACAGTATTTCGTATTACACATACAAGTATGTACGTTCGCTATGAATTGTTTACGTTTACTTAGGAATTCAATACATAATTTTGCATATATTACTGCCAAACACATCAATACTGTACAGAATAGATGATAATCAAATCGATGAGGATAATGTAATTAGCTCATATATCGTTACACTGAAGGTAACTTAATACCCAAGTTATCGGTGATAAAACATGCTAACGTTATCAATTTGCAGTTAATTAATATACTGTACATAGACAGTTCTATAGTATCTCTTCAGCTACTGACATTGGAACCAGAGTTTTATCCTTTAAATAAATAAATTAATTAATTATATAGCAAATGGTATTTTGATGGATGCTTGCTCTTGTAAAGTATACAGTACTGTACTGAGACTCTGAGAGTACAGTACTGTAGCTGTTTACAGAACTTTTTAAATTTTAAAACGATCGAACTGATCACAACGCAGCGATAAGTAAATGTTAAATGTTAATATTGATCCAGTCAGTACTCGCTCTTGGTCTCGAAAGTTCCTAAGTACAGGAACCTTAGAGATGAATGACAAGGATACACTTGAAGATTGATCACTAATTATAATTATAGTAATCGGCCATAATGAAGTACAGTACTGGCTGCACTATGTACAGTATGATACTATTACATAAATACTTCACTACGCCGCTCTTGGTATGTGTTTTACATCGTTATATGTACTATGCACACGATAATAGATATTAACGTGAAATGTTTCCTTTATCTGTTGAAATGTCACTTACTTTGATTTGCCAACTGCACTGTCTCCAAGGCAAATAATTTTAATTTTGGCGGTTGTAGAATCGTCATCGTTGTCGTAATCGAAGTCCTCGTGTATCTCTTCAGAAGCCGCCATTTTCGATTTGCTCTGCTGACTTTTTTAGCTGCATCCAATGAACGCTGTGCCGTATCGTATCGTGTACTGTACAGCCATGGGCTACTAAAGATACAGTACAGTACAGTACTGTACATCTCAGTACGGTTAGTACTGTACTGTACTGTACTGTACGTGAGTGCCATTGGAGTACAGTACAGTACTGTACTGTACAATCCATCTCTATTTTACTTCAGCACAGTACAGTACATTGTACGTATGATACAATGTACAGTATAGCACCTTCACTGGTGCATGCTACAGTGCATTACTAGTGATTAGTAAAAGGTACAGTCTACAGTATAACAACAGTCTGAGTTCTAGAGATCGATAGTCTGTAACAAGGTACTGTACACAGACGTACTGTACAGTACAGACAATACGGTACTACTGTATAGTTCCTGGTACTGTAGTACTGTACAGTACTGTACTGTACAATGAACATGTTGACGCGTTTTAAATTTTTCACTTACTGAACTGTACAGTACTGTACTGTACAGTACAGTACAGTACTGTACACTACTGAGTGTAATACTGTAGGTGTACTGTACAGTACAGTACTGTACTACTGTACAACACAATGACATCAGTAAAGTACTGTAATGTGAATAATTTTCAAATAATTAATTAATTACAAGCTTTTTCGAGATTTTTAGCTTTAAGTTGTGTTAAACAATTTTACCATAACATTAAACATTATATTACCAACAACGGCGACTGTACTGCAGCCTGGAAAGTAATGGCATGGCAGATGACGAAGATCTCGTAAATATTCACCATACTAATTCGACAGTTTAGAATATTATTATACTGTACAGTATACTGTATATAATCGTTTAAAGCTTACTGTACTGTATACTGTACAACATAGTATGTCAAGGTTCTTTAAACCTTAATAAAGTGAAGATTCTCCGTTTCTATCTAGTGTACAGTACAGTCTGGTATACAATAATAACACTATCATAAATAACAGTACTGTACAGTACAGTACAGTGTGTATACTCGTATAGCTAGCTATCTATGTACAAAATGTAATATTGATTGATAATAAAATCGAAAATCTATCTGCTTGAGAAGTCTAAATAAGCTTAAACTTATTACCGCTGCATTGCTGCTTTAATTAATACATGTAAATAGTAAATTTTTACAAAATTTTTACATATGTTTCTACAACTACAGATGCACGACACGGGTCGTAACTCAAAGACAGCAATCGAGATTAAATCAGAGAAACAAAAGAAATCTGAGTTATTATCCAAAATTGATCAATTAGAAATTAAGTAAGACAGCTAGTCCTGAACAATTAGTATAGAACGTTGAGGACGTTCCTGCTACTCATAACGTGTTGTAAACAGCTTTTCAGTTGTTTGAGTACATCTAACAAGCGATGATTCTGGTAATAGGGCAACGGTCCTTTCAAAGGAAAGAGCTACTCAACTGTACCATCGTAAAGGGCAATTTCGAGAAGAATTTCAAGTATTTGAAGAATTGGATCTCAAATTTGAACATGATCGAAAGATTGAAAGTAGTGCTAAAACTTTTGTAGTAAAACAATTTCAGCCTTACTTAGTGCTATTATATTGAAGTACATCTAGTCAGCAACTGATATACATATTTTATTTTAAGGTCTAAATACGATGGTCTGTATGTTTTTTTAGGGAATCAGATTAAACAGCAGTTGCATAGACTCAGACTGCTAGTTGAGAAATTTCAAAACAACTTAATGGAGATAAAACCGTCTCCAGCTTGTGAGTAAATATTGCATATACTTTTAAAAGTACACATAATCTGAATTAAATGCTCAACGATAAAAATACAGATATTAAAATTGCTTTTACATTATTCATTCATGTTCAAACGTAAATCCTGGATTCATGTACTGTGCATTGTGCATGTTCTAACCATATGTAAATTTAGTTATTGAAAAATTGCGAGAATCAATGGAAGAGATTGAAAACGCTATAAACAATTTTAAAGCAAAACAACGTGATAGGTAGGCTTTAGTAGATACCATTACAGTATTTAGCTCTCGTTGTAGCAGTTTCTTTATTAGTAAGTAGTATATTAAAAAGATATTGTTGCAATTAATTTCTGCTGGCGATACTGTACGTATAAAGATATACGTATATACGCGTACTGCATATTTTCTGTGTGTACGCCAATATTGCAGTCAAAATAGTCTTACATCATTTTCATAAGGTTTACACCGGTTCTTTACTACGTCGATCATTCTTCTGTAAATGATTTCATGATACAATTTGTGCAAGTAATGATGTTGTTTCTATTTGATGTAAAGTACATCACTAGAAATAAACATTATCAATATTTGGTACAATTAGTAAGATATCACAAACTTTTGCTGGGATAGCTATGAAGAGTTACTGAAAGAAGAAAAAATAACTGCCAATGAAATCTTAGCGATAGAAAATAAAATTGACTCTTGGGCAAAAGGTCCCATGTTGCCAACTATCGGCAACGGAAGTACAAGCAAAGTCGTTACATCAAATGAAGCTTCGGTTCCAGAAGAGATTTCAACATTTGAGGTAGCAATTATATAAAATTCTCAATGATTATAATATTATATACTATAAAAGTTAATATTTTATAAGAGCTGCTTTTAAATCGTGACGAAATTAACTTCTTTAACTTCTTAGAAATTTCTGGTACGAAATGGCGGACATCGCGGAGGCTGGGACGAATATGATCACAGTATTTTTATCAGATTAAGGAAGAAATTTAAGGTAATTCAATATTCGATCTTTCTTCTAGTCAATAAACTTAAAAGGTTAAGGTTAAGACCTTATTTTAATCACAAACTATTCGTAAAGTCCAGATCTCTTCAGTAATGATAATGATTTTAAAATGAACGAAATGCATCTAATTTAGTTGATTATCCAAGTTCCTACTAAGACATACATTATATGTTCTGTGTTAATGCAAGAAAATCAGAAAAATAATTTTTCCCGATTTAATAACTCACTGAATGTCAAAATGCGCTAATTTTATTAACAATTTATTAAGGTTCACCAAGAATTTCTAGAAGAAGCATTGAGTCAAATTCCTGGTAAATCGATGGAAGAAATACAACATCATGAACAGTGGTATAGTGAATATGCTAAACTTTTAGAAAATAAGAAAATTGCTATTGAGAAATGGAAAAAAGCCAAGGATGTTAGCATCGACTATAACAATCATTTATAGGAGAAAAATTGTTTAACATGTTATTTTATACTGGTAGGAAGAAAAAATCGAAATAACAACAAAAATTGATATGGAGACAAAATCTTTAGCCGAGAAAGAAAAAGCTAAACAAACAGCACTAGCTAAGAAACTACAAGAAGAGAAGCAAGAACGTTCGGAAAAGCTTCGTAATTGGAAAGTAAAAATTACAACATGATGTTTTAAGTTGCGGAAATATGATTTTACTTTATCAGTAACAGAAGCCATCCATTTAAACCTGTGCAGCATGAAGATACGAACTACTAATATCTTTTGTATTATGAAATAGGTGAAGAAAGACCTTGAAAAAGCCCTGGAAGAAGAGAGAAAAGCTAAAGAAAATATGGAAAAGATGGAAGAACACAGGAAAGAAAGGAAAAAACAGGTCTTTGCATTGAATTAAATTAAATGACTATTTTAGATCGATTTTTAGATGACAATACCCATTCCAATGCAACCTAATTCTAAATTTTATACCTTGTAATTCTGTAGCTACAAGCTAAGGAGCAAGTTAGAAAAATGCGGCAGCAACGTGAAGCAGAAAAAATGGAAATTCGGTTACTCGAAGAAGCAATGCGATCTAAGGAAAAAGAAAGTCGCAAACTAACTGAAGACGATATTGAAAGAATTCGAGATAGGGTGTGATCTGAACTTAGTAGATCAATAATTCATATAAGTTTTTATTGATATAGATGTATTGAATTCATTTATTGATTGGATAGGATCAAAAAATTTTAGAGATCCGCCAACATCGGCTGAAAACGAAAGAGCTTGATGAAATAGAAAAAATTAAAAGGTTGAATAAGATTAAAAGCCAGGTAAATAGCTGCTAACTTAAAAGATCATTACTCATTTATTCTAATTACACCCATCTTTCATTTTTCATATGACTACTGGATGAGACAGGTCAGCTGCATTTTATTTCTAATTGTGGCAAATTTATCACTATTGTTTTGATTTTGAAATTTGCTAATAAAAACTTTAGATCAAATTGTGAAACTTTATAATCATGTGACTATAGCAATAAATGCATATTTAAGATATATAATAGTAGGACAATGACAATATTATAAAACTGAATTAGTATTTATAAAGATCCATCACTTAACTGAGAATCTGAGGATAACAAGTTGACTTTATGACCTGAAATTATCCTAACATTACTTTCTTATTTTGACGTATTCTTAGGTCGACGTCCACGCAACTAGAGACCCGAAGCGACTCTTTAAGCTAACGAGTGCTTTGCATCACCGATTGGTCGATAAAGAAGTTCATACTACCGGAGGAAATCAAGCAATACCACATAGGTACTGATTCAGTGATCTTGAATTCACAAATGTTTTTTATTATGGTATAGCTAATTAAAAATTTCGCCAAAAATTAATCTTCTATTAGAGCTATTCCTTCTTGGCGTAGTGGAATTAACTGACGAAAAAAATATTGTGAATAATTAACTCGTCTAGAACATTCCCCATTCTATTCTTGTACTATTTTACAATATTTGGCTGTATTTCAAATTATCACATCTATTCTATAGCATAACAACTCAATCTTTAAATTTTATCATACAGTGTAAGAATCTAAAGGCTTCATAAAGATGTCTTGCAATCAACAATAGTTTCTATAGACCTGTTCCAATAAGATTCTACAACTACTAAATTAAATTTTTTATTACTTCTTGTAGTGAATAAATGAAACATTAAGCCATAATTTATGATTAAAATTCTACAATGTTTAACCTACCGAGAAAATAAAGCTAACACACCGTTCCTATTCAAAAATGCTATCATTTTATTTTTTATCTAAAATCGACGTTTGATCGGTACGGAATAAGTCTACACTATTCATATAAATTAGTCTTTTCTTGTGGAGTTTAAAATGATGTTGCTTATCTTCTCATACTATGAAGGAGATAGTTAGTGGCGAGATGCCGTGGCAAAGGACCATCAAAACGATAGCAAATTTTTGATATTTATATTCGAGAGCCAAACACTTAGCTACTGTACTATCTGAGTCAATATTCTGTTCACAATTGTATATTTTTGGATACCGCAGCTTACATTTTACTATTAGTGACGTTATTCAGCTCAATTAAGTAAAAGGCTAGTGATAAGATCATACCATGTTATACGATTTTCTACCAAATACCAGGAAACGACTTAATCGTGGGCATGAGAATTAAAGCTTTTGATTTAATTTTGAGTTCTATAAGGTACTACCCGAATCTAATCCACTGACTGTGAAAGGTACTGTAACTACGGTAGAAGTATTCGATCTTCTGTAAAAATATCAAAATATGATTCTATATCTTGCAGCTTTTTATCAGCCTACAGGTTGATAAATTCATTTATTGATGTCCTTAGTAGGAAATATTTTAATTTAGTATATATACTGTTATTACAGGCATTAGTTTCAGTTGTTTATTTTAACAGATTAACGAAATGGAATACGTTACAAGCTTACTGTATAATCTGACTATAGAGTTTCTGACAATACAAATAAGGATTACGACTCATGATCAGACTGAATTGAGTCGTTACAATTGATCTTAATTCTTCATTCTACTTAGAAAGATGACTGACTTCTTCGTAAATGATTTAGTATCTTATTAATTAAATTAATCCCTTCTGTTTACTTTACTTTTATTGGCATTGTTCATCAATACCAATTATCTGCTTTATGTACGTAAGATGATATGAGTTTATTAATATGGAAATATGAATGTAAGATTGGTTGCATCAGAAGGATACTATATTTGTTTACCTTCAGTTGCAAAGCAAGAATATCGGAGCTATTCTTAAAATAACGTATATAATTTTATTTTCAAAAAAAGTCAATGGGTGGTAAATTTGCTACTACGTACAGAATTATATATAATTTACCGCCATGATCGTACCATATTAAAGATGTAATACCAAATCATAACTCAAAAAAATCAGTCATGTAAGCTAATTTGACATTTAAAGCGGCGTAACTTGCTTCCTAAATGGTAGTCTTTATACGATATGATTTTCTGGAGTGTTTATATGAAACAGTTATTGATGCATTTGAAGCATAAACGATACGGTGCGATACAAATTTGTACTATGGTAGCTTACAGTCAAAATTAATAATAAATATATAATACAGTAGATTTATTAAAAGTTGCATATCATTGGTATTCCACGTCTAATAAATGTCGTGATAAACACCGGTTCTAATAAATAATTTACATCTTTGCTTGGTAATATATTTGTATGTTTGAGAGATTAAGAGTATTAAAATGCAATTGCAAGTAGTATAAGTGAAACAAAAGCTCCTTATGAATAATTATATTGCATAAAATCTTAGGGTATTCATTGGTCCAGTAGAGTTTTGTTAAGGTGTTTCTGAAGTTAGAGATAATTGGTACCGTAATTAAGCTGTAGTGACGTTCAAAGCTAAGATAAAGCTATATGATAATTAGGTATTTAAATTAAATCCTATAATAGTACAGTACCGAGACAAAAATTCCTAAATGAGCACGGTTCAGCGTCGTTAGCATCAATGTAGTTTTCCATCTGAAAGCAGCCAGTTATCTGAAAGATAAGTATAAAGTTAAAAACTGAACTGAATTATTAAAAGGTAAAAAATAAACTCTCGTTATATTACCTTCCTGTTCATTCATTGCTACATCATCAAGTTTGAGGTCAAACTTCGGAAAGGCCGAATCTCCCTTTTTAATATCTGCTAAACGACTACCAAATACGTTAGCAGGTTTCCTTGCTGAAACCTCTGGTATTTCGATCAATTCAGGTAAGCCGGGAGAACCACATTCACTTCCACTATAAATATCGCTGTTCGATAAATTTATATCAAATGAGATAATATCTCCTGTAGTATAATGCTCTTTACTCAGCTCAATTCCAGTATTTTGTTTTGCATCATCAAGGTCTGATGGAGTAGTTTTATCCAAATATTCAATATGAAGATCATCGAAATTATTTTCTTCATCTACTTCTCTTTGCAGGTCCTTATACTCATTACTTATATCGGATTCTGCTGGTTTGTAGTCTTTTGTGTCATATTGGTCTTCATCGCAATCAAGCTCGCTTTCATTGTCTTTTTCCTCAGCTGCATAGTTATCTTTAATAACGGAAAGTTTATCCGAAGAATTGGAAGATGAATAAGTATTGAGGTCGTGTAATGCGGCTTGGATCGCTTGCGAAACTTCTACGTCGATCTCACTCTTACCGGTTGACTTTATATTGTTTATATTGTCGTTATTTTCGTCATGTTTGTCTAAAGAATTGGAAGGCTGAAGTGGTGATTCAATGATGTGATCATTATCACTTGAGTTATTCGATAAGGAAGTAATTTGGCTATCTAAATAGTCCGCATTGGCAACTATCTCACTCGTGGTTTCTGCCTTATTAACTCTGAACTTCCTTAGTTGTTCACTTAAATTATTCCAATTTTCAGAGCTTAGCATAGGATTGTCAGTATTTTCGCTTGTTGCATTAGATTCTAATAGCGTTAAAAATGATATACGACCTTGTGCACCATCGTCGGATGGGTTGGTTTTGCTGTGATCAGCAGAAATCACCGTCTTATCTTCTTTAAGGTCATATAAATTGCCATCACCTGTTTCTGTTAATAATAGGGTTGAGAAGATTAAACAGAAAAAAAAGCTATTAATAAAATCTAGATTTTAATGATGGTATACGCAATAAAAGTATAAGCAGCTGTGAAAAAAATAAATCGAATACCTTCAGTCCTCTTTTCGGTCTTCGCAGTCTTATTTCAGAAGATAGGATACGATACTTAGTTGATATTACTTTAAAGTTAGACAAGAAATTTGTCATTAAAACATTTAATTACCTTGAGTTTAAGGCCAAGTGATCTTTCTAGGCTCGGAGTCGTAACAAGTTTGTCATCCGTTACAGTAGATGCTATCTAAAGGTCGTTTATAGACTCAGTTCCGTTACATACTTTAGTATATTACGTCATTATTAGTTCTTGAAACCTGAATTACCTTCGAAGCTAGGTCATCATAGGTTTCCAATGTATTAGGTTTATTACTATGAGAATTTTTCGTCTTCTTAATCTGCTAAAATATTATGATAAATTAAAATTTAGCAGCTTAGATATTTGTTTACATATAATTATATTATCAATAAATTTCGGACTATATTAAATCGTCTACCTTGGGAATTCCGCTTTTACCATTATTAGGATGCAGAATATTTGTTTTATTGCTACTTTTGGGGTTATTTCTATCTACTGTTTCAAAAAGTAAGCTTTCTATCATGATTTTATTTACTATTTGCTATTATGATAAGAATTAGAAACTATATCTTGTTCATGTGGATGTAACATATACCTTTGTTATCAATAGAGTAGTTCGAATTTTTTGTAGCTGTGTTCTTTTCTTCAATAATAGGTATGTCTTTCTTCGTGTTTGCTATATCAAATTTTATGAATGTTCTAAATTGATTTGATTGGTAATATAGGCACTTATGTGTTTAGGTATGTAACATACAGAGTGATTAGAATTTTCGCTCACAGTCATGAAGTGACTTAATTATATTGACGATGTTAACCTTACCATTATGATCAACCTTCATCTTGTGACTCAAAGTTCGAATAACGTACGGAGTCGACTCTAAGATTTTATAATAAGATGGTATTTTGGATTCAATGTTGAAATGGTACGATCAGATACTCGAATGGTATGTTACCTTGTTCTTTTGCGGCATGAATCTTGGCTAAAGGTTTGGCTTGTGAATTAGAGAACGATACAGCAGGCGATGGAGGAATCAAGCCTAAGGTCATCTGTAAAATGTAAGCACTTACTTTAGTGATGATGTCTTAGCTATAAATTTCGTCTATGGTTGAAAGTTATGTCTAACATTAGTTTTTTTTGGTGTAATGTAATTTCCAGGGACTCTACCAACATCGGTTTCATTGCTAGTAATGCGGGAACCAGCTACATTTATCGAAGTTTTAACTTCAGGTATGACACCAGAAGTCAGTAGGGATCTATTGCGTATATATAATTCAAAATTTGGAGTTGTTTACCTTATTTGCTGATACTGAATAAGTTGATTAGTTTGTAGTATAAAACTATTATACTGCAGAGGTATCATAATGAAGATTGTACGCACCTTAGTTCTTTGCTATTTCTTAAAATTTGCTGATGTCTATGATTGAGGTTCATAGCAATCTTCGAAAGTTTTTCCAGATCAGGGAATTTTTCTAATTGATTAAAATCAGATTTAGCTATAGTACCTTAGAGATTAAGCATAAGCAGGATAACGCAATTGCAGAAATTACAGTATACCCTGTGATAGGTCTTCCTTCAGAAAATGAAGCGATAAATTCCAGAGGTACACCAAACTAATCATCAAATATTAACGATCAGGTGCGGGATTCATTATGAGTATAGTGTTTCTTTAATAATGAGGTATGTATGCAATAATTCCTTAGCATTGAATATGATCACCTAAGAAGGTTGACTTTGCCACCTTCCAAAGTATTTCCGGTGTCGCTCTGTTAAATATGTGAAATGTGACGATTAAAGTGGTGTAGCTTATTAACTGAAGGTAAGTAACTTAAATCAACCGCAAATAATTTAACGTCAAATGAAAAAATCTTCTCTTACGGATTGAATATCCTTCCTATATTTTCGCAAAAGCATATCCGGAATCTACGTAGATGTTTATATATGTCCTCAATTACGAGAATAATACAAGTTAACGAGTACATTGTATAATAACTATTAGGGTATTTTATAATTTACTTTTAGGGGGATGTCATTCCCATTTAATTCCTTTTGTCGCAAATTTCCTTCTACTGCAGCGTTGACAACCTCACGCTGTTATAATGATAAAAGACTTAATCAAATTAGCTGAAAAAATTACGGTATTACTTCTGTAGACGAACCTGAGATTGTAGACCAGAATAGAAATTATTCATGCGAGTCCATAAATCTCTAACCTTTAGGTTAAATATGAATATATATATTTAATTCCAAAACCAGAGCCGAGATGGGTATAAGGAGATCGCATAGTGAATTTATAATCAGGAATAGCAAGAGAATGTGACCTTATGTAAACTTTCAGTACGCAATATTGCAGTGGTATCTTGGTCATATTTACGATTTTCATGAAATGGGCTACTGGATTTCCTAATTACGAGTTTATTAAACGGGGCAATTAAATTATTATATGAAGTATCTTAAGCTTCCTAGTACAGACCCTTTTTTATTCTTGATAAGCGAGTTAATTGCACTAATTTCTTTTTCTATTTCACGGATAGTTTTATTAGTTTTGCGATATTTTTTAGTCAAGGTCCTACCAACATGTAACAGATTTGACAAGTTAGCATTTGGTAAAAAGGTTCGTTTAAAAACATTGTAAGGAAGGATGCAAAATGGTCACTTAATCTATCTAGCATAGGACTCGACACTTACAAAGCAAACTCTTTCCATTTATTTTGCATTTCAACCGTTTCCGAGCTTAATTCGCAAAATCTGTAAGTGGTAGGGCATTAGTGCCATGCAATAGGCAAGTGAATTTATAATATTTTGTAGGTATTGTATTCAACATGGACATTGTCATTTTATATATATATATATATATATATATATGACATACTTATCTTTATAACGAATCTGCTGAGCAAGTAAGATATTTTTCATGGAATTAGCCAACGCAGCTTTTTCAGGGTTAATTTTAGGTAACTGCGGCAATCCGAGAGACTTTCCTGTAAGCAGAGTAAGTAAGTTTGATTTACTGCATATCTTTTCTTTTATTGATGGTCCGATTGCATGAGGTTTAATTAGAATAGTAGGATTAATGTGTTGTTTAATAGTCATACACATAGTTATAATTTAGCAATTACAATAATTTATTCATACCGAATTTGTTAGCCATAAGTTTCCTCATAACCAATAGCGAAAAACGATTTAGGAAAGAGTAAAAGCGATCACCTGACATTATGATCACAAGATTAGTTAGAGTAACAGTAGATAAGCCACACTTTATATTTATTTATCGAATTATAGCATGCTACTGTATCATAGAAATTAAGAAATTGAATAGGCTTTCATTACCACGAAGTCCTAATTGACATTTAATTGATATGGTAGTAGAAATTGATAGCGGATGCTACATACTCCATATTTCTACCATATATCATACCTGTCGGATTTAGTAATGCAGATGCCATAATACGAGGAAGATTAGCATTGGGCTCTTTCTATATATGAAATTAAAAATAATCTTATTATTAGAATACAATCCTGTAGAAGTTTATGAAAACGGTTTGTTACAGCTTAAATTCTTAAGCATTTAAAGCAAGAGCGATGGTGGACGTGTTATTATTTAAATTCTGAAACATTTAAAGCAAGAGCCATGGTGGACCTGTTATTAGGATGTTATCAGCAAACGTTGGGATAAAGTTATGCACTCTTTTAAATTGTAAATTTGTGACACGCTGCTCAAACTGTAGGGACGATGTAGCAATCCTATATTTCATTACGTTATGTGACGTGATGAGTAAAATGAATCAACGTGGAAATACAGCTTGAAAATTTTTCTATCAAGAAAAAAACCAGTGACTATCGTAAACATTGTTAAAACAACATGTACTCGTATCATGTCGATGCAAGACATTATACTTCTGTTTAAGTCATTGAAGTTTGTGTTGCTTGTAAGCTTGCTAAATATTACCTCAGCAATTTCAGATAAAAGTCGAACGCAAGTTTTTCGAAATTGCTGTTCTCGCTGTTTATCTATTACAGGCCAGCAGTCCCTAATGTAATAATGCAATGGAGTGGATACCAAATGTTCAAAATATTACTGAAAGCAAGAATTTACTATACAGCTCTATTTTTTTAATTTCGCTTACGTAATACCTGAAAGCAATTTCAGTCATAGCATGATCATAATTTTCGAACAAGAAATATAGGACGACTTCCATGGCTTTTTTGTTGGGTAGAGTAAACATATCCCTAAAATGATGTCAGTACATAAGAATATGAAGGTTAATTTATTTGTTGGACAGTGATCATATACTCTCCTACATGTACGAGTAGTTGTAGTTTTGATTTCTTCACTCTAGACAGTGATTGCAATTTGTTATCAAGTCTAAACGTGGCGATGATGAAGCCTTTATAACTCGTATAGTCATTACGCTAATCCATTGCAATGATTATGTCAGTATGTAAGGATAAATTCTAGACTGTACAAGTGGAAGCCTATAAAGGCTTACAATAAGACGACTATAGTCTACAATACGTCTGATGGATCAGAGTAGCAATAAGCTATGTATCAAGATGAATCGTCTTGGAACGAGTATGATGGACTACGTTGCTCCAGTCTACAGTAGGTAAAGCAACTACAGTAGTTATCAATACAGCTTATTCTATAAAATGATGAACTTGGATCATACTTATTGAATGGTGTTTTATACTTGAGCTCCATTTGACTTGGTTGAAAACCGATTAGTAATAGATTTTCATAAAATATCTGCCTAATTTCTAATGGATCGTAGCGCTTTGAATCCATTGGTAAGCCAATTTAGGATATCGCGAGAGGTCTTGGCATCAAAAATGAACTAATTTAACAGATCAATCTTGTAATTTGCAAGTATGTCCAGAGTGTATACGATAGACTGGACGTCTACAAAGCTGTCCAAGTAGATTTAATTCGAATGACTACTTGAAGAACTGATTTATCTAGCAATAAACTGCTCAGCTAGTCAAAGTAGAATGGATCCACTTTCAAGGCAGACACGATAGCTTCAATATTCCACTGGTGTACTGTAGCGTAGAGTGCTCTTTCCGTAGTGAGTGCACTGTAGTAGGGTACAATAATACTGTACACTGTACACTGTACACTAAGGAGGTGGTTGGAACTTGTACCGTATCGGGAACGGTACACTCTCAATACGGCACGGTACGGTACGGTACAGTGCTGTCCTGGTTGTTGACACCAAGTACTGTACTGTACAGTACAGTCATCTAGTGATGATTGCGTAATCCTCTGTACTGTAGCATCAGTTTACACAGTAGTATTTATTACATACTGATCAGCCCGCCAAATTTTGAAATTTACAGTACTGTACTACTAATGTACTGTACACTGTACAGTACTGTACAGTGTACATTGCGTCAACTGTCAAGAAGACAACGAACTACTTGTCTGTACTACCGTCTGACTGTAAGTCTATAATAAATCAACTAGCCTATAGCCAATGACTAGCAGTAGGACGCGGATTGACCCAACCGCTCAGTGTCGCTTTGGAGCTGAGCCTAAGCTCTTCTTACCTACTGTACTGTGTTCCTGTATGCACGAACACCTGCTAGGCATCCGTAAATATAACTTACTGTATAGGATATACTGGCACAGCAGTACTGTTACTGTACTGTATATTGCCATTGGCTCGTTGCTATGCAGTAATTTATGATGATTGATTGGCGACATGAGATTAATAATTTGGAAAAGTTAGACTAGAAGAATGCATGCATTCAGACATTCACTATGCTGTAGACCTCTATGGTACAATCCTACATCGACATCTGAATGTGTAATTTGACCGACAAGAGGAAGCGATTGAGATACTGTTTTAACAGTGCTGTATTTCAATCATTTTGTGATGACTTAAAATAGCGATTGCAATCACTGTAAATGCAGATGTTAAAGAAGGAAAGAAGTAGTTGGTAACATGAGTAATTTAGTGCTGTTCGAGATGCTCTATCGCAGCTTAATTAGCACGGTACAATTGCACAACACTTGAAAAGAATCGTAAAATGGTAATGGTGGGTCTGCATAGCTTTAGCACCCACCTTGAACGACCGGCCTTTTACCGTCGCTGACCCTTTTTCACTGTCAGTACTGTACTGACTAACTACTAGACTACACCTAGATGGAAAACAGATGTCGTAGGCTGTAGTGTCACTTGTAGTATAATACCAAGAAAGGATACGACATCTATTTTACACATTTTTAGCTGACGTATGCAAAAAAGATGTCCGATATCTTTTTTCACACATTTGTAATCTGATGCTGGAAGACATTGATTTAGGGGTGCGATAGGATAAAAAATCTCATCTTTTACACTTAACAGGGCGTAGCAATGAAAAATGAATTCACCCCTCCAACATTCAATAAAATAATGTAGCTCCATTAACAAGAATATTTTGCATAGCACCGACAAGAATGTCCGGCAACCACGTAGTTTACTGTGCTAGACTGGACTAGGCATTTCCCGAGCTCAACTTATGAAGGAGAAGATCAACTACTCTTTGTCCTTACAGTCAACTAAAGAGTAATGCGTAGTAAAATATCAAAGGGTATCAACTGTATCCAAATACAACACTTCAGCTTCATTGCATTGATGGATATTAGCATGTAAATCTGGTATCCATTTTAGTTATAGTCACAACAGTCCTCTTCATGAGGAGATGATTAATTAATTATACGTACAGTTTGTTTTAGCAACTCCATCAAAATGATTGAATCGTATCTTTACCCTATTTGTTGCACGTAATTACTGGACCTCTGCAAAGTAAAGTATCTTTATTCCTATCCCATTTAGTCCTGAATAGGATTGACTATTAATGTATGGCATATAGATATATAAAGAAAAGGAATACGGTCTATAGTATATACAGTACAGTCTACAAGTGTGTAGATAGGTTACTTTTACTTTGTGCGGTACAACATGTCAATACTGTACAATTACATAATTATGCACATCGTATATCACGCTCAGTTTATTAGCTTATAATATCGTTGTTGCAGTGATCAGGCAAAGCTGAAAAGGAAAATTATCCTATACTTGTACAGTGTACATGGTATATACTGTATATTTACAAATATAGAGGTCAATAAAACGTGAATTTTTCCAACAATAGCATAATATATAATACAGATGATTAGTTATCCAATTTGTCTTTTTCATAAAATTTACAAGTTACGACATTTGGTAAGCCCTTCAAGTCTCCATTCCATTCTCTGAAAAAATCATAATACAATTAATCAGAATGAAATGAGTTCGCACTGGATCACACTTTCAAGTATTCTTATAAAACGAATCAGTATCATTTACAGATTCGTAGGTTTCAAAGCGATTAAAATTAAATTAATTATAAATAGAAGCTATCAGAAAAGGATAGCAGTCAGAACGAGGACAATACAGTACCTAAATTTTTTTAAATTTTCCTCCCTCGTTAAATCAGGCGCTTCTATTAGTGGCAAAGAATTATACATTATGACCAAATAATCACTTTTTACAACTGACTAGTGCAGCAGGCATGACTTTATCAGTCAAAAATGACAGCTTACCAAATCCGCTGCTGCTGTATTGTTGCCTTTCCTGCTCGAGAATGAGTTGAATATTACCTTCTCGTGAGGCTTTAGAATCTAGCTTTCTGCCTAATTTCTTAAGATTGGCAATTTCTTCTAGTTCGGTATTAAATCGCTCTAGATACCTATCATAGAGCATACAGCGTTAGTCCTACTTTAGGGAGAAGGACAATAAATGAGCATAAACAAATAGCTTACAATTCTATTAGCTGGCATAGTTGACTTTTCGTATACACTGTTACATCTGGATCTAATTGTTGCTGAAACCACCGTAGCTTCTTGGCTGGAGTTGAGCGTAACATTGAATTCAGAAATAATAGATTTATTACCGAGTTTACAGTGATTTCCAATCTAAAATCTATCAGTGCTTCTCGTTGACTTACCATTTGTGATGACAACATTTGCACGTTCAGCTTTTCCCCTAAGAATAAAATTTTAGTTTTTAAGACGTCATTGAGGCGATCCAAACTGGCATGTTAGAATATCAGCTCATGTAGATACTGCAATATTTGTGTTAAGTGGATGCAAAATATGAAAAAGAGCGGTAGTTTTATGCACTTTTATAAGCATACTTATTAACTCTCTCGACACGATGCACTTCTTTGGTTAATTGAGCAGCTTTACGAGAATAAGGATGCAGTGCTTTTTTCGATTTATTACCGAGTAACTTTATCTTTGGCTATAAAATTAACAATAAGTTCATTATTTAAAAATATACAAATATAGTGTATGATATTTGCATCATAACTTTGAAATAACCGTCTAATAATGCAATTAATTTGTTACTGCACACTATATATACATGCGACAATATCCATTTATCAAAATATAAATAGTACTGTACATAAATGTATCAAAGTATGCGAATGCTGGAATCAGAAAACAGCTGCAGCTTTGCAACAGTATGACAATTTCCCTTCCACATTATACTATTTTACCATTGTATAGAGCAGTAGTCAACAACAAGCAAGCGAGTAAGCAAATATCAATACATGAATACTGAAATCGGTCACATTCTCGCCCTTACCATGATGAAATTTTCAATTGATGGTTAGCTATCCATGATGCAGCTGCAACTGGATCAATGCAGCTTCTGAGGTCTGGTCGAGGAGAGAGAAACGGCCGTTGTAGTTTAGGAATATAAGTCTTGGACGGTATGGACAGATGGCGCTGACCGATGTAACGGCCACAGTATGCATTATGCAGTGTGGTTATAGACCTTAAGCTTATAACAGTATGAGGAAATGAAAGGTCTACTTTCTCCTTTTATGATCCTGCAGAAGTTACGTCAGTTTAGAGTTAAATGTATGAAACACATCACCAAGTCCAGTATATAACCAACGTTTTCACCGTCAGTCTTCATAGTAGGAGTGGTTGTCAGTCTAGCATTTCAAAAAAATGGCGGGTTCTGCCACTGCAGCAAAGAGCAAAATCACATTAAAAGGAAGCGCAGATATAGTAGCAGAATTCTTTAGTAAGGGATTTCAATGCATCTATGTTATATGAAGCATGGACAGTGTATTTTATGCTCTTATTTCTTTTCGATTTTAACAGATTTCGGAATAAACAGGTTCGTATTGGTATCTTGATCAAGAGTATCGTTGACTTGATATGGTCAAGTTGTTGCTCGGCAAATAATATTTAATTTACACAGGCATTAGGCTTATAAATTGCGAACCTAGAGTCACAGCTAATAACCGTATGATGGTTACTTATATTCTTTATTCAAGAATTATTTCATTCGTTTGTTGAAGGCTACGTTTAAAATACCGTAATTTAAATGAGAATGTAGAGTATGGTAATAACAAACTGCGCCATGCGGATAGGAATCAATATATGAGCGTCCAATGAGAAGGATTGCAAGTTTTACAACATAATAGTGCACCAATCCTTTACTGTATTCGAAAAGTAATAGACTGTAAAATTTAACATTCTTTTCAATTTGAATCAGTTTAGAAAGTAGTATCTGTCTGCTTTATTGCCTTGGTTGTTGATGAATAGTGTGAGCCGTTGCTGGCGATGGTCAATAACGTTATTTCAATCGATGAAAAAATATACAACAAGTCGTTGATTATAAATTATAATAGCTAGCTTTTGAATGGGTATTACTGTCTTATTATATACACGTATATTACTGATATTTTCGTCTTTAGCATACTATTCCAACGAGGGATATACCCACCAGAGTCTTTCAAAAAGGAACAAAAGTATGGATTAACACTTTGGGTAACTAACGACGAACAATTAGATGATTACTTGCAAAAAATCAATGGTTATTTAAAAGGTAATCATACAAAGCGCAATGCCTGTAATTTTATTGGTAATGACTACGCTCACGTAAAATTATCAATCGACTATACATAAATTAAGTTTACGAGTTACGACCTTCACTTTTCAAGTAATGGACAAAGTTGAACTCATGCTTGTTTTAATCCTCGATGTTATAGAATGGCTCTTAGCTAAAACGATCCAAAGGTTGGTCCTTGTAATCACTTCTGTGGATACAAATGAAGTCATTGAAAGATGGCAATTTGATGTTGTCTGTGATAAAACAGCTAAAGGCGATAGCGATTATAAAGAGAAACCGCTCTCACAGATCCAAAACGAAATTAAAGATGTCATTCGACAGATTGTAGCTACCGTAACTTTCCTACCTTTAATTGAGTCTACATGTAAGCTGATTATTTGAGGATATCAATGAAAAATACTATGGCTATCATAGTTCATCTGGTACTGTATACTGTGTCCTTTAGACAATACCTCTAGTTATATCAAATATAACGTTACGCACATTGCTAGACACGGTATACATGTAGCAATTAAGATAAATCAATATTAAAGTAATGCGACCAATGCCATGCTTGTTTAACCTTTACGTTGGTTATCCATTATATCTAGGTGTCTTCGATTTACTTATATACACAGATAAAGATCTGGAAACTCCCGATAATTGGGAAGAATCTGGTCCTCAATTTGTACTCAATTCTCAAGAAGTCCGTTTAAAATCCTTCAATACTCTTATACATAAAGTTGATGCTGCAGTCAGTTATAAGCTCAGCTAAAATTACCCCCATTATTCGAAATGATGTTGTCATTTTGGGTATTGTATTGGAAATAGTAGCCGGAGATTAAGTTGATGAGCAGCATTTCCTATATGTAACTCCAATTTATTTTAAGTTATTACCATACTATCTTAGATTCTTCAACATCCACATAATGAGAGCTGCTGGATAGTAAATCTTTGGTTAACTGCATATAACTATTTCCGAATAGATGATGAAATTTTTTTATGTGACCGTTATATTAATAATTTTTACTGTATACAGCTGCGGTTAAAAAATGTTGGCACACTTCTACTTTAAATGCTATTTCGTTTTTAATTTGATCTGAAATAGCTATAAAATCGTGACTAAAAATCTTAATGACTTAGAAAGATTGATACCATGATATGATACGTAATGCATCGAGAAAAAAGATTTATTAAATAAAATAAAGTCTACTCTCTTATGTTTGAAAAATCGCAATTTTTGGCTTTATTTGCTTTTTAGGTTTGATTACATAAATGGTGTATCGGCGGTATAAAGAAATCTGATCAAGTACTAAACGTACTGCGTAGTCAAAACCTAAGATTACTTTACCTATATCTGACTGAATAAATGGCATAATATAAAAAGCTTTCCAATCAAAGTTAATTGCTCATTTCCTTTATAATTTTTCTTGATTAATACTGTACATGTTGCTATAACAAGTTGTTAACTTGTATAAGCGTATGTTTTAATCATTCAATGATTAGGCAATAGAGATCATTTATTAAATATTTGTAGACATATCAATCACCATACTGTATAAATATTGTAAAAGTAGTGATATCGTTAACAAGTACTGTAGAGATCTTAATGACAGACAAATGACTGCGGTACTGTAATTGCATTCTACAGAATCAAAACAATATTTATAGATAGGCTAATTAGTCCGTCTCAGTCCGTTGCAATAAGGTTATTGCATTACTTGCGTTGACTAGCAATGGATGGATATTAATGTATTCTAAATTTAATGTCCCTGCTTCAAGATAATGTCCGGAGTCATACAAGCGGCGCGATAGCTGCTCCAACTTCGACCGTGAGCCTGCATCGCCATTTGGATGTTTTCGAATGTAGTCAGTTACTTTACAGAACAATGGGGTAGCGAGAACTTCTATCTCCAAACGATGCCGTACAATAAGTCTAACTAACTCTTCATCATCGCAACAATTAACTGGAAACTATGACGAAAAAACACAGATATAGTCAGATAAAAGGCTTTTATAATTAAAGAATCTTTATCTCATTTTAGGCAAGTCAAGGATATAACTACGGTTAATAGATTACTTTATAAAGTAGCAATGACAATGAGTAATGATATGATTGACACATAATTAACCTCGTCGGATCTTATAAAGTTGATAACTTTTTCATGTAAAGGTTTGTAATCGGTGAAAAGAGAAGTTTTAACGGCCACATGTATAAGGGAATGTTGTCGAAATAATGTCCAAAGTCTTTCCCAGGTCTATAATACATAATCCATTACATAAGTGTAATTTGTTGATAAAATACTATTCCTATTCTGCACTGAAACGTTACCTAACAAACACATAAAATCATCAAACTATCACGTAGATATTAAAATTTATCAATAGATTACCGTCAAATCGAGATCATCCGCCAAATGGTACCCCTTAACTATTTCAATAATATCGTTCTCGCATTCTGCACCACACGAAGTTATAATCTGTTCCAAGACTTGAATCCAAGGGTGCTGTGTATCTTCGCTATAAATATGACAATTATAGATAAGAGAATAGCATGATTAACTATTGATACTAATACAAGAAAATATGATTTCTATTGAATAAGTACAATAATGTGGCATCAACGTAATAACAACCTTATTTCGCAGAATTTCGGCCATAAGTGTAGTAAATGGGCTAAAGCTAATATCTTTGTTCTCTCACTTGTGATGCTAAGTAGATTTTGAAATAGGTCATATCTGCCAAGTTCAGTTGAAACGTCTTCCAACGTGATCTTAAATTGTAAGATAAAATTAAATTACCTTAGAATACATATAGACGTATTTTAAAAATTTATGTAACATATTATTTACAGTGAGACCTACTTGTTCATCCCAAGCTTCTTTAATAACAACGCTAGACTTAAAACATAATATCTTTTGAAACTCTTCATTCTCTAGTGTGCATATCTGTTCATAGATCACAAATATCCATATAGAATTATTAAACGAAACATACATTATACTGTACAGTACGTTGAATTCCTAAATAGACTAGGGTTACATATATTGAACAACGTATAAAGCAGTACAAGTACCTTTTCGATTAAGTCCAGAATTTGAATGCGAATTTGCGGTTCAATGGTATTGCTATTACAGTAACTAAATAAAAGATCTGTCACATCACTTCTGTCTACTTTCCCGCTCGATTCAGAAATGATCCCGGAAAGAACAGTATTTAATGCCTCAATCGGACTACCACTACTACTTGATATATTGGCTAGTAATGATTTTTCGCTACGGCACCTAAAAAAAGTTATCAATACAAAATTGGTCACATTTGCACTTGATAGTTGTAAATTAAAATTTAGAAAACGCCATCATACTTATCAAGCATTTCCGTAATAGTAGTTTCGATAGCACTTTTTATCACATTGAAAAGTGTCACTTGATTTGGCCAACAGTTCCTGGCAATTCCTATCATTTCTTTAACATAACGAATACCTATACCTTTCATAATCATATCTCTAGCCAATTCTTCAACCTATCATAACATCATTACATGTACATTAACATCGACCTACATATCCTATTGCAAAAAATTTCTAAAGAAAATTTGTAAAACCTTTTTTGACGAGGATAAAGACATATCGAAATCTCTCACATATTTGAGACAATCCGCCTATGTTAAAAAGCATCAAGTCATCGAAATTACTTATTTCATGGCAATATTCTTACGATCGCTATTATATAATTCTAGAGATACAGGTATAACTAAATTGTAAAGTTAAGTGTCTGTACATTTTTTTCCGCTAATTCTTGCATAGTTTTAGATTCTTTCAGCATAGTGAGATGCTTTAGTATTATAGCAAAGAGTTTAGTAGCTGTACTATATCTTGCAAAGTCTTGATCCGGACTACTAGAATTGAATTATAATAGCATGTATTACTATTAACGAAAATTTCAAAGCAGAATTTATATTGATAGTTCATACTCAGTAGCTTCATCATCATTGCTAGTCGAAGAGTCCTTGCTTTCTTGTTCGGTTGATAATTTTATTAGGCGCTTTATTAATTTTACTCGACAGTCCATCGATAGCTAAAGATAGTTTCATTATCTAATCTTAGCTCATAGTCTTTATCACTACATTAAATAAAAAATAAACATCCAACCTCTTCCGGGGATTCATCTTGAAACAAGATTGCTTTCATGTAATCAACGAGATCATTTGGTGTTAAATGTTTTAAAATGTCGATCGCGGACTGATATCTAGAGATCCAACCGGACTAAAAATATCATATAAATTTAGTTAGCGCTCTGTGGAAATTGAACTACAGTATAACTTATACATTGATTGGGCATAAGATTTACAGTAGTTGATGGTTTGCTAGAAGTCTTCTTATTTCCATGCCAAAACACTTTCTTAACATAGGTAAGGAATATCTTGCTGGCTGATATACGATTGCTATTCTTTTATTATAGAAGAAAAGTATTGGTATCAATACATAATTATTTTAAGATTACTGAGTGTTAATACAAATAACTTTCATCATTCTAATTTCCTAGTATACCTGGATATTACAAATTTTGGGAGCTAATTTTGCGACAGCGTGAACGTTGTTAGATGAAAGGTACGGCTTTAAGACTACAAGGGGTTGATCTTCGTCAAACAATTTCTTAAAGTCAATACCTATAATATTTTCAATTAGAAGTAGTCATGATAAATACAAAGTAATCGTAGCCTAACTGCCTAAGCGACCTAGATAGCAAACCTGGAGCCGCCGATTTCATCTTGATAATTACTGTTTGATAGTCTTGCACTTTTGTGAGCTCCTAAATGAAGTATATTAGTGAGATAGTTGCAGAATGAAATACAATAAGCTACAGAGAATAATAACCTCAATAGGAGTGTTTTTATCTGTTAAGGTGTTCAGGAATTGAAAATAAAATGTTAACATTCCATAATCGCTTCCCTGAATGGCTGGATAAACATTATTTTCTAGACGATGTCTTGCTTTTTCTATGTCAGTAGTTAAGAAATCGAGTATGTTCATTGAATTAATACGATCCTCTATCGCCGAAACAGCTAAACCACTATCAGTAAGTAGCCATTCGGTATGAGCCATATAGATATCCCAATGTGTGATAGAATACCGTTCTGCAAGGGTGATTGCAGTCTTAAAGACGCTATCTCGCAAAGTCATAGCTAAACCTAATATTGTATCATATTTATATTCGTCGTCAACAGCAAATCGAGCAGTATCAACACCTCTTCCTAGGTTTCGCAAAATTTGTGCTTGTACATAATCACTCAGAGCAGATTGATAATATTGCAACAACTTCGAAAGTTCATCGACAATAGATTTAGTAACGTCATCGCCGTCAGAAGTAGGGCTTTCAATCAAGTTAGTAACCGTTTTTAAGATTTCATTTGGATTAAAAGAGACAGAACGTTTATCAACACTATCTCCAGTCTTTTGCATAATAAAATATATTTGTAATGAATAGTAATAAATAGCCAGCTTAAAATTTAATACCACATTCGATTGTCTAAAAAATTTATCTGCCATTTTTCTATCAGGTAAAGCTAATAAGTAAGATAGAGTTAGCACCGTATCGTTATCGGCGTATTTACTGGCTAGAGACAGAAATACGTCTGACGCTTGATCAAAGTCAGCTCCTAATTGATTGCTTTCAAAAAGCTTCTCCATTCGTAAAACGCTAGAATCCGTAAACGATGGATCTGTATCAATTGCTAACAAATCAGCTATAGTGTTGTTAGATATACGATTATCTCCATATGTAGAAGCATAAAATGTATCATAAAGAATTTTATCAAGCGATTTACTGTTCACATCGTTGGAAGAATCGCTTAACTGGGAATCGTAGGATTTAGTATGCTCTTCTTTGCTAAACGGATTAGAGATCCATTTTATTACGTTATCCTGGAGCCTAAGGTTGTTGCTTATGGTTTTGAAAACATTAGACCGCAAATTTTCTACGGGAGTTTTACTAGTCCCAATCTCTCGATTAATTTTGTAATATAACTCTTGAATTTCAATATGGCTTTTGACAATCAACAATTTCTCAATAACATCTGCCGTACAATGTGTCAATGCAAACGCTATAAGTCGACGACGATCAGATAAATTTGGAAATCCATTACATTCTGCTAATCGCCAACAAATTTGCCAAGCATTCGAGTGGTTATCATTCATGAGATTTTGACACATTTTATATGCAAAGTCGTAGTCATTTTCTTCCATGGCGCTTTCAGCGACTACAGTCAAAATTTGACCTATTCGACTAACCTCATCCTTCGCTGAAATCTGAATTAGGTTACCTAATTTTAGTAATTTTTCGTATTTTAAATAATTCTTTGGATTTGCGCCAAGAGCATTCCTAATTAAATTTAACCTATTTTCACAAAGACGTACTAAAAATAGAAATAAAGAAATTCAAAATTATTAAAAGTTTGCAATAAGGTTTCAATTTAGAAATAAAGCATAAAAAATCTTACTTTCTAAGGGAAGCATAAATAATCCAAGATCGCTAAGATAGGACAGTGAATTTATTAAATTAATTTCCGCTTCAATCTCTGGTGTTGTAACTGATATTAAAGATAAACATTTCCTAAGATTCAGAATAAAATGAAATTAGACACATAATAATATTAGGTACAGCGTACTGTGTACAGAGTAGATTAAATACATCACCAACCTTGCATAACTTGTATTCCGGTCTGAGTAATCTTTGGAAGAATCAAAGTATTCCTGGGCCGCTTTCAATACCAAAGATACAGATTTTTCATATGAAATTTTACTAGATCGCTGTCTTTGTGATGAGGAAAGAAATTCAGCTGCTAGTGATATACTATTGATATCACTTGAGTGCAGTAAACAATCTGTGAATATTTCATGACAGTCACTATTGGTTATTGATGTAAATGAGGATTCTACCATCGTCAACATTCGATTTAAAATCGATCGCCATTCAGAAGCTGATATAGATATTCGCCCAGCAGTTGCTTTTCGTGTAAATGTCATCATCAATGCTTTAGACTCTTCTGCATTATTGATCATCTCCCTGATATCGCTTATGCAACTGGGTAAGTTGCTATCATGTAATATCTCAGCTGTTCTTACGTGATTTTTTAATTCTTTTAATATTGATGAATGTACTGAATCTAATGTTATGGCGCTCGAAATATGGAGACATTCAACTATAGTCTTAGCACAGTCAAGCTGGTCATTTCCACAATAAGCGTATATACAGTCCGCAGCAATTGATATTGCACTAAATATATTAGGAATGATTGGACTAGTAGATCCTACTTTAGAATGTTGAAATATTAGTTGGCAATAAGATAGATCTTGTTTTGCTTCTTCAATAAGATATTGTCGTATTACAGAGTCATAGGAACCGGGTTCATAGATCTCCAAACGATGTAGATACGGTAGAACATAACACTTAAAATTGCTTACATAACTGCTGTCGCCTTTTTTATGTAAAAGAAGGCGAACTTTTTCAATATTTGACATACTTAATATATCTTTTAAAGTAATTGATACATTTCCACATTCATACACCATTACTTCTAAAGTAAGGAGATTATTGAGTAATGGTTCTAAATTCTTTATATTCTTTTCCATTCCAAGCTTAATTAAATCAATAGCATTTGAAACTTGCTGCGATAGAAACTCAATTTCCGTTGCTCGGTTTAAGTACCATGCTGTAAGTAGCTCAGAATTTAGATTATGACTGAATTCCTTCAAATGCGGGCAGTCAGCATACAGAAAATAAATGCCCTCCTCAATGTCACTTTCTATACCGTTTCCGTATGCGATTTCGCACCAGTCTTCGCTTCGAATACGATTTGTATCAAGCGCGGCGACTTCGTCGTTTGTTGTAAGTTCCGGCAGTAAATATTTATATTTCTTCGGTGAGCATGTTTCGGGAAAATTTGATAATATTGCCAATCTATGAGGTGTCAGTACTGTAGAGAAATATGCGAATAAAATATCAACCGCTTCCCAGTTACTTTCTCTGGCGTATTCCGTAGTGATTTTGATAATATTAGATGAACGAAAAGATTCAAATACGATAGGAGAAAATCTTTCCGGTGCTAAATGCGCACCTCCAAGGATAATCTTTAAAATTATTAAATAAACAATAATTCACTTAACTCTAATAGTACAAGGTAATTAATTGTTACTCATGTGTTAGTAAGCCAGTATTTTATGGCTAATATTATTTTGCTAACAGTTATATATTATACCGTACCTCGTATAAAAGTAGTCTATCTAAGTACTTGAGTAAAATTAGTCGATAATGATATAATTTCTTTGCCTTTTCGTTAAGACTAAAACAGAGTAAAGTAAATTTGAGGATGATTGAATGTAATTGCAAAGCAATAGTACCAAAAATGCACAAAACATATTTAAGTAATGCTTTTAAGCAGTGATCGATAAAATTTGGTTCTATTACGAGTATTCTACAAGTCAGATATACCAGCTGAAATCAGGAAGTTTTTTTATTTCGAGGTTGTGGACAGATTCTTCGTCAGATAGTTCGTCCATTGTTGACTGCTGCCGCTGGGGTTTTATTATATCAGACTTTTGAAAATTTTCATCATCATCATCGTTATTAATTGTACTGATTATAAAACTACTTTCGAAATCGGTATTGTTTAATGCGGCCTGAAAAACCGCTTTGTTAGTGCCTAACAAGCCATATTGAAGAAGCTCTTTGACTGCATCGATGTCAATTGGTACTCGCTGAATGCATTCTTCTAGTACCCAAAAGCGATCTGTGATTTTACTCTACATAAAAGTGTTTTGGTTACAACCAATAGTAATGCCAGCGATAATTAAAGTTTAGTTATGTTAGAGTTATATAGTATTACCAGAAAATCTTGAATTGCCATTATTGACATTTTGGATTGTTGCCACCGTCGCTTGTAAACCAAATTACTATCAAGACCGTAAGATTCAGCTAACGTTAATGCCTCACCATATTCTTCTTGATCTATCTGTAGGATATTAAACACAAGATAAAATAGAGTGATTACGTGAATCGCTTAGTACGTACTATAAAGCTGCATGATACCTTTCTAGAATATAGTTCTTCTGGTGTTGTAGACTTCAAGCAGAGCAAGCGATAGGTTCTCTTCAGGACCCTAAGGTGAATAATATTATTGACCGAAAGTAACAAATATGATAGATCTATCTAAAATCATGTCGGCACATACTTTGGTGCTTTATCTTGCTGTAAAAAACTATCGCTTTCCGTTAAGAAATATAGCACCTATTCATGAATAGCATATAAATGGATCGATTAACATACAATTTCTGAAAGAATCTTATAGGAATAAATATAATAGTATAATTTCAAGAATAAGTAACGACGGAATCCGTTAGCAATTTTTTGATTACTCGTCTTAATTTTTCAGTAAGTTTTTCGTAAGTCGAAAGTTGAATTTCTTCATCATCATTTAGGTTGTAACTAGCTTCTTCTTCACTTTCTGAATCTACAATTGATTCTGTATCATCCGTAAAACTTGTCATTGCGTACTTTTTATAAACTGCTTTGCAGTCATCCTAAAATATAAAATATTATTCCAAGTTGGTGTGTTATTATAGTTATAGCAATGTTGCAGTAAATGTATAAGCAAAGTAAAACGTGTGAAATAATAACCTCCAGGATGAGGAAGCCTCCATCACTTAGGGCAATGACATGTGATCCCGGCTGGAAGTACTCAGGGGAACTACCCAATAAATTCTGAAGGCTAATAATTAATCAAACCAAATGTAATGATGTCATAGCATGATTTTGGTTATTAATACTATCAAATTTGTATGACGCTTTTAAATAAATATAAGTAGTAATGACTAACCTGCTTTCGATAGCTGAAATTGTAACCGCGCCAGATGATCGTACTAATACTAAAGACTACGAAAGATAATTATTATCATAGAGAGCAACTAAATTTCTGATAAGCGTACGGTAAACGAAATATTATAGTTTCGAAGTATTATTAACCAGATACGTATTGTAATTTTATAATACTGGCTAATATGATATAAATACCGTTTCTGACCACCAGTCAAGGGCAAGTATTGCTTTTGAGATATCGTCTGTTAAAGACCAATCATTACATCGATGGAAAGTAAATAATTAATTAGATTAAATTTCTGCTGCTATAATTTCTGTAAAGTACCATAAAGCTTACATGAATGATACGTACCACTTGCACTGTGTGAAGTTGAACTTAAACTTGTTTCAGAGTTGTAATTAGTAATTGAGAGATCTTGTCCTTTCGCTGCAACATCAGGCTAAATGAGTATAAGTATTAAAGTCATAACGTCATTTACATTACGGGTGTTACCAAGACAAAATATCAATCAAATTTACCTGTTCGTCGATATGCCAAACGGCTTTCATTCTAAGCGACGGCAACTCCCAGACTGATAGACAACCAGAACACTGTACAACGGCTAAAAGGGACCCATTTGGTGACAAAGATATTTTGTGTACTGTATGCTATAAAAATAAATGGGAATTTTTAGTAACTGTAGCTAGAAAAGCTTAAGTTGATGTGATAGCATATAGCGTAGAAGCTATTATATAGTGAGCGAAATTATAGTTTGGTTTTGATTACTTGGTGGTCAGATTTGTTTGCCTTGAGAAACCTCCTTGATACATCAGTAATACGGCTTAGTGGACTATTTAGATTTATCTATAGCGTGTTAGAAGTAGAAACTATAAGATTTATCTTGCTCTATTCCAAACGGTTGATAGACAAGGTAAGATAATCAGTGAATACGACAGTATACCTCAAATTCTTCAGAATTGATTATTTTATAATGTGGTGCATCATCTAGGATTCGCCAACAAGAAATGCCGTAACCCCTGGCATTTGAAGGCGAGTCATCTATGAAAAGAGCTCAGTTTAGTAATAATTGCATTCTGTATTAATTATTTAAATACCAGTTCCGAATGCCTACTGTTATTTATAGAGCTTAGTCATATGCATTTTTATAGTAATTACATTGGTCATTTTTAGATTTACTGGGAGTACTTCCTCCAATAATTAAGATTCGATGATATTGATGAAATATAGCAGTAGAGACACCAAGCGGATGATATGGCAAGAAGGAAAAGGTATGGCATTCTTTGTAATTACTGCTTTCGCTAAATGTCCAAGTAATTGTGAAGTAATTAAATTAGCTTTATAGCCATAATTATGAATGATATTTCAAAGTGAAACATAATTTTAGACCTAATAAAGTAGCTTTGTAATTGTCCTTGAAAATCGATAGCTAACAATTGACTATTCCTGTAAGATGTGAAATAGATGAAAAGTTAGGAAATGGAATGAAAGCTGGCGGAGAGTTAACCATTTTACCAATGCGATGTTTGATGATAGTCGATGAATAATAGCGCAGCAATGGCACCGTCATATCTACTTTCCTTTTCTGTTGGATCAGTACCAAACTAATAGAAATTTATCGAGAAGTTAATGACTATTGCGAATATCAATTTTATAGCCAAGATAATTAATATCAACGTAAGAAATATTACGTATCAATAGGCTGCAAGTAAAAGGTTCCGCGTATCTATAAAAGTATCCGTACTCTAGTGTAGAAATAGTCACTATACTGTACCTTTGATCTATTTATTGTGTATAGTAAAGTTCCACTCAAATCGAAAATGGATATATCTCCGGAACTAGAAAATAATTATTCAAATAATTTAGGGTGCTAAAGTTTTAGGAACACCTTTCATCATTAAAATGAAATATTACTGTTTTTATAACAGATATTCACCTATATGAACAAGCAATCAATGATGAATCGGGACTCCAAGCTATCTGCCTCCATCTTGGAAATGGATCCTGATGTACTAATTAGTACAAATTAAATATGAGTAAATGCATCATTCTATGGAAATATAAAGTTTATAACACTGCTTGCTTATGACCATTTGGTATTTTTCAGGATCAAAAACACATAAATCATGTACATAAATCATTTATTACCTGCACAGGTTGCTACAACAGTTGAATAATCATCTTTAGCTGACCTTATGTAGTAATATGATACAGATTATCGTTATCAAATACAAGACATGCAATCACATAAAATAATATTTCGGATCTTATAGCAAAATTTTGTATAGCTACAGTATTGCTATAAGTTTACTCTATCAAGATACTGGTGCAATAATAATGTTGCAGCGAAGCCTATATGTACTTATTGTCAGTATCATACCTCAGCTCCAGACAAGTATCGGTTAGAATAGCAATTAAGCGACCATCGCTATTTAATCCCATAAAAAATAAAAATATAGCTTTTACAGGCGATAATTGCATTATCTCCATTTATATAAAACAGTTTACACTGATAATCAATATAATACGAATATGTGTTACTCAGATTTAATATAATTCATCAAGTGAATATTCTATAAACTTACTTATTTTTTGCGAATTTCCATTCAGCTTGTCGATTGATTAAATTACTGACAGTGGAAGGCACAGCAGAACTTGTAACTCGGGACCTACAGTAGTTTGCGTATAGAAATATTGGTGTAATAATAGTTAATTAGTTCATCATAAAAATATGTACGATTGTTTATTTCAATTTCAATCGAAGAATTTATCGAGATTGGTTACCTTAATGTAGATGTAATGGCCTTGTAAGTCGATTTTACTTGATCTATAAGGATGTAATTGAGTAGAGACACGTTATAAGTTCGATTAATATTTTTAAACTGTAGTAGTGATTAATGGTAGATTATTTAGAAGTATGTCTTCAAATTTCGAAAGTTTGGCTACGATAGACCAGGTCTTATAGCGATTGAATTAATGAAATAATAGTAAAATTGTGAAAATTATTACGAGTGCCATAGTGTAGCAGTACAAGATTGATTGAAAAATTTCAAGAAAATATCTAGCTAAAGGCTATCAATATTGGAGAAGTACTAGTATAGATTTACTATGCATCTAGCAGACGTTGGGCTTCTCAACTAAATTCTTAGTTGCATATCGCTAACGTCAAAAGTAGTGATTGGTCGAGGATGACTGGAAATAAGCAATCGAGCTATTTTTTAATAGGTATTTAATTTTGAAGAAATCTAGCAGTAATTATGAACGTCTTACCAAATGCTATCTGCGACCAATTTCTTACAGCTGAAGCATCATTGGTGTCCTAGAATGCATTATGAAGGAAATATTATTTGACTCACGTTACGAAGTTTCATTATTGCAATGATGCACATTATAAAATTAAGGTAGTACCGTATGTACTCTACGTAATATCGTAGTTACTGTTTTCGATCAGTCGATTACTGTACCTTAAACGACTACTAAATTATGCAAACAGTAGGTTATTACCATATTCTACACAAGAGATATTGGATGATTTTGATGATGATGATGATACCAGAGCCAATATTTTTATAAACGATAAACTATACTATACTGTGTATCGTAAGTATCCACTGCATACAGCAGGTCTATTGTCAAAGCCTTTTAAATATTTCATTACTTGAGTCAACGCTGTGAGATATTATAGTAAATACTCCTCTTATCGTCCTATCCAATACGTAGAGATTTATTGCAAGAATGGAGATTATAAGATCGACCTGTGGTATGCTGTATGCTGTACGAGAAGGTAACAGGTCTCGCAGTAAACATGACGATTGATTAACTCAGTCAACGTATGAAATGTGTTTAATAACCTTTAGAAAATTGTTGTGATACTACAGCTTGTATCTTGCTATTGATTCTTACTACATCTAGTTTACAATCAATGTTTTCCAGCAAGCAGTGGGGTTATAAGCATGGACGTCGGTGGTTGAGAAATGCAACTAAAGCGGGTTCCTTCCTATGCTATCGTATCGTACTGTTAATAACATCAAAGAGCTTTGCAAGGACTTTTATGCATTTATGACTATCTCTTTTATGATAGTAAGATAGATTGAAGTTATGATAGCAGCATAGAGAGATTGTATTCTGCTATACCTTATTGGCTTTCGCTGAGCTTTGCTTGAGAAGAATTGGCTCAGGGTGCCATTCATCTTGAATAAACAGATCATATAATATGGAAGTGTTGCAATTGCTGCTGTCTTGAGTAGTCATTCCTTTCTCCTGATGAAAATTGACTGAACAAGAGGATCCTGTCTGATTAAAGACAGACTGCAGTGACTTCTTCCTTATTGCAATAAGATCGTATCAATAACTAAGTGCTGCCAGGTAGCTTTTGCCACTGAAATGTTGCCGAAATTTCACTGACGAAATTTTAGTGAAGGAGATTTTGAAGAAATGGAAAAGAAGGCAAGGTGTACGCCACATTGCCTACGCAAACATGGCTACAAAGTAAGTGTCCCAGTAAGGATTTCAAGAGCGTTAGCAAAAGGGTTAATTAGTGCATAGAGAACTTGCCAATTTTGAAAGCACCCGCATAATTTACCTACTCAAACATTGGTACACAAAGACTACTCCAGTATCATATTCAGTTCGCTAAATGGATTAGCTAGGGTGATCCATCTACTGTACTGATTTAAATCGATGGTCTACAGACAGATAGACGGGCGATGGTCTGCGGACAGACAGCCAGACGAGGACCTACGGACAGCCAGACGATCGTCAGACAGGACGGTACTGTACTCACGTACTACTGCTGTTACATTCACGCCTACAGTAGTATTACGTCACCAGTACGTTATAAGGTGCAGTACAGTATAGTAATGGAGGTCGCTGCTCCTTCTCACATATCAGGACTGTACAACTTATACTGTACATCATCGACTTCTTGCTACGATTTGCATCAGGATTCTTCAGGTGCCTGCATAGGTCATCAATTTAAAACATGGCAACCTTTCCAACTGTTAAGAATTATATTGTAACCGAGAAATTAGGTCAAGGAACTTACGCTACTGTTTATAAGGCTTATCGGACTGTAAGTATTATTGAAATTCTTGTATTGAGAGAGATATGCTGTACTGTAGGATGTAGATTGTACAAGTAGTGTTGCAAAGGGCTAGAAAAGAGCTTCGACCCTAATTCTCATGCTTTCAATTAAAATAATTAGTAAATCAAGTAGATACCTCAGTTATTGATAGTTTACCATGGTTGAAGTGTATAACAATTTGAAGGATTTGAGAATACGTTGATGATTATAGTAAAGTAGAACAATGTTGCCTATATCGTAACTGCAGCGAACTGTTTCTAGTCCAGCGATTAAATTCATACGGATATTGATAATTAATTGTAGGTTGGAAAAAGGGAAGTCGTTGCTATAAAATGTATTCAAAAGCGATCGCTTAGCAAATCTGCCAGTGATAATTTAATCACTGAAATATCACTTATGAAAGAATTGAATCATGACCATATAGTTCAATTAACAGATTTTCAGGTCGGTAGCATTAAATAAACATATTAAAATATGCTCTACTAATTGTTTATGATTGATATATCATTTGTATAGTTATACTGTAAGAAGAATCACTTCAAAAAAGTGCAGATATAACATTTAGTATTCTTTATATCGATAAAATTAACTTTTACCGATGCTACAGCATGAAATGAAAGATTGATAATGACTGTCACTATTACCATTTTCATTGATTAACCTAATTTTATCTCATATATATAATATACATACATATATATAACCAATCTTATCTTATTTATTACACATAGTGGGACGGTAAGGCAATCTATTTAATCATGGAATATTGCAGTGGTGGTGATTTATCAAAATTTATTCGATTTCGTAAACGTTTACCAGAAATAGTTGTTAAGAAATTTTTAAGGCAATTAGGTATAATTATTATTTAAATTAGAAGGTATTTAACGATGTGTATCGTATACGTCCATATATGTACATACTGTACAAACGATTAACAATTTTACAGCAATGCTATATCTTACATTCTGTATTTACAAAGCTATTGTAGTGGTGTAAACTAACTGCAAATCAATTAATCAATGAATTGTAGCCAGTGCCCTTCAATTTCTACGCATAAGAAATATATCTCATATGGATTTGAAACCTCAAAACATGCTGCTATCCTCTCAAAATGATCCTGTACTAAAACTAGCTGGTATAAATAAACTTCATTCTTTTAGAACATGATATGTGCAATAAATAGCATTCGAGCTTTTCTGTCATCATGCCTACTATTAAATTGTAATTAATTATAAGTAATGCATAATTTATATCATTATAGTATAATACATTCTGTACTGGACCGCTAATTGAACGAAAATGGCTTATAGAAATTGTTTCATTATGTTTATTATTGTAGATTTTGGCTTTGCCCAATATGTAATGAATGAGGTCGATGCTAAGACGCTTAGAGGTTCTCCGTTATATATGGTAAGATTAATTTTTATTATTACCGTACATTGTTTATTATAGCAAACAAATAAGAATGTCAAATTTTAGTACCAACAACAGTTAAAATTTCTGCAGGTTTTACTAAATTCGTTATCATAATTTTTTTAAAAAGGCACCAGAAATCATATGTTCAGGGAAGTATGATGCAAAAGCCGATCTCTGGTCAGCTGGAATTATTATGTTTGGTTTGTGGAAAAAATAAAAGAAATACCTCATATTATCGCCTATGCACGTACAATCAAGAGAGTTATAAATACTATTACATGCTATCGTTCCTATTTTAGAGGCCCTATTTGGTGTTGCACCATTTGCATCAAATAGTTATGCCGAATTAGAGGATAAAATTAGATCATCTGCAGAGATTACGGTAAGCGACAAAAAAACTAGTTCTTAAATCTAGGTAATTTATGTGGTACGCATATGTGACACCTTCTCGACTAACTCCTTTTTAACCTCTTTACTTAGCTTCCTTCAAATGCTAATATCTCTGCAAGCTGTCGTGATTTATTAATATCTCTTTTAAGAAGAAATCCTGACGAACGTATATCATTTGATAACTTTTTCAATCACCCTTTTATCGATCTTGAACATATGCCATCTCCTGAATGCTTAGCTAAATCGGTATATAAAACGTAAAATAATTTTTTATTTCATCGTTTTGATTTCAGTTTCATAGACCATAAAATTACTTTTCATAGCGCGATTTATTTACCGAAGCGGTAAAGCGAGATAGCCAAAACGATCTTAAAGGAGCAGCAATGTACTATACGCGGGGTCTTGAGTACTTTGTTCCAGCAATTGAATGTATGTTTTCGAAAAAAGGATTTACTATTGATATATCTATTAATACTAACAGTTGCGGTGTAATGGAATGACAAAGTACTTACGCAAGATGTTGTTTAATAAAAATATCCAGTATTTTGAGATACATTGCTCGATTACCTTCTTTTGAACAATAAACTAAAATTATTGTATGCATAATGTGTACTCGAGGCTATAACTTTTCTCTTTCATAAATTCTTTGTACTACAATTAGATGAAAAAAATCCAGCTAAAAAGGATGCATTACGTGTTAGAGTATGTGTCATTTTTATAAAACTAATCCATGGGTTGCGTTAGCAAAACAATTTTAATAAGTAAAGATATTTTCTGCTTGATATTAGGCAAGTGAGTACCTAGCAAGAGCTGAAGAATTGCGCCGGCTATTGAAAAGTGAGAATGTATACGCTAATGCAAGCATTGAAAGTCCTGGCACTTCTCTAGGTGAGGTATCTTAAGCTTGAAGGCAAAATTTGGTTAGAAGCACTTATTTACTTTTATTATAGTATTGTAAATATTTTATTTAACTTCTTTTAGTCAAGTTATACACCAATGACAACAAAATGGAAGAAGCTCTGCTACACCTAGAAACTGCTGAAAACTATGTAATTATGAAAAATATTTTTATACATTTCATGGCTTCTGTATCAAGGATAGAAATTGCAGTGATCCGGCGATTAGGCAGAATTATAGCTCTCACTATTGTTAAATACAGAATATTTAAGTTTAAATGTATACAATTTATATTACATAATTATTTGGAAGGATAACAAGGAAATGTACGATGCTGCGTTGCACCAATATGAAAAAACGCTCTCGAAATTGTTAGAACTTGCACCTGGTACATATACTCTCTTTTTTAGATATTTTAAGTTTAGATTACATTATCGAAGCTTAAAATTTTTCTTTGTGGAATGTAGATGAAACCGATACCGCTAAGAGAGAGAGATTAATGATTGAGGTTTGAAGCTTATTGTGCACAACTATTAACAGTTATATACCTAACAAACATAAATAAGGATAATACGTTTATTAATGTAGATTCAGCGTTGTATGAATCGTGCCGAAGAGATTAAACTGCTAAATCAGGTAAATATTATAATACGTCATAGAATCTGCATTATTTAAGAGAGGCCAAATAAAATAATATTGTAATATCAAGTAGCAAAGAAATTATGTAAAACACTCCGTACCTCTTATTTTATAGATGAAACAATCAGATGGATTAAAGTTGAAAATTTACGACAATGAAAAACTGGCTACTAATAGCCGTAAGTTTATTGATTAGTTTAACTTTTAATGAAATGATATAAAATCTTACTACATTTACTGATAGTTTTTAAAAATGTTTTATTACGCATTTAGGATGTTGCATACAATGATGTACCTACGCAGGTAATTTACTGTACAGTTGGTGAATGAAAAAGTCCACTATCGTGATTGGATTAAAATGTTTATTTTAGCTTATATCAGTTAGTTATAACCTGATTTTCTTATACAATGATTGTTAAGAATCTCTCTATTGTATGAGCTCTTATTGAATATTAGGTTGTAGCGTAGCATGGTATAATTTGTCTTGAAATAGTGTATAAAGATTACTTTGCACTTTGATGTTGTAGATGTGACACAGATGAAACTGTAAATAGTAATGGGCATACTTTATGTTTATCATTGCATAAAGTTAAAAACAATGAACCCTGTATTGCATGAAACTTATACCGAAAATTAACTAAATCGTATAATCCACTCGATATACCCGTATTGAGAATGAAGCGATGAGGTTTCTAGGCTAAGAGCGTGTGTGGATACAGTATACATACACGTATTTGACTAGGATATACGAAGATATTCTACTAATTAATTAAATTATTATACATGTCGCATGTATACCATGAGTCTTCACTATTGCGTTTATCGCAGTCTTTTTTATAATTCAGAAAGCGATATAGCAACAGTGCCTGTATATCTAACTGTTTTTGGTTATCACGTACGGTGCACAGCGAAATACAGTTCTGTATGTTAGTAGTATACCGGAGATTTAACAAGAAATGAAAAATAGCCGCATTAAATATACAATACGCATGTGAAACAATGTTCCTATATGTGTCAGCACGATAATTGAATCATATTATAATGGAGCTTTGTATGTGCAAACTCCTGCGCAATCCAATTTGCAGGATGGTTATAGTATGTTAGTATATTCCCATAGCTTTAAGCCTTTAACGTGGAAAAAGGATAACGCTAGACATAGATATGAATCTAATACAAATTGAGCTGTACAGCCTGTACTGTACGTCGAGGAAATAACGAACGAATAATGCCACGTAAATTTAAATTCTAATATCTGCGAACGCCAACAAACAAAAAATAGAGTGAGGTTGCGGCAATCCCGCCAGAACAACAACATTCACACTCTGGAAATAGCCCTTAGAGAGAAAAATAGCGAAAGATATATGTTCCCTTGCCTTAAATAATGACCTGCTTATCGCAATCAATCTACTTTAGGCCTAACCTAGACCGTATACCTTTACTCTATCTTATTACTATAAGTGTACAGTATACTGACATCTCAAACCAGTATGATAATAGATATGAACAGCGCGTACAATAATCTACAGTTATCTGACATTGCAAAACCGTAATTATCCTACAACAAGAATGTTAGAATCTCTTACACTAACGTGCACTAGACCATAATCTGTCGGAATCATGCTTTTAATTCAGTATGTCGATACCTAATCACAGGCTCAGATTGTTGTACTCGTCAACCTGAGCTCTTTCCATATCCTCCTTCAGTTTAAGGATACAAATAAAAGGCATAATCATCCTCTCTAAGTCCGTTTTTGGGGGCATTTCCTACTAGGTATTGATACACCAACAGAAATACAGCTGATATGACTTTATCAATGATACTTCCCAGAATGCAGTTTCCAATATTTGAAGCCTAAATCGTGATCTATTCCTTTGGAAACAACATTCTAGGAAATTAGCTCAGTGGAGGTGTTTTAGCGGCATTTCTATCAATGCAGTTGTGATATGAGAGCCAGGTACCGTATACTGTACGTATAATCATATGCAGTGCAAACTATAGTCGCAAGAGATTTTATTCTACTTTCTACATAGTCTTTATTAGACTGATTTCAATTCTACATACCTGTATAATTGGCTTACACTTAACTGTGAATTCATTCGTGGCATTTCTGTTTATTTATTAATTACGAGATGAGCCTGTTGTGTCAGTCACAGAGCTCTAAGACGAAAATATAACTCTTTAAATATGTTTATTTTATTTTATTGCTCATTTTTATACCCTCTCCTTTAAGCGAAAATTAGCAATTTTATGTTTTACTGTATACTCTCTCTATATTCACGGGGTATTTACCATCAATTCCCTTCGGTTGAATTATCGTATACTGTACGTCTTTCCAAAAATGATGGCACCATATCAACGTACACGCTATGATCGGAAATCTGATAGGCATGCAATCATGACACTATTTTTGCCCGTGATTCCTATTTATGTTGTATAACGTTGTTAAGATATGCATCTATCCACTAGCTCACTGACTGTTAGAAGATGATCGTGCAAATTGTCAGCAGAAATGATGTCACCAGTACGTGCCTTTAATAGTACTGACTCGTGGCTACCGTCCGAAGCTCTCGCCATAGCGTGACATTCGTTTTTATCAATGATGAAATTTACTGAGAACGGTACAGTCGCTACAGTACAAACTGCACACGTGTCAAACCGTGCTACAGTACATAGTATCCGTGTCTAGTAGGTTGTAGCGTGTAAAATAGACTGTCATGCCTTTATCTCATACGATGTCTCTTCCTTAGTATATTGCTATATTAAGAAGATAAGAGAAATGACAACATATTTTGCACACTATTACTATCCTCCTTCTTTCATGCAATCCTAGATTCCTAGTACGGTACGGTACGGTATTATACAGGCTGTACTTTTTTACTTCTTAGTTGTTGTCCAAGTAGATCAACATCTTTCACACAGTATACATATACTGTATAGGTTACAAGAGCTGAATAGAGCAGTACTATCGTGATAAACTGAATAGCTAGTGACAATAACTATGCTCAGTACAGTATCCCAATAATTCTAGAACCTTTTGTAGTGATCGTCCTCAGGCCTAGATCCGAAATCAAGCTCAAGCTCATGGAGTATAATAACGAAGCTGATCCATTAATTGGTGGAGCTATTGGTAGAGTCGTTATTCCAAAATGGTAATTAGCTAATTCTAGGATGATAGGAACCTTTTACAACCATGCTATCATTTTACTGTATCATTTTATGTCATTTTAAAGTAGTTAATGCATTCATATTGATAACCTTCAATGGATTCTTCCTTGATCTGATGCACTTTACTCTACAACCTTCGTTAAGGCTTTTCGTCTTCTAACCAGTCCATACAGTAACAGAGGTAGTAAAGGATTTATCTGCAAATGGCTAGCGCCATGTTTACTCTTACTTAAGAGGAAGAACTTTATTTGATGACAAATTATCATCATGTAGTTATCCACTGCCCAATCATTGAGCCACATGAGTGCCGTTATACTCTAGTACTCGTATTGACCAACCTGAGTAGCCTAAATCCGCAATAGCAAACAATTTATAATGATAGGATTCGAATAGAGCTGGGCTGCTCAGATGGGGTATATTTGATCTACAAGGTTAGCCTATAGAGATGGCTATCTTATGGTATAAATTGACCATTTTAACACATGTTACTTCATATGCAATGCTTTACTGGCCATTAGATGAACTCATACAGCCTCCAATCGAGTCAAATGCATTTCTTAGTAATTCTGTTTTAGTGCAACTGTAGACTTTGAGGATAGTGTATATTCGAATTTACTTTTCTACTCTATTATTGCTTTTACATCGTGCTTTAAATACATCAAATAAATTCATAGTAACTCCATTTTAGCTGGACTATAGGCTTTTATTAAGGCGTTAATATACGTTTCCTGTTTTACTTTATAGGTTTAGATCATGCCTAAAATGCATTGTTATGGCATTCTCCTACTGTATAAAGTAATGACAGTTGACAGTTATGTAGATAGGTGATACTTCACTACCATTAGGAAATATAGTTCTCCAGAATATGAGTCCATAATAACTGTATTTTACGAGGGCTGTAGATATTTATTAAGGCATTAATTCATATTTCCTGTTACACCCTGTCACTCTACCACTCTCCAACTGTATAAACTAGTGATAAACTAGCGATGGACTATCTTGTTCTGATAGTTGTATTCAAATCTATTGCTATATGTCATGACTAAAATGCCTATCATGCCAATGTTTTATACTTTAATTACTGTATAAAAAGTGATCGTACATCACTATGTTTCTGCATTTCTAGTTGTGATAGTCGTTATTAAATTATACGTCAAAATAATGGCACTCATAAATTTTTTAAATGGGATCATGTTCAGGAGAAGTATAGCAGTATGATATATACTGCAGATCTCGATCAAGTTCGAATGTAACACGACTGCATTAAAAGTATCATAAGATGAGTACACATGTTGAGAATGGATGCTTGCTTGAAATCAGTACTATTTCGTTTATACTGTACCAACCGCTATATCTGTCAATTATCAATTCTATTTTAAGATATAGAGTATAAGATTATCGTCGTTTGCAATTTAATTTGACAACTTTGCTAAACGAAAGCTTACAACCACTTAACATAACACTAAATACGAAATATTATACAGATATTCTTAGTATTGATAGTCCTTACAGTAATAGGATCATCATATTGATAAGCTTTCAATTACTGTATCTTTTAATAATGGAGCTTCCCATGTCGAAATCATAATATCGTTACTATAGAATCTCGTTTATCTTTACCTTTTGACGTACCTATCAGCTTTTCTAGGAAAATATTCTACACTCTAATTGGATAATTAGTAATAGAGTTAAATTTAAATTTAATCGAATAGACGAGATAGATATTTTAAATAGCTATTCTGGTATTTAACCAGTAGATACCTTACTAGTTCTTATTGTAGACTTTATACTACTTTCTCTCATGTATACGCTTTTAACGGAATGGTTTAGGCGCTGTCAATTTTTACTAATTCGTTTATTCTATTCCTAAAATAGGCACTCGCCATTTACGATGGCTTTATTACTTAGTAGATTCTTCCATGCAATTGGAATTTATTTATCTTATGAAGTATTAAAGATAGCTCCTTTATTACAATTTTTATTCGTAGTCAAATTATGGTAAGTTTACTCACAAAGCATATAAGAGACATCATTTATTTAAAAATGAGCTACAAGAGCAAATTTTTTAATCACTGTTAAAGTAGCAGAATCCTTTGTATAGTATTATTTATACTGATCACTGAATAAATGTCATTCAACTATAAATTTTTTAGTTGTGTACAAATTGCTCACTTGCTTATAACATTAATCACTAATAAAATGCATTACATCAATTTCTATCGAAAGCTGTGCTTTGCTATATGTCATTCTGCAAAAACCGATATCCAGTGGGAGACCCATAGAAAAAATTGAGGTATGATAATACATTTATACGAGACTACGAGTATACATACATCAATTAATTTTAACTATATTTTTTATCGGAAAGTCTTTATATATTTAAATTTTCTTCATTCATAGTGGTATAAAATTACTCTACACGCCGTCATTCTGGTACTTTTACAATGGCTATATCTTATAGGAATGAGATTATGTGGCCCTTTAAGGTATCAATTAGTCGGTCTTTATATGAGTAAATGGAATATTCATCTGTACACTCATAACAGTAAGGGAATCAGATACTAGCAGATATCCGCCGAAATTATTTTATCTTGTTCTATTTGAAGTTATACGATATATGATGTTTAAAAATATTCGCCTAGATATGTATACTTGATTTAATATAAAATCTAAATAGTTGCTAAGTGACTTATTTTTATTAAATATTTATTTACTTTGTAGGACAATTTTAGTTTTTGAAAATAGCGATGTAGTAGTACTGACAGTTTTATCTGCAGTATATAGCTTTAATTTAAGGTCTAAGGTAAGTAATTTTATAATACTCGTATACTACAATGTATGCTTATATTATTTTAATTACATTCGAAGATATTCTTTTCTCCTTATTTACGTAACTTTAATATTTAAAACAGAAATTAGGAGTCTACCTGTTCGTACTGGCTTTATTTTCTCTCCTATTCTTTGATAATGACGACGCTATCAACAGTAATATTGAAAATTGTATCTTTTTCCCCAAATATTGCACTACCGTATATTAAACTTTGGGCTAAATTACACAGATCCTTAAATACTTTTGCTATGCTAAGAAATTGTTAAAATAGATTCTCCGATGCCTTGCGAATATCTCTTTAACTCCCTATTATAGCTGACGAACAACATAACACGATCTTGCGATATATAGTACAGAGTTTAAGTTGGATTGGATTATCAGACCATAAGGTAATTGCATATTTGCATTTATACATTTGCATATGTTAAACTAGACAGAACATTGTTTTTCTTCATTATCTCCTAACGTTATGTGTATTACAATTATTAGGGTGGTATTGTGTTATTATTCATAGTTTTATGCATGAGTATTGCACACGATAGCGTCTTAAGAAAATCTGCTGTCGAAATTGGAGGTTAGAACAAATTCTTATGTCTTATAGATTAATTAAATTCACTTATAATAGATAAATGCCATAACTTCACGCATTAAGGTTTTAATTTGCCCACTTTCAGGAGCTAAACGTATGAATGCGTTAGTTACGGCAATGGAGGCTGCAATAATATCACCTCTTGTATTGATCCAGTACCTCCTAAATACTGTAATGTTTATAACTTTATGCCTAAGACTAATAATTTTACTAATCATTCAAGTCTGTAATCATTAATGTTGTCTTTACAGGTTGGTAGCAGTTGGTTCACTGCCAATTTTACCTATTTATTTGTTATAGTTTTGACCACATACGTTGGTAGCTACTATATAAAAGCTATCGTCACGGCGCGTAGTAGCGCTCAATTTGTGGCCTTTATTTCGCCTTTGGCTTCTTTTATTAGTGCACTAATAGTTGCTTACATATGGGCGCTTCCTGGCTTAGCTTTTTTACCAGTACGTTCTGCGACCGCTTCCTCCAAAGATCATGCTTTTTCAGCAGGAGTTATTCTTAGTGTTGTTTGCTTCAGTTTAGGTATGATTATCTTGTTTATAGATTATGTTTTGATATGAAGCTAGTAAGATACTAAATCTGATTATATTTATGTGTACTACGCATTCAATAGCAACGCGGATGTTATTAAGATCAGAAGCACTGCAACAAAGAAATGTTAAGGGACAACTGATTGGATTTTCGGAAGGCGGTTTACCACTTTACAATGCAGGAATGGCAAATAATTCTAGTAAAAGGTCATTTACTAGCGTAATGAGAAATAGCATCTATCAAATCCTTGGTCAAAGTCATACCAGAAGAATTTTTTTCTACCTGTGTTTAAATTTGGTATGATGCTGATATAGCGTTATGTGCGATACAGCAGCTATTTGGCTAATTTTTGATATTTTTGTAGGCCTTTACCGCGGTAGAACTGCTGTATGGTGTTCTTACGAATAGTCTTGGCCTTATATCTGATGGCTTTCATATGCTTTTTGATTCCACTGCTTTGGTAATTGGCTTATATGCAGCTCTTGTTGCAAAATGGAAATCTACCAAGAGCTTTTCGTTTGGGTAACGTAGTTTTTTACTCTATTATATTCATTGTTACTAATATATTGTAATTCTGTCTTGTTGATTGATACTTCTTGGATAATTTAATGTTATAAAAATTTTATTTATTAGCTTTGGTCGCGTAGAAGTCTTGTCTGGTTTCCTTAACGGTATATTTTTAGTGGTGATTGCTATCTTTATTTTCATGGAAGCGATTCATAGATTGATAGATCCACCAGAAGTTCGTTCGGAACGATTAGTGGTAAGAATATTATCAATTTTGAAGCGTTCACGATATGACTATGACCTAAGAACTAAGTGCTATGTCCATTTATGTTTTAGTTGGTATCGTTTCTTGGTCTATTAGTGAATATGGTTGGCATTTTTAGCTTGCGACATTCTCATTTTGAGGCTCATGGTCATTCTCATGATTCTAATATGCATGGTAAATAGGATATTCATTTTAGCTACCTCCCAATATATTAATTAAACTATCGATTTTTAGTAATTTTAAAGCAAGCAAATAATACAAGAATTACACCATCTATGCTATAGGTGTCTTTTTACACGTTCTAGCAGATACATTAGGAAGTGTTGGTGTTATCGTTTCGTCACTTCTTATCCAAACTTTTGGATGGTTGATAGCTGATCCAATATGCTCTCTTTTAATATCTATTTTAATATTCATGAGTGTCTTACCATTGTTGAGACAATCAATTAGTGTTTTACTGTTAAGAGTTCCATTTGGTCATGAACAGAAATTATCAAATCTGTTAAAACAGGTATATAAAGCTCTTTTAAGTTTACTGCTGCAGTATAGCAATAAAATTTATTGATATTTTCTTCCGCAGGTTTTATCTGTTAATGGAGTAATATCCTATCAGAACCCACAATTCTGGCGTCACTCTTCCGATACTATTGCTGGTACATTGCATGTACGAGCAAAGATGTCCGCTAACGAGCAAAGTATCATTACGCGGGTAATTTATATTGCAACAATTGTTTAAATTATCAATATCCTATAAAATTTTTCTATATATTGTATTATTGAAATCTCATATTTTCTTATCTTAGATTCATGCCATTTTTAAGGATTTAGGAATTAAATATTTTACAGTTCAGGTAGAGAAAGACACCTACTATAAACAAATCTCGAGCCCATATAATGGAAGTACTGGGTGATGCGATACATTTAAATTTTTTGTACAAAATCCATAAGAAAATGTGTGCATTGTAAAGGATTTCCCACTGATTTTTAATATCGAGAATAATTACTGTATATTTTTGTATATTGTCCGAAGATGTGGTTGATCTATACATCGAAAAAATTTATCGTTAAATGGAAATGGGGAGTTTTTCTTACTTATAATATTGTCTAAGATTCGAATTTAATAAGATAAGCACTCCCTAGAAAACATTGTTCTTAACTCATTAAATTTTTCCGCTATATACATACGTATATGTTGAAGAAACTGACTATGGGATATCTTGAAAACTCAGTTCTTTATAACTTACGGTGATTACGCAGTGTGAATATGCTTTTCTTTGTTTTACGGTAACACATTGTACAGTAAATATTTATCAGGATATTTGATGAAAGTTTATTTTTTAGGCAAAATTGCCAAATTAAATAAAATATCGATTATCATCAACTCATAGCGCATTCCATAATCAATTTTATAATTTATTTCGCAATGTCTATTTTCTTAAATAATTTACAGTAGAGACACTTACTCATTGTGTTCATTGAATATTATTTAATGGTCATATTATGGTGGACTAGAGGAAATATACTCGTGCATACAATGTAAATTCGTGTAAGCTAGCTAGTTCGCCCCATTTGTAATTTATGGAGTATTAGAATATATAGCCTTGCTATTTTGATATAATTTGTTACATAAAGTGAGATACTGACATTATAAAATCGTAATGGTCAAAATTTATTTTTCAAAGTATTATTATAGTGTATTTGTTACATTTCTTGTATCGATAGCGATACTGAAATAAAGTTTCAATTCTATAATATGCAATACTCTGATATTAAATTAAGTGAATATTACCTATTAAAATGATGATTTGTAAACGCGGCTGTTGTAAGATCGATAAACCGTAATTATCAGTTGGGCATCAATTAAGAGTTTTATTCAATACTTTAGCTTTATAAATATAGATAGAAATCATAATTGTCTAGAAAATTGTTACTATATAGAATCTATTAGTACAAATGATAATTTATGATCTATAGTATGAAAATTGCTGAATATCATTACACGTAGTATTTATTATTATGAGGTTTACGCAAATTAAGCTATGATCTCAATACGCTGATATAATTTGTCTTATCTACAAACGATAACATTTTAATTACTGAATGTGTCAGGAAGGAGATTCATTATACTGATTAGGCATTCAATACTATTAATCATGTTGACAAGACTACATCATCCTATAATCTATAGGATTTACCGTTGTATAACATTTACATATATCCTGTCTGTAAATAGTGTCACTTATTTACGTGCATGAATAAGCGAGAAATTAGATTGCTATAGTTCAGCATTTAACAATGGTGTTGAGGTTTACATTATTTAATATTCATACGAGGCGCTCTGCATAATGCCTTACCTTGTTATGCTGTTCTATAAAATGATTTTTACGACTTATACCTTAACGCATTTAAATTTAATGGGATTAAATTTATTGAAATCTAGCTCAGTAGGTAACATTACTAGAAGATCTAGAGATGGTAACAATCTTACCGCTTTATACTAATTTAATAAATATAGTTCATGGGCGTTGGACTATCACTTCTTTCTTAACGGTTGTTATGGTTACACCCTTAACCGTTATTCAAGCAAATATAGGATAGTATAGGATCATATAGCAAGCCCAAACAGTAACTCTATTATAGTTTTAAAAATTATATTATTGTTCTTTATTCCATTCTAGATAACTGATTAAGATAAGAAAGCAGTAAAGTACTATAAATGCACGAAAGACTGGACACTACAGCTTTTATTCAGAGATACGATGAAATAATTTGGATAATCTGTAAGTCGCTTTAGTCATCGATAGTTGAAATTGGCAAGAGCGCTATTTCAGTTATTCAGTCTTTCACTTGTATATGCTATTGATAAGAAAAATTGTAAATTGTTACAGCAGAATATATAATTTATTTCTTGGTGCCTACTTATCCCACTGTAAGAATTCATTTAAACCTAATAGAGTAGTCTATCAGAAGTTGGAAAGAACTTTCGAGCTGTCGAGTTACATAATTAAAAACGAATCATGATAGAAGAATTTATTTCTTGCTAAAAGTTGTATTAGGTTTTGTAATCTCTCTTAAATTACAAAGTTAATGAAAATGGATCATAACTAACTTTGGGCTTTATAATATCCTGGTTCAATTACATTTTTCATTTTACCATTATTGAGATAAAGTGACTTTCTGATTTTATTTCTTCATATTCAATTGCTTAAAAGATATTATCTTACATTATGCCAAGTCCACAGAAGATTACTACTGAAGATCTAGTACGAGCAGAAAATGGTAGTTACCTCTTTAATAATCGATCCTACTCAACAGCATCAGAGACATTAAATGCTTATATCGAAAAATATACTGGATATACTATCAGTGATGCTTCTGCAGATTACCATCGCTTAACATCGGTTTTATTAGCATCGACGCCAGTAAGGCAAAAACCAACCGTCGAAAAAAAATATAAAAACACAGAAATAAATCCCAAAATACCAAGAGATCATAATTCTATCAATGGATCAGCAATAGTTCAGGCGAAACTGAAATTTCAACAGCTTTCTCAAGTTAATCAAGATACAGAATTTCTACCCACCAATGGTAAGTTTGATTAATTAGATTAAGCAGCGTAGTTAAAAAAAGGCCTTCAATGATAATATGCAGGGTTGAAAGAATACATATAATTCCAGTGTCTTTAACAATATCATCTTAGAATCTTTAGCTTAAGAAATTCCATCTTAAGATAAATTGTGCTTATTGCTTAATACTTTCTAGTTATCTTACTTCTTGTTTAATTGTTACAATATTATAGTGAGAAGAGGGTTAAATTACCAGCAGAATCTGAAAGCAGATGCAATCGTAGATAATTTGCTTTATCGTAACGATTTCAATTCGGAGGGTGTCAATCAATCTTCAAATTTAACCATTAATCAATCTAAGCCTCATTTGAAGAATCAACCTGTCGGTACTCATTTTAATAAAGTTAAGTTTGAAGCACCTATGAATGATTATTACCGTAATAAATCAAACAAAAAGAACTGGACAGAAAAAGACTGGATAAAGTATTGGTCATCTCAAGCTCAATCAAATCATATGGATGTTAATCAAAGTATGCCATCATTGTCGTCATTACCATCCCCTGAAAATACAGATGTAGATAATGATGATATTACTAGCAATGCAACATCCGACGTTGATGTTGGCCAACTGATTGATATGTATCGTGATAGCTTAAGAAAGAATAAAATAAAGAATGATGAAAATAAAAGATTTATAAGACAAATGAGATTTCGCTATGGATCACCAGAGCTTAAATCAAATCCTTCTCGTCTAGTATACGAGAGTAATTCGCGTGCAATGCGAAATAATCAGTTTCAAAACCAGCCACCACAATACATAGACATCAGTAAATCGTTGTCCAACAACCAAGATGAAAAGATCCCTAAACTAAACGACCAATACCATAACGGCAAGGAGAATGTTAAAATCATGGAAAAAGAACGTTATCATGATCTGGAATCGGTGAAAACTGATGAATTGCTATTATACTCTCCAAATGGAATTCCAAGTGAAAGAGAAAAGGCAAATATGCGAGCCAAATATAATTATCATCATCTATATGATAAAATAGCAAAGCTAAAGAAAATTGCTGAACCTACAATAAATGATGATATTGAAAGCACTGTTACAGATCAACTGCTGCGCAAATCCCCGATGCCTTACATCTCAGTTAGCCCAACACCCTCCGATTTTACCTTAGAAGGTCATGATCGTACAGCAATATCGAATCATTCAAATCAGCATTATCGCACCGTTAGGCCTCGAAGTCCTATTCGATCTCCTAGACATATTACTGATACTCAAGCAAAAGGGTACTATAACGAAAAGCGAACGCCGCGAATTAAAAATAACAATGATAAGAAATCGAATGGTACGGGTCATTTCGATCAATCTCTCGAATTCAAGAAGGTATTTTAAGTAGAATTTAGTTAATTAGCTATTTAATCTATTTTCTCGCTACTTTCTAGCATACTGTATTTATTTATACCTAACATAATTATCGATCATACGTTCTTAGCACAAACAAGATTTAACGAATGAGCCAAGACCTATCGAAACACTTAAACAAATGATTTTCAATGTTCAAGCTGCTGCGAGTGAAAGTGACGATGTTTCAGACTGTGGAGCATTAATATTTAGCAAAGGCGATGTACACGAAGTAAGTTGTCATTTCTATATTTTCCAAAGGTTAATAATATAACATAATTAATTGCTGTTGATTTGGCTTATTTCATATGAAAGGCACATAATGATCGTGGTAAAATGGCGATAAATGATCCTTTACAAAGGTATGGTGACTTTATAAAGTATAAGTTAGTAATTTTTAGATTTTCTCAACAATTCCCAGTCACTAGTATCTAGCTGTTTATTAGTGAATGAACTCTATACTTTGTTGAATTATATAGAGCAATTCATCATTTGGCTCGTTTGAAGGCATTTGTACATAATGAAAATAGCAATTGAATTGATTTCAAGCAAATACGTGAAAGGCAGGATAAAGACGTCTCTGTAGCAATAATCCATTGTACTCTATATTTATCATAACGCAATATATTCCATAACTTAAAGTCTATCCTTATTACTTATCATTCTCACAATAAGTAATCGAAGTCGAGAAAAAAATATTCTATCTAGTATTAGAAATTTCAGAAAGTAAAAGCACTAAACACTTATAGAATATTAATAACCTTTACCAGGTAACATGAATATCAGGCGTAACTTCACCAATATATAAATAGTAACATATTACATTTTACACTATGATAACATAATCATAGCAATCGATGCGAATAATATTTACAACGAAAATCAATATTATCTGTTTATATGATATTCGACACATACTCTAATTTAAGCTATAAATACTTGGTCTATAGCCTGTTAACGCTTAAGATTAAAGTGCAGTACTATATGCTATTTAATTCATTGTTTATACAAAAAAATCATTTAATAATATATTAACAGCCAATAATTATTTACAGTCAATTTTTTCGCACCATTTTATAACTAGCGCTCAAGTCAATATTCCTGATATTGATATGTGCACTAAAAAATATTTAGAGAACAATATGGTTCCTCATAATGGTACTGATTTACAGCTATCAGATTTTACTTCCTTTCCTATCTCGCCAAGTATACGCTTCGACATTAATGTTTCCGAAAATCTTGATTTTAGACTACGGACGACATTTCCTCTTTTTACTAATGTACAAAATGTATGATATGAAAGCATTTGTAAGCATTTTATAAATAAACACAATTCTAAACTTTGACTTCTGGATATTATACAAATACTGTATATCGACCAAAATTACCTTTAGAAATTGGAGATTCCCTAATACATACGTCCGAAATATTATGAAATTTTCTCCTAATTGTAAAATAGATGATTTGAAATAATCAAAAATTTCTATACTATCGGAAACTTAAGAATCAAACATTTAAAACATCGATGCAACGATAAAAGGGTTCACTCGTGACTCTATCAGGATTAGTGGTACCTAGCTCTTTCTTGCTTACGCCATATTGGATTAGCGACTTGCTTCTTGAGAGGAGTATCTGCAACTGACTTACTTTCTGTAGATACATTGCATAAACGATCAATATGACAGTAGGACACTTCAATTAAATATTGGCGTTAAAGTTCAACTTAATGACTAGATACCTTTATTGTGGTCACTAGCGTCATGAAAGAGATTACGTTTAACGTTATGATGACGATCTTTTCCGTAATTCGATGAAATACTAACTTCACTCTACATTAGGCAACGATACGAATCCTCGTGTTATAATAAATACAACTAAACTTATCCGAACATTAACAATGATCTCGATGTAAATGCTTTATATTTTCATTTACTTGAACTCTTGGCATTTTCTTTTTTGCTGGTACTGCAATTTTGAGCACTTTTCCAAGATTCTGGAAGCTTCGATGACGTGTCAGCGCACGCGGTTTGTAACTGGAATATTTAAAAATTCGGATTTTAAATATGTTAAGCTCATAGCCTAAATAGTCAAAAATTTAAACTTATGACTAGTTACTTTTCATCAACGTCTTTTTTCTGAGGAGAAGTAGGCATGCTAAGGGGAACCGGATCGGCTAGCGATTCTATGTCACTCTCAGTCTTAGAGGGTGATGACAATTCTTGCGGAGGTTCAAGCATTAGTTGTGTGTACAGTTCCTTCAATGCATGACCAAGATATTTTAAGTAACATTCCAAAACCACCTCGTCAAGAAATTTATTAGCAAATCCAGGATCAGCTAAAAACGATAGCCGTTGGAGTAACATGGTAATCTGAAAGGGTGATCATGCGGTATCAGACGGTTACCAGTTTGTATCATGAAAGGACATTACAAGCGATTTTTTCGATATTCTTACCTCTTGCAAGAGATTATTATCAATTGATTCATTATGTAATAAACATACTATTTCGAGGCGCATAACAATTTGAAAGATAAATCTACGTATAAGAAAACAATTCATTTTCTAAATAATTAGATGTAGGATTTTTGAGTATTAAATAAATAAAATTCTAATACGACTGATTCGACCGAAAGTATAACCCTTTCTATCTAATGTTGGGCTTTGCATATTATGTATATATACATTAATTATAAAAGAGCGTTTCGCAAACAGATAGAGGCAGTAAGTTTTAAGGAGTTGGCAGAGAGCTACTTACTGGCGCATTTTTTGATCTGTAGTTAATTTATCACTTGTTGCTCCGTAATTCTCTCTTATATCGGCTACAGACTTTACAACCTTATTATTGAGAAATTCCACTACTGAATTGACCTATAAAGCACATCAATATACTATAGTCAAAACATAAAGATCACTGAGATTCAGTAAAGAAATGTCACTATGATTAATATCGATTGTCAACTAGCGAAAACTTACCAAATCTATGCTTTGCTTCGAATTTTGAATAGACAGTACAACAGTTCTAACTATATCTTTTGCAATTACGATAGGCTCTGTGGATAACTAAACGAAATAATGCAAAGTGTCAAACTGACTCTAACTCAGAATAATGGTAGCTTACAAGTGATAGAATATCGCCATAATACCTCTTCAGTAACGCATGTACATCGTAGGTAAACATATTCTGCCAACGCATCTAATGTTGCATAACCTAATTTGGAAACGAAATTAAAAATGCATACGGCGTCGAGATCAGTTTTTAATTGCAATCTATCAGCATACAGTAGCAAAGGCAATAACCTTTATAATTAATTTCAGAGTTAGCTTGATGACTTAAATATTCATTAAGTAAATTTTTGTTGTCTTCTTCCTCGAAGCTTTGTGATATATTTTTTGTCCTCGATTGTTTTGTAACTTGAGTCTTTACGTTATCCTTGACTTTGTCAATCTTGGTAATATTTCTTTCTTTAGAGAACATAAATTTTCGTGTCTCAGCGACTGAGCCAGTGGAATTTGCGCGAATTTGACGATTTTTTAAAGATCTATTTTTAATCTGGTTTAATGAACTTTGTTTCTGTCTTTTTTCAGATCGATTTCTATGGCTGTTTACTTCAAGAGAATGTAGATGATTTGCGCTAGAAATGAATGATACTATTAATACAGTACATCGGTAAGAATAAATAATAAATGTAAGAATGTTATCTTAACAATTGGCCTATTACATACGTAGTGCTTCTATTGGTGGATCTAGCTTGGGTTGTTAAGGAAGGTAATTCTTTCCTTTGACCTTTACTGACTACTATATTGCTTTGCTGTAATGTAGGTAAACTTTGATCGTATTTCATTAATTGTGTCGTTAACAGGAATGGCTGCCTTAAATAATCTACAAAATTAGATAATGTGAGTTAAGATGTATTATCAATGAAGTGATTTACGATTTTCTGAAAATAATGAGCTATTATGAAAAATTGATTACCATTCGAGTTTGCATCATCAAATATTGAGTTGATAAATTGGCTAGAGAGATTCATAGAAATTTCTTGATCGTTCACAGAGAGGGTTGGTTTATTGGATGATAAGAAAATATCCAGCAAGCTCGAAGTAGCTTTATCGAATGTTAAAATATGGCATAATCGGTGACACAGTGGATTTTGATGTCTCCATATCAGTAGTTTTTCCACAGTTGTTATCCCTTCGACCTTCAATATTTTTAAAATCGCGCAAGAATCGGTTAATGATTCCATCAGACAAATCAATGGATCTGAATCTTGTTGTTGAGATGAAAATTCGATAACCTATGCAAGATTATTTAAATAAAATAGGTATATGACGTATATAAATACGTTGATTAAAAATAAAGCGATTATAAAACTAGAAATAATCCGTCATCCAATTTTGATTTAGACAATAAACATACCAAAGACTGATTAGTTCTTTTTAAGAAAATCATCATATTTGTAAAAGTACTTCGAAGAGATGGAGCATTTTTTAGATCGGGTTGACTTGAAGGGCTAACAGTAAATACACGTTCAGAGTAATGCCAAGGAAGTGGAATGACGCTACTACTGACAATTCCTTTAATAATTCCCACTCCAGCAGGTCTTGTTAGATTTTTCATTCTAATCGATAGTGGAGTACTTTAATAGAAACATAAAATTAAATTAGTACATTCTATGAGTATATCTTAATACTGTACATTTACTAAATAACCTTGTAAATGTGGACGGTATAGATGATAAATCGAATTGGCCATGAAAGTGATGAACGTTCCTGCCTATGAAAGTAACAAGCATTTTCACCTTAATATTTAGTTCCGTTATGGTTTATTTGTATTAACAGCTATATGTAATACGTTATTCCATTTACAGTGTAACATCTACCATAACATTCTTACCGTTTCCGTAATATAAACTGATATTTTGTAGGTTGTCATTTGTATCTACATCGAGACCCTGTGTCTTTGCTGTGCTTGGAATTAAGACCTGATAACACTGATTCAGCTTTTTAGTAGGTATCATCAATAGGTGAGCATTAAGGGTGGAAATAGGTTGATTAAAATGATGATTTAAATTGTTCAGAGGATTTTTACTATTGATCGTATTTTCAACTTTTCTTAATTTAGTTCTAATTTGATAACTGCTTTGTACAAGATTTTGCGAGCTATCTCCGCTATTGATTAGTAGCGAAGAGCCAATGCAACCACTATCAGTCAGCACAGATATTGGTATAAGAAAACCTCTTAATTTGCTCAACATACAATTGAATTGTTCTATAATATCAGTTTGGGGAAGATAACTAGTCTTGTCTATTTCCTATAATAAAGCGGGATGAAAATGATAAGATTGTCTGCGTTACCTATAATACATATAAGCTCTTTTCTAGGTGCATATTTGTAATTTAATAACTAATAATATAATTAGATCATTTGTAATGATGATAGTAGGAATATAATTTATGCAAGCCAACATTATTCTACATTTCTAAACAAGCATTACAATGATTAAGTAGAGTATGTAAACTGATTATAGAGTCTAGACTTACAGAAGTTGTTTCATTTAGTCGGCCGTGGTTAACATCAATCCAGCCTAAGCCAATGCCTAACGTTCGCGTTAATTTTTGATGTAAAATATCTGTTAATAGATTTTCTTCTAGCAATTCTGCAGTTAAAGAATTGTACTCTTTGCCAAAGAATTCCTTTAATGACGAGCTAGATAAGGGGCAAGGTCGAATAATTAAGATTAAATTGGTTAAAGGAGAAATTTTTTCTTTACGATTCCTTCTATCATGACGATAATTTAATTGAGTTGGTGACAATAAGTCAGGTTGATTCCATGGAAAGTAGATCGTAACTTCAGTAAGAGCCTGGTTTAAATACTTTGCTTGGCTTTTATTATTTAGAGATTGCTGATGGTGATTGGTAGTTTCCGATTGTGAGGATAATATTTTCCATGTTATTTCCTGGAATTTCTCCCAATTTTTGAGGCTCATATCAACAAGTTGCCTTTTTTCATAGCCAACATTGGATTCATCACAAGAGTAAAATTTATAGCCCCAAGATAACTCTTGGCCATTTTGGATACATACATGATTAAGATAGCTTAAAATTCGAAGAAGGCCTAAATCAAGATGAACTAAATTAATTCCTTTCTCAACCTTGCATGCTGTTGCATCAATGAGGAGGATAACTTTGAATGATCCTTCTGCCATACTGCACCGCACCAACGTTGTTTCCACTGAATGCGCTTGACAAACGAGGGTATTTAATGCATTGACAGTCTGGCATGGAGTCCAACTAGCACTACTTCTATCGATAATATAGTAATCACGAGCAAAAGGGAATTGAATGATTCTAATCTTGTCCTATAGCATAATCAATTATTGCAGGGATAGATTATTGAATACGAGGATATGATTCTGTTTCCAGCTTGCCATTTTTCCAAGTTTACAACTGCAGGAGCAAGGGGTTCCCTGCGAGCATCATCTTCCTGCCCACAGTACAATGTACTGTATAATGTAAGTCTTTGTACTGTACTGTACTGTACTGTACTGTACTGTATACTGTACCTTGCATATCATACTGTACGGTCTACAGTACTATACACTGTAATTTACAGTCATTTCCTGCATACCGTACAGTACACTGCACAGCACTGTACACTGTACACCACCTATCATCTCATTTTGTCACTTTTGGGCAACATTTTTCTTTAAAATTCAGGATAGCCATCATAGAATGTTAGAAGTCAAAATGGAACTCAAATGCTATGGAATGTAACAACTTTTAATTAGTATTTGCTTATTAATATCACTGGTTGATTCTTTTCAAAGTGATAAAATACTTTGACACATAATGTGTATTTAGACTATAGAGACATAAGAAAAAGTCTGAAAAACCTTTTCTATGACTTGGACGTTCACTCGCACTGCTGAAATGTTTTGCTGCTTTTACAGCCATGCAAACCCAGAAATTAGGATATCTAATTCTTAAATTTGACCAACTTGGCTAACAGTAAATGATAATTTGTCAACGTTGTGGCCCACCATGCACTGTACACTATGCAAAGCTATTCACTGCTATGCGATCTACAGTGTACTGTATACTTGCAACAAATCGAATATGCGCAAAAAGCATCTTATTTCCAATCGACTGATACCAAATTTGTTCGATTATGTGAAAAATTGCAGTTGTCGTAAAATTTCAAGCGTTGTATGGTAGTGATATAGATGCAACATGCTGTTATGCATTGCAAAGTGGAAAAGTGTATAGCACTAAAATAGTATTCTAAAAGGTAGAAAAAAAATGACTGATCATCATTGGTATCGGGTTGTAAGAGCCTTTCTACTGTAACAATGTTGCCGTCAATGAAAAAAATTCCTTAAAATAACGAAGCGGAAATATAAGCAATCACAATCACTTTTTAGTTTCTAACCAAGATAGACGGAACGTAGGTAGGCGTAGCCTTTCTCCGAAAAAGATCAGACGACATACAAGATCATTTAAGCGCTAAGGGATGCTGCGGTTTTCCAGCTGTAAAGAACTTGAGATTTGATATGAACATAGTCTAGACCATAGTGGTTAAAAAAAAACCTCTATGGAGTAGACTATAGACCCTCAGAAAGTCTAGTGTAGACAGTTGCATGACGATGATCATAAAGTATATTGGACGTACAGTATCTTACAGACTTGTGCATATGGATCATTTTCATATACAATCGATATTTCTCAATTATGCTAAAATACCATATGAAAGTCCTTCAATAAAATGGCAGTATAAACAGCAAATGAATTTCGTATTTATCTAATCTACTCTACTACTGCAATTCATAGGTCAGTAACACTGACAATAATTCAGTCTATTTTACTGGCATAGATGCCTTGTAACTCATAGCAATGTTAAAAATTTTATGTCATCTTTTTTTCTGAGTTCTTTTTCACTCATACAAATGGATTGTACCATGGTATTATTAGAGTATGGCAAATTTCATATCTTCTGCATTATTAACAGTAATATGTAATGACTCACTAGTAATGCACCTGCTTTGATTGAAACTTTATTCATGCATCAGTAGGCCGGTGACAGAAACTTAATGCCATCAAATATTATTTCATATACGGTATACGTGTATTTAACTACGACGTCTTATCAAAATTTTTATGCAAAATTGTACGCATTATTACAGGAGAATTACAATCCTAGAAGAAATTACTTATCAGCTATTAGCACTACTATATTATATTATGTAAAGCTAATAGTTTTGATTGGGTCTGAGTGATAAGAACAGTTATTAACATCCCTAGAAAGACGAACAAACTGATTAGGGAAGGGAATTTTTTTGTTATTTTATTTGTATATTAGGGGTCACTGTCGCGTCAGCATTTTGATAGATCGACCAGCATTAAAGTATTGCCAATACAGTAGGTTACTAGCGGTTAGTTAACAAACCTTAACTATGCAACATAACGCGTTTTATAACAAAAAAACTCATTAATTGACGACGTCAAAGCGGCATAACGTATGCAGATTACAATTGATAGATAAAAATTTAAGATAAGTCAATCAACTTCGTGCTATGGCAAAATAACAGCTGTGTCATTTAGCAATAGTAGTCTCAATGTTGTTTATTCCTTTAACGAATGATGAATCGGTAATGAGGGAAATATTGGAGCATATAATAATTGCAAATTTACAGTGATACTTAACAGGGAAAGAGATTATTAGATTTAAATAGTAGCGTAATTCAATTAAGCCTTAATTCAAATTAGAAATACCCTGTTTACAATTGATAAGCACTAATTAATCATAATTTATTCATAAATTTCCAATTTTTGACTTTAGACAAGTTGTTAAAGTTTCTAGTTATTATCCATATATTAAATGATATTAGCTATTTTTGAAATGAATCGGCAAACAAAATTTGAATCTAAATTGAATTGTTCTGTTACTAGATATAAATTGTATAGTACCGAAATCTACTGGATAATACACTAAAGCAAATTGCGGACAATGAGTCAGCCAAAATGCTAATTTAGAGCTAGTAGATTTATTTTATCGATAGTAGGTAATCAAGATGCTACCAACTCTTCATCTCTTAAGTATATATGTCTTATTCTTAAATTTATACGGTACCAAATACTTTAAAATTTCCAATAGATGCAGGTAAGTAAGTTTATCACGGTACGGAATTAATTTGCCTTATTAAGCCGTGATTAACGTAAAATTTTATTAGGACTTAAAAGATATCAGTAATAGCTGACTAATTGACATCAATATATGTACGCGTATATTCCATGCATACAGTATCCGACTGCTACTGCGTGTATGGTAATCGATCATGTGTAGATCTTTCACTGTCGAATGTCATATTGGAATACTTTTAATGGCCATCTACTGTTCACCAATTCATTTTATCTCAGTTCAGGCATCGTATTAAATCGCAATATCAAGAATGTAATAGTACAAATACATTTAGCGTAATAGAAAAGATGCTTAAAAATGGAAAAATTATACTATGGTATCATAACTGCAGTGACAATCAGAGATTATTTTTTTACATCTCAACCCTAAGACTCTCTATTTAACTTCAATATGAGTATCTTCGTCTTTTTTATCATCTATTCTTCAAATCTGGAGATACTCACATGAATCCTTAGTATAACTGTACATGCTCGCATGGTAAATGCAGAGAAAGTGATTCTAAAGTGAAGTTCTAAATGGTTAAAACAAAATACTGAACCCACACTCACTATTATATTTGATATAATTTATTAATCCATAAAATAGCTTAAACTGGCTAAGACTAGTGATCGGGTGGATCAGAGGCACTTTTAGAATTAATCCAGGTAAGATTAGATAAAGCCAAGTCGAATGACTTAAATAGACGATCTGTTACTGTAAATTTATTACATATTACAATAATTTGATTACAGGTTGTAATCGGTTATCATTACATTCGAGAATAATTAATCGAAAATTTGCGTGTATTCACTACAAAATATAGACGGAAAAAGCATTATTCATTCAGGAGTGTTGTTGTATATACAATATATGTGCCCACACCTATGCCGAATAATGGTAATTTTATTTAACCTACAAAATCAACTAGTCAATCTTCAAAATGACGATGGAAGCAATTCTTCGTAAAGTATGATATTGACATACATCGATAATAGTGATAGTAATGATAAATAAGCTTGTTGTTGTGCATTTACCAAATTATATTGACCTTTAGCATAGTAGTATACCCTGCTAGATTCGCTCACAATTTATGGACAGCTTTAATTGCTTTGTTATCCATACTTTGAAATGTGTATATTCGAGACTCAAATTATGTTACTTTTTAAGTGAAATGTGATATTTCATTTCCTAATCTTATTACAAGCAGGAAATTTCGATTGCATAAAAATTCAATTATTGAAGTCTATCATAAGTTAATTAAGGCACTAACATCGACAGTGACTAAGGAAAAAATAGTAGTTCATTGTTCTTGCCATACTAGTACGATGATATCATTTGATAGAAACATATAATATTTTGTATTTACCAAATATATTGCAATGTTTTATGAGCTAATTAGTTCAATAGTTTTAATTATCAATAATTATGCTTATGATTACTTGTTTTAATTTAATTACCTATTATTCAAATGTCAGAATAGATATCTTTCGCGTAACTTAGGTATGGTCCTATAAGAATAACTTAATTAAAGCTAGAAACTAAATTAAATTATACACTTTATTTATACCGTATGCATCATAATTTATCATGATAGCTGTGATATTTTTCTCAATAATTGCTACTTTACTATCATTTCCGCTGTAAAATGCTAATGTCATTAATTTTAATTCGTACGAAACGTGGTATAATAGATCTTAATATGAATTCTTGGTTTCTTATATGCAGACTTAACCTTTATTAAAAGCTAATTTATAGGTAGCTTTCTTCTCTAGTGAAATCTGCAATTTAGTAATTAATTGATTCTATAAATACCTTGATTCTAGCGATACATAGTTCGTTGAAGAAGTTTTAGGCTATAGAGCAATTTTATTTGTGGCCTGGTTTTGATTTTAAGGTATGGTTATCTTAGAAAGTTGAACAAATTTTCCATTTTTTTATCGGGACTATCTTGAAGTACATTCTTAACCTATCTCACTCTTTAGTGAAATTTTTTAAATGTAAAGTACAGAAATTTTTTAGTGGCCTCAATAAAATAATCAATCATTTAGAATTCTGCATTAAGTGAATATTTATTGCAATTGCTTAGTCATTCTGGGCTTTAATATTTCGATCATACTAAAGAGTGAATGAAATTAACAAAATTACCAGTTTTTCACTGATTTTCTAGGTAAGAACTTGTTGTTATGTAGTTTGGAAAGTTTTAGCTATCTGTAATATGCCGTTGATATTGTGTGCTATGTTATATATTAATTGAAGTTAATGCCGAGTTTTGAGGCTATTTAGAACTATTCAGACTGGGAAGTGCGTTTCAAATTCTATCGCATTGGTGTCATAAGATTTAATGTCCTAGCACTAAAATATAAATTTATTGGTAAATAGAAATGCTAAAAACTTTCCAGCCAATATGAATCTGATTGAGTGATCTCTTTTATTTCTATGTTTCATAGATATTATATTAGACCCTCAAAATGAATGTTTCCAATTTTAAGAATGGAACAAATAATCCTATTCGTATCAACTTCAGTATCGGCTACTTTCTATTATCTAATATAACTATAATTACTAATCTTTTTTTGATTAGCATCATTACTTTAAGGCGTATTCGCAGCTTAAATAGCACAATTATGGCAAGTATGTGTACGGTGGATATCTTGTATGCAACGATCTATTTATATCCCCGATTTGCCTTCCCAACGAGTTCAAGATCAAATATCTATTTTTGCAATATCTTACCAAAGCTTGGTATAGCTTTTATTATCAATTTAAGTTTTCACCTCTGCCTACTCAGCCTCGATAAATACTTATCGATAACTAGACCATTCTTTTACAACAACCACGCCACTATCGGGAAAGGATCGCTGGTAATATGTATGTCTTGGATTGCATCATTACTTATAGCATTTTTACCATTTTTTACATTTGACACCATTCATCGATCAATATGTTCACTTTATTCCGAAAATCTAGAAAATGACCGGATTTATCTCTTATTCGTCTTTATCATCTTATTTTTTATGCCATTGACGTCTTCAATTATTGTCTATTTGCGACTATTTATCATCGTCTATCGGCACAACAGTAGAATCATTTATGAAAATGCTTCAAGAAGTAATCGAGCTATTAACGTGATTATTAAGAATAAAAAAGTCATTTTTCAGGTTTGTGCCGTTATTGGCATGTTTACCGTTTGTATGACGCCCTATACTATCTGTTTTTTAACTATTGGCTTAGTAGCACCCTTATCAAAGTCAGCTATTACTCATTTAATAGCTTCACAATATCTAGCATTTGCTTATCCTAGCATAAATCCACTAGTTTACGGTTATTTTATGGCTGATACACGTCACGAAATTATAACTCTTTTTAGAAAAATGTGTGGTTATAGTACTGAGCAAAAGAAGCCTAATCATTATTCCGCAAGCCAGATTACTGGGAAGTTCCGTAGCAACTCGATTAGCATAAACTATTAGCACTTAGCAATTGCCCGTTCTTCTTTAACTTCTGCAGGTATTTATATCATCCATTTATCACTAAGAATTATGTTTTTAAACTTTCAAAGATTTAATATACATGTACTAAATATCCGCCATTGACGGTAGTCTATGATACCATCACTATTGCAGTTATAGTGAGTATTGTGTTCATATATTGCTGTACGATCAAGGCTCAAACATAGGCTAAAAAATAGAGAAAAGATTTTGAGATGAATACTGTTAATAGACGTATCAAAAATTTACTGTTACCTTAATATTAAATATAAGACTATTCGAATTATCAAATTTACTATTGACGAATGCTACCATTAAAGTGGAATAAAGATTAAATATTTAAAATACTTATAATATTCTATTACGACAGAGTTTTATTGCCGCCAACTTAATAGCTGCTTTAAGTTTTGTACATAATTCTTATTCTATGTATTTATAATTGCTGGCAACAAGGGTAGAAATAGGTATCAATGTTAAATCATGTTTAATTTATTTACCATTGATCATTTATGCGATTGAGGTTAGTACTGTAAATGATTGCACTCATGTTATACATTATGATAGGAGGTAATTATTCTGTATGGTCAATAAATCTCACTTTTATTAAAATTTCTAGAAAATCAGCCTAGAACTAACTAGCAACTTGATTTCGTATTTCTCTCTAGTCATGATATCACTGAGTTAATCATACTGTATGAATTACGATGTCTCCATATGTAGGTACAGAACATAGATATGACTGTATCTGATACTCCATATACTTCACATAGGGCACTACTAGTAAAAGCAAGGATTTGTAAAATGAGTAAATTAGAATGATCTAACATTACCAAGTAGATATTAATGAATTCTAGAGATAGTAAATGACAACTGTGATGATTATACGAACTTTTTACATTATACTTTTATACGAGTTTATAGTATATCCATAGTTTCTGATATCATTCGGTGAAATGAAGATGCTTACAGTAGCATATCATTTGATTTTATAGCGTTTTAATCTTGTTAGCTTACGAATCATAAGCTGTATGTAAAAGGCTTATTTATAGTAGTATATGTAAATTTAATTACGTCAATTCTACAGCAGATTTAAGTGAAAGATTAGGAATGATAAGATTCTATTGAATGAAAGATTTTATAATGTATGATAGGTATTGCGAGTGCTACTTTACTAATTAAACACGAACTAGATTATCTGACTTGTAATTAAACGCCTTAATGCTATATTGCTATATTATTAGTGGTACTTGACAAAGTATAAATTGCATCATCATTCGAAATTTATAAAGACTAGCAAAGTAGAAAAACTGCTAAAGTAGAATAAAGCATTGCACTGATAGAGCCTTTAAATGATATATTTTTTTCTCATAATATAAAGTAAAAGTCCAAGTGTATATATATATGTTAAGGATTGACCTTAACATATACATTACGTAAAGTATAACGAGCGCGGGCTCTGCTAGTATAAAATTATCAATGACCGTGTCTTCTTTCCATTGGGAACCAACAGAGTTAATTTATGAAAAGATTTGATGACGTCCATATGACTTGGTTTACTTACTGTGCGAGTACTATTGTAATGCAAGTTATGAATTCATTATAGGCAATGTCTAACTATTAATTACTGCCAGAACTAATCAATCAGTAACAGATTGTTAAGGGAAATGATTAAAGTAGATCAGCTTGATATTTTATTCTTTTTTTTTATTATACTCAGCTCATCTTCTACTGTACATTGATCATTTCGCCAAGATTTTACGATGTACCGGTAGATACTCGTACGTATGATTTGGCTTACTTGCGAGTTTTATTGTAATAGAGGTGATAAATTAAGGGCAGTAATTAATTATTAGCTCAATCTCTAATACGATGTACGGTATCGACATTTTATGCACTGGCTGTTCTACATTAGAGAATCACCGACTAGTCCCAGCTGGTGATGAATGGAGCATAGTGTTGCATCATGTAGTAACCGATCATATATTCTCTTTCAATAACCTTGTTATGTTTACATCGTGATATTACTAACATTCGTATTAATTATTACGATTTAGATATGTTTTTTTACAGTATATCGTATAGTTGTTTTAAGGCTATTACAGCTAAGATATCGGAGGAGAGAGCTAGGAAAATCGTGGAGTTTTTTTATTGAATTTGATCTTGGATTTGATCTTGCTCGTTGTTGGAAAGATATCGGCTTTGATTTAGATTTATGTTGAGTTTCTCATTGGTAATTGGTAAGTTTTTCCTAATTAACAATAAATGAATTGGATGTATTAGTTGATCTACCAGTCTGGTCATTATTAAGCACTCATTGGTAAACGGTAAGTTTTTCCAAATTAACAATAAATGAATTGGATGTATCGGTTGATCTACCAGTCTGGTCATTATTAAGCACTCATTGGTAAACGGTAAGTTTTTCCAAATTAACAATAAATGAATTGGATGTATCGGTTGATCTACAAGTCTGGTCATTATTAATTACTCTATCTCAATATTAGCATCACGCCCAATTGTCTCTACGCGTCTATTACTATATAATTCAGAAACTATGTGGCCTATATACTGTAAACTAGTGAATTATATTGTTCCAATGTGGTTTATTCTCCTTGCCACTTATTTCTATTCTTCCCACATGAGCTATTATTCAATTGCTATCCGTATAATTCTCACACTATCCTATTTCATTGGCCGACATTTGCTGTCAAATGCTAACCGAGGTATGTGCTAGCCAAAATGAAAGTGATCAAGCAGTCCAGTTCGTTTATGCGCTTGCGTGCACTGTACCACTCTACAGTACTGTTCTTCAATTTTTTTCTTGACTGTACTGTAGTGTACAGTACAGTACAGTACTGTACAGTAGGACAGTTCAAGATTACAGTGTGCAGTACACTCCGTACAGTGCAAGTACTGTACTCGACGTGAGGTGCTTACTGTACGGTAGACGGTCAAGAGAATGAAAATGATATCAGCCTAGCGTAGATCCAAGTGGTCTGAGCTTGGTCCAGAAAACTCCTTCCACTTTCTTAACTGCAACGAATAGAAACTAAAATTTCAACACTGGTCGAGAGGATCAAAATAATTGGAGATGCTTTAGCGAATTGGTCTGGCCATGGTGTTACCTTGAGTGGTTATAAAACAACAGGATCATTTTGAAAATAGGACAGTATGCAGCTTTGATAGCGTTCTCATTTTATAACGAGGGAAGAAATGGCTCTTTGGCTATGGAGGAAGCGATCAACTCTGGCTTTCCTTGTTTTGCTCATCTTGGTGATCGCTTTCATCTATCGATATTGGACGACCGTCATCCACGGTAATATGATATCCTTATCAACTAAGGAGATGTATCTAATCGAACGAGGATAGCACTATCGATGTGCCTATTCTTGAAAGTCAGAAGTGATTAATTGCTTCATTTTATCGCTGTATAAAATTTGACATCCTTGAAGAACGAATAACTGCATCACAGACAACTGTTGTAGTCAGATTAACCCAGAGAGGTCAAAGACTATAGTTTAGGTAGTGCAGCATTTGATTTTATTCCATTGACGCTTCAATACATGGTCATCATTGACTACAAATGAACATATATTGACTAGTAAATTTATAATTGTAGTCAATCGGCGTTCTTTAATTCTACTTAAACTATAAGAGAAGGGAAGTTTCATTCACAAATGCAAAGGCCATCAACCCATCTGCTAATCATTGTTAGGCTAGGTAATGCAACGGCTTATTGTACCAGATAAATTTCGAAACTTTAATCTATTTAAATGCTGCCAAGTGATGTACACTCGTATAGCTATACTGATAACATAGCTGTAGAGTTTCATTAATTTAGTTACACTATGAAGAGATGAGGAAAAGTTCAATTCATAATAGCAAATGCAACCAATTTCTTCATCTATCCATACAGTATACTGTACTCAATATTACTAATAGCATAGAGACCTGTGAGTAATGGCGTGAGTAATGTAATCCAATTAACTACGCACAAGGTATGTCACATTGAAATAATCTGCAGCATATTCGAATACCCGTATTGCCATTATAGATAATCGTCGCGGTCAATTATATGTTTCACAGTGCCAATACTATCGTACAAATTTTAAAAGATAAAAATTTCTACTAGGGAAGGCTGTACAACTAGATCGATCAAAAGTATAAATGAAAAGTTCGAGTCACGCCATTAATTTTGAATATTAATTAATTTATACGCTGGAAGTAAAGCTAGAAAATGGACTACGAGTTTTTGTAACCGCTGATGTTAGTAGTCGTTCACGGCTAACATTGTGTTGGCCGTAATAATGATACATTAGAAGTTGAGATCAAATCATTTTAACTTTTGTTTTCTTTGATACTGCGTAATATCATACGAATATGTTGCTATGACGTACTTTAATTACAGTACAGTACTATGCTAGAAAATTTATATCAATGGATAATTTATCAGTAAAGTTCAGTATGCTACAAGGCATGATTATATGTTTTTGGATTACAGCTGGCACGACTGATTTAACTCTATCCCAAAAAATGAAATTGCAAGAGCGTAGAATTGGTCTACAAGGAGAGGTAAACTAGCGCTTTGAAATAATCAATTTCTACAGTATACTAAAATATCATCAATCGGATACATACATTACATATACAGCTACTGTATTTATTGACGATCAATTTAATTGTAAGAGTAGACATATTATAACGAATCAATTAGCAAATATTGCTAAAGAATGCATTGTCTTCGTAAGTGATTTTTCATCGGTCGAGCTTTTCAGTAGCAGCCTTTCAACATTACGCTGTTGTATGACGCACTTGGTGAACATACTACTGTATACAGTATAGTAGTTTATAGTTTATATAGGATAATCATCTTGAACATCATTTCTTTTCATTAATATATCTATTACTTTTGAAATCTGTATAGTTTTACTTGGAGACACTTTTCAAAATTTTTTTCCTTTATTGTAATCACTATTTTGAAATACTCCAATACTCATTAAAACTATTCATTCATAACATGACTATCCCTTCAAGGTACTAATTGATAATTTCGTTTATTACTGTCTGGCTGACTCTCTTATTTTGTAAAATGGACAGTGTATCAAACTTACAGCAATTCAAATTATATCATAAGTAGTGAACTATACACTAATGATTATAGTGCATCCGGGTATGCATGGAACAGTTTACAAATATTGTTATTTTAACGTTATATTCCGTATACTGTACGGCTAGTATAGTATTGGGTATATTCTACACGCAATGATCAATACAGGGTGAACAGTAATAGCTATTTGCACAATAGACAGTACAATATGATTTGTTTAAAAATTAAGCAAAACACTGTCATCATAGCCGAGTGTTAAGATAGACTTTTTCATAGAAATTTTCATAACGCCTTTGTTAGTAAATTAGAATTATAATTAACTCGTTGCTGATTAAAATTAGCGAGCTGGAATGTGGACTCGTCACATTTGGTTTAATATCTGTGGTAATTTGCTTTACTCACTAAAAAAACATCTCAACTTTCCTCTTCAACCGGATGTAAGTTTAATTAAGTTTATTATCATTTGAGACAAAAAAGAGGTAGTTATAAAAGACCCCTTTTATTAAATTTTATCAAGAATAAATTATAGATTTACAGATAGCTTCACTTTAGTAAAGTGATATACTGTAGTACTGATTAGGCTATATAAGGATGTAAAATAATATATCAGTACATAAACTTATTTCACGTTATCATTAGTAAATATTTTTACTGCATTCATCAGTGGACAAGTTAATGATCACTTGTTCATTCATAAATAGTACCTTGCTATTTGTAAATTCTCATCTTATTCGTAATAATATTAATAGCAAGAAATGGTTATTCGTTCTTTATCGATAACTACGAGTAAAAAGTTTACTAACTTTGGAGAGCGAATTTTTGGCTATATACATCCCTATACTACTGGTAGGTTTACTTATTCATAAGAAAGTAATAATGATTGATAATATAGTCATTATGGTACTATTTTAGTGCCGGATCTGCATTTTTGTTATCATCGTAAATGCAGTAGAATTTGTCTGATTGGCATTGTTATCTTACAGAAAAATTTATACTCCTAACCTTTAATATTTTAGGACATTATCAATTTGTTCTATCAGCTTATGATACATCAGAATTATGGATCAGTTCCAATGACGACCCTTACAATGTTGTACTTCATAGTTTTATCAGACAAGTAAGCACTGCTCATAAAAGTCTTAGCAAAAGCACTTGTTATGATCGAGGAAAGATTGTATTAATATTAAATTCTTAGCATAGTATATACTGTACAGTGTTATAGCATATTGTATGTATATATATATATATATATATTTTCTCATCTCTGTAATTAATCTTATGCAAATTGGTTTGAACAGCCTTCGTATATGATGCATAACGTATTTGCCTGGTACAGAGAATACAATAAGTACAGTACACAACTCACCAAAGCATTACACCTTGAAGAGGGGAAGAAATATTTTATTGACATACTTCACAAGCAAGGGCAACTTCCAGGACATCTTTCTATACAGGTTTCAATTTAAAATTTTTATATGCTACAAAGTTGCTAGTTACTGTATTTACTGAATAACTTCAGTTTTACTTGAGATATCATTGACTTGCAGTGGAAGGGTCCTGAAATGTATGAATTTAAAGATATACCAGCGAATTCGTTATCACTCTATGATGGTAATGAAATACACATTTGTAGTAATTCTCTGTTGCTTCTGTAATATTAGAATTTTAAATTATGACTTGAACATATGACCATGTAGCATACCTTTTTACTACATTTATAGGTACTGGAAATAAGGGTAGAAATATTGCTTGGAAAAGAAATGATATTCCAGTTGATCTTCCAAGCACATTCCTAGTACGGAAAATTGTTCGCAAATGATCACTTATTACTGCTACAGATCACCTAGTTCCTAGTTTACCTAGAATTTTTTATTTATTGACTGATTTAGTCTGATCACGATGGCTTAGTATTGAGTAAAGAAAAAGTTAATGACCGCGAAAGCATGTACAAATGTAAGTGGCATTATAATTATAATAAGAAACGTAAAATTATTCAGCATGGGTTGTGCATTTGGTTGTGTCAGTACCCCTATTAGAAGAAAAACAAACGCAGGATATATTACCAACATGCCAGTATTCACCAACTTATATAATCAGAAAGAAAATTAGGCGATATTCATGTTATCACTATGTAAGATTTTTAAGCATTTGCTTCTAAACTGTCTAGTGTTTCGTTTACTAACATCAAATTAACATTTAACTTATAGATAGTTCCGACGCAGGTCTTCCCAAGAGATAACACTTGGATAGCTGACTTCCGCAGAACCAGTGCTGGAAATAAGGAGATCCAGTTATTTGTATGTTGTTAGATATACAGTACAGCTTTTCTAGAAAGTAACCCACGTGGTACTATAGCAAATTTAAAAAGCACATCAACACCACTTTGGATGTAAATGTTAGACATTAATACACATTAGGATGTCCAGCAAGTAAATCGGACATATACTAATGCCTTGATGAAAAAACATGAAGGGTACTTAAATCTTTTTCAGCAGTTAGTCGTTCACTGCCTACAGTATGCGCTAAACTAATCTATATCATTTAATAGACGATTACTGTACAAGAAACTTTTAAATTTAGAACAACGCGTCGATGACAAGCGTGGAGAGATATATCTGATAGAACTGGTGACTAGCAATGGATCAATGCATTGATTGCAGTTGATCATCGTAACAAAACTTAGTCTTTGTCTATTGTGTTTTAGGAGGTTGAGCTTAACCGTTCGAAAGATATCGAAAAATATGGATGTAATTATAATTTACTTAGTTATTTAGTTAGTAACAATGCTCCTCTTTAATAAATGTATTAATATTGATATTAATAATATTCATGATTTGTCTTTTAGCACGGACGGTTAGGATATCGCAATATGTATATAGATATTTAAGAAATCAATCTAGGTTATGCCTTCCAGAGGGAATACACTGGAACCGCCATGCTGACGTGTATGCTATTGTTTGCGGTTAGTTATCGTTGATACTTTACTGACGGTAAATACTGATGGTATGCGCATACGTCAACCAAATGTTTTCTCTTAATTCCGATACTTTACTCGTAATGTATATTTTTACTACTCTTAGTATACAACCAAGGTATATGGGTAAAACATTTCATCAAACAAATGGCACAGGTAAAATCTTGCGCTTCTACGTTCTGTACTTCTTGTTCTCTGCTCGATATTTAATTAATTACATAATTTATTTATTTATTTATTAAATTATACGATTGATAATTATAATAGTTTCAAAAACAAGCCAAAGGATATACCCTTCATGTTATTATCGTTGATCATCATAGCACTGATGCAAACATGACAGAGCTGATGCTTGATAGTGAATTGAAAAGGTGTGATTCGTAGTGAAGGGCCACAAATTGTATAATAAAGGTTCAAAATTTTATAATATTTGATCCTTTATATTAAACTATCTTCACTTTTTATGTCTTTTTCCGATAGCTATACCTTAATACAAAGACAGGGAATTTTTTGGAAAACTGCAGCTATTCAAGCTGCTATAGAAACTATAAAGGTTGGTAAAATTTTGATTAGTTAGTAGCTGAGTATTTATGCTGAAACTTACGAATCGAATAATATAACAAAGAGAAAGGATTTGATTGTAATATTTTATTGTCTTTAGGATCCCCATAGTATTGTGCTAATGTTAGACTTGCATCTTTACTTTCCATCTGATTTTATTGATATAATACGCAAGGTTTGACGATTTCCCTTTGTTAATTTAAGTATGGAGATGTACAATAAATCTAACCATCTTTTAATTTCACTTACTAGCACACCGTAGAAGGAAAATTAGCGGCTGCACCGATATTGATTAGGCTTCATTGCGGCTATTCCAGAAAAGAATTAAATGGTTTGTTACAAATGTTTGAGATTATTTTGGCTACAGTGACATTATTGTAATAAAGTATACTTTTAGGTTTCTGGGAAACGGAAGGTTTGGGTATTTTGGGTATTTTTAAATCTGATTTGGATCGTATTGGTGGAATGAATACAAGAGACTATAAAAGCAAGTGGGGAGGAGAAGATGTTGAATTAGTCGATAGGTAAATATTCATGCTTTGTCTTCAATGTGAATTCAGTCTTTTTTACGAATTTATGCATGTAGCTTAAGCTATCGATGACTTGACCCTTTCATTCATTATAACAGGGCAGTCGGCTTCGGATTGGAAATATATAGAATTAAGGTTCCAAGATTTTATCATCAGTATCATTCGAGGAAAGGAATGTGGGATAAAAATTCCTTACCCACCGTATTGTAATCGTGATGATATTCGAACGAAGAATATTTGAAATAAGCTTATTATGAGTTATTTACTGTGTGTATGGATAGGTAGAGCTTATCTATTTTATAGACTTTTCTTAACAATTTATACTTACAGTTAGGGCGAAGGCGCTCTATTGTTTATATTCCACATATTACATAGAATTTTAGTAATTTATTTAAATTCAAGATAATACTGCACAGTGTGCAGAGCCACTATAATGCCTTGAGATGGTGTCTATTTTATTCTTGATGGATTTACATAAATCATATAATTATTCTTTCCAATGTAAATGTATCACGACCGGTTTATAGAAAATGCCATTACAACAAAATGGTACATTACATTATATACATACTGTGCACATTACTAACAATTAATGTTTATGACGTCTATTCTAAGTTTTCATAATTCAATTTCGATATGCAAGGCAGAATTGTTTAACTGTAATTTCATTTATAATATATCAATGTGTATCATGAGACTTCATGTTACTCTTATTTTAAGCCCTCGGCAATCGTTTACAACTTTAATTTGTAGCCAGCTGGCCATTATTAAATTTTTAGACTAATGCCTTGTGAACTTAAAAAAATTGAAATTTTCGTACATAATAAAGTTATTAAAACATCATAGCATAAATGTGTAAAATGTAAGTTTCGAAATATTAAAGGGCGTGGGATTCGAAGTAAATAGATGTGCAAGATGTAAAAACCAATGGAATTCTTGCCTACAAAAAGACATTTGTTATCAATTGCTTTCTTAATGGAAGGACATATTTTGCATGAAGATCTAACCTAAGACTTCCAATCTTCTTTCGGGAAAAAAATTTTTGTGGTCAGCTGCCCAGTATAATGCCGTTTGAAATATATAAGCAATACCTCCAGAAATTAAGACGTAGGACAGGGACCTTCACAGGAATTACAAGAGTAAAGATAGATATTGTCAAATTATTTTTGAAATTGAACTTGCAATAGGCAAATCAATAATTGTCTATAACTATGGCTTCTATTATTCTTTACCATAAATTTTTATTTACAGGAATTAGGTCGCTAATATGAAGAGCACAACCTAAAGATATCTGCAAGAACATAGAATGAAATGCTGAGCTTTCTTGAAGAATTATAGATAAGCAACACTTAGGTCATGAGTCTTATTCATTGATATTAAATTATTAATTCTGATTCCATACTAAAAGTAAACCAAATAAGATCCACGTTCTCATTATTCTTAAATTATTAGAGAATATATTATGTAGAATTCCCATCTAAAGTAAAATTTGAGAATAATTTTAATTTTAATAATCATTAATATTTAAATTATAACTAATTTATTCATATATTTTTAAGATAATTAATTAATTATATTGTAAGAGGTGACTCATCACCTGTAATCCTAAAAAGCATAGAAAGATCGATGTAAGTGTTCCTAATACACCTTCAGGATCGAATGGTTGGGAGCTCTGATATAATAACTGGATTAATGAAAATTTTTGTTGAACAATATTAAATTTTCGATACAGGTCACGTTATGAAGTGCATACTATGATAGAAAAAATACATTCTATTTGCTAACTTTGCATGTCGGACGCGAATATAAATGATTACTACCAAAAACAAATCGATCTATGAATCCAGCTATTCCTCCAGTACAATTGTAGTATTTTCCATCATCAGATTTGCCTCCGGGACCCGAATATCCTCTAACATACGTAAATTTACTTACCAAAAGCATATCTACGTATTATGTATCACTATAGATAGTAGGATGCCCTACAAATAGTATGTGTAAAAGAATACGCTGTAGTATATTGAAACTTACACTGGACAATCAGGAACAGCTGCTGTAAGTGTTACGTAAGTGTGAAGACCAACGATTAATACCATGATCGGCCACATCTTCCTTAAAACTTTCTCTTGCAGTACTTGATCCTATAGCAAAATTTTAAGTAAGGAATCTGAACTAATCTTAAAGGTAATAAATTTATAAACTATCGGAAGTTAATTTTTTAACTGAATTATTTCTATTCCATTGTAATCATTAAATTAACAAGTTTCCTACAAAACTTAATCAATATACTACCTTCGTGAAAGATTTAATCGTGGGATAAAGCCATACTGCTAAGCAAGATACAACTAAGAAGGTTACAGAAATTCTTTGTAATACTCCAAGTAACCTCCAATTGGAAATTTGGCAGGGACCGTTAATCAAAAGCCCCAGAAAAAATAAATAAAATGATCTACGAATTGTAGTTACAATTAAAATGAGCTTCGGCGTTTGCATTTTATACAGTCGTTTGACCAGCGATATAGAGAGTGAGAAACCCGAAATAAAGATAAATCCAGGAAAAACGACATCGACGATAGTGAGACCATTCCAAATAGAATGCTTGAAGAATCGGTATTGTCCTCCACCAGAATCACCAAAAGCCATAACAATAGCACATAAACTATCGGTATTTTTAAATAAAATACTAACTATGCAATTAAACTATTAAATATTTAGTTATGATAATTTAAAGGATGACATCTTACTACATTACAAAATGGAAATTTCTATCAAGAATTAATATAATTAATTCTTTTGTGAAAATAATACTAAGATTAGGCTTTGGGTATTTTATTTATGTATTAGTAGAAATCCGATTAATTGCATATACTGTTTCATATTGCTAAAGATTTTTGTTTATAAAGTAAAGCTGTTGAATAACAATCAATAAACGATAACATACCCTCTATAGAGGTCCAGTGACCGTATACGCCTGTCTAAATTGTCTATATGAGGTTGTTGGTAAAGATTTCTATCAAAATAGAATGCAATTATTTATTATCTAATATATCACAAGCCAAAGATTCGAAAGTGGACTCGTCTACATATTGATCAATTCTATATTAATCAAAGTTGCGAACCGTCACCATGCTGTAAATGTATTAAAATTACCTCTTTAAATTTACAGGATAAAGGAGATGCCACAGGATGTAATTCATTGCTATAACACATGCAAATAACATCAAGCCTTGATCTAATACTGATATACGATCTTTTAATAGAGGTCTTAATGTGCATTCGGTATAGTTATCTCCTTGAGTGTCTAAAAACATCAAATAACGAACTCCTTCCTGGAATTGGATTTGTCGCCTATGATATGATATAGAGTACGAGATTAGCCATTTACTATAATACTCTAATTGATTCAATAAGTCGCATCGCGATTGCCTAAATAGATATAGGAATGTCTAGTACTAGTGCGCAATAAGTAAGGAATAAGGCATATAACATTGTAAGATTGTATGTATGGTTTTGCATGCTCGAACAGGGTAATTTGATTAGTACACAGTATATTAAACATTTACGTATAACATTGACAATAATTTGGATATGCAGCATATTTTGTAAAATACGAAGGATGGCGTATGAATGTATATAATATTCAACAAATAAATCGTTTTTATCCTACTAACTGGCAGTGGAATGTTTTGTTACTACTCTTTAGCACATTGATATCGATAGGATAATTTGTATCCAGATATATTGTAGTATTGGTAACATCTTCGGCTATGTTTTCATATGAACATCGATAGCAGTTTGATGATCTAGCATAGATAGAGAAGGATGTTGAAGGAGAATAAATAAGCAACTGTGCCACATTAAGAGTAGAATAGAAAGTAGCTCCAAATATTTGCAGTTGTGGGAGGGTTGTAGTCATCATAGATGGTCTTATTGCGTTTGGAAATTCTACAAGCTGGAAGTAGTGTAAATTAATTTCATTTGTTTGGAGAATAGGAAGAATGGAAAGGACTGCTGTAGAGGCAGAAATGGACAGATTGGTCAGGTTAGTTTTCTTTCCATAAAGAGTTGTCGTTACATTCCAAATTGTATTAGCTATTAGGCCACATGTAAAATTGAAAAGAGCAATGTTATGATAACAATCATAGCAGTAAGAAGAATATTCACTATCAATAACTTTGCTTGATACCCTTCAGCCGTATAATTCTTGATTTGCTATTGGCACTCATTATCAGATCATGGACAATGTTCTCTCCATTAAATATATTAATAGAAGCATTAGCAGGTGCATGGTTTACTATGACAATATCGCAAACTAGAGAAATTGTAAAACGATTAAGATCAGAATAATTGTAGTGAATTCGTTATTTAACATTCTGCTAATTCTATTTAATTACTGCAATATACCGTAATCAATACTTTAGTATCTGTATTAAAAGGAATTAATGTGGTTGCATTACAAACAACAGTACTTCATGTACTACGTAGTACAGTATTAGTGGCAACAAGTGATTTATATACAGTAGTCCAAATGCTTGTGTATAGCGTCATTTTGTTTCTAAACTGATCACATTAACCCTTCGTAATGCAAGTACTCAAATGTTAACTGCATCGCAGTTATTGAATATAATTATCAAAGTAATTTAAAGTAGTCCTTGTCAGCATGGTATACAATTACTGTAGTAGCAATGGTTATGTACTGGTTAGTAATTGTAGCACAGTCATTGAATTTCAGATCATTCATTATCAAAATAACCTCAAATAGTTTCTGCTAGCACCATATCTAATTACTGCATATAGTGGCAATGATGGTTAAACAATTTCTAAAAAAGTCATATTACATGAATATTAGTTAGAACTATAGATACAGCGTAATGATATACGGTATATCTGTTTACGGTATATGACATAAGCGTACTAATTCGATAATACTGCATAATACTAGTCATGAATATGTAGATTATTTTGTACAAAATAATTCTTGCTAGCATGGCAACTGGATACAGTGCAATGATCTATCATCTACAGTATTTCATTATACACTGTATCTATGACTATAACTAACATGCATATATACTGTATATATATATATATATATATATTAAAAGTATTTAGATAGGGTTTAATATTCTATCGGATTGCATTTCTGATTCATTAACGCCACTAGTGTTCCAACTGCTTAATATCTCCTGTAAGCTATTGCACATCGACTGTACAAATTGCTTGTGTACGATGTTGCACTTACCTCTCTGTGATCTTTCGCTGATTAATAATACGATCGTTATTATCACTATAAGAATCATACATAAAGATGAATAAAAGCCTTTGAAGGTAGCTAGATGATGCATTTTGAGTTGGTTTGTTGATATTCATTTAATCCATTTTGATTCATTTTGGAGCTGTGGCAGTTGACAGCGTGGAAAGGAATTTGTATGATACTGAAGCCATACAGGCATCCAGTACAGTACACTCTACTGTACTGTACACTGTGCACTGTACACTGTACAGTACAGTACTGTACTGTAAACTTATAGTACAGTGTACAGTACTAAGTCTACTGTACTGTACAGTACTGTACAGTACTGTAGAATTACGTCAAACCACTAAGTGCTGTACTGTACTGTACAGTACAGTACATGGTGGTTTGACACTGGGTATGACTCATTCATGTACAGTATAGACAGTATAGTGTACTGTATAACTGTCATTGGCGGTGTTGTACGTAGTACGTCAGTACCAGTGTTATCGGCAATATTCAGTCAATTAAGCTTTGAGAAGAGAGAAGATTGCTTGCCATGATGGCTGAACAACTGGTCAAGATATTGCTGTTATTTTTAACTTTAATTCACATAGTACGGCAGGAAAGCACTGAACATTATACCAATACTTGGGTTATTCATGTACCTGGTGGATTAACCAATGCTAAATTGGTTGCTACTACACATGCAAGTACAATTCTTCATCAGGTTAGTAAGGTAGTCATGAAAGTGGACCAAATCGACTTGTAATGAAATCATTCAAATCAGTGAGAAAAATTCCTGTCATAGAGACGAAAGCAGGGATACAGAGGATAGAATGAATCTACTCCTTATTTCTCTCGTTTGCTATAGAATAAAAACGACTACGCTCTTGATTCGTAGTTGAGAGGGAAAGAGAGTTGATAAAATGCGCTCATATAGCAGCTTATTCATTTTCATGGCTGCTACGTAGTAGCTGTATACAGTAGTAGCAACTCCAATTGTTTTTCTGTCAGTTTACAGTAGAATTTGGGGGGCATACACAGACATGTTAATATAGTCAATGCTCAATATCAAGATCCAAAGTCACGCTCTCTATGATATTTTCTTACAAAGTGGACAATATAAAATATTCTATTGGTTATAGCATCATTGAATCGATATTTTACAATATCAATGACCACCTATGTTAGTAGTATCAACAATCAAAATGGGTGTTGATCTCAATGGTTAGTCAGTACTGTACTAAGTACCTTCTAAAATTGTAGGGTGGTCACTAGTTATCACAGTCTTAACCATGGTCTTGACATTTTTCACATTTTGCTGTTATGCCATAGAGTACGCGTATTTATCAACGAAGCTAATTGTTGAAAGGATCAGAGCGCTTTGAAACGATTAGATATTTTTCGCTGTCAAGTTCATTTATTTTCTTTTTCCTATATAGTCTCTGTTGCAGCTAACTTGGCTTCCTTAAGGATATTTTTCAATGCTCTATGTTTCACTTCCCTTCACGATGACTTCATTTTCCGACAGTATACTGCGAGTTGACTTCAGTCGATCGAAATAGTGTATTAACTTTGTGTCTTCTTAAAGTTATTTCTCGCATTTTTACTACTTTTAAATTTGGAAAACAATTTAGTAACTCTACAGTTACATCACAATCCCAGTTTCAATCTTTTTCTCATATCATGGGTACTTAATGCTGCTCAAAGGGTATCATGATGCGTTATGATGAAATTTTTTATTGATTTTTCCAATGTGTTATTAGGTTGGAAGTTTAGAAGATCATTATTTAATACGCCATGCTGGTACGCCGCATCGTTCCAAAAGAAGTAATTCTTATAAAAGCTGGAATTTAAGGCTTGATACAAGGGTTAGTTTTTTCTAATTATGATAAACTAAACCAAAACACAGTTGGCGATATCAATTTTCAATTTGTTAATTCTTGGTATTCATGGTACAATTTGTCACGATATAGTCTGACCGTATTGATAGATTTCCAAAATTCACAGAATTGAGGTAGAAGCTACTTGCTATGTACAGTATTTGCAATGCCTATCCGTATACTACAGTACAGTATCCTCATAAATTCATGCTACATAAAGGATACGTATATCGTCATGAAACTTTCAGATTTTGTGTCTACGTGATTTGTATTTCAATCAGTTAACTACTACTTCAAAATGTTAGTTGACTTACAGTATATTTCTTATAATTATAATTAATGTCAACATTTCTAAGAAACTGTAATAGTATTGTGGTCTAGCTCATTGATTTATTAATAAATAATTGAATGCGAGTTACCTCCAAATACATCAAAAAGAATACAAGTGATTGAAGTTCGACAGAAAAAAATTTGTAGTGATAAAGAGTTATAATCAAATTCTCTCATTGTAAATATATCCGCAACTAGTACGGTTCGATCCTATTATTGAATTGTTCTACTATAGAATCTACGATTAAGAGCTGTAGTTGTAGTCGGTACAAAGTGATCACTTGATAGTTTACCACCAATATCATCATACATGATAACAAAAAATTCATTAGTCCTGCATCATATCGTTCAACGAGTATTAAAATTTTCGTATATCAAGTTTAATTCAACGACTAATGTCAATCCTATAAATAGCTAGGTTTTCCATCCTTGCAACAATTTTATGGCTCAACTTAAATCTCCATACCTACTCAGAGTAAAATTTGCTTATATACAATTGTTGTTTATCCACCAGGTATTATATGTCGAACAGCAAATATCCAAGTTACGAATCAAAAGATCATTTCCTAATTTTAATGATCCACTATGGCCAAAGCAGTGGTATTTGGTACGTCTTTAAAGTCTCTGTTGCTAGTATAGGATCAATTATATAATACATTAATAATGTTAGATAAAAATTTTATCAATAAAACGTAATGTAGCTAGTCCCAAGAATATTAATTAATTAAGGGGTGCAACGGGATTATATTTTACTCATCACCATGCTAATATTATGCATAATGATATAAATAATAACAAACTAATTAAATTAATTTATGTCGTATACGTACAAATTTGTAAAAATTAGGAAAATACAGGTCAAGCTAGTGGACCGCCGCATTTAGATCATAATATTATTCCTGCCTGGAAAAGTGGAGCTACCGGCATAGGAATTGTTGTTTCAATTCTTGATGACGGTAAATAAGATATGAATTTCACTAACTTTTCAATATTTTTACTACCTATTTTTAGAAGACGATATTATGCTAGATTTAAAGTTTTTTAATTACTTTCTTCACTTTCGATTATTATATAACATCTGCAGCTTCTTTAATTAATAATGGAGAGCAAGTACTAAAATGTAAATAAACAATATCCTTTTATCCAACATTATAGGGTTATATTATGAACATCCTGATCTACGAAGGAACTACGTAGGTTGCATGCATCGTGCAGATGAAATAAAAGAATGCACTCAAATGCTGCAAAGAGTTTATGATCATTTATATAATATTATTGTTACTTACCCTGTTCTTCTTGCCAGGATCCTGAAGCTAGTTTTGACATAAATGGAAACGATCATGATCCAACTCCTAGAAAAACTGGGAACGACGAAAACAGGTTAAACGTTAAAGTCTGATTAAGCGTACATGTGTTTTGGTGTATGTGTCAACCTATATTGGAAATTAAATAAAATTAAGTTGTCATCACTGTTTAGAGAAAATGAAGCGCGCCACTATTCTAGTTTATGTTGGACCTATTTTTTAATTGAATTAATTAATCCGTAGACATGGCACCAGATGTGCAGGAGAAGTCGCCGCAATAGCTAATAACTCTATCTGTACAGTAGGAGCTGCATACAACGCTAAGATAGGAGGTCTTTTCGAATTTTAATAAAATACTTTGTCTTGATATGATAATAAATTTTCCATTTCTAACTGCAGGAATTAGAATGCTCGATGGAGATGTTACTGATGCAGTAGAAGCTACATCTCTTAGTTGGAAACCGCAACATATCGATATATATAGTTCTAGTTGGGGTCCAGAAGACGATGGTAGGAATATTGATGGTCCTGGGCCATTAGCGAAGAAAGCTTTTATAGATGGTGTTAATAAAGGTCGTCATGGACTCGGTTCTATATTTGTGTGGGCATCTGGAAATGGTGGATCTGTCCATGATAATTGTAATTGTGACGGATATGTAATTAGTATTTATACCATTAGCATTTCTGCAGCTACTGATACTGGCAATGTACCATGGTACACTGAAAGTTGTTCCTCTATCTTGGCTACTACTTTTAGCAGTGGTAATAACGGTCAAAATAAAATTATTACTGACGATCTGCACGACAGATGCACAGAGTCACACACTGGCACTTCTGCCGCTGCTCCTCTAGCTGCCGGTATGTTTGCTTTAGCATTAGAGGCAAATCCTAGACTGACCTGGAGAGATTTGCAGCATATAGTTGTCATCACATCAAAGCCTGATAAACTCCATACGGACGACTGGACGATCAATGGAGTTGGTCGTAAAATTAGTAACTGGTTCGGTTATGGATTATTAGATGCAGCTGCATTAGTTAGTACTGCGCGGAATTGGAAAACAGTCCCTATACAAAGAAGTAAAAGCTTTAAATTTAAGACGAAAAAGAAGTAAGAATTGTAATATACTATTACAAGTCCTATATAAATGCTGCATTTATGTACTATAAAATATGTACTGATAAATGTTATGATTAAATCTTAAATCTTTGATAGTTACATTCCACCCAATGGCAGGCTTATCGTATCTATTAATGTTGAGAAATCCGAAGCCATTGTAAATTATTTAGAACATGTTCAAGCTGTAATATCACTATCTCATAATCAGCGTGGTCTTATTACCATTCAGTTAATCTCTCCGGCAGGCACAAAATCGGTTTTGTTTGATAGGCGCCAACAAGATACATCCAGGGCTGGATTTAAAAACTGGCCTCTTATGACTACTCATTTCTGGGGAGAAAAGTCCGCTGGTAATTGGACATTAATTATTATAAATAAAGATTCTAACTCGGGAAAGTTGAAGGGTTGGAAGTTAGTTCTGTTTGGTACTACATCGAAGCCACATGATTTGTATTATAGTTCATGTAATCCGGAATGTGAGAGATCGTCTGGTTGTAATGGACCTGGAGCAGCAGATTGCAGAATTTGTCGGCATTTTCAAGCAGCAGATGGTCGATGCGTAAAAAATTGCTCAAATGGACAATACGGAAATTTAGAGACTAAGGCTTGTATAAATTGTCCATATGGCTGCGATGTATGTAATAATGATTCTTGTATCACTTGTAAGCCAAATTTTGCTAACTCGAATGGATCATGTGTTAGTTCATGCCCTGAAAGCACTTACCAGCATTCTTTTAATGGCAATACCAAATGTTTAAAGTGCTCTAGTAATTGTGCAGCTTGTGCCAATGAAACTTATTGTATTTCTTGCCCTGGCACTGCATACGAGTATAGAGGAAGTTGCATTCAGCAATGTCCACAAGGTACTTATTCGAACTATGTATATGGAATCAGAACGTGTACCTCTTGCAAGCATAACTGTTTAGATTGTTATGGAAATGAAGCTGGTTCTTGTCGAGTTTGCCAGAAAGGATATCAACTAGTAGTGGATCGGTCTAAGTGCACAAAATCCTGTCCAGTAGGATATTATAATGCTATATCTGGTGAGCAAAACATTTGCCTAGCATGTCATCATCGATGTACATCATGTTTGTCAGCAGCATCGAGTGGTTGTAAATCTTGTAGTCATGGATTTCATTTATACAATGGGTCTTGTACAGACAAATGTCCAGATGGCACATATACTGATAAATTTACTGGAGAATGTTTTCCTTGCTTTAATACGTGCACTACTTGTAATGCTGGTAAAAGCAAGAGCTGCTTATCTTGTAAATCAAATCTTTATTTACAAAACGGAGAATGTGTAAGCAACTGTTTTAAAGGTTATTATCAAGATGATAATTTGATGAGATGTCGTCGTTGTCATCATAGCTGTGCCAGTTGTAATGGACCATCGAGTAATTCTTGTACTTCTTGTAAGTTATCTCAGTCATTCCTACATAATAATTCATGCTTAATGGAATGTCCAGTTGGCCATTACTCGGATATAACCATGAAAGCTTGCAATCCTTGTAGTAGTCATTGCTACCACTGTGTTAATTCATCAGTTTGCTTATCTTGTAATAAAAACTTTATTCTTCATCATCAAAAATGCGCCAAGTCCTGCCCATCAGGCTATATATTAAAAGAAAGAACCTGCAATCCTTGTCACCCGACCTGTTCCAATTGTAGTGATGATGATATTGCTTCGTGCTCAGGTTGTAAATCACACACTCACTTCCTTCATCAGGGAATATGCACAAAATCTTGTCTGTTTGGTTATTTTGGCGATACAATTACGCAACAGTGCCAACCTTGCCATTCTTCGTGCGCATCATGCTTTGGAGAAGGTAATAGCAGTTGTTTACTTTGCCCATTAGGGAGATTTCTTCAACATGGATCTTGTGTAACAACTTGCAATAACGGATTTCCTGGTAAAAATGGTACTTGCTCAAGTTGTGAGGGAGTGGGATGTAGAGAGTGTCTTCCTAATGATCCTAACCAATGTCTTACTTGTTTAGATAATTACTTCAATCATAAATTTAATTGCGTCCGAGAATGTCCAGTAGGTACTTACACGAATGCAACGGCTGGTCAATGTTTAATTTGTCACGATTCCTGTAACACATGCAGTGGTAAACATATAGAAAATTGTACAGATTGCAAGCCTGGATGGTTTATGCATGCGGGAAAGTGTGTTTCTTACTGTCCATCTGGCTCCTATGCAAATGGCAATGCTTGTTCAAAATGTAGCCATGGTTGCAAGCTTTGTATCAGTCAGAATACCTGCTTAGAATGTGAATCGTCATTGGTAAAGTTTAACGGTTCGTGCTTGAAAGACTGTCCAAGCAATTCTTATGCCACGGATGAAAATACGGAATGTCAATTGTGTCATAAAGGTTGTGAAACATGTAAAATTGTTAACAGAGAGAGTCAATGTTTAAGCTGTATTAATCAATATTTGATATTGAAAGCTGGAAAATGCTTACCAAATGGTAATTGCAGTGGTAATATGTATTTTAATGGAAGCAACTGCAGTAAATGCCACAGTGACTGTGAAGCATGCTTCGACGATGATAGAATCTCCTGCCTTAGATGTCGTGAAGATAAGTATCTAAATCCAGTTTCAGCAATTTGTGAACAATATTGTCCGTTAGGATACTTTGCCGATAATGCCACAAGGAGATGTCAGCAATGCCATTATTCATGTTTATCGTGTTCGAATGCTTCTGTTTGTACTCAATGTCGTCCTGGTTTCTATAATAGTAGTGGCAATTGCATTACGAAATGTGCCTCTGGTGAATACTTTAATAATAAGACTGCGAGCTGTCAGCTATGTGGTAATAATTGCAAGGAGTGTAATATAAATAGTAAAACTTGTATAACGTGTAAGTCAGGAAATTACAAGTACGATGGAATATGCTTGTCTGCTTGTCCTACACAAACCTATGCCAGCAATGGAAATTGTAAAGCGTGCCCTTCTGGATGCTTAGAATGTAAAGCTGATATGACTTGCACTAAGTGCAAGAATAACTATAAACTATCACAATCCGCGTGTGTACTTTCTTTACCGAATGGCTGTAAAAACTCTAGTTGTTTAGTTTGTAAAGTTGCCAATTGCTCACGTTGTTCACCGTCGGATTCCACTATTTGTAATATTTGCATTAAGCCTTTTATATTACATCAGGGAAGTTGTATAAAACAATGTCCTGATGGCACTTATTTTGATCATGTTAAAAAGAACTGTTTTGATTGTAATGATAGTTGTAGTAGTTGTGTTGGCCCGAAAGAAACAGATTGTGTAAAGTGCTCAAGCGCTAAACCATATTTATTACACTATAAATGTCTGAGTAAATGTCCAGCCAATTACTACATCGATAATGCTAATGCTAAGTGTCGTCAATGTCATTTCTCATGTAAAAGTTGTAGCGGTGGTAGCATGAATGATTGTATTATATGTTCAGATGGATTTCATTACTTGAAATCTGAGAAGCAATGTGTTAACAAATGTCCGGATTTATCATATTATCGTAAAAATGAAACTGATTGCGGATCGTGTTATAGTGGTTGCGCTAGTTGCTATGGGAATGAAAAAGACAAGTGCATATCTTGTATCTCTCCAATGGTAAATTTCAACTTTGAATGTATGGAGAAGTGCCCTCTCGGCAGCTATAACGATAGCGGTATCTGCCGTAAGTGTCATCCGTCATGTGGTTCATGTACTGGTCCTCACTTGAATCAGTGTACAAGTTGTAGTACTGGTTTATTCTTAAAGAATGGCGAATGTCATGGTACTTGTCCTTCTGGCTACTACGAGGATATGAAATCATTAAAATGCTTACCATGCAATCCATCATGTAAGACATGTGTAAGTGACTCTGCTCAGTGCTTAACTTGTAATCATGGTATGGTTTTACAGAATTCGAAGTGTTTGCGCAACTGTAGCAGCGGATATTATCATACTGATGGTGGATGTCGTCCATGTCATACTTCTTGTTTGAGCTGTAAAGGATTTACAGCTAGCGATTGCTTATCGTGTAGCAAAGGCTGGGAATTATTACCTCATGGTATTTGTGAACCCGTGTGTCCGTCGGGTCAGTATTATGATATCGGTCTTAAATCATGTGGCAACTGCCACAGCAGCTGTGCTACTTGTAGCAGTAAACAATCAGCTTCTTGTCTATCATGTTTAAAAGGTCGTTTATTAGACAAACAATCCTCAAGATGTTATCCATGTTGCAAAATAGATTCTGATTCTCAGTGCTGCAATTGTAGTGCTTCCTTAAAAGTATGCGTATTATTATCAGACACTGGAAACAACATTGTTACAACGCCATCGCTTGTTACAGTTACACATCATGACTTTGGCAATACCTTCAAGGAGGAAAAGCCTGTACAACTAATTCTGATTTCTGGCGCTATTAGTTTGCTATTATTTGGAGTAGTTGTAATAATCCGTTGTAGAAGAAATATTTTTGGCCACCGTGGTTATAAAAAATTGACTCCATCTGGATATGATCATACGACCATATCGTCTACTCGTACAGCTTATCCAGACTACGATAACGATGAAATCAACCAAGTATAGTTAATAGATTTTATTTATATGATTTAGAATGTTATATGAATTCTCGCTATCTACGAAACTAGATATTCTAAAGATAACTAAATTCAGCTAATGATTTATAAAACAACTAAAACTTTAATTTTTATGCAATATGTGGATGTATGAGTATACTGTATAAAGGGTATATAGTAGTTCATTTTTTATTTTATAAAGGTAATTGCAAACTTCTTTCCTTCAATGTCTACGAGTATACAGCAATACATCATTTGATGCGATTATTTATAAAATGCGACTCAACGTCGAAGGTTAAAATTTTAAGATACTACGTTTTGTTGTAATGACCGATAACAATTTATCGATAAATTTCGAAAGAAATATTCATATACTGTTAAATATATATTGCTCAAAAATACTTTAGGATAAAATATTGGCTACGTAAGGGAACAGATGTTTAACTATGTGCTGGTCTAAAACCTTGACATTCATAGCATATCCTTATGATAATAAGCATTATTTTCGGGATGACTCAATATAAATAATTTTCTTTATGGATCAATAATTCTCACTGTAGATTAATTAATTCCGTTTTTTGTATTAGAGATCTTTATACTGTATCAGTATCGCAATTTGATAAACAATTTTTGATGAGATATACGTATCGATTACTTTAGCTGAATGAATAATAAAGTCAAGCTACATGAGGCTACTTTGAAAATGACTTAACTATTGCAAATCCGATCTTTTTTATCCAATGGCTATCGCCTACGAATTAATAAGTATTCCAATCAAACTAGAGATCTAACTGTTTCGGACGAATGTATCATAAGATAAATATCATGTAATGCTTAAAACCATTTTGAAACAGACTTATCTAAAAAAGCGAATACGCGACAGTTTATTAATTTTACTTCATCAAAATTTTTTGTAGCGATAGTAGTTGTAGTATGTGAAAGCTAAATCATTTTAAATCTGAAAATTGCTTTGATCTTCGATATCATAACATATAAACAAAATTTTGACAGACAGTATAATCAGTCAATACTCAATAGTACAAACAAATCTTACATAAATATTTAGCAAACTGTATAAAAATAATTATAAACAGTAACAAATGTTTTACTACGGTACACGGCAGTTTATACGTATACGAGCATTGTAATAATTTAGTTTGTAGTACAATCTCCCAAGTTACCGTAAATAAATCTTTTCTATGCTTTGATTAAATAATAAATTTTATATTTTGATACTTTATTATAGACGACAATAACAGCACCCAAACAAACAACAGCGTTTGTTATCTATATATAATACACAAAAATAGTATTTTCAATTTTTATGCTGGCTACCTTAAAACAAAAATTTTTATCCAAAAACTGTATCATAGCGGTAGTGAAATTAAACCATCGTAGTGCAAAGATGTAGGTATTATGTATTATTCAAAAAATTTAATAAGTTGTTGCTTCACTTCTATATCGACAGTATTCATTAACTCGGTAAATGAACTTGAACCATACGCCACATGACAAGCATCTAGTCTTTCCTTGATAAATCGATTTAATGGGACATTATGAACTGGATCTTTAAGAGCCAGCTATTATGGATAGAATATGTAAGCATTGATATATTAAGGGCTTGAATACAGTGCCGAAACAGTAAGATCCAAATGTTACAGTAGCATAAAAGCATGTACTTTACCTGCCGCGCTCGAATCTCTTCTTCGTTATCTGCTGCATCTGGACCAAACATTTCCTTTTCTCCTAATACCAACCGACTGTGAATAGATTCATAAAAACGATTACCATAAAAATGACTTGGAAAATAAAACATCAAAAAGTAGATCCTACTCTTGTAGATTGCCCTTGCTGTGATCTGGGCAAACTTCATGTAATACGTCGACACAAAGATTAAGAATAAGGGAAAAGCTATTACAGACCGCCCTGTGAAAATGCAATTAAAAGATATCAGAATTAATACAGATATATCAAAATAATCTTAATTCCATCGCTATTATAGTTTTATCAAGTGATTAACTACAAACCGATGTTTTAAGGGTAAAACGGACGTTAACGCCAAAGCTGATAGTTTACGATGCTCAGGTTTTAAAATGACATCAATCTAGATAGGTTACATTTTGTGTCATTCATTGTGACGCAACAATATTTTAGTTACGTACGAATTTAATAATTATCACACTTGAGATGAAATTTCTAAGATAATTTTAATTACATACTCGTATAGCATTATACCTTTTCTGTCCATATCTGAAACAATATTTTCATAATATCTTCATTATTCTGACCAATACGATTAGCTACCGCATCAATTGTTGCAAAAAACGCCGTGGTATTTTGCAGTAATAGTCTACCAAGTAAGGCCAATATAAGCGACATCTTAGGTGGATACTCCTAATTATATTATTTGTACAAGAAATATTCATTAATCATTACATGGTCAACATCGAATTGTCTATTATCGTGTCATACTAATACCTGAGGTTGCAAACCATCCTCAAGAATTCGAGGTAGAAGATTTTGAAATGCCTGTGGACCTTCGCTGGGAAATTCTCGAAAAATCAATTCCAATACCTGATGTAATGTATAAGCTTGCAGGTTACGCATTACCATTGTAGCAGTTCAAGCAAAAAGAGATAATTATTATTAACAAACTTTTAAAATGTCAACAATATGTCCGCCAGGCCTAACAGTATCATCTGCATATATCAGTCTAAAAAAGAGATCAGCTAACCAACTGGAATAAGCCTAAATCAACAAGGTAGTAATTAAATGACGAAGATCTTGTTTGAAATAGGAAATAACCAGCTATAAAGTAACTTTAAGTTTTACCTTCATAAAATCGTAACCACCTAAGATTACGTACGATTTAAGAACTTCTAAGGAACGCTTTAGGTTTTCAATATCGAATCCTTTTTCTAAACAATCACAAACATTTTAAATTTGTCAACGTATTAATATTGTCATATGATTTCATGAATTAAATGTATACTAATAGTGATATTGTACTAACCAAGCAACTGCTGCATATTTTGGAACAAATGCAACAATTCATTTGTTAGAGTAGGAGCATGGCACAACGTCATTTTCCTAGTCAAGTATAATATAAGAGAACATGTAGAGAATCAGTAAAAACAGTAGAGAGGTTATGATTATATAAAGTTCAAATTATCAGAATGCGAAACATTACAATATTTACCATAATTCCATTCCATCGTCAATTAGATATATATGCGGCGGCTAACAGGATTAAGACAGGATTAATGTCTCTTTTTAAAATTATAGATCAATAGAAATCAAATAAAGCCTAAATTTTTGTCGCAAACCTTCTCGACGTCTGTACTAAATTGAATAACTGGCAGCAAAAACGGGTACAGCTGAACAGAGGAAGACTTTAGAGCCTACATAATATAAATTTCAAAATTGTAATATACATAATTAAAGAATCGATTTATCAACACTAGATAAGAACCTGGATTAAAACAGTTAAGGTGCATAGTATACTACATCGTAGCATATTATGCTCTTCAGAATCCTGCCATAGTTGTGGTAAATATTGCATTAATTCAGATGAAAAGGGCGTAATCTAAATAAGATATTGAATAAGATTGATCAATGTAGCATAATTAATTAGGGTTAGGTTAAGACAGATCATGATCAAGCATAGCAGAAATAGTCCGCTTGAAAACTAACCTGTGACCCCACGCGATCAATCATTGTGGAAATAACACTTAAGACCCTCATCTGTAATGTAGAGAAAATTTTAGAATTGAGATACAAGATACTCAAGTAATAACAATGAAAGTAATACCTTTGCATCACAGGAATTTAGTTGACGCAGTAACTGGAATAGGCACAACGCATACTTTTCTAAAAACTAAAGCACAAAACTCAGTTACTAAATTTTCATTTCAAAACTTTCGCGAGACTGCTTCTAACCGGTAGAAATTGGGCCACGCTAAAATCGAAGTCATCAATTACTGTACATTTCATTAAGGATCTAACTAGCCACGGTCGAATACTATTTCCTAAGAATGAAAAACTAGCAAAATACAATACTAAATAAGTAGCATTTCATTTTAAGTCTATCATTAAGGATACCAGTTCGAAATGTGCTAGAAGTAGTTATTCGAACAACGACATCTTCAGATGGGTCTAACAGTATAAGAAGCGCTTCATATAAAGTAGATCTAAAAGAAGCCGGTATCCGCATAAGGTTCATTCCATGCTGGTATTCGCTCATCCAAGTGTCAATCACCCATGCTGCTCGTCGCCTCAGAATCTTATAGCTAAAATTTATTTATAGACATAATACACATATAACAATACTGTATTAGCTCTATTCTAATCAATTAGATATATTATGGTCAGCACATCAAAATTGAGAGCAACTAACTTTGGATGTCCATTTTTAATGTCCCTGAGGAGATAACTGCTAAACCATTCACTGAAGTTGATATCTTTATATAATTGAGATGATAATAATCCAGTAACGTTGTAGACTGCTCGGAATATAGTTCGTCAAGATTAGTGGATTTAGTTTTGGTAAAAAACAAGATCGTAACGATCTAAAAGACTTACTCGCATCTTTAGTCAGAATACCATTCAAATCATCTGGATCAGGAAAGGCTGAGAAGAACATAATTATGAGCTTATCATTATATCCATATTTCTAAGGCGTGCATAATACTTACTAGCAACCCCTGACAGCAGCTGTAAAACAACGGGCTTAATAGAAGCTTGATACTCGTTGAATAATACCAGAAATAATCCCTCCGTACATGGCTAAAGGTGTAATTAAATCGTATAGGTATAGGATAACTGGTTCATATAACTTTATGTTCATATGAAGCCTAAATAAGTACTAGTATTAAGAAAATTTTGAAGATTGTAGAATATAACAACGAACCCTTAAAGAGTACTTCCATTCTTCTCCTCCAGTCTCGGTATCTGAATATTGATGCAGTACAATACAGAAATTGGACGAGAATACTCACAATTATTATTTAAAGTCAGGTTATATTAATATTATTTTTAAATTGTAATCATACCGTAATCCTCTGGGTCTTGTTCCCAATCAAATAAATCCTGTTACGATAGAAAGATTAGTAATTATAGTTAGCTAAATTTTAAGTTATATAATCATATACATTTATGATATAAATTCGAATGGATTGATTATAACAACATCAAGAATTAAGAATAAAAAACAGATTTTGTATCTACGTTAATATTAAGCATCATTTTACTGGTACGGCAAAGTTACCTTTTGTGTCAGTATAAAGAAGCGTGATATCAACGTTTGACATATTCGCGTGACATCATCTTCATTTAAAACTCCTGCAACAATTTCCTAAATGGAAACGATTAGCATTAGTAAGGGTGAATCGAAATAACGCTGATATATAAATGCTGAAGTGATGTGCTGTCATTAGCAATACAAGCTCATGATCCTCATCAGGATCTAAATCTTAATGATTTACCTGATAATTTTTCGTAACCTTAGTTTCTACATCATGCTCTAAAAAATAATGTACGTAGTTAAGACTACCATACCAAATTGTAGTTTATATTGCAGAATGATTGGATCGATAGACATACTTATTTTCATTTTAGGCGGTAAGCGACTGCACGTAAAAACAATTGCTTTCATTAGGTTTAAGCAGTGTATGATAAACCTTTCAAAAAGGTGATCTGCAAAGAAAGGATACATTGAAAATGTTATGACGTTACATTGCTTGTGCTTTCCGTCAAACCTTAATTTCAACTCAGAAAATCAAGGGTATGGTCAACGTTTACCTAAATACTCTTGTGAAAAAATAAATGTAATTGACATTCGCAGGGAAGGTACAATGTAGGGAATAAAGAGTACAGGATGTTGATCTTGAGTGCCAATAAACTACCAAAATAAAATACACAAATTATATTAAAAAATTCTGTTTACCCAGTCACTTATGCTTTAATATATATCTTATACTACTGACAATCTTCAGAATAAGTATTAGCAGCTTTTCAGTTGATTGCATTAATGTATGATTCGCTCCTAGCTTTCCTCCTAATTATACGATCATAGATAGAGATATTATTAATAGGCATTTTATACTTCTTGTTATCGTAATTCAAACGCGTTATAGTTATTTCATAGTCTATAGATAACTTACGAAGATTTAAAACAATTGATATGCGCTGAAATAATGCATCCATAAAATCCTACAGATAGTAACAACAGCAATGAGGTCATATCCAGGATAAAATATTTTTAAAGCTCAAGAAACGGTTACAGAAGCTGGTCAAATTTTTTTATGTTAGCAGATCAAACAATTCTAATTGTTGCAAACTTGTACGACAGTAACAATTACCTTTAACTCATACAAAGGTTTACGTTCATCGATTCCATATATAACAAGCTTTCGTAAAACTGTTTAAAAGCAAGAAAGCTTAATTTTAGTATTAGCAAGATTAAGGTCTTATTTATAGTAACGTTATTGTTGAGGACCTTTTAGGATTAATAGGGAGGAATTCAACATTACGCCTGCTTCATCATTTCGCTAGAGAAAAAATGTTAAGATTATGCTTGTTAGATTATAGAAATAAAAACTAAGCTTTAAAGGCAACTAACCTGTTGAGAGACGAGTTTGACAAAACTGTCAGTGTTGTGAATCCATTGCTCCAATAGATACGAAAATATACTATTAGCAATCTAAGATAGAAGTAAATTATTCGATTATAAAATGCATCAACGATTCAAAATAACGCTAATAATTGATAAATTCATTAACACTACAAAAGTATAGTAAAACTATCTAAGTGATGTTATAAGTAAGCAATACCTGGGAAAAGATAACCCTGTCAGTAAATAAACACTTTGAGGCAAAAGCTTTGATTGCATGATGCAAAGTCAATAGAGCTCTGTTCTTTTTCAAGTTGTCGGTGCTACGGACAGCCTAATACAGATACTCAGATGTTAATAACGTTATATAAATATTACTGTCTAGGGGGTTAAAATATTTAATAGGCAGTACATTGCACGATGTAATTAAATGTACTCACTTCCAACAAAAATGGGACTAGTTCAGGCCATTGCCTAGGAAAATCAATTCTTGCAATCTTGCTAAGCAAGACTGCAATTTGCGTAGCAATCTAAAAAAATAAAAATCAATTACAAATTGAATCTTATTTGTAAGACTACGTAAATGTATATACGGTAAAAAATCCATTTCAGTCTTATTCTGATTAATTGTACAAGTGACGTCAACGCACTGCAGACAAAGTTTCATTTCCACACTCGATCTAAGTGTCTTACCTGATTTACAGGTTCAGGATTGTTGATAGCAGACAGTAAACGCGTCCTTAATATTGCTTTTTCTTCTTCATTAATGGCACTAAGACAAATAATAACATCGTTAATTCTTATTCATTTAACATCGATTACGAGCGAAAATCCATCAATGCCGCCTCTAGCTCTACTTCACGACTTGATATTTCGATACGTCTCTTAAATATGTACACGTATACATTTATAGTAATAGCAATCAAGCAAAGTTTGATCAAACTGTACTGAAATATTGACCATCTTACAAATTCAAGTTATATTTCAGTAATATATATCATTTTGCTTCACTATATGAATCGGATTTTAAATTAAATTGAGGTTGGTATAGTATGATCAGGGTGCACTGAGTAGCATCTGACATAACAGACTCAGCACGAGTTATTGATGAGCAAAGATCAATACGCTAATGTATTATAAAACAAAATAGAATGCTCATAAATAAACCAGTATCTATTTAAAGATATGAATTGCATGTATTTGATACCATAGCTCTTCGTCATCAGATTATCGATATTTTACAATAGTTAAAGTTGCATTTATGTCTATGGTCTAAGTATATTTACGGTATATTACAGTATGGGAGTAATGAAGATGGCTTTAACTTACTTCGGAGCAGTCTTTCGCCAATATCTATCAACACCATTTTTGAAATACAGGACTGCCATCCAGCGGACATTAGTTTGTATTTCATAATTGGAGAAAATAGTCTGAAAGATAATTAGAAAAGAAGCATAAAATACAACTACAGTAATTATGATTATAATAAGAAGTTTACGATAATATGATGCATTTGTTGCATATTAGAAAATACTCTCCCTATCCATGATATGGCAGTTTTATGACGTACAGTAAATGATGAAGCAATATCTGTGTGTCTATGTGCACTAATATCCGAATATAGATGAAGAGAGAAGTATCCTAGCCTAGTAGTGGATACGATCAAAATGTTGCCTGTATTCCATCAATGCTGTTGTTTAACTTATCCAAGTATGCATTAATACAGTATTATTATTAGTATCCGAATTATAGTTATCTGTAATTCCAGAAATAAGCACAATAGTCTAGTAATGGATGCCATCAAGGATGATTGATCCTAGTCTAATTTTATCTAATCTGTCGTTTGGTTTGATAGCAATTTTCATGATAGCCATATACAGCTTAAATCAACGATAGCATGCTATAGTGATAGCTTCGCAGAAGAACACAGAAGGCCATAAATAATTAAATTGGATTGAATTACTAGACATTCAAGTAGTTTGAATAAAATTAATCTCCAATAGCACAAGAATTGTAATAGTGCTTACTTTTATACATCAAAGTGATTATTAAAATTTAGTTTAAAATCGCTCCTGAGTAATATCACACTATACTTATTTTTATTATAGTCATTTTCAAAATTAATATCTGTTATATTTTCTAACCCTTTTGCCTGAAAATAATTATATCATTGCACATGACATCATAAAGTACTAAAGTAAGTCTGTTAGCAGTATTGCAAAAAGCTACCATGGTAAAGGTAAAAAAATACGTAGGAGGAGCCGATATATAATTAATTGAAAAGATAGACGAAGAATACGCGTATATCACATATATAGGAACAATTGAAATAGTTCTCCTTTATAGCAATCTACTTTCATTTTAGTATCCTCTCATCATTACGTAGTTGCTCTTACTTCGTATTGACCATTGCATCATTGGAAGACAAGGAATATAGTCGTCATTCAGTGAGTAAATACTAAGTATGGCAATATTGAAAACGTGACTGCACTTCCAATAGAGTACAAGACACTGTCTGCTTTCATCAATACTAAAGCATAGGCTGGAAATTGATGAATACAATCTACTAGACGGTTAGTAAATGGCGCTATTTTGTTCCGCGATACTCATCATTTCATTCATTCTTGTCTCATTGATGTCAATCATTTCTTTCATTAAAAACTATACTGTTACTTTCAGTTAAAGCCAATCCGTTTAGTATCGATAATGATTGCTTTTTAGCAAAATATAAATAATAGCCCAGGCATGAGCCATTTTGAATAGGAACATCCATTGAAAAGCAGCTTATCGGCAGTATACAATTACAGTATTGGGTCAAAATTTTAGCGAGTAATAATTAATTTATGATTCATTATGGCCTTACTGTTTGTTTAGCTCTTAACCTATAACGTGAATTATTATGAATTCTGATAGTAATGCACCAAAATTACTGGGTTGAAGAAATAGGGTAGATTTAATGTTACTATTCAGTAAAAATGTCCACGATATCATCTTGATAGCTGTTAATATTATATGCAAATGAATTAATAAGAAATAAACTTTAATAAATAGGATGTCAAAGGCCAAATTAGAATGACTACAAAGAAATAATAAATATCGGTCTAATATTGCACTAAAATAAGAGTTAAATACTTTTACTGTAGTATAGTAAATCAGATCCAATATTTTATGAAATTTCTGCTAGGACAAGCACTATTTCTGAAATCTCTTATTCTAATGCAGTAAGCATTTGCTATTTCAGTGTACGAGCAAGATTGATAAGATCGAATTATGAAATCAGTGGTTGGAACACTGGACACTGTATCATTGATTAGTTCAATATTCATCTAGCTTGATATACTAGGTTAAGCATTTACTCTCCAAGTCTTTTTAACCTTACGTTTGTGTTTTCAAACTTTTACAACCAACTAATAACCATACATCACACAAGGACTACTAGAATCGAGTGATAAATATATAGTTGATGAATAGTCTCCATTTCGTAATTAAATCTTTCCATTTAATCGGGAACAATCGATCAAAATATTATTATTAAGTCTCACTACATGTAGACTCCAATGATAGGCATACCCTAGAATGCCATTAATAGGATTGGTAGCACTCTGTTGCTGCTTTCAACACTGCTACAGCAATGTAGCCAAAACACAACATCAGCGATGATATATTGTACGTAGAGATTTAATATCAACTCTGAAATATGACATTCAACTTGTCTAGTAGAATTTCTCGATAGAGATTAGCCTAGACGTATATCACTAATTTCAGAGTAATTTACCGTATAGCTGGGCAAGAACTGGCTTAGTAGCATCTACTGATGAATTTTATCCCTTGTAGAGTTAAAAAGTAAATACCAGCAACAACATACGTATTTATCCCCTATTCTATCTATATAATTCATAATTTCCATTACCCTTCGAGTAGATTTCTAACTCTAAAAAAAATTTATGACAGAGCAATCACTAGATCGCATGATTTAATAACGGACTTTATCGCTAGGTAGAAGTTCAAAAAAATAATTAGCAGCAATAAAATACGAGATCTTCTGACATATCCTATCTGAGATACACGTAGCACAGTATGTTAAGCTTGGCTGACAAAATCTTTCCATGTCTATTACTCTACCTATCCATTTCTAATTCTAGAAGTAACTTATAACCATAACAGGCCAATAACTGGATTGGTAAGATTGAGTGATCAACTGTACTAGTAGAGCTAACATCTTTAAAAAAATCAATATCACCGACGATGATTAATAATTAATTAATTAATATAATTAATATCAAGAGTTAGGTATACAGTAAGCTAGTCTATCAGCACTCTACTATTTAGTTCGTGAGCATACTGTACATGGTAATAAGAGTTGTCTATCTTTATCTACTGTATATTTTAATATTCTAGGTCTACATTTCATTTTAAGATACTTTATGAACTCTGATCACCCTAGGCTAAACACATTGAAGTCCTATCGATCGTTGCAATAGCAATATAAAAATTCGAAATATTTGATGCTGTCGGATTAATGTCATCCGGCATCATTTTCATGCTTAATCAATAGCCAAAGTTAGCCTATATAAAAATGGATCCGTCCAATACTGACCCATGACATATTATAAGAAAATAACATAGGCAGTAAATTGTAATGGATCGATAGGGAAGACTATCCATTTTACCCTATCCCCCCTATTTAAAACGCCCCCAGTTTACAGGCATCCAACGCATGATTCTTCCATCGGCAATCTACTACCGTTAAGTCTTTTAATTTGGCGTTTTTAACGTCGATTCAACTACTGCTATAGAATAGTAAAGATAGAATCCTATCTAAAAGAAAGATTTCCTTTGCTAATACCTAGCTATAAATCTAATTTTTACAATACGAGTCTATTCCATATCATTCTAAAGGATACCGTTTATCAGGTACGTTGGCACCTTTCATCTTGATGCTTATGCTAGTCTAGCCATGATTGTATAAGTTGCGATCATAGACACAGTAAAAGAGAGGAAGGAGATCGTAATTTATTTCTATCACCTATTAACCATCATTGGCTGATTTTATTTGTAAAGTATACTATGGCTGATCCATCTAGTATGGGGTATAGTGTGTATTTACAATATGCGATTATCAATATGAAAAAAATTGGATAACAATTCATTACTGTTACCTATTAACCATCGCTGATTGATCCTATACTATGCACAATACAGCTGATCATCTTATCAGAATATAAAATTGTATGAAAACAGTTTCTACGAGTAGATCGATTATTCTAATTTCCAACAATTATCATGGTTGCTGCCTCCGTACTAATTGTTAGCGACCAAAATTTCGATTGGATTAATCATGTCGATGTTAATTTTTGAATGGATAAATGTATAAGGTTTCTGTGGATATCGATTGACCTTAGCTACGTATACAGCCTATTCTATTCATTTTAGGGAGTATATTTACTTTAGAAGTATGATAGTAGCCATTCTAGTGATCAATAATTTCCTTGTTTAGTCGTATAAAATAAATGTCCACTTTTTAAAAGTGAAATAGATTGACCTTGGTTCAGGTGTACTATTTCCATCCATGATGATGATGATGTCATTCCAGGTCAGCAAATTGTAAAATGATCTACTCAAGTCCTACCTCTATTCTCTATTACAGTATGAGAGAAATGTTTTCTGTCTATCTACGGTTATCAACGACTAGTCTCTACGTCTATCCAAAGATACAAAATCCTATCCTATAATTGTACTATATATAGGAGCTATTCTTGCATTGATTGTACGGTAGATTAATGAATTGATCATCCTATTCCATTCTCAATAATTTATTAATCTGCTATCTATCTTGCAGCCATGACTGCCAATAATCTTAGCTATCCATCATGTCTTCATCATCAAGTTATTGAACTACACACAAAATCAACTCTTATGATACTTCAATATGTGAAAGAGAGATGGATAGAAAGAGAAAGGATGGATTATGGTTAAAATTGCATGCATTAGTATTCCTTGATGAAGCTGAACACTATAACAGAGAGAAAGATTTGGGGGACTACACGAGCTGTCTTCCATTCTAATTATTATTATTATGCAAGCTCGACTCACCTGTAACGATAGATAAAAGTGACGATGGGTCTCCCATGATTTCAACAGTTGTTCAGCTCTTTTTAAATTTGCAGTTGATTGACTAGTAGCTTGTGCTAAAGTATCAATAATGCTTTCAAGACCAAAGTTCTCTGCCATCGCGACGAAGGCATGAACAATTTTGCAAGGAAGAAAAAATTGCTGCAACTACTCTTAGCTGCTCGATCTCCCACTCTCGTCCTGTCTCAAGCTAGACAACCCTGGGCGGGGGCAGATTGGTCCTTTTCTACCCTCTCCAGCCCAGTCTATACAATGTGGCAATGTTGAAGATGACTGTGTCTGTTATCACTCAAGATAACACTTGTACGATACAGTACCCTAACTTAAGGCAAATGAAAACACGTTTTCAACTCGTACTGTACCGTACCGTATCGATCCGGGCCGTGCCGGTAATGGGCCGTACTAGACTCGAGTGATTCACCTGCACGCTTCCCACATTCCAGGTCACAGATGGACGGACTAGGATGAAGAAAGTCGGAGAGACTTGCTAATCTTGGACCAACTTTACCTCAATGATATTGATCTAAGCCATCCTGTAGATATTATTCTATATACCTGTATTTGATCTATATTATAACCAGGCACTTGTAAGATTGAATTCTCTTCCAATTTTCTCCTAGAGAAATCCCTGATATACCCGTATATTAAGTTACAGTGATGAGTAAAAAGTAACAAGGGCAAATCGAGTACGCGAGGTATCTGATGGCAGACACTTGCAAACCTCGACATCAATAAATGTACTGCATAGGAAATAACGACAGTACTGTATTGTACTGTACTAGGGATTCCTCAAGGTTTAGTAGTCTCTGACCGTATTCTACAAAGTATATACTGTATATTTACTAGACTACTTCTTACTAAAGTGGCGGACTTGACAGTTAAATGGAAAGACAGACAAGCAATGGCCGCTTACCATACTGAAAATGACGAGCTGACTATGTTACTGGTCACTTCAATTGAATCGTATGCCTGAAACAATACACTATACTGTCGACGATTGGCACACGTAGACTCAGACCTGAAGGTATGCAAAATCTGCTGAGTATGCGCAGACGTCTACCACATCGTTTTCGGGTCTCCACTCTAGTGGACCGTATTGAACTACTCGGTCAAGACGTTATGACATAGGAGTTACCGCTGGGTTGGTTTTGTGCAGTGCGGTGCACACTTCTAGTGGTAGAGTATAGTAGAATGACTAGAAAATGATTAGCCTGCCAATTTGGCTCACTGAGCAATCACTTGACAGTCCTGCTCTCTTATGCAACCATGGAATCCATGGATACAGAAGATTTAAAAGCTAAATTACTGCAAATTTTCCAAGATAATTCTATACTAACTTGTGACAGTATTGTACAAGCTTTAAAGGACAAGAAATTTCACTGGAACTCCAGTCTACTTCAAGTCAGTACTACCAATGATTAATAAATATTAAAATATTTACGATATAACTCAATACAGCAAGACGGTTTGAATGAATTGCTAACTTATTTACTCATTTTGATTAGTCACATCTCTTGCATGATACAGTATACTTATTTATTTATACTTGTATATAATATATATAATGATTCTAGAGGTAGTTGAGCGCAATAAATCTTGATGTATTTGCATACCAATTTACTCGTAGTTGTAGCTAGACCATGCAGATATTAAAACTCCTAGAATGTCATATACCGTAGATTGATACTGCTCATCTTAACATAATTACAGTAATAGATATCTTTCTCCGTCTTCTTTAAATCGAGAAGGAGAAATAAAGTATTGTTGAGTAATCCGTGAAATTATAACAAGGGAAACAAAATGATTTGTCGACTAGTTTCAATTGTAGCCCTTGTAATCGATTTATCATCATCGTTTACTATATGCTATACTCGTACTGCATTACAGGTATCTCTTCAACAGTTAGTGGATAGTAAGCAAGTCTATGTCAAAGTTATCCATCAAGGCTCACAAGAAGACCAAAAAATCTATTACAGAAAACCAACTCCTAACCAGGCTAATTGGCAATCATCGTCCAGTCAAAAAAAAAATAATCCTGATGCTAGTGCTGTCAATTCATCCAAGAAACGACGAAGTATAGGCTTAGCCCCAGCAAACCGTAAGAAATTTTCCTCACCATTATTAAAAAAATCCTCAGGTACTGTCTCCAACCATGCTAGCAAATCGTCCACAGATACAACTGAATATCATCATACAACTCCTGCTACTTCATCAACTGAGGTAGACACTTTCAAGATGGATAAAGAAAACGTCCCCGAATCAGAAAAGTGTCAAGTACAAGATTTGCTTCAATCCAAAGCTAAGTTACTTCAGATTATCCAAGAGAAAGAAGATAAACTAAGAAAGTTAAAATTGGTAAAAATGTATCACACCAAGGTAATCAAAAATTCTACCGTAGAAACCATTGAGACAAAGACATATCAATTTAGATAGATTGTATGTATTTTGTCAAAAAATGATTGGGAAAGATTCATGTAAAATATAAACTGCATTCATTTTTACTCTCACTAGCCCATAGTGAATATAACAAGTGTTGTTTTACATTTTATTCAATTTTACACTGATTTTTACATGGTAAAACTACTAAAGTTCTGCTTCTACAAAATCTTCAGACTAATTTAGATGATCTAGATCAGCTAATTCTCAAGTGGAGAAGTATTAGTCAAGATGTTGCTCAGCAACTCCATGAAAAAATTCAAATTGAACCTCGCCCCACTATGGCTCAATTTTTAGATGCCTACCATATTGATCGCAACCTTATCCAATACTCGGCCGATGACGAAGCCTTTGTCTAAATTTAAACCTATTATATGGGCGTCAATATTTTGTTTATTTATAGTAAGAAAATTGCATTGCCTCTAGGCAGGATAACTGTCCTCGGTTACACCTCTGAATTACAAATATCGGTACTATTACCATTCAATTGAACAGTTTATTATTTACGAATTAACTGTATGTAAAATATGCATGCACTGTAATGTAATAGTGTTTTGATGCTGGAGTACAGTTTACATTATATATTATTTTAGTAATGGTTCGGTCTAACTGATCCTTGTTACAAAGCAATGAAATACTCATAGGCATGTAAAAGAATAGAATTAAGAGTTGTTTATTCAAATAATGAAATTTATTTAAATCATCGATGCCTATGAAACTATAGTATTCGTTGGTATAAGTTATCAATTTAGTGGATATTAATTTTAAATTTAAAATATGATACAGTCGTGTAAGTCGTTGTATTCAAGAAAATTATTGTGTAATGACTATACGCGTATATTACTTTTCTGGTAGTACGATGACAAGATTTTGTACATTTTTTTACAGATATTCGAAGCGTATTGAAAGAATCGATGAATTTTGGTTTAAATTAGCTTTGTTACTAACTTTAAATTAAAATACTAGATGGATCTATCAACTATATCGAATCTTGTATTATTTTATGCCAATTGACAAGTTACAGCTGGTAATAAACATAAAAATATGCCATGTAATATATCGGAAAGTTGCATTACCGTTTCATGCAGCGTAGTTATACTCAGTAGAACATAGAATGACGGTAAATGGGCCAAAACGAGAGCAGTCATTTTACCCGAACGCACGTACTAAGTATTCATCCTTTTTTCATAGTTTGCAACATTTTGGCCGTCTCTTAAAATACACCATAAAATCCTTGCCGTCAATCAAACCAAGATACCATGAAAGGTTACAATACGTATGATGAACTAAATCTTTATTCGAATTTGTATTATCGAAAAATAGCGGAATTATGATTCTTGTTTACCTAGCTATATTATACTTGAAGAAGGAAACTGATCTTAGTTTCATCTATCATAAGAGATAGCAAATATTGCAGTTCGTTTATTTCACTAACTGTAATATCATTAATAAAGAGTTCAGCACGTGCAAGAATAATCAGCCCCAGGTCTTGATAAACTCGACAAATACCAGGTGTAAATAAACATACTTTTGCATAATTTTATTTATTAAAAGCATGTGCTTGTTGTCACAAAATGCAAAACAAGGATAGATTGTAATGATCATTAAAATATGGCATACAGCCATCCAAAAATAGTATATTACCTAATTAAAACTATTATAACTATGATGTACTAAATTGTAAGAACAACTAGTATCCAAGTTTCATTTAGAAGCTATATTTTGAGTTAATTTAGTATCATTATCATGTTAGCAGCAGGAAACTTGCCGATGGGGTAAATATGAATAGTTAAATCATCAAAAATGATGCAAAGTTAACCATGGTGCTAACTTATTTTTGATACAGTAGCTTGACATATATCGTACAATTAAGCACTGGGATATAATCGATCGCAGATAGCCTTTGTATAACCAGAGCAGGTGCCATTACCACCCAAATCTTTTGTAAGTGCCTGTTAAAAGAATCAGTTTTCAATTATAATTAGTATATCAACATATATCACTATTGTGCAGTACTAGCCAAAAAATACTATCACATTTAGCACTGTAGTATTAGTAGGTACCGATCCCTCTCTTATAACATCTAAAGTAGCATTTTCGATTAAATCGGCATGGCCACGTAAGCCCATATGCCGTAACATCATAACGGCACTAAGCAACAAAGCTGTTGGGTTAGCTTTATCTTGTCCGGCAATATCTGGCGCAGTACCATGGACCTGGATTAAATTGTATAAATAGTATTTAGTATATATATATATATATACACTCTCAGTACTAGTAATTATAATTGAGCGATAGCGTGGTATATAGAATATATTATTTTACATACGGCTTCAAAAATAGCTATCCCATCCGAACCAATATTACCACTTGGTGTTACACCTAAACCCCCAATTAAGCCGGCACATAAATCGCTACACATAAAATATATTTTAACGTTAATCCCAATTTCAGGTTTTTATATACTTCAATGTAATTGTCTAAGAGTTGTTGTAGTATTGATTACCTTAATATATCACCATATAAATTTGGCATAACAAGGACATCAAATCTGGATGGATCTAGTACTATCTAAAATCATACATTACGAGGCACCGTTATTACGCAATATACATCCAATAATTGTTCTGCATAATACTGTATAAGTAAGAGACTTCAGATAAGCACAGCACATTAGGTAATTTTCCTTTACCTGCAAACACGTAGTATCCAAATATACCTCGTTGTAGTCGATATTTTTATAATTATCAGCAACTTCTCGAAAGCACTTTAAGAATAAACCATCAGACATACGCCTATAAAACAAACGTGTAGTTACCAATTTACTTTTCGCATAATATATAATTAAATATATCAAATTGGAAGTTAATACTGTAGATAGTAGTTTTAGGATATCTTGGACAACACATTAGAACAACATCAATATAAACCTGCGTTACACCATCACTATCCTCAATGTATCATACTACAAGTAGTAGATGAATATTCACGGGTTATTAAAGAGCCTTACATTATGTTGGCTTTGTGTACAACAGTTAAGTTGCTTCTGTTGTTATCAGTTGCATACTGAAAGGCATATTCAGCTAGCCTAATTGAAGCTGCGCGCGTAATGAGTTTAATACTTTGTACTACACCATCAACAACCTGCAATTTTAATGTTAGCATCATATTACAATTTATTTTTAACAGATTATATCAGCGGTAGTAAGAAAGGATAAAAAAGGGAAAAGTTACCTTATGTTCGATACCACTATATTCTCCTTCAGTATTTTCTCTTATAGTAACTAGGTCAACTCCATCATACGGTGTTTTGTAGCCTTCAATTGACTTACAAGGCCTGACATTAGCGAATAAATTAAAGGTCCTAAATAACCATTAAAGGTAGTAAATTAGTAATCGATGATAAACTAGATGGAGATGGAAGTAAAAAAATTGCAGATATGTACAAAAATGTTTATACTGTATCTTGAATTCCTTTATCTAGCCAGATGCATTTACGATTATCAATTGCAATAATAACACCATTATCTTTACTGTAATCCAATATCCGAAATACTAATAATATTAATGCCAAAATAGCGGATACTTTTCAACAAACATACTTTCTAAGAGTTAAATTCATGGATACATGGCCTTTTCCAATTGGAGTAGCGAGCGGGCCTATAGATACGGTAAAGAGTGTGAAATATGAATTACTCTCGTACTTCAACCCTGGAAATACAATGTCCTCTTGATCTATTAATTATGACTAGTTATCTATTTTAATACTACTTACAGGATACAATAAATCTACTACAGTTAAAGTTTAAAATTTCAAACTTATTCACTAGAAGCACATAGTAATTAGCTTTATAGTTAATACGAGAAGACTTAATTACCTTTTAGACCAACCATATTCTTTTTAACAGACTCGAAAGCAGCCGATGGAATGACATATTTACCACTGGCCGCTTTAACAGGTGTTACATCGACTTGATCCCATTCGATAGGAGCCTAGTAATCCAATGATTATGCACGTATTACGCATAATTTATGTATAAAGTCTTTTTAGAATCGGTCATTTATACTATTAATTGGTAGTCAGTCTTAGGCACCCGCATAGTAAATTCCTGCCGTATAACTAGGTAATGGGATACTTTATCAATTATTTGGGAGTACTTGTTTCATTATATGAGTATTCCACGTTCTATATACTACATAGTTCTACATAAGTTTTGAATTGCCACGGTATAAAATCAAGTAATAGATAGGGGTATACCCCTATCCCTTATCGTTATCGTAGTGACGAAAGGTTGTCAAGAGTCAAGTAGAGTACAGATGCTGCGATTGGGTATTAATGATCATCATTGACACAAGAATTTTCGAAATTATAACGCAATAGCATCTCTTAATGAGGTATCTACTGTTAGTGAAAGGAATGCCTGATATCAACATTAACCTTTGCAGTAGCAAAAATTTCTTTGACAGCTTCAGAAATTTCTGGACCAATGCCATCTCCAGGGATTAGAGTTACTCTTCTCACCTAAATTCATTTATAAATTTAATTTTATTAATTCCTTGCTTAGCTATTCATTTATACTCAGAATCAGTATATTTTGCAATAAAAACTTTGATTATTATTTTATCCTAGTTGATATTAGATACTAGATAGGATGTAATATTACAGTATCATGGTGTTCAATTGGCCATCGTCCTCGATTGCAATGGTTTTGGTATACTACTGTACATGCCAAGTCAACCTGTAACGGAATCATCCTTACAAGGTCGATAAGTGCTACTCTAACCTATATTTACAATGATCAGAAATGCAATTATCTAAAACTAAGTGGACACGTAGATGTCCAGTAAAGCATATTTGCACGTATAGTACAGTACTGTATGTTGCTTTTACTACTTTATAAGTATACTCGTACACATGATGCCAATCATATGGACACTCTTTTGTTAATCGCTTACAAATCATTTGACATTTTCAAGATTTGTTGCTGATGTAACTACCGTACTTGAAGGGAATTGAATTCTTAGCCCAGCAATGTGTTTCATCTGACATTAATACTGTACATCATGAGCAATATCGGCATTTTATGGCATGATTATGATAGACTGTAGTCTGGTGTCTATGCAAGATATTGCTAAACGAGACATATGTATGACCGCAAACTAGACAATGAACACCGTGCTGTAAAATGCTCTATACTATACGGTATTATCCCATATATTGTTGAAGTAGTATAGTGAAACTTCCATCTTGGCTGCAAAATCTTGATTTATTGGATGCACAGCTGTATTTTCAAGCCCTCCATACTATATTGTATTATCTGATAAATTGCTTTCAACGATATTGTTGAAACTTACCTCTTGGCTGCAAAATCTTTTATTTATTAGATGCTTTTGAGATTCTCTCTTTGAAAATAAAATCAATTCAGTTAGCTACAATTGGCATGAGATTTCAAGAAGTTGCCATGCTTATTTTATAGTCGATACTTACACTGACTGAGAGCAGTGATGGAACTTTTAGTAATTGTTGAACTCTACGACCGGCTCCTGTCGCCATCATTGTAGTGACTAGATTACTAAACGAGAGGAATGACACTAGGAAAGAGTTTTTCATTGATAAAAAACCGAAGGCCGACTTTTATGCTAGTCATTTTACTATACCGAACGACTCGAACCGTGCACTGTACTAAAGCCCTCCTCATGTCATATTGAACTTTGATTGTAGACTAATAATACAGTCTACAGTATAGAGGTCTGCTGTGGATTACGAATGTACAGTGTACAGTATGGTGCGATACAGTTTACAGTACAATGCGCATACTCATACTGTACAGTACACTGTACTGTAAGTTACTGTACTGTACTGTATAGTTAATAAATAATAATAATAATTATTATTAACTAGTCACTGTACTGTACGTCTGTACGGCTGAAACCGTTCCACTACATCCCAAAACCAATGAAGAAGGCCAGATGCCAATCTTACTATACTGTACATACATTAGACAGTTCAGTACTGTACAGCAGGTCAATGATAAACAGTAACTACATTTGAGCGCACACGCATATAAATAAATACAAAATGGTAGGCGTACAGAAATGCTAATTTAAGGCAGACTACCAACTCTGATAAAACACATGATAAGCATTAATTTATTAAGAAATAGAGGCTGCAATCTCATTATAATGAGCAAGACCCGTTACTGTAAGTGGAACGGGTACTTACTGCTAGGGATATTTCATACAACAATCAACCAACCGTAAATAGACTTTCCTAATACTGAAAATGGTGATTGCACAGCTTAGTTTTTAAAATTAAAAAAATCTTACTCAACATAATCAGTATAACGCGGATGTGCATTATTACCTCCTCTAGGATTTTAACAAATGGTCTACTCTGTTTATAGCACCATCACAGGCTCACAGCGTTCGCATATCAAAGCATGTCGCCTGGCGGTTGAAAATGCCCGCCATGATGAACGAGAGATAGTTATTTTTGAAGTTTTTGACCCCTTAGTTATTTGCGGTATTGGTGTACGAAGGAAACGCGTCCTTTCATGATGGACCTTGCAACCCCCTAGGACTAATCATACAGACTTTACAGTTATTATGTAGGTTCATGACTAGCTTACGTTAACAATTGCGCTATTGGGAAGACCTTCAATGAGGCGCAAAGCACTCCTTTATCAATATACTATTTCGACGCCATAAGCATCTGCGAGATGTAAACCACTATACTCTTACTTATTTATTGCATTAAGATTGGCTGTAAAAAAAAGCACTGCTGATATGCTTGGCGCAATGCGACATTGAATCAAATAGAATTTAAAATCGCAATAATGGTAATGGCAACACTTCAAGCCAGGGCATAAATTACTCAATTGCTGTCAAACCTTAGCTTAATAATACGTATCAATAGAATCCTCTGATAGCTTTATTGAACGTACAGTATTGTACAGCTGTATAGTCCAGTCCAGTCGCTTACGACTAAATCATAATTTAATTTTAACGCGAATAATATACAGAGATTGTCGTCTTTGACGACATACGCAATTTTTGTGCAGGGATTATTTCACAAATTTTGCAATTTTGTCAGCTTTGTTTTCAGGTGGTGGCATCGGTGCTAGCGGACCACTAATCCATACTTGACCATACGATGCGGTTTTACTCGCTGATAAACAATTAATATTACTACAGCGAATATTCATTGAGCATACAATCATTTAATAAAATGAATATTCTTTGAAAATCTATTGCACATTCTAATCATACAATAATGAAATGGATTTGTTGTTATGTACAACATTATCATTGAATATAAATTCTTCAAGAACATACTGTATAAATGCTATAAATACATAGTCGAATCTTGATATTGCTATATCTATCTATCACGTTCGTAGAGGTGAGAAAATAACAGACCTTTCGTACTTCTACTGACTGCTTTTGAAAAATATAGCATACGATCATGCAGATACTCTAGTTCTAATTCATGGTAAAGTCGTATGTACAGTAAAAATAAAATAATGTGTACAATAATGGCTATTGGACAAAATAGTATAAAAGTTGCAAAAGAATACTAGATCTAACGAGCACAATTAATAATTTGGTTGTCATAGGCTACTGTCTAACAGCCAAAAGTATCCATAACCTATCGGCTAAAAATTCAACCCAATATAGAGTAAATCATCTACACAGTAAAACTAAGGTAATACCGTATATGTATACGTCATTATATATCCTGTGACCAAAATATCCGCTTATCTAATCATGAATAAGATATTTTTTACAGTTATTCTATTTATAAGATTAAAGTCTTGATACGATTTAATTCATTAGACTATGGTAGCTAATAAATAAAACTAACAATATAATCACTAATTCTTTATCTCTTAATTGAATGGATAATTAAGTAGCCCTGCATTGCACAAGAATAGTAGGTATTTCGCAGATGTTGTTACCTGTATATTAAATTTATTTTAATACCTAAGCCAGAAAAGAAAAAAGGGAGGCATACATATATCTCTTTAAAAGAGAATAAGCAAGATAGTTTGAAAACTTAGTTCCACCGATTGAAGAATAAATCAATTTATATAAATTTTATGTTCAAATTTTAAATGATACTATTAATTACGCTTAAGAAACAATAGGGCATTTAATAATTTCCCTTTACCATGCTTTGTAGCTATATTATTTTATTATTCTATTACCCAAATTTGTAGATATCAAGTCCACTTTGTCTCAAATTTTGGCACTGATATATTTATATATATATAGTAGTAAGAGTAAGATAAAAAATATATACCGATGGTCAGAAGTAATATCATTCGTTTAAATAAGATTATATGGTAATTCTATCATTAAAGAGAGGGACTAAAACTGCAATTGTATACTTCAAATATCATTTAAGTGGTCATTCTCTCAACGTATTGACATAAATAAGTATAAAAGACGATAAAAACTAAAAACTACCCGATTGGACCAATTTTAATTTTGGATATCGTAAACAGATTATGCAATTTATCACTCTTTTTAGGAAATATACCGTAAAAGCTCTCCTTCATATATATATAATGACAAGCGTTTCCATCGCTCGATTCAATGAGCAAAGATCAAAATGTTGATCTGCTTAGGGGCGTCAATAAATTAAAAAAGATTAATAAAGTTTCTTTGTAGTTTTTGAGTATTTGGCGCCGCCACCTATTATTAAGCGTCTCAAGTAGAAGATAACTACTATAATTACTGTATAATTAATATAGATATTACGTAACCTAACTACGGTCTTGATCAAATTCAATAGACTGATCATATGTAATATATATAATAAACACCCATATAATATTAAATGGAAAAAAATTTATCTTAGCCTTAAATCGCATTGTGCCTTGTTTATATTGTGTAAAAGATAATATTACAGATATCTACACGAAGATAACTTGCTGTAGGAAAAGGGTAATCACCTAGTAAAGAAATAGTACTGAGTATAGCATTGCTATCATCATAGTAAAAGCTACAGGCTGTATGATATGGGTTTGTATAAATGATAAAATTGTGTTTTATTGATGTGCTTCAAAAGCCTATTTATTACTATCTAAGAATAAAAATGATAATAACAGCATCGTATTTGACTACTAATTGAATTATCGATATAGTAGATGATTACGTTTATTATCGATATATAAATAGAAAAACTTTATAAGGATCCGATCCAATTTTAAGCAAACCTTTGTATAAAATTAACAAATCATCTATTAATGATTGTCGGTTTTATAATGGTAATAATTGAGAAATTATCCTTTTTTAATTGATTGATATTACCACCAACTAAAAATATCCTTTATAAGACTATCAATCACTATAGATAGATAAGATCAATACGATAAAATGTTGTGGTTAAAGGACTGCCTCAAGATAGACTTATCACAATACAGTCATTGCTTAGTTTCTCTACTGGTCACTTGAGTAGTATAAGTACCCGTATCTATTCGAAATTTATCTATCTAAGCAATAGAATAGTTTTATGCATTTTTTATCTAATTTTATTGATGGTGATTTATCGGAAAACCAATTGAATCAATAGATTAATATCGTCATAATTATATTAGCAATTAAGACCCCTTACTGGATTTGATAGTACCTACTTCTATTCTATCTTTAATATTCATTCATTCATTCATTTCTTTATTTATTTCATCGACATTCAAGGATAAATTTTTCTCCTTTCAAGACTAATTTATAACAATGTCAGTGAGAAATAAAAGAATCGATTCAATGCTTTTATGAATATCCACAATTTTCCATCATAAAAGTGAAACAATTATGGCTGAAAGAATGAACATATTGAAATAACGAAAGGAAGTTCATCAACTGATGAATAGATGGTCTTCCGTTGAGGCTATTTATAGTTAATGAGACAGGTGTGCACAATAAAATTATTCCAATTGATTCCAATATCGGTCATGAGAAAATTCTATGTTATCAGCTGATTAGTTGAGAAATAGCATAATAAATAAACAAAATCACCATTGACATGATAGAAAAAGAAATGCTTAGAAAGGATTTTTCGAATATAAAAGTGATATCATTATTCATGGAAAATCCTTTAATAAATACATAAAGGCGTCTACAATACAAACGTAATAGAAAAATGGCAGATAGAGACGCGTATCCATCTAGATAGAAATCTATTGCCATCGCAAACAATAACATTTAAATACTCTATGCCAACGTAAATGTCAAAGTTGTGTATTTTGACTCGGCAACAAGGTTAATTTTAGGATATCCAACCCATCCTATCAATAATTCAATAAATGGATGCTTTTGTCATAATAGGCAAAGTTCCTGTTTTTACCATATTTAACGTCGTTTGATATTGATTATTCTGATTGGCAGTTGATACTGAAGTAGTTGCAGTTATTTATTGAACGTTATTAGCTATAGCTATATTAGTCCTTTTTTCACCACCGCGTGATCTACAAATACCCAATTATTGACATTATTTTTTCTTGAAAAATTTTTTATCTCTTTAACCCTATAAAACATAGCTTTTATTTTTTTTCAACTTTTAACGTCGCTCATTACCATCTTGGTCGTGAGCACAGCATAGACTACGAACAAAAAATAACAACAATACGTAAAAAAAAATGGCTCAAAGTAAAGGAAATTATTCAATTGCAATTCTCTTAGGTCTATTTTTTATTTCCTTAACTACTGCAGCAGTAGCTGCTGCTATAAATGATCAAAACGATGATATTAAGGATGATGACGAAGACGGCATCTCTAAACGCTATTCTAATACATGGATTGTTAAAATACCTGGTGGTAGGAAAAGAGCCGATGAAGTAGCGCATAAATTGGGCTATACCAATCTTGGCCGGGTAAGTTGATAACTGTAGTAATAGGTAGGATAGTTTATTCGCCTCTGCTAGGGTATTGAGACTGGCCCAATAGTAAAATAGAAATATTGCTGCTTACCCTTAACCTTATCTATTAATTCCTATACATATTTTAATTGATAAGTCTGATTTAAAATAGTAACATACAGCCAATAGCTGTGAGAGCATTGCAAGTTAATCGTATGTTCTTTCTGTTACACCTTTTTTTCTAAGCCACTATGTAACTGATATGGAAAACACTTTCTATCGCTTTTCTTTCGTTATCGTAGTAACTCTTCAAAGCGTATATGAACCATAAATTAATTTTGTAGGGATAATTAATCTCGAAATACGAATGAAAGATATGACTATAGTTATTCTTATTACACTTTCTTATCATTTAACTTGATTTTGTAAATAGTATAACTGCTTGTATTTCCAGTTGATTTCCACCTTCAAATTAATAACGAAAATCCCTAAAGAGATTTAAAATAATTATAATTCTCTCTTGTTTTGTGTACTGTAATACAATATGTGCAATCTTTGTTAGCAGTATCCCTTCAAGTCAACTCAATAATAAGAAATACCGAGGTTTATTTCAATTTCCTCACATCGATGTATAGCTACTACAACATGCCGCAGTAATACTTACAAAAGCTATTTTCAATTTACGAATACGATCCAGTAATATTTTATCAAGCTAGATACGTCTCCATTAGTTCGAGATCATAACCCATATAATTTTCTACCTATTAAAATATATAAGAATTTAGGATTTACTATTCGTAACAGAGGAAGCCTTTACTATTTCATTCCACTTTCTAGTTGTCAATACTATTATGTATTATTAATTTAAGGGGACGATATTGAGTAGTCATCAATGTAGTTTTTCACCAACTTCAGATGCATAATACTCGAAAATAGTTCAGTTTACGAGATAGTATAACCTTCCCGTTAAGAAGAGAGTGTCTTTCCCTTAAAGTATTGATGCTAACCTAAACAACAACGACACACTTTATTATTTTATGGTCTAGATTGATTTTCTATTTTATACCGTGAACTAAACAAGTTAAAACTAAGCTGTATTAATCTATAATTTGTCAATTTTTAAGATACATCGGATAAAGTACTGAATGCTTTACCTTAGAGGTCCTACAGAGAGAGACCAGGGTTCCTACTTTACGTCCTTTTTAAACTCGTTATTATCCATTAGCAGTTTTACAGTCAATATCAGTCTATCTACTCTTAATAAGCTTAAAATGAATGATACGCCTATCTTTTTAAGTCTAGTTTAGTGAGTTAGTATACGAAGGTTTGGAACACAAATCTTTACACTCTCTAGTCGCGATTAGAAATATTATAAAAGTATTTATTACAGTACACAAGATGTAGTGATAATACCCTTACGATTGATAATTTTTCGTACACCAATATGGTCGTATCGCTTTATGTAGTTTAAGTGCAAATTTTCACTATCTGTCACCTTACTATCAGTTCTTTAGCCCCTTAAAATGTTGATCAATTTTGCTAGCAATAGTGCAACTTTTAAATACCGTTAGAGTTAAACCGGCTAAATAACTTCCTTTTCCAGTTCTATAAATAAATAATCAGGCCCCACTAATAGAACTACAGTAAAACGATTGAAAGATAATTATATAAATCGAACAGAGAGATGTCAAAATATCTCGTTTCTGATGTTGCTATAGGCCTTAAAACGATGTTTATTACGCTTGCAACTACACAGACAAAACTATGAGCATATCGTAAGATACAGTGTATCTAACTTTACATTAATAATTTGGTAGTTAGCATGATAAGTTATCATACTTACGATTAAGTTCATAAGGCTCGTAAAGTATCCACTAAAATAATTGCTAATTGGCGTTAGTCTATTGCTATCTCAAACGTCTGATGTAACCGTTTTTATTGGTCAAGTCTTTAACTTAGTAAACTCCTTTTTACCTACTCCTTCGGACGTACAGTAGTAAATATCACTATTACAGGAATATAAAATTCCATAGATTTGCTTCCTTTACCGTAGAAAAACTATATCATACAAAGATTATATTCAAAATTTTTTAAATTTTGAATGTGATCGTAATCAGAAATAATCTTCTTTCTTAATTCCACCTACTCTATGATCCCAACTTTTTAATAGCTAATAATTCCACTCAACAGCAACTGCACTTGCAAAATTAATTGATACGCAACAAAAACCTCCTGACATCTGGATTGAAATTTAATAAGAAAAAAATTTAAAGTCATACCTTTATGACTTGTTTATTATATTCAGCTCTAAAATCGTACGATATGAATTTATGGAAAGATCAGTGACTCTGTAAACTTATCCATCTTTTATTGTAGTGCATATTATGATTTTGCTCTGAAGCAACTGTCTACTATTTACAATATTCTCTACTGGCATTGCATCGATTTATTGATTTAAAAATCACAAATAACTTGTTAAATAAAGAAGCAATCTGCTGTCAAGTAATTACACCCCTATTCCAGTAAATATTTCAATCTTAATCGTGTTCAATGCTTTCCTTCATTCTAGATTTCCGATTTAGACCTATACAACTTTAGGCACGATGACGTTCCAAGGCGATCAAAACGTGCTATTCATGATCGAACAAGACGGCTAGCTGAAGATGATAATGTAAGGATTCATAGTATTGCTTCCAAACATTTTACTTTTGTTTTTATTAGATAGAGACGCCTATTGGATATTACAATCATCAAAGAATTATTCACTCTGCGATAGTTAATGACTTTTGCCAGCACAATTTGTCTAATTTTAAAAATAGATTGCCAACTTTCATAATAATATTGTCCCAAGATTTAAATGTATACGTATAAACTTAAAAAAAGTATTGATACCATCAATTTATTTCTTTTTACGCATTTTTTACTGTAAATTTACTATGTAGGTAGAGTGGGTAGAGCAAGAACTCATCAAATATCGATATAAGCGCAATGCTGATTTGGAATTTAATGATTACCTCTGGCCGAAACAATGGTATCTTGTAAGTCCTGCTTATTTTCTTTGCTGTCTAATCTTCATCATGATGACATCTATTTGATTTTTAAGTCATTCTTGGCTTATTTTTCTTAGTATGATTAATATTGTTTATAGATGAAACGCTGATTAATAAAGGTTATTATCTCTGTTGCCTTTATCGATTTTCTAGCATGACAAAAGAGATGCTCGATTTGACATTAATGTCCTTCCCGTCTGGCAGAAAAATATCACTGGAAAAGGGGTCGTAGTGACCATATTGGATGATGGTATGTTATTGACAGATGATCAATTAATTCACTCGAGAATAGATTCTCATTACAGTAAACTTATCATAAAAAATACTATATTCACCAGAAGATGTTGAAAATTCAATTTAAAAATCCCATCCTATTGATGATAGAAACAATTTATTGAAGATAATTCGAAGTTGATTCTACTACTAGAATATTATATTGCAACAGGATGATAATTAATTATTGAATCTTGCTGCTAGAGTGTTGATATCACAATATTTAGTATACTTTGTATTGAATAAATAGAGGGATAGTTTGAACCTTTTCTTATGTTCTTATAACTATACAGTTGTTTTTTATTTTAAATATAATTTATTTTAGTTACACTAAACGATCATATTCATTCGCGTAAAGTACAGTACAGTAGCATTTATCAGACAGCGCTCTGCAAGTTTAAACTATTAATTAAAGAAATGAAAGCAGTCAATCATAAATTTGTCTTGTCAAAAAAGGTGCAATAAAAAGACGTAAAACGACTCGTAGTAGAACATATAAATTATAGTTTTAACCTTCATCCTGAATCAAACCATGAAACGGTCGATAAAATCCTTTAGTGCTTTAGATTTAATGGCCGTTTTTGCTATATTGCTATTGATAATTAGTCCTCTCGGAATAAATAATATCTTTCTGTATGCTTATCCAATTATTTGAGTATAAAGATCATCTTTTACTATTACCTAAAACTTTTCATCAGCTTAGTCTAAGAGAAAAGTTTTTTATCGTGATAATCTATTCATTAATCCTTTAAAATTTTAACTAGCTAACGCAGTACCATTCGGCATTTTTATTCATAAAAGAAATAAATTTAATCTTTTTAAACTTTATCTATACTACGCTTAAATTGTTCAGGAAAAAAATATTAGATCATTGCTACAAGTTACATAGATTTATAATAAAGTAGTACGCCTTATTCCAACAGAAGTAATATTAAACAGCAATCTACTGTTAGCCAAGCAAAATGGATATAATTCTCTTATTCATGAAAATTGCACATTCTTATCTCGAGATTTAATTTGTTTTAGCTAAGTTTTGTCCATTATATATTCTATTGTTATCTTTATTCATTTCCGTATTCTTTGCTCCTAATTTTAGGTCTTGAACATTCACACCCTGACATTAAATATAGCTACGTAAGTAACTAGAAGATCTAGCGAAATATATATAAGTTACGAATACTGATCTACTTTAATGTAATAAAATATAGCTGTAGTATTATAATAAAAAATGTTGCACAATAAGGAATACGTGATATAATAGCATTCTTATCTTTATTAATTTATTAATAACTGAAATGCTCATAGTAACTATTATTTATTAAGTTATATCTTTTCTCTGTATATATATTTAAACGCTTATCTAGGATCCTGAAGCAAGTTATGATTATAATGATTATGATAATGATCCAGAGCCAAGATATGACAGTCGAAGTTCTAATAGGTATGAGACAAGCTGACGCAATATAAAATTATAATGATAGCAATGAAGCAATTAATACATATAAAAAGAAATGTCAAGAATAATAAAATTATTTATATATATATTCTATACTAATATTGACCTGATATAGAAGTTTTTAAAATTTTAATGTTAATAAAAAAATTGCATTAATTTTAAGCAGTATATATCTTCCTTAATGATACAACTAAAAGTAATCCTTCATGATACTATAATAGTTACATAAAATTGTATAAGAGTTTCTTTAGAATGCTTAGCAATATAAACATTGTCATATATATTTGAACAATCAGAGATACTGCATACAGATCACCAGGATAAATGTTTAGAAATATTTGCTTTCAGTGAAATCAATTTTTTATTACTGCATTAGCTAACTAGCTCGGGGTAATCTTATCTACTGTACATGTTAATCTGATAATATGGAAGCAACGTTGTGCATTCTATTTAACTAAATCAAAAACTTCCATTTTCACGATGCTTTAAATTTAATTTGAACTATGAAGCAAATATACCTATAATTAATTTGCTTCTGTGAAAAAATACTTAAGTTTTCTCTATCTAAATATGATAAATCTAGACACGGTACACGTTGTGCGGGTGAAATTACCATGAAACCTAATAATAAAATGTGTGGTGTAGGTGTCGCTTTTGGAGCTAGAATTGGAGGTGATTAACATAATCCGGTGGTTATTTTTTTATCAAGACTAAAATTTTGCAAACTTATATATCATTTCCCTGTCCATTTTAATTATCTTCCTTATATATCCATTTGTATAATAGGAATTCGAATGTTAGATGGTTCTATTACTGATGGTGTTGAAGCTTCATCATTGGGCCATAATATGCAACATGTCGATATCTATAGTGCAAGCTGGGGACCTAATGATAATGGTAGGACTGTCGATGGCCCAGGTGATATTGTTATGAAAATCCTTAGAAAAGGAGTAACAAAGGTAGTTTGCGTTGTCATATATTCAATCAATTTCTCTTAATATTTAAGAATTATGTCCAATCTATGACACCATTTATGAAATAAAATTTACTTTGTACGTATTTTTAATAATAGGGACGTGGAGGTTTAGGATCAATTTACGCCTGGGCATCTGGTAACGGAGGAAGACGTGGTGATAACTGTAACTGTGATGGCTACGTTAATAGCATTTACACCATTGCTGTTAGCTCTGCTTCTTATAATGGAACTCCACCTTGGTATGCAGAAGATTGTACACCAGCTTTAGCTTCTACTTACAGTAGTGGTGCTGATGCACTAAAGAAAGTGGTATGTTTAACGTTGCGAAATAAATGCAATGAATTGATTAATGGCTTGATTCATACAGGAAAAGTCCTGATAATATGCTATTTAAAATAATATTTCATTTATTCACTACCAATTAGGCTTCTATCGATTTACGAGGTGGATGTACTACTAGCCATACTGGCACTTCAGCTTCAGCACCTATGGCTGCTGGTATCTATGCTCTCGTTTTAGAAGCAAAGTATGTATACCTATCTTGTCGTTATGGTTATTATTGAACATATAGATTATGTTCACAAAATCCTCTCGATCAGTTTATAATTATTCTTGTTCCAATACCAAATATTATGACATTATATAGAAATAATTATGTCATTTAATTTTAATTTAATTATCTAGTCCTAACCTGACATGGCGAGATGTTCAACATGCTACCGTTTGGACATCGAATCGTAAAAATTTAACGAAAAGTGGTTGGGCGAGAAATGGCGCATCACGCTTGTACCATCATAAATTTGGCTTTGGAATATTAGATGCAGCAGCATTAGTTGATATTGTTGATCCTAAGGTATGGAAAACCGTACCTGAGCAAAAGTTTTGTCCTTTGACAGCTGATAAAATAGAAAGGTAAATGCCTATTCAAGTGCTCACCTTATACATGTTTAAAATAAATCTGTTAAGGATGTTATATCCTAGTGTATAAATTGAAACAAAAAATTGTGATCATATTTACATTAATCTAAATCCATTGCGTAACTCTATATTGTAACAGAGAAATCTCCAGTGAAGGAATTGTACGAATCCAAATTAAAAGTCATGGATGCCAGGACTCCAAAGATAGTATTAATTATTTGGAACATGTTCAACTCATATCTACAATTGATTTTTCGCGGCGTGGAGATTTAGACATTACTCTAATCTCGCCAAGTGGTACAAGATCGAATTTATTAAGTAGAAGACTTCGTGATTCATCCGCATCTGGATTTAACAGTTGGCCATTTATGTCAACTCATTTCTGGGGTGAAAATCCAAGAGGTACTTGGACCGTTGAAATTAAAAATGTCGGCATGACGAATGAACACGGTTTCGTTCGAGAAACCATGTTAGTATTTTATGGAACAGAAACTATGCCTGATGTTATGCGTCGTGTTTTATCGAAAGATGATGTGAAATTAACTAGTAATCATCAGTCATCACAAAGTCATCATGGTGAGGTAATGAAAGGAAAAATTCATGAGGAAGGTCATTTTGGATCTAATTTGAATCAAGCTGAACATAATAGCAATATCAACGAACACATCTTCGATAAACATGAGGGTAATAGATATGACCATCTCGAAAAGAACGACGTTCACCCATTGCATCGATCTTTCCATAAGAAATATTCAGGTGATTCTGATATGCCAGCACATCTTTTACGATACTATGCCCAAATATTAAAGCGAAAAAATAGAAACAACTATTCAAAGCGATCAAAGTTGTACCGTTATCAGCGTGATTTTTAATAACAAGATATTTAAAATTACAACATAGATGATATTAAAATCACTATTGAGTGGACTGTGACAGGAAATACTAGTTCAATTAAATGCTGTAGTAGCTAGAGATATTAAAAACAAAAATGTACGATTTCCTATCCTATAATGAGTTTATGTTAAAGAAAAGGACTATTAAATGTAATTTTTAGCTTAATTGTTTCTATAGAAATGATAGCGTGTGCAATTCTCATAGAATAATGAAAAATAACCTGTATGGTAGCTGAGTTCTATAGCTAGTTGTTTAACGGTAATATTATAATTGCAATACTATTTTAGTTCATTTGAAATATGTAGAAATTTAGCTCAAACTAGTAAATTTGTGCCTTTTCTTATCTGTCTATCTTAATCAAATGGAAAATATCAAATTAGCTATTGTATTTCCAGAGGTATAACTGAAAGATGACAATTAATGAAACTATCCATCAATATAAATCTCTATATATATGCGAGTATACATATATGTATAACATATAATATATATATATATATACAAGAAATGGCCTGAATTGTATGACAACTTAAAAAAGAATACATTATAACTATCATTCTATTTTAATAATTATAAAGTTAGCAATATACCATCACCAGAGTCATTGCAAAACTGATCAACGCTAAGGTGCAATAATGCTGCTGCATTACATACAATAGAATTATGCAAATGTAGTCATGGATCTTTAGATCTAGAGATCCATGATATAGCTATTAGTAATTTAGCCTCAAAATACTATATTGTAATCGCATGTTGAAAGTTAAATTGTTTCATAGGTTAAGAATTTAGGTTCTTCAGATTGTAAGCTCTACAATAAACAAGGTAGATTGTTCTAAATGGTATTGGTATAGGTGTATAGACCGAAATGAGAAAATTCGAGCCTAGAAAAGCAATAAAACTTATTCAAGACAAAATTAGAATATTTTGTGAGCGAATTGCCCTGATTTGTCTGTCTAATGTGACTAAAACGGACCTCAATTACAAACACTTTTTGGGGCATTACACTAGGATAGAAAAGAAGTGAATTTATAATTTCATTAGAATCTACAAATTATTAAGTGGAACAAGTACTATTACAAAATGCTACAGCGAGCATATTTGCCTTTAGGAGGAGGGATTTATCTTATACTAGCAGCGAAATCTACTAACATCCTTACTACAACATTCACTCTAAAACTCGAAATTGCCTCACTTCAATGAATCCAAGCCTAATCCAAAATGCTATTTAACCCATTCATTAAATTTAGTACTACAGTATAGGCCTTACAGTACAGTATTGAGTGGAAGTGTGATATGTGAGAATAAAGTACGGTAACCTATTTCTATTTTACATATAGAACATATATATCCATATATATGTATACTTTATATAATTAACTAAAACTTATACAGAGTATAGCTGAACTGTATCGATTTTTGCTGCAGTGTCTATAATTAATATGGAAAAGTTCGTTAAAAATAAATATCATTTGCAAATATATATACTTTATATAATTAATTAATGTTAAAAAAGTATAGTAGAATTGTATGCATTTTTTACTACAGTATCTATGATAAACTTATTATGAAAGAGTTAGTCAAGATGAATATCTTCCCCGTATAAATCACATATTTACCTTGGAAGCAATAATGATTCAATTATGATATTTTAAGAATATTGTCAAGCTGCTAAGTAAACGTAAAGAGCAAATATACGCGTATATGACTATCACTTATGATACTTTGCACATCATGAAGGAAATTCTCGTATGAAAATTGATAAATGGCAGAATATCAGCAAGTTCACTATTCCAAGACGTCAGGAGTTGCATTTTGAAAGCGCGTAGCAGTACACTTAGAATTAAGCACAATTTAAACAAGAACCTGGTATAAATTTAAGCGTATGATGTGAATGATATACTTGAATATTTACCTTAAATAGATGTAGAAATATCATATCAATATGTAAGCTACAAACATAATGTGGATCTAGATACTTTACTATAACAAAGTTATGTTAGATAGCAAAGCTTAATTGCAGATAGTTACTTACTGATAATATAATCGTCCACTTGGATGGATTTAAAATACATAGTAACACTTCCTTTACATCGGAGATATCGAAATGAATCCATTTTGAATTCTTATAGTGGCGAAATTTGGGGATATTAATAAATACGTGAGTAAGTATTATAAATGATACACATATTTGGCGAATGTAACCAATACTTTCAATTACAAAGGTGCCTTTAATAATTTAATACACCATTTCAAGTAATTTATCAATATATCTTTTCCATAGTGAATAATAAAGCCTGTTGATTTCATGTAAGCAACAATACGCTAAAAGAAAAAATAGGGGCTTGATTTCAATATTAATAAGAACGAATGAATCATTATTTCCTTCATTTATTTACTATTTATAGCGTTAAACTTTAATTACTACTAGTAATGATACTTAATAGATTTAATCTATTTCACATAGAATTTAATTGCAATTACTAATTAGAGAGAAGCAGATTATTTATCGGCTAGCAGTCTTGTATTTTACAAGAACAGCCCCAAAGAAGATCTATTTAATTGAACCCGTAAGTTTTCTATTAACTTATAAGAATCATCAATTTACGAGAAGCTATTAAAGAAAAACATTAAAATATTAATTCTTACTTATTGGTGAGTAATAAAAACAAAAAATTCTTTTGTATCCGTAATAGGAGTATAAATGCTACTGGAGACTTTGATGAAGGAAGAGTATTATTACTAATGTAAATGGATATTGAGATACTAATTGCTACAGGGTTGAATTCATTACAGCCACTAGTGCTTTTTAATAAAGTCTTTTAATTTTACTTTATGAATGACAATAAAGCAGTTATTTATTTAGCTATTGATGTCTATGGTAAACAATAACGCCGATGATAACAGGCTATTGAAACTCGATTGTTTCCCATAGTTATTAATTTGTCTGTCTTAGTTCTTCCAATCGTGGCTATTCTGCATGATTTCAATGCTAAATAATGGAGTGCCAAGAAAAATAGTATTAGTCAACGATGATGTTTTTGGATATTACAGCCAGTGGAGAGACATAGCATTTTGCAGTTGAAGAGCTTGAAAAGACTTCATTAAACTGTTTCTTTTAAAATCTTATTTGTAAGTCTTCAATTTTAATGAACAATTCATAAGACCTTGCAAAATAAAATATTAGTCTCTATTCAATCCGATGCTATTTAAAAAGAGGATTGACGATAATTTAGCGTTATGTTCTTTAGCAGTCACCGGTACCAAGACTTCAGTTTTGCATCAATATTACTATTCAAATAAAGGACAAGTAACCTTTCATGACAATAAACAGCAGCTTTTAGATTCAATACTTTAAAATAAGAAGTACTAATAAAAAATTTATTAATATTGTGGGGATGTTTTTATTGGAATCCTAGTACACGATAGATGATAGCGAATTACTTCACCATTTCCACCTTTATTTTGATAAATTAAAACCTAACAGACAATCTTTACTGCAGTCAGAATATTTTTACTCGCTAAATGATATTTCTAGCGAATTCTGATTAAACTCTAGGGCGATGTCAATGACTAGAACTTTAAATTCTTCACCATTCCTCCTCTATAAGAAATAGCATACGTCAATATAAACATTTTAGATAGGGTAATGACGAGTAAACATGCAGTAGTAAACTCGTACTACTACCACTGTAGTATTATCCAGCTCATATGAATATCGCTAATCGCTCTTTTTAATTATTCGGCCCAGCTAGAATTCATTTTCATCTCCTTCCAAAATTCTATATACTCATTCTAATTTTTCAGGCTAGTATAGCTTTGGCTAGAATTCATTTTCATCGACTTTCGCTATTCTTCGTACTCTTTTTAATTTTTAATCCTAACCTAGCTTCAGCTAGAATTCATTTTCATATGCTTTAAGTATTATTTATGCTCTGTCTAACGTTCAGCTTAGTCTAGCTTCAGCCAGAGTCCATTTTCATCTACGATCCGTGTTCTTCATACTCTTTCTGATTTTTCAGCCTAATCTAGCTTCATATAAAATTCATTTTCATCGACTTTCTGTATTTTTGATGCTCTTTCTAAACCTTCAGCCTAGTCTAGCTTCAGCTAGAATTCATTCTCATGGACTTTCAGTGTTGTTTATACAATTTTAAGTTCTTGGAATCACAATTTTAATCGATCGATTATCTCCTTTTATACTATTACCTTCGTCTCTAAATTGAAGCCAATAACCATTATTTCCATACCAATAGATCATTATTTTCAAGCCAATAGTCTATTGCAATGATAATAGATTATTCAGCGCTAAGAATTATCGGATTATAATTAACCTGCGCATCTCAAGGGGGTGCCCAGGTGGCCCAGCGGCTATCATCAAATGGAAGTTGTTATTGTTTGGTCGCTATAGAAACCAAGCGCTTATACAAAATCCTTCTCTCTCTGCACTTTCTACTATTGTTAATATTAAACCTTTTTTGTAATTTTGTCAACTCTAGTATTATCCTAGTGGAGAGGAAAGTATACATTAATCAGCTCGTAAAAGTTGACGATAATATTGATGTAAGAAAGCGCAACTAAGGAAAGACTGTTCTGCTGTTACAATCATCATTAAAAGCTACAATTACTTAATCGATTGGCCAGAAAGCAATCCATTAGTTGGAATAGAATATTACTTTATTTCGTTGTTGTCGAAAGATATCCACTACAATCTGTCATCCAAAATTTTAATGCAGTAGAGATCGATTGTTTAAGATTCTGTTCGTTCGACGGGATAATTTTAGGAGTTGAACTACGTCGAGATTGGACGACAACAAGGCATTGCAGTGTTAACTCGATAAGGTAATATTTCGACTCTATATTATATTAGCTGATAGATTATTTCTCAAGGTAGACATGAAGACAGAATAGCATAGATAATAATGGTATACGTAAATGATTAGTATCCACAATCGAGTCGAATAATATTCCACGGAAAACTATCCATAACGTCCTACCATTTCACACCAATCTTACTTTATATATTTAATCATCTAAAGAAATGAAATAATAAGTTACCAATTATTTTTTTGTTTTCTTTTTATTTTTCCATTAATGTTTTTATCCACTTTATGATTTTAGTTACGATTGAGCGATACTATTGCAAGAACTTATCGACTATACTCATATGGTGCTAGATAGAATTATCCATTTGCAGTAATACACGCTAACGTAGAACATAACTTTCTATCATGAGTAATGATGTCCGTAGTAGTGCTGTCAACGACGGCATAGAAGTTAGTTTACATGGAGAAAGCGATGTAGAAGCAAGTAAACATGATCATCTCGACGAAAATGGAGATATCGAATATAGTATTCATGGTGAGAGTGGATCAGAATCAAATAAGGATGTAAAAGAAAATAAACCTCAAGGAATAGCTAAAAAGAAACGTAGAATTCGCAAAGGGTGAGATTATCGCGATTAAGCACTTGATTACTATAGATTGGAATAAAGGTAGTTATTATTTTTTGGTGGTAACCTGCGGATCTCAGTCCCATTCTTTGATCATAGTATGAAACAAGTTATGTTTTTGTAGTGTAAGAGAAATGTTAGCATTGTTTTCTATTCTTGTAAGAAAAAAATTAGTTTACATTTAGTGGGTTGCTACTAGTGCACTTTCATCATCTTGTCAATTTACTTTCTTTATTCTATATCCTATTTTTAGTTGGATGGGGATTAATACTTCAGGATGCAAATATGATAGCGGTAAGTGTTTTCTATTATATATAAATGGAACCACAAAACAACTCTTGATATTACGTAGACTGCCATGCTGTACATCACCTATATAAATCCTGATACCGCATATGAAATTGAAAATTAAAACCAACTTTGTCAAACTTATCCATTCGACAATAAATTTATCTTGATTACTAATATCAATGATCAATTGAAAATTTCATTAATTATTCCTTTCCAACGATTAAAAATTTAGTACGTAGAGTAGCTCGTCGTTTCGGCTTGAAAGAAGTTGGCGAAGATGAAGATTGGTCGCTCTATTGGACTGATAGCTCAATCGCTCTGGAACGTGTTTTGGAAATGAAACGATATCAGGTAGCATAGATTTCTTAATCGCTTATGCAAGCCATTAACAGTTATTTCCATAACGATTACAGTTCTAAATGAATAGCTTAGGTGACCATCTTTATCCTATGTAGAATATAATTTACTCGCGCATATTGAATATTGGATTATTGCTCCAGCATAAACTGCTTCCAGCATCCCTCGATCGCATTTTATTTTCATTATTTAATTTACCTACACAATTTTAAAATTATCATCAGGATGTTACCGCCCATTTACTTTTTACAGAAGAGATATATGTAACAATCTAGCTCATCCTTCAGCCATTTCTAACCAAATTATTATGATTTTTAGCTTATCTTATTGTATTATTTCACCAGGAATTAAAGTAGAGCTAATTGCTTTCAGCATTATCGTCCATAGTACAGATTACATCTATTCCTATTTCAATTAAAATCATCGGACGTCATAGTATTAAATTGACGATAAGGAAATCGGTGATTCATATTACTTTAGTCTTTGAGGTATTTCCTATGCAGACAATTATATGTCGGTATGAATGTTCTAATTAACAGCTCATTTGTAGTCTGTTGTACATTTCGACGCCTTATTTCAGTTCAGTCTCCAATTCTCGGATGACAGCAAAAAAATGGAAAATCTTGGTACATCAATTATCTTTAATCTCATTTAATTGGTATAAAATCTCTTGTTTAAATGAGTCTGAAATCGAATTCATTTCGATTGCTATTCGATGATTGAGCATCGAGTGTAAAATAGAGCATATGCATTGGTGTAGAGGTAACCATCTTCAGATTGAGTGATTATATTGACTGCACTATTAGAAGATAAAGTATTTATAAGCTTAATGAACAGTAGAAAAAGCGTGATTTTTTAAAATATGGTTCCGCAACTAAATACATACCGGTATCTATCATCTAAATTAAAGATTATTATTGCACGCCGGTGGAATTTCTTGAAACATCATTTTATATATTTTTAACGTTATACTCGCATTTCCCCGATTGTTTTATTTCAAGATAAGTACAAAGCGATTTTACTGATTTGCTAATACGTGATGGTGATTTATTTTTAAGTCTGTAGTAAAAGGCTTTTATGTAACAATTTATCAGAATGTTAGCGACGTTGTAATAATGATAGTTGAGAGTAATGGGTACCGTATTATTTTAATTTAACATCAAAAGGAAAAACTTTGCCCCTAACTGTGAGATGAACAGTGTTTTTATTCTTTTCATGTATGTATTAAGACAGGGAAAATTGATTCCTCCATCTTGACAGAATGACCTTCACAGAACCAATATGAGATAAAATGTGCAGGGATTGCTATAGCAACGCCTTGCCCTCCTTTCTCAAATAATTATAATTAATAGTCTATCATAGTAATAATTACACATATCGAGATGGTAGAAATTCTCTAATTATCCCCAATAAGGGTAAATAATAGATGAAAGATTGAAGCAGAATAATTTGATATAGGAAGAGTAACATCAAAGGAATATTGCTGTCATTTTTCGGGAGTTTTAATCTCTGTAAATAAACTATTAAAATTAGGGTTCATTAAAGGCAAAGATCCTACAGACGTCATTGCTTTAATTGTTCATCTTATTACCATAATATCGGATTAATCTGTGAGTTAGGATGAAAAGATTAATGCGCTATTTTTTCTTTAATTATTTTTTTGTACTCTTCTGATCGAGTGAAGAGTTGATTGAATTTACTGTTTGCATCCTGATGTTCATTTTTTTGGCTTTAGATAGCCTATACCTCTTAGTAGCAAATTTATTATACATTAGTAGACTCTCCTATATATACCTATTTATCTAGTTTATCACTTTGGATAATATGCAATTGTTTGTGACAGATTTTGTAATACATTGATAGGTTTTAATATTTGAATTATATATCTATTTTATTAGTTGGAATAATCTTCATTGCTAACGACGAATTCATTACACGTTGTCAACCTTCGACTAGAATACAGTAGATGGTTGTATACTATCATAGAGCTACTGATAAATATATTCTGGGGGTTAGTAGTATGGTTCCATCCATTCCTAGAACCTTTTCAGCTTTGATTAATAAGCTAAAAATATTCTTAGGAATGTCTGCAACACTATTCATTAGTTCATATCGCCGGATTACTAGTATCTATATAATTCTTGAGATACCTGCAGTATCAATATAGATTTACTCTCTACTGAATTTACCTTATATATCGGAAGATTTTATACAGTATCGCAACTTTGTAATTGGATAAACAATTATGTATTACATTATACCCGCTAACAAGAATTGATCTCATCTACCTTTATGTAATAATAAAAGGTTTGTTAGTACATCGGCTAATTTTGAATTACTTATAATCCTGTGTTTGCGTCCTTAAAGATGTATCCCTTTCCTTTTAAGTATAATAGCAATAAAGAATAGAGAATGCCTAATTCTACGTTGTATTAAGTCAATCAACATTATTTTAGCATCAACTATCTCGGCTTTAACGGTGTATCTACAATTAGCTAAATAATGTAACTAGGTACAATAATTATATAATAAATATTGAAATATCATGATTGACTGACTGTAAATTAAAATTAACCTTATCCATTTATTGGGAAGAAATACTTTGGGATTTGGATAATGGTATTAAATTACAAAATCAATAACAGATATTATTGAAGAATTTTATAATTGATAACATATTAATGAATCGCCTATAGAACAGATCGTAGTCATCTAAATATTTTAAAATGCGGCAAATTATCACTTTTCGGGTTAGCTTATCTTTAAATTGACGTAGATAGGATAATAATTGGATAGATTATCAATCAATGCCACAAAAGATAATCATCTATCGATAACATCAATGACGTTGATTATTATTCCTGCCACTGATCAACATAACTTCTGCCATTTTATAGACTAGAATGATTATTTCTTGTGTATCGTCAATTGATAACCTGCTATGCTCTCTATTGATTGTTATGACGCAGAAAGTAAACCATTTTCCTGGAATGAGTGAAATCTGTCGGAAAGATTTATTGGTCCGAAATATGAATAGGCTATATAAATTGTTTCCTGAGGAATATAAAATTTATCCTCGATCTTGGTGTTTACCAGCAGAGTGAGTTTGCTATCGCTAATGTTTTATCGACAACCTGATGAATAAAGTATTACTTCTTTAGCGTATTACATTTGACTTACCATAGCGTTTAAAATTAATCAAGTTGATTACCGATTACAGTTACAGCGATTTAATGGCTTACTCTAGAAGTAAAAAGAACAAGACTTACATTATCAAACCGGAAAATAGCTGTCAAGGCAAAGGCATCTATTTGGTCAAGAATATTAAGGTATGCAAGAAAAAAGAGAAATATTAGGAATCAATCTTTTCTCATCTTGGCAATTTTCTTCACTTTACTCCGTGAAATACTCAATCTGATTTAATAGACATGATTAAAGCTGCCTTACTTATCCACTATATCTTATATGAAATCAATTTTCTTTTTTATCAGGATATTAAGCCCAATGAACATGCAGTCTGTCAGCGTTATATCTCAAAGGTAAAATGAAATCTTATAACCCTCAGCTGATCTTTTCTCAAGTTAGAATATCATAAATGAGTAGTTTAATCTTGATAATTGGCTAATTCTACATCATATGTAATGCTTTAGCCGGTTTTAGTAGTATTCTTGTAAAGATAAAGGAGTAATATGCTAACCGTTAAAATAGAAATTGGAGAATTATTTAAATGAATATCAGTTACGAGCACTTAATTATTGCTCTCAACCTTAATATAACTAAAATTAAAAGAAGTTGATCTATGTCTAAGAATATTATTTCCTGTTTTTAAATAGCCGATGTTACTAGATAGTTATAAATTTGATCTGCGTGTCTACGTTCTCGTTACGTCTTGTGATCCATTAAGAATATTCGTCTATGAAGATGGTTTAGTTCGTCTAGCTACAACTAAATATATTGATCCTACTACCAATAATGTGGTAAGGACTCTTTTAAATTTATTCACCTTACCGGCTTGATCAATAGTTCTATTATATTGTTTTTAAAATATGCATTGGCTAAAAATTTCAACTATGTATCGCTCTTGTATCATTTAGGATAATACCTATATGCATTTAACTAATTATGCCATCAACAAGAATAGCAAAGATTTCATTCGCGATGAGGAATCCGGTAGTAAAAGGTACATCAATTCATTCTCAATTTTTTAGAAAGTAAATAAGAATCTTTACCCACATCCAAATCTACAGAAAAATTAGAATTTGATAGAGTACCTTTTACCCACTCCGTGGTCTATGATTACTGTAAAACTCTTTACTTTTGAGCAAAAATGATGATAACATTTGAAAATTAACGCATTGACTTGAGCTGGAATTTATAAAAAATAGTCGACGATTCTTTCCTATCCGACAATCAGTAGTCAAAATTAAGTCTAGTGCATCTTTTATGTAACATCCAAGTGATGACATCCTATTTGTTCGATAGGAAACTGACAACGTTGAATAAATGGTTTAAGAATAATGGTTATGACGTGGATAAGATATGGAAGGATATCGAGGTAGAGCCTATACGAAAGCCTTTTTATATTCTTGCTGTTGGGTATTTTTGATCGTTTTTTCCAAAGCATGACTAATCATCTGCTTTTCATTAAATCTTTCTAAACACTTTAGGATATCATTATCAAAACTTTAATTACTGCTCATCCCATCCTCGTCCATAACTACAGAACTTGCTTTCCGAACCATAATAAGGGATGTGCTTGCTTTGAAATATTAGGCTTTGACGTAATCCTGGATAAGAAATTAAAACCATGGCTATTGGAAGTAAGTTCTATCGTAGCTATAAATGAAGTAGAATTCGATAGTAAGGTTGATTAATGGATGAACTCTCTCTAATTATCAAGGTTAATCATTCTCCCAGCTTTCATACGGATCATAAGCTGGATAAAGAAGTTAAAGAAGGTCTTTTATACGAAACACTTTGCCTGTTACAATTATCATCATCGGATAAACGAAAGTGCATTGAAGAAGATAAACGAAAAATCAAGGAACGTTTATTCAAAAAGCAAAGCAGCTTTGGAGCCAAGTAAGTCCTTCTTATTAGCAATTGATTTTTACTCTACTTCTACGGTAGTTGTAAGCAAGGTGTTATGAAATACATTTCCTTACTCTGCTATGGATAAGTGTTTAAAAATCTGATAATATAAGATAATTTAAATTGCTATGGACATAATTAGTTCAGTAAAGTAGCTGCTCACGCTTATGATATAGATGTATAAATAGTAATTATTTAAGTTTGATAAGAGTTCAATAATTATATATTTCTGACACGATATTTCTGATCGAATAGGCGAGAAGAAGCTGCCCAAAATTATGAAAAACAACAGAAAGTTTCTAAAGACTATGAAGATAAAAACTGCGTAGGATACAGGTAAATCTTGATCGATTAATCTAATTTTCATCCAATTAACAGAATGAAAAGTGCAAAAACAGTTTAATTAATTAATGGCATAGTTCATAATCGATCTTAATTCTTTATGTATTTAGGCGAATTTATCCTGAAGGTAATGTGGAAGAATATGAAAAATATTTTGTAGAAAGTGGCTCATTATTTCAAGAAACTGCTGCTTCACGATCAAGAAGAGAATTAGCCAAGTAAGTTTGATCCAATCTTTATTCTATATATTGATGTAAAATGAACGAAGATTTTAATTTGCTGATATTAGCAGTAAGATTAAAGCTTATTGCCTAAAACAGACTATTCTTACTAAATTATTCCTAGTCTATCTAAATGATGCGATGTAGTTTTCATTATAGCTTACTAACACAAGAATGGCAGAGTATTAATAAATTTATTTTTACACTGTCATCACAAAACACTTTAGGGCTCAACGGGAAGAAATCAGACAAAAACAAGCTGAATTAGAATCTTTCCGAAATAAGGGAAAAGGCCAAAAGATGCAACGATCATCCTCTATTTGCGATAGTAATTTAAGGCCTGAAAGTCCTGGCAATATTGTCCGTCCAATGAAGATGAAGCAAACTAAGAAACCCCCTGTTCGTCTCGAAAATCGAATTTCCAAATGCTTTAAAACGCCCGAGGTATATTTTAATCTACTCTACTCTATTTAAGGATCAGTATTTATGATGGTCTCTATTTAATTCCATTTAGGATATCGATAATGAGCCACTTCCTGAACCTGTAGATATAACTAAACCTATTGATATCGATGATGTTGAAGAAGCTGCTCGTATAGCTGTCTTGTCGCAACGAGATCATATTGTTCGAACCTCTGGAGTAGTTGAAGTAGTTCGAAGATTATTAGCTCATGTAGCTAATTCTAAAATCCATTTCCGCTCGATTGTAAGTTTTTTGAACTATTAGTATCTCAATTCTAGTGCCTAATAGGTTGAGATGGATAACGCTAAGGTTTTACCTAATAAAATTGGCTAACAAGTATTCTACTCTGTTTTACGTAGAGGAGAGATTCGCAAGAAGCTCTATTAAGATTCAAAATGCTGTCTTTTGATCATGATTGCCTGGAATCCATTGGTAAATTAGGAATAGCTGCTCGACCGTCGTCCACTTCTTCATCTACTGCTGGTGTTCGCCCTAATACGACAGAAACGGATGATCATGATCGCTATCGAGATTGGAATAAATCCGGTTTAAATTTCGATCATGGGCAGATTTCTCTAATCAATCCTAAACTAGCATCGAATAAACGATCGAATAAAACCGATTGGAAGCAGTTATCGGTCTTGGTCGAAGTAGAGGAAGAAAGAGATCATTCTAAGCATCGAAAGGAATCGAATTTAGTAGCAGCACAATACAGACAACAATCGCAACATCCTTCTACATCTCATAATTCATCAAAACAGCAAGCCCAACATCAATCGATGTATAATATTTCCAGCAATCATGCAACTCATCTGCCCATTTACATTCCTATAACAGCATCACAGTATGTTAATTCTGCTTCTTTGCTATCAAGAAGATCGTTTAAAGGCAAGCACCAGAGTAATTTAACTGTAATTTCAAGTCCAGCACCGGTTAGTAAGCGTCCTGGACTCAGCTATATACATCCTCCACAAAGTTTTGATCCACTCCCTAACCCTAATATCATTCATCAAGATGATAAGCTTTTAAGTATAAAGTCTTATTCTAAATTGATACCATCGGTTCATCGACCGCCTACTTTAGTTTCAAAGTAAGTAGAGCTTGTTAATTTTGAGGTATTGTTATAATTAGCGTAATACAGCAGAGATCGATCTTCAATCTTGATAAATTAACCGATTGCCTTTCTATTTATTTCATTTGTTAGAACAACTAGAACTCAACGAGCACGCGATGCAATTAATACCATGAAATTAAAGGTAACTTGGATAGGAAATAATATAAATTTACCGCATTTATTCATGTCTGTGCAGAGTATATTTTTAACAAAATGATAGTTGTTAACTATTTGTCCTATTATTATATTTATAGCAACTGGAATTACAACATAGCCAGCTGGTAACCTTAAATACTAATTAAAAACGTCATTAGAGCTGTGATCATGTGCGCAATTAAAGTATATCCAGAGCGCTCGCTCAAATTTCAAGTTGTCGATCATTTCCATAATGGACTAACAGTGCAGTTAGCAAGCTGTATAATATCATATCTACCAGCATTCGCTAATTTAATCGCCAATGATAAAATCAAGAGATGAAAATCGCACCAAATTAATTTTACTAATCCATTCATCGGTTGTAAAGATGATGTAGAAAATGATTTTAAAATGTTTATGTTTATACTATATTGTATGAAATTGTATTTTTCAATCAAGATATTTGATATCTAGTGCACCAATAAGTATTCTATAATCCAATATATTAGCTATGAACTTGCTATCAAAGTGAGTGATAGATTTAGTTAAATGAGTAATAATAGCGATGATATCGATCACTGATACTGAAATAGAGTCATTATTTCCAATTATGAGCTATCGTTATCAAGATCCCTGGAAGCTGTAAGGATTGAAGATAAATTATCTGGAATATCCCCTGCATTCATGAACCAGATTACCATAAATTGACTAAAAGTATTATTAATTAATATCACGATGGAAATGTAAATAATATTGGATAGGTTACTCGTCTCATTATTTTTTATAATCATAACTGTATACAAAATTTTTCTTTATCAGCTATAATCCAACTTACTCCACCACGATCCTATATTGAGCATGATATTGTATGTTAAACGACTTTAATAGCCATTGATGGCTATCTTCGAATAATAATTATCATATATGCTATTTGACTTTGATGGTATCAATTTCTCTGTCATGGTACTGTCAAATTTATAAACTGTATTTAATACATCTATACATAATGTGATGTATAATGAAAATATGATTCGATTTTTGTAGCAATAATCATCGTAATTTGATATATTTATACGCACATATTGGTAATATACCATGATATATTCAAGTTTATATTGTTATAATCCACTGCAAACAGTGGCGAAAAATATGATATGGTAAATCTTGAAAATAAAATAATCGATTTTCTAAATTTTATTACTGTCCTCATGACATGATGTAGATTAGCTTACGCATGATTTAACTCTCATCGACTACTTTGCTATCGCAAAATATGATTTTGACCTGCATATTTATCGATTTTAAGTTGCCCTCGATTGTACATGCTATTTCAACGACATCCTTTTACGATTGATAGGTTAATCGACATAGTATTTCATAATTATCACATGTATCCATTATGGGCTACCGCATCTTATCTAGTTTCTGAGTTTATCTCGTCGTGTAGAACTTAACTTTCAATATCTATCAACTAGCAAAATTGTCAAGTTGGTTTTATTAATTATATCTTTTTTGAGTTTAGTAGATCAATCGTTTTAATGTTTACTTTTATAATTATCGTATACACCCCTTATAGTCCACCGTATCATGTCTAGTTTCTGTATCCGTATCATCGTGCAGAACTTAACTTATCTTGGTGTGGTGTTGAATACTGATACTATTAACAAAATTGTTCAAGACCGCATGGAATATTGTATCCATTAGTGTTAGTACGAACTCCTAATACTCGTAAACTACTTTAATAAGCAGTTTTTTTAATTAACTTGAACGAAATCTATCCTATCTGTTTTTTCTTCGATTCTTATCTTCATGTAGTTTATTTCCAATATTAATCAATTGGTACAACTTCTCTAACTTACATCTTCCTAATTAATTCTTGTCATAAATCAAGAATTAAAAATTTCGAGATATCTTCATATATTTGAAGTAGCCGAGCATCGTAAAATTAAATATATCCCGAAGTATCTATATCGTTAACAAAGTATAAAAATCCGGACCAATGATTTGATTGACAACATCAAGTAGCAATTGCATACTTTATTTCTGCATAAGGAGTTACAAATTCCTAGAAGCTAGCTAACTTATCACTCCTCACTTGTCATTACTTATTATGCCTATTCCTTTGTCATTGTAATTATATTTCATAAGCAATCTTCACCTACGCAGTAATTAAGATCTGACAAGGGTATAATCCACCGCTCCGAAGTGAGAATACAGGTTGGATTGGTAACTCGACAAAAAAGTGACAATATACAGTATAACACTACACAGGAACGGATAAACAATATTTGCTGTATCATAATCATTTAAATTTGGAAAAGCCAACGATAATGTTGATTGAATTATTGTTTACATGTTATTCGCATATTCTTATCTTGCTTATGCCATATTTTATCTTATTTTACATCGCCTTATCTTGTTTACGCAAAGTCTTATCTTAATTATGGTGTACAGTTTGATCAACACTAATTCGGCTTTTATCCCTTTAGCATTAAAGCAAGAAGAGATAGAAATCGGTCAATTCATTTAGCAGGTTCATTAAAGCTGAATTGATGCCAAATGTTTTCCTTTATTGAATATAAATACTCTCTAAAAATAATATATAGCTTAAATAAAAGCGGCCAGTAGCCTATTATTGCAGTGTAAAATCTTACAGACATGCTGCTATGCGTATTAGATATAAAAGATTTACTTTAAACCATGCTTTCTCTATTTTGTTAATCAATCTGTCTCTATATCGTAGCTATCATTTATTAACCTGTATAAAACTGTATATATATTTCTATATACTATATAGAACATCCATCCTTTGCTCATCTTAAAAATTGCATAGCAGTGATATAATACAAATTGATAGAATTAATACTACGTAGGTCTTTCCAGCGTTTCTAGGCAAGATTGCATATAGTCATCAATATTTTGCGTATTATGAACAGCTTCTTGAATCATATCCTTGATAATGTAAGGCCAAAAGCGTTGGACTATGCTTAACTTTCGATTAATTTTACTTGCGCCTTCGGTATACTTGTGAACTATCGATTTTAACGCTGAACGAATATGTTGATATTCCTACCATTTGATTATCGTAATTAAGAATAAATCATCTCTTAAATTATACTCTAACTGACTGTAATGAAGGTAATCTATTCTACTTACCTCTGTTTGTACTCGATAAGTGCTTGGTTCTTGATATTTTAATAATGATATTGTTGCGGATTTTGATAAGTCCTAAGAGAAGTAGAGAATGTACCATTGACCGTGTATATTCTAGAAAGTAAACTTTTTTCAATTTTTTTTATATTACGAGTACAACGTGGATAAATTATAATTAAAAATATAATTAGCAACATGTAATATACTGACCTCTACCGATTTTGGGTGGGAATAAATATAACAAGATGTTGTGGCTTGCATTAAATTATTAAATAACATTTCACAAGTATTGATATCTTCGCTTGTAATCTAATAGGAAAATACAGAAAATTGGGGAAAATAGTCTTCGTTAACTCCACTACTATGGCAATATTATTGAGTATTAACGGTGGAGAGATAGATGATTAACTGGGCCTACGAGAGCTAATTTTCAAGAGTAATACCTCCTTATGATTAATTGATTGCAACTGCAAATTCGATAGTCGAAATAAGGCATAGTATTTCCATAATTGTAAATGTACTAAACTATTGCCTTCAGGTTCAATAATAAGGTGATCGAGGCTATCCAAGGTAGAAAGTGTATTCAACTGAGAAAGATGGCGTAAATTATTATTTGAAAATCGTAATTCCTGAAAGGCAACGGAAGATAAGATTGAAAATTTTCCCTCATAAGAGTTGATTTTAAGTTGATAAGAATGACAAAATATTTATAAGTGTTGCTTTATTTGCTATAGAGCAGATGGATATAATATTATAGAGAAATTAAGCAATAGACTATAAAATCAAGGGTTGGCTTACTCTTAAGTCCCGAAAGCGATTTTTTAATTTAACCAAGTAAGGAATAATATCGTCAAAAGAAATATATTTAAAGGAGATTGTGTGAACAGTAGATGGCAATTGTAATCGTTCCACGCCTTCCAAGGCACCAGTCCCAAATAAGTGCAGACTATTTTCTTCGATGTCGATTAAATAGCTGTCGGCCATACGGCCACTCGTATCCAGTGATTTTCGACATTGGCTAAATGATACAAATATTATACGCATGTATCAAGATTTCATTTTTAAATCTATCAATTTTTAATGTAGAATCTGTCACAAGTTTTTAGCTAATTGATATACGATTGCTAGTATTAGCCCACAATGGTTTATTTTGGCAAAGCTAATGGCTCGTAAGATCCTTAACAAGGAGCTTATTGCTAACTTTTGGCTGGATTTATATATGGTTAATAGCATTAAAGTAGAACAGATTCAGTTCAATCAAAATTTCTTAACCTTACCTCGTATTGCAAATATCCGAGTTGTAACCTTCTGATTCGCCATCATAGCCATCATGAACTGAATGATTGCTATATGTTAAAGGAAAGGATTGCTTATTTATCAGATTATGTTGAAAATTTGGCATGCTGAATTTAGGAATTTACCTATTTCCAAATTCTAATCGCATTTTCATTTCCCATTCTTTTTGAGCATTGATAATAGCTAGACGTTTTTTCTCCTGATTTATAAATACATGAAAGATGAGAATAAACATCAGATCATTCTTATAATTTCTGTGCGGCCATTATCATATCTTGAATCATTTCTTCTTACTTTCATAATGGCTGCTTTATGGCGTTCTTGTTGTTTTTCTTCTGCTTTACGAGCCATAATTGCGGAGGTTCTTCTCTCTTCCATCTATATTATGTGAGAAAAGGTCTTGCATTCATATTGTCATTATATTTTTTCGCTCGAATTTTATTTTCTCTCATCAATCAAGTGCTAAAGATGTTTGGTTTTAATTTTTAGCCTATCTATGAATACTGATGCTTTATTGTGATAAATTTTTGTTGGAGAAGTAAAGTTTGCCATTTCTTATGATAAAATGAATCACTATCATGGATTAGCTTACTGAAATTTTTTTCCCATCAAGGATTTTCAAATTTTGTAAGTAAATTAAGAAACCCGATCGATATTTTGAAGACTGGATCATGGGATTATCCTCTAACGTCAATTCTATCAAGGCACCGCATTTTAAGACAGAACTTGCATGGGAAAAGCTGGAAGAATTGCAATTAAAGGTTAAAGTATAGTAGATTTTAAGCAATGTTTGATTTTCAATTTTTGTTTTCATTACTTTTAATAAAATAAAACTTATTTTGTGAAATAGATAAAATCATCAATAGTACTTAACCTCACTTTATTCAGACATTGTCTCTATCTCACCTTGCAATTTTATTATGATCTAAAAACAGACGTTGTAGCTTTGGAAGCAGATTAACTTCATCCTGTTAAGAAGTTAGATTAAAATGAGAATCTTGAAGTGAAAAAGATAACTAAGAGAATATGATTTAGTTGAGATAGCTTGTTTATCACTTTGTTACTTGATTGATTGCAACAGTAAATTAACGACATTATTCATAACGTATATTAACTAATTGCCAAGATTCCATCTCCTTTAATTTATTTTATGCTACTCTATTATTTAATAAATTATTCTAGATTGTAAAAGTAAACTATAAACATCCTTCTTATAGCACAGTATATTAACGAACTTCCAGTATTTTTAATTCTTTCAATCAATTTTCTGCTACTCTACTATTTTAATAGTATAGTATAAATGTTATTCGCAAACCTATTTAGTAAATTATCATACTTATTTAGGATTCATCAACACTATTTCAATGCTAAAATCACGTTAAATTACCACTTTTGTAATTTGATTTTTTCTTAAATTCAGCTCTTGCAAGGAGCAAAGTCCTCCAATATTACTGACATAACTAATTTGGTTGCCAGCCAAATTCAATACTCTCAATTCCGTTAAATGATTCAGATTTTCAATCCGGCTAATCTGATTGCAATGCAGATCTAGGACATCTAATTTGGACAGTTGATCTAGATTTCGAATTTGCTTTATCCTATATTAAAACCAATCTAAGATGAGTTCCTTAACGAAAGAAAAGATATGAACTTTTCAATAACTTTACCCCTATGTCATTGGCTATTTACCTATTCTTGCCCAACATTAAGACTCTTAAAAATCTGACCGATTCCAAGTTGGCAATTTCGTCCAAATCATTATCGTATAAATCAATAAATATTAACCTTTTCAACATGGATAAATTATCGATCTTTTGTATGGAATTATGCTGTAAATTAAGTAATTTTAAATTAATATGATCTTCTATTAAGGCCGGTATGGATTTTAACCCACGCCTAATGGAAATAAGATCAATATAGCATACATATATGAGTTTACAGCATATTAATTAGGACATTTTACAAAAGTAATAAACAGTTTGATGTCAGATTTATCTTACCTATCGAGATTTAATCTATCTACTGTAATATCTTGAGCTGTAATAATTGGTTGATTTTCATCAGCAACATTTTCAGTAACTGGTTGGCAGAACGAAGCAGCTACTATCATGTATGAAGAAGAATAAAGTTTATTAGTACGCCTAGTAAGCATCAAAACATTCTAAGTTTCCATTCTATCGCGAAACATAAGTTTAGTAACTAGTACTATGGATATTGGTTTCATTTAGATATAAAGGGATGATGGTAATCTACGGAAGCATACTGACAAAGTCTGAATACTTATTCTATTCTACAACTGAGCTTAAATGTAGACCGAGAAAGGGTTCGATAGAGTACTTGATTTAAATAGTGATGCAATGTGTTTTGTAGGAATAATTCAGATCAGCATATTGGGTAATTCTTAGTTAAATTAGAAATGCAGATAGATTTATTGCTGTATTATATTGAGATTATATCAACTATCAACTGCTTCTAACCTGCTTTATCTGATCTTAGCTGCAGCTGCTTGGTTAAATTACGTATAGTTAACAATCCATCGCCTTGAGTTGAGATCTTTGATAGATGTTGCCTCTTTTCTATACCAGGCTGTTCTTGTGATGGGGGTAATATAACGCAAGCATGACTCTGACTATAGCCAAATCGGGTTGTACTAATGCCTAAATTAGTATGATCTGGTAATTTTTGCCCTAAACATTTCAAGGAATATATAATTTATAGCCAATTCAATTCACATTTTCAGCGTAAAACTTTCATAAAGTGCCGTAATAAATGAGATTCAGCAATGATATACCGTTAAGTTTACTTCTGATAGGAATAATAGATTCTGAAATTACGGCGTTTCCATTTTGGCTATGGTAGGTCTAAGTTAAAAGAGAAAGCATTAAAAATGATTTAGTGTGTTTTTCGTTTTAAAACGAGCAATTTATCTTTGATATTGCTATGATTTAGGGAATAATCTCATCTTGAGTTGGTTGTAATTATTCCCACTAATTAATAGAAACTATCAGGCATCACTTAAAATTATTCATTACCTATTTCAATATAGACAAAATCGCTTAGTAAAGTTACGTTATTATTTAATTTACTTTATTTATTTCTACGAGTTGGATAGTAATTGTTTCTATCAATTTACTATATTTTAGGCTATCTGAAAATCCGATATCGAAAAAATGGCTAGGATTCCTTTATGGAATCCTTTAATTAAAACTGTGACTATATTTCCTTCCTGTTCTCATTTTTTTCAAAGTAAAACCCGTAAAACTGTTGATCATTAATTTAGCTCATTCATTTCTGCTGATTTAGTTATAATTAATCATTTCCAACAGTTGATATAGGACTAGCTAGAAGAGTCTAATGTAGAAAGTGTGGACAGTATTTTCTCATGTTCTCACTTTATAAAAGTTAAACTTTCCGTAAAGCTACTTCAATATTAATTTAGCTCAATTGTTAAATGGAATGTAGTCATTTCTAACTATTACGGTAAGCTATCTAGAAGCCTGATATGAAAAAAATAGAAACCATTTCTTTATACATCTATATTATCAGAAACAAAGCCCCTTAAAAAAGCTACTTGATTAATTATTAATTTAGGTCATTTGCTCTGCTTATGAATTCTGATGATATAAGAAATTTGACCATAAAAGTCTTAAGATAACCATTTGTTAACTAGAAATAGATCTCCTAACTGTTTCTAACACTGACTGAGTTATTAGAAGAGCTGAATCATAAGCGATTATGTAGAAAATTTACGTGAGATGATAGATTGCCATATTAAATTCGTTTCATAAGTCTTCTGAAGATGAGATGCCTTTTATTACCTCTATCAGCAACTTATGGCTGTCTAGAAATTATAATCTAAAGATGACTATCATTTCATTTCGTTCAGTTGTCTTCGCTTAGAACCAATCATATGGTATAGAAATGGATTGCACGATTTCTATTTACATTTTATCGTAAATATGTAATTAAATTTTATGTATGGTTGATAAATCGTTATTTGTCTTTCAATAACTAACAACGACTGGTTATTGCTCTAATTCAAGGTTATTCTACATGATTCCTATCTGCTAAGTGCTATAGCTAATTGAAAGATTTAAACATAGGAAGAGGTTTAAGAATGTTATAAAGTTATAGAAACTAGCTTTTTAAAATAATGACAAAAAATAGAGGCATGACAGTTCTAGCAGCAGTTATAGAAGTATAAAGTAGTTTTTTGAACTTGGCTATATCAATCCACAAAAAATTTTGTTGGAGTACTAGCTGTGTTATTAGTTTATAAGGATATGAAATTGGGAGAACTGCTAATAAACTAATTTAATCGATCATTACTCGTGAGAATTGTAATGATTTTGGCTTCTCGGAAACTAGTTAATACTTGTATTAAAGGCCATAGTGCTAATTTTTTTCCGCTTTTTTCATGGTAACAGTTACATTAAAAGAAAGAAAGAATAGAATTATCACGATTATACTACTCACCTATTTAATTTAATATGGAATTTTATTGAGAAATTTTTAGTCTATAACTTTTATCAAGGATATTTAGAGTTGGCTGAGTTAAGGTAAATCGTACTACAGTATTTCGATTCGATATTTTTTATCAATATAATCAAAAGATAGATTTAAAATCATGTACTGTACAACTGTTTAGCTTATGAAACATTTTATCGTCAAACACGCAGTATTTTATATTATAGCTGAATAGTTTCATTGTAGTTGATCATTGTGAAATTAGATCAGTTGCCCGGATATATTATTTGATAGTACTCCATTTTAATACATTTTATCACATCATTGAATGATGGTTATTATTTTGCGTGGTCAAGCATTTTGGTATAAATTTACTTTCTAACAAAATAATGTAAATACAATTAAAGATTATACAATTTGATAATTTTGATCGTCTTAAGGTACTTCAATTTGATATTTTGGATAGGCGTAATCCTAGGATAGAATCCTAGCTAATATACTGTACAAACAGTCCATAGAATTTGAAAATTTTCCTTCATAAATCTAATATTGCGCTAGCTACGCTAGATTCTAGTCTATAACTACATAATCAAATTATAGCTCACTATAGGCATAGGATTACTTCAGTCCTATTATACTTGATGCTTATGAATGATAGCTGCAGCGCTTCATTTTAATCGGTATAATCAAATTATTGAATCCGAGTTATCATATTATACAACTGCTAATTAATAAGAAATTTGATCAGTAAAATTAGGTCAATTCCTGATTTCGAATTGCCTAATGTGATTAAAACGGATGGATATGAAATTAGTATATCACAGTTTTAGTAGTATATTTTTGAATGATTTCTATCGATGCGATCCCAGCCTAATATTATTGATTTGTCGTTATAATGCATCTTCTATGAAATAATTATCCTTAAACTCGTACATTTATTCTACTATAATGTATTGGAAAGAGTTATAAATTCATTTAGAAGAATCGATTTATAAATAGCCTTAAGAAGGATGACTAATTTCAGCTCAATGGTTTAACCGGTTTAAACGTGAAATCCAATTCGATAACTTTACTAAGAATCATTTTTATACTGGGTAAATGATTCACGACTTGGCGATTACGTTTTCTTTTTCAAATTCGACTTTACATTGCTTCCCTACTCACCACATAGTAATTTAATAACTACAGTAAGTAGGCCTACCCCTGTAGCCATAACAACAATTATCATCAGCAGCAACTATAAATTAATTCTACAGGATATCGATTCGAAATTTCTGTTGCCATTTAACAACACATAGAAAATGATCATTTGAACAAGATTAAACTCTAACTGATATAGATGGATAAGTATTGAATGGATTGGTAGGATACTTCATGAACTGATCGTAGATAAAATTGAGAGAATAAAGTGATGACATTGAATAGTTAATCTTATCGCTTATCGAGTGCATGGTGCTATCTAATTGGCTTAAATTTAGTAGGGAGTTATAATGTTAAGACTAGAGTTAATCGATAATGTAGGCAATACTTTATCTAAGAGAGTTAAATTGATCAATTGTCGGCTAGATTAAAAATCAGAGAGTTGATAAATCCTACTAACGATATAGCTTGAAATTTACAACTTGTTCCTATCCTTCAACGAAGTTTGGAGATAAAAATATTTTTCAAATTCAATTGGAGTTAGCTGGTAATTGTTGGTATTTTATCATAGTAAACAAATCAACTCGGTTAAGAATACTGTTGTTTAACTATTTGTTCCTACTCAATACGGTAGGGATGACTCCTTCAACCTTTCCATAGCCATGTATAAAATGACTCATAGTGCCGCTTGTACTATCAACCGGATTGATGACAACAATTTTTCCACTTACCGGCTTAACAGGCGCATAATTCGATGGTCGATTTAATTTCTGCTTAGGTCGATGATACATGTTCATGCATGTGAAAAAGTTAACGTGGTCAAGAACCGATTTTAAATTCTTTTTCTCATCTACATCTAGGCTCTCATCCCTTCATCAATCATCTTAAATTGGACGTTATTTCTTGTAGAAAAATAACTGTATATTATATAAGATTGCTTTAGAACGTTACTGTATTTAAAATTGGGTTTAAAACAAACAATAGACGGAATAATTATCCTTGTCATTTCTTTGTATCTTCATCGAACAAAAGTATTGACATAATTTGTTTATAAGACAACAGTATGACGTTGCTAATAGAGAATGGATCGGTGACTTGTCTTATTACTATGACATAGTTCATTTTGTAGTATTATTACATTATTTTATTAGAATGGGGCAAAGGATGATGTTAGGGAGAATCCAGTTATAATCGATGGACTATAACAAGCATATGACAGATTCTGGATAGAAACAATGAGCTGCTTGTAAAGTGCGCATAATATCCTGTAGAATATGCTTTGATAGGTAACATATACATACGCAGATCAATTGAAACTGGCATCTATAATAAATCATAGACTATCAGTTTATTGTGAATAAATGCGTAGATTAAGACATGTAGGTAAAAAATATTTCATTAAATTACTTTGCGTTTTGTAATTATATGAAAGATCAATTGAAGCTGCTATAACTAATAATCCTATGCAACCAGTGTAAGAGAACACACAGATAACTAAGATGGCAGAACATCAGCGTCACCTAGCAGGAACACTCTGTATTTGTAGGCCTATCGATGCGATAGAACAGACTGGATTGCTCTAAATTGCTGCTTTTTTACTTCCAAAGAAGTTGTTCCTTGTAGTATGCCCATACTATGCTAATAATAAATACGCAGATGCATGTAATACATATAAAGGATTAGTCTCGCTGGGAAAGTGTAAGAAGCTTAAATTCAATGCTTTTTAATATGCTAAATTTGTTATGCCTCTGATTTACATATGAATGTTATAGTTATATACTGAGCTAAGATGCTAACAGATATCTACGATAGCATGAAATATGTACAACATGACTGATAACGCGCTCAATTTTATCCGATATCGGCCTCGGTTGTTACCAAGCTATCAAGTAACATATTTGATAACTTGACTGCAAAATTTACTGCATATAAATCATGATCGGATAAAAATTCAATGGTATGGTAAAAACCTAGGGAGCACGTTTAGCTTCAATTAATGGCTACCATATAAGTTGCCCTGCCATATTGCCGATAAGAAAGTGTAAATTATGTCATCCAATTAATCATAATCATATCATCATTGCTTCCAAGAATTCTTGCGGTATCATTTATAATATCGATGGAGTAAGCAAGCCTTAGACAATAAAACTGCCCCCATTTATTAGTTACTGTTGAATTTTATTTACAAATTGTCTGAAATGTGATCGTATGACAAAATTATAAAATTTCTCGTTATAAATAGTATCTACATGAGCCTTATACTAATAAAACAGCATTAATGCAACCATCATTTTCTGGATTATTCGTTACTTGCGCATATTTGCCTATATACGAGTACATGCAAGCACAATCATCATGAGTAGGAGATAGGCAAGTAAGGTTGTTAAAATAACTAAAGAATTGCAAATTCTGTAAATCTGTTTTGCTGATATATGCGTATGTTTACTCACCCCAAACTACTTTACCGCCTTGAGTTACTAAACCGAGTTCACTTACATTGACCTAGTCAATTTGAAGGAATAATGAAGTTGTTAAGGATATTACTTACAAATCCTTAATTATATTAATATGCTACAGGCATGATCTGCTAAGTTCGGCTAATACAAAAATATAGATTCTATGCGTTGTGTTAAAGCCTATACGGCGTGGTGTTAAATCCATACAAACCTCTACGACAGTTCCTTTGGTGATAACTCCCAATTGGGTAAACATGGGAGATTGAGGATTCTTTTTGACTCCAATAATTGGAAGGCAAAATGTAGCTTTCAACTAGTAATGGAATTATGTTTTAATAAGTTATTAGTTTTATATATAACTCTAAACTAGAAGCATTTCTCATTGCAAACTTACTTCAGGATGAGTAACATGAGCTTTCTTAAAACGCAACCCCTACAAGATTAAAAATTGTCCGTTTATGCCTGATTAATATTAAAGAAAGTTGACAAATACTTATGTGCTAACCAGAACTAGTATACTGTAGATTCTAAAGTTAACTAAAATGAATACCATAGGTCTTATGAATCGTTCGAATTTAGCAGGTTTTCTGGTAAAGTTTTCTCCAACATAGCACGCCTTAGTAATCATTCTTTTCCAGCCTTTTTCTGATGTTGTAACGTTGAATATGTTTTGAATGGTGATAGCATTAATACATTAATACAGGCGACAATCCTTAAAATAGACAAAACTAAAGAGCACTACGAAGGTAATATATAGAGTAAATTAGATATTTTTGATGATTAGTAGCTTACTTCTGCTTTTGCCAGTTCGAAGAACTTTAAATACCTCCTCTTCGCCAACGGCACGCACCTTTGGCAATGGCACAGTCCATTTACCCTAACGGTTGTTGAAATAGATCAATTTAGCATTATCGTTATAAGTAGCATTGAAGAACAATGCTAATTAAATGTTTATGGAAAGTAAATCTTCTTACAGCCTTCTCTTTCCGCTTCTGCTTAACCATATTACTAAGAATTTTAGCGCGACTTTGGCCTTCTCTGAAGTGATATACAGTACATAATTAAACTGCTAGAATACTTAGATTTACAAACATAAAATATAGTACGTTTATAACGAAGCAATGAGTTTCGATGCTGAAGTAGTTCTTACCTTTCCAACAGATAGGCTGGTACAGCACCTTCAGGAACTGCATCTTCTTTCTTTGTTTTGCTTTTCTTCTTTTCATGCATCTTGAGTCTACCATAATAAATGAAGTATTATTTCTTTGTATGTATATCAACAATTGAGCTATCGATCATAACGTAATATTGTCATACATGCATTGGAACAAATTATCAAGATTTGCTAACAGAGTCTATACTACTTGATTTCTATTAATCCGCTATAAATTGAAGTCAACTTACGTCTTTTGCATCTGTACTTTCTCGGAATATCTTTGTTTATGATAAAGCTTAGCTCTAAAAGTATTGATAGGCAATAAGATTCACTTTACAAATATATAGCAAATGGAGTTTAGCAGCCGGCTGGTAAATGGACATAATATAATAATAATTCAAATTTGATCAGATCAGTAGGTATAAGGTGACGTAGATGACTTACTTTATGCCCTTAAGTTTCTTGGCTTTTTGTGCTAAAGCATGGGGTTTCCTAGCTTCTCTTTTCCGCCTATAAAAGAGTAATAAGATAATTGGAAAATTAAAAAATTTTTAACATACCGCGATAAGTACATTTGATTTATGTTTGGTTATTACTGCGTAGAATTATTGCAAGCACCAATTGTGTATCAGCCAATATGAAACAGGTTGGAAAATAATATTATCCCTGGTATCATTACAGTAATTCGGATAAAGTTGAACGAAATCTAATCTACAGTACTTATTACTTTCAATGCATCTTAAATGACAACAGAATAAATTTACTGTGAGCTACAATCATTATTTCTTATGGATATTATAAGCATACTGCTAATACTTTGATCATTATACTGTATTAAGTATTGTTGATATAAAGTGTCCTGCTGTACATTTAATACTGTGATGAGTACAGTCGAATATGAAATCGATTCTGCTCTCATAGGTAGCACTACCCCTAGTATTATTACAGGTTGTAAAAGTGACTGGAATTTAATCCATTTATGACTTTCTTGATCTCCTATATCTTCAATAATAACAGAATAAGGCTGCTATTTAATAGGATCGCCATTTTATAGTGTATTATAAGTATCCTGCTGTATATTAATACTATGATGAGTACAGTTGAGTATGAAAGAGATTCTGCTCTGGTACGTAGCACTACCCCTGGCATCATTACTGGTCGTAAAAGTGAATGGAATTTAATCCATTTATCACTTTCTTGATCTCTTATATCTTCAATAATAACAGAATAAGGCTACGATTTCATAAGATTGCCATTTTATATTATAAATATCCTGCTGTATATTAATACTATGATGAGTATCGTTACTGGTCGTAAAAGTGACTGGAATTTAATCCATTTATGACTTTCTTGATCTCCTATATCTTCAATAATAATAGAATAAGGCTACGATTTAATAGGATCGCCATTTTATAGTGTATTATAAGTATCCTGCTGTATATTAATACTATGATGAGTACAGTTGAGTATGAGAGAGATTCTGCTCTGGTACGTAGCACTACCCCTGGCATCGTTACTGGTCGTAAAAGTGAATGGATTTCAATCCATTTATGACTTCCTTCGTCTCCTATATCTTCAATAATAACAGAATAAGGCTACTATTCCATGCAATTGCTATTTTTATAGACTACTATAAGAGAATTTTGGTATTTTGATCGTCTTTGTCATGTTCAAGGACACTCGCTTAGCTCGAACACGCTGTACAACACTTACATTCTTTCAAAGTGATCCAAACGTTGGCCATGGCGTTTCCTGGCCAATTCGATATATTCATTTTGAGGCTAGAAGAATTATGCAGTCATGATATTCATGCAAGAATAAATTGAACCATCATCTATACAGCCATTATGATATAATGATAGAATAGTAACTGAATATGGATACTTTACTCACCATGGTGTTCAATATTCAAGTCGGTCTAAGGTCAAGTCCAAAAGAAATAGTCTGTATACTCTAGTATCGTTTACCTTTATACAACAACTCATACAATGGATATATAATTGTCGATTTTATACAGGAATAGTAGACAATCTACAGTGATTTCAATCGATGATTTAAGGTAGATTCTACTGGAAGATGGAGAAGAATTAATGGAACAGCCAAGTCGCAATGGAGGCAGTGCTTCCAGCTTGCCACGTTATTTCGCAAGTGAGCTACAGTTGCCAACGAATTTTGACTACTACGGTATTGCTCTTGACTAGTGTTTGGTCACCACTACTCAAGATCGTCCTCGTTCAGCTCATCTTTTAGCGTCATCGTTGATTGCATTCTTGCCGCTGCACTCGGTAACTATGGTACTCAATCATTGCTCTACTTCCATACTGTACTGTATTAGGAGTACGCCGGTCGGTAGGTTGACTTCAAGGGTAATCCTAAGGCCGATAGGTCAAATGTAAGCCTCGCCATACTAAGTCAAGTACTAGTCTCTATCATGGATAAAGTGCCATACAGTACGCTACAATTCTCCACAACTTCTGGTGTCTAGTCAATACACTATATTTGTACCAAGACGGTCGTTGGAGCTCCATCCTCTAAACTATAAGTATATGTATAATTATATCTATCTACATACGTAACAATAAATAGAGTAAGATATAGACGTAGATAGTCCTGGATAAACTACGTATTGTATAATATTGTATGAAGACGATCGTTCCTGCTAGTTGAAACTAGCATTCTCCATTTTCGAGGCGATACAGAGATAGATATTAACACCCGATGAAGACGTAAATCGAAGATAGGCGAAAGTATTGATCGCATATCTTAGAGGAATATCTTGCAATCGACTCTGCATATTGTTGGGTAGATCGTACGGTATATCTTGGAAGGATACTGGATGACAGTTACAAGCTGCAGATTCGGTATTCTACAAATCTTCCACAATGATTTTTATCGTTATGGGTGTAAGCGGATGTGGCAAGTACGTATAAATTACGAATAGAATAAGCTAATTTATAATTTAGTAACAGGTCTTGATTTGCATTTGGCCTCATAAGCCTCCATTATGGTCCAACAAAGTTACTTTTGCTTAATGTATATTCATTGTGCTGCCTTGAGCAATCTGAGTTCTACAACTTAGCAAAGAATTCATTTTTCTTTCTATAGGACTACTATAGGTAAAGCGTTAGCAAAGAAGGTAATAGACATTATGAATCAAGTTTGCTCAATACAGTACTGTATATATATATATGTTCAGTAATACCCTATATTTGCAATATTGCTATAATTTACAATACTTAATGCATTTTAATCTCTTAAATGTAATTACGTAAAGTACCATACTAGTGTTTTGAGAAGGGTACTTTTTATATTGTAGTCTATTGATGATGATTCGCTACTTTGCCATATACGTGTATGTAGATAGGATGCCTCTTTGCCGATGCTGATGATTTTCATCCACCGGCAAATGTCAATAAAATGAAATCGGGAATACCATTGACTGATCAGGTATCCTATCCTAGATGATATTACCACCTTTTTACACGTTAACAAATTAAACAACATGATTGCAACTCCAATTTTCTGTATCCGAATTGAATTTTTTACAAATTAAAACGCTACTAATGTTGTTTTCATATGATACTTTAATTTTATAGTCATTTATGATATTCAATTATGCGTACATATTCATCATTTTGCATGATTTAATCACTACATTTAGGATCGTACTCCTTGGTTACAAACGCTCAATAGACTAATCCAAGAGTAAATTATGATCTTATAAATTTTGATTTTAGGGTTTATAAAATCAATATTAACTAGGTGTTTGTATAATATAATTTCTACATTATCTTAAGCTAATGGTAAAATATAGCTACTCAGCGTACCTTTGTTTAATCTACAGATGGTCTCAGCAACAATTATCTGCCGTTCTAGCATGCTCTGCTTTAAAAAAAAGCTATCGCATGATCTTGCTAGGCAATATTGGTTGTGGAAAGATTCGCGTTATTTACTTGAAGGGTTCATTTCAGCTCATCAAGGATAGGATGGTACAAAGAAAGGATCATTTCATGCCCATAGCCTTGCTACAATCACAATTTGATGCCCTTCAGGAACCTGGTGAAGACGAAAACTACGTTTTTGCTATTTCTATCGATAATGACCCTTCTACCATCGTACAGTTGATTTGTACGCAAAGTTTCATCAACACGCAGTAATTTAATGTACTATAGATAGCTGAAAATTACAAAGCTTTCCATGATAATAATATTTTTAGACATTCAATGATGGCTAATTGGAATTTCATCAATTTTTAAAAAAGTTGAACTTAGCAATCACACACCAACCGTATTAAGTGATCATAGGGTTGAGAATGACGCACGTTAATCGATATCTAATTTATTATTATCACCGTACTTGACCATACAAAATGTGTATATCATATATACTTTCATTGTTGTAATAATAATATAAATTAGTACACGTGCACTTGCAAATATACGCGAATATCAAGTTACGCCTGATATTTTACCAAGTTATGCTATAACAATTGTTTATATGCAAATTCTATCACCAAAAGCAGGGAAAGAGTTTATTTTAATTATTATAATTATCAGTTATGTATACTATGTCATTTTATGCACGAAGAAAATGATCCTAATATGAAATTATACATTAAAATGAATAAAAATTTCTTAAAAATAAATACACGTAAAGCCTAAATTATAATTAAATAGATATCTTTATAATTAGTTCCTATATTGAATTCTACAGCAGTTTAATACTTCAATTTGTTATGTTTCTATCAAAAGATTCTTAGAATAGATTGATATACGCGCAAATGTAATGATAATTATTATACATATATATATATTATACGAATATATGTACAAATATAACTAGACTTACATTACATACATTAATGAGCCTCATACAATACAGCGACATAAATTTACGTGAAAACAAATAATATAATTTCTAGTAGTATACGCAAACATTCAATTTCTCTTAGACGCAATTATAATCATGATCATCAGTGATTACTACAGAAAGGATGAAAATGTAATCGTAATATAATAATTTCTTTACCATATACATGCTTGAAAATGTGATTATAATTATAACTTATACAGGGCAATGTAGCATATTGAATAATATGACTATTAAAGGCCTTGTATACATAGCATTAAACGATTACAATTAATAATATTGTGATGACAATCTAACGCTTAACATAAATTAATTACAATATTATGAATCCAATACATGAAACATGAACTAATGAACTATATTATTCCAATATTTTCAGTTTATATCAAACCGTAACGTAAGACTGTCGTATGCAGAGCTGCTATAGTAATTTATCATGCATTAGATTATTGTTTATAAACCCATAGAAATATTATTGATATACATAACATTTTGTGATATTGACGGTACATCTTATATCTGCAGCAGTTAAAATTTAAAATTTTAATATTCTTATTACTATTAAAATTGTTCATGCTTAAAAATACAGAGTAATCAATGATTTACACAGATTCATTATTAGCTATCGTTGCTTATCACTTGAGTGAGATTATCGTCTTTGTAGTCACGATAAATTCTTCTAAAAATGAGAAATAATTTCATACGATCTCAACCAAATGCATTCCAAATAGTTTCTTTGACTTCTTGAAATTCTACAAAATTAGTCCAATTTCGTATCGTACAAATAGGGGGAATACTCATTTTGAGAAATTGTCGAATACGTCGCCCTCCACATTTACCGGTGTATATCACTACTTCTATAAAACCACCAGTACCCTAACATTTACAATATCGTTACCAAATTTTTAGTATTTGTGTTATATCAGCATTGAATGGACAAACATAATCACAACACATGTGTACACGAGTCCACAATGCCATGCAATAGAAGTAATCCATCTATATATGCTATGTTCAAGGAAGATTAAAAATCTTTTAATTATTAATGTCTACTGACTTACTCGAATCTTTCTTAAATTTAGAAATCCGGTCGCGTTAATAACTAGATTAGGTACAAATCCCTATATAGCATTATAATTAATTTTTCAGTATAGCAGAATCGTTATTAAGATTAACCTATTAAATCGATTAAGTGTAGGTATCAAATTTTTTCACTGATACCTGTTGTTTATCAATTATGCAGGACTTAACTCTCTCTAGTTTTACGATAGTTTCATCACTCTGAATAAATAATTAATATTTGAAACACAAGCGTATATTAAACAATTGCATTCATAAATTAGTTCAATAAATTTACATTAAGAGACTGTAGTTTCTACCTCGATGTTGGTATGAAATCCAACTACGTGTACATCACAGTAATCGACGTTTTCGAGATATTTTACCCTAAGTGTCAACAACGCGTCATAAAATTCATCATATGCGAGGGCAGCTTCAATTTCCAACTTTGGATCTCTGATTGAAATCCTTGGTTCGATTTGATATCCTTAAAAATTACGCAGCGGTGGCATTAGAAATTATATAATTTCATAAGGTAGAAGTATAAGTAGATATAGTTCATGTTTAGATGTACACGTTTTTATTTTCATAACGAAATCAGTCATACCATGTAACTGGTCCCAGAATATATCAGAAGGAGTTTTTTCTGCCGTTTGTACAACATCATCACACAAGCTCAATTCAATGTCTGTCATATTAGAGACATGATAAGGCTCTTGAGATTCATAGTCATTTATTACGTCTGAAATTAACAGAAGCCGTTTTAGTACAATGAACTTTATAATTACAATAATTTTACGGAGTTGTTTTAAATCACCTTCCTTTGTTTTCTCAAAAATCTCATCGATAGTCATGTCCATTTGCGTTAAGTAATTCTTTAAGTGCTTAACGTAGAGTCCGTTGGTATCAAATCCCCTTTCATAAGCCTTAAAACCTCTAATGGTTCAATGTCATTGAATAGCTAGTTAGTCAGGAAACTAAATATCGCATACTTAATATAATGTAAAATTATTTATTGTATCTTACGAGGAGTAGGCTAAGAAAATATTTTGTCCAATATCCGGTAATCTTTCTTCATAGTGACCGACATCTGACTCGTGATCCCGAACTCTACTGTAGATAGTAGTGAAATTTGAACCAAATCGAGAGTTACGATAAATAAAAACAATAGCTATCAAAAAATTAATTGCATTATTCATAAAATTACCTGGAACCACAAGTATCGCAAAGAAACACAATCCATTTAGGATCATTTTTGGCAATCAGATGAATTATATCTGGAATAGCTAGGTGTTGGCGAGAATCTAGTATTTCTGGCTTGGCATCAATTGGCGTAAAATATCGCTTCTCATTAATGTTCAATCCATGTCCAACCAGGTAGACAAAAACATAAGAGTCTTTCCTTATTAATCTATTCATCATAGCTAAAGCTGCTTCTGCTTCTTCCAGAGTAACGTCAACCAATGTCATCACTTTAAAATCCAACTCAGTCAGTTGTTTGCTCATTACAAGAGCATCATGAAGGCAGTGATTTAATTTTTGCGGATTATACAAGTAATTTTGATTGCACAGAATCAATGCATACTTCGCAGTAGCTAAAAGTCATACAAGTATTGCAGAAATAATAAAAAAAATTGCAAGATCATCTTACGTCAAAAGTATGATTAAAACAGTAGTATAAAGAATAGAATATATCCTAACCCATATGCAATGATGGATTATAATATCCATACTCGTCTTCAGCAACTATAATAAGAAATTATATTCACAGTTTAATAAACATCTCAATTGGTATACAAAGCAAACAGTAATTTTACAGAGGGACTACGGTTATAAGCTGGGAAAGTACATTACTGGCAGTTCAGAACTGAGAAATACAATGGATATGGGTAGTATTCAATTTGATACTTTTACTTTAGCACACTTATAGCTTTGTGAAGGGTCGTGTAAAAATTAACAAATTTTATTTAACATAGACCAATATAATTTATTTAATGGTGGATATTTAGCATGACAAAATTATTAATCAGTTATGATAATTGTTAGTATCAATGTCATTAAATTTTAAGTTTAATGTAGATCAGCATATTTAATATACCTTTTCGAGGTATGTCAGCAAATTGAGGTAATTTTTGATGGTAATGTCTGCCGGACTCTGCGGGATGTGGGATAGCCTCTGGAAATCCCACATCTAAGGAATCGGAAGGAGTAGCAGTATTGTTAAAAGGAATAGTTGTATAAAAATATCGATAAATGTCGAATGAGTCGTTAATTTAGGTGTACGTAGAGTTAAATTACAGATAGCATTATTAATAATTGCTGAGTCTGTAACTATGTCTTACTGTTTATAAAGAGATAATACTCAGAATTTTATGCTATAAGAATAATGCATGGTTTCATATGCTTACTTTCCTCCGAATTTGAACTTGCTAAGCTATCGTAATCGTAGTGGTCATCTTTGAATGAAGAAAGAATAATAGTTACTTTGATATCTAATCTTTTCATGAGCCATATGTACATATTGCACTATGATCTGCTTAAAATACCGTACTACACTCTTGTATTTCTACGCTTGCATTCATGACATTATAAAATTGATGATGATTGAGATGTGTTAGCAGAAAGCGTCAAAATGTATATCATGAATTTTATCACTTCCAATGAGCCCTTAAAATTATAGCATGCTTGCTTTTAGTTCCTAGATTAAACCCTTGCGCCATACTGATGTGAATTGAGCAATAATAAGGTATCGTATGATGAAAGTATTTTTCGTGAATACAACTCTAGTAGACAGTCTAGAAGTAACTGGAAATACTATACATGCGGAAGTAATACTAGGGCTGCAAAACTGTTTATTTACTATGTGTAGTAACAGAAAAGTAAAGGTAGAATGTTAATTCCTTAAGCTATTGCAGCTGATTAATTTTTACTTAATTGATAGGCGATGTATTTTATTACGTGTACACATTCCTGGAAGAGTAACAATAAGGTATATATTGAATTACTAGGAGTGTATTAACACCATTGGATAAAAATACTAAGATTTACTGCAATAATATTATCGGTTGTATTAATATCTAATTGAATTATATATGAAGTATTAGCAAACACGTCAATCTAACCATAATCATCAAAGAGAACTGGATTTCTTCCACTATCGGAAATAAATTCGACGTAGGTACTCCGGGAGCGTCTCATGATTTTTCCATTTGACACGATACATAAATACTCTCCGTTGTAAGTATGATCACCATTACGTATTTCTAATTTACTGATATTATATTGCGATGCAATGCCATCTTTATACCACTGATATCGAATTACGCCTTCGTTGCTTTGAGCAATGCATTCTAGAGTTAAATTACGCCCTCGATGTATTCTTATAGGCTTTGATTTTGGCTGGACGGCAAAAATAATAGGATCTAAAAATGTTGAAATGATGTTAAGCAGGGCATAAATAACTTTTTTTACAGGATAGAATTTTACATGTAATAGCAACTTAAGACTTTTAGTTACATCTCGTATCACAGTTATCCTCATTCTAATACTGTATAGTATATAGTACAGTACTGTACTAGCAGTGTTTGGTGTTATGTCATATTTACCGTATACCTACAGTATTAGCGATCACTAACAGTCTTGAGATTTAACGCAACATTATAATTCAAAAATTGTGCTAGTTATTTCATAAAATCAGTAGAACGTACTGTATATTGATCATTACTGTCTCAGAACGAGAGCAGAGCGATAAGCAAGGGACTTTTCATAAGTCTCCGAGTTTAATCTGTGAGTATAGACATCATTCATTGAAGTTCTGTACAACTTCATTAAGAGGCTCTGTTTTTATACTGGTACTAATTATTAAATCAATTCTTCTCCTGGTCATCAACATGAGGCACGCGTTATAAAATACTGTAAAATGCTGAGTTTGAAATTCAGGTTATGATCGGAAAAGGACCAAGGGCAATATTACGAGAATCTTATCTAGCACAATAAATAAATTGTTTTTGAAAACAAATTGAACAATAAATTGTTGAAACTTTTTCTAACTGACTATTACTGTAATCGACTACATTAGATCATATGTCAAGAATCCTGACGTCAGAGTGCCATTCAAATCATCAAAATTTAATACGCTGTTTCTTGTAATAATTATATCGAAAGTAATAAATTATAATCATTCCTGCCAACACATGTATTGCTATCTAAATCCCGCAAAATGGACCTATAGACTGTGTGTACATCGTAAAGCGTGGTAAAATACTACATCATCGAGATTCAATTAAATAAGTTTCGGAAATAAAATTGGTAGTGAAATGAGTCTAGACTCTCGGATGATTGACTGGTTAGTAAATTACGCCTATAATAATTATAATGAAACTATCGGTCTGTACTGGAGTTACTAGTTAGCGGATTACTGAACGTGCACCACAGTATCATAAGACACATCTGTGTACGAGAATTATACTTGTATACAGTGCAAGTATTGTCATTTTACACAAAATCCTATTTAAATGAATAATGTTGGCTTTTAGACAAACAGTAAAATTTCATCTCATAGCGAGACAACGATAGCTATAAGCGCAACAGTATAACCAGAGTAAGTAATACGTATACTGGATGATACTATAATATTCAATGATTGATTCCAAGATGATCAAGGGCATTCAAGGTACTGAAGTAAAAGGTGAACTAGTCAACCAAAATATATCGTTGGACAAATGTATACGAGACTAATGTCGAAATATTACGCCCATTAATAGAATAAGTGGTTATTAATAATGATAATAACAATACAAATCTTGAAAGTTTCTGAAACTACTACTGAGTCAATTATAAATAACGGATCACTATGAGAGTAGCTTGCGATTAAATATAAGGCTATCTAGTCAGAAAATTTCTGATTTCACCAATAAAGCAACTATAGCGTAAAGTATAACAGTACTGTATGATTAAACTACCGTAGAATTGAACTACAGTAGATCCATTATACGATGTTGAAATGAAAATAAAACTCAAAGTATACTTGTTTGGTTATGACGATGGCTTAATGGCGCGTGTATAAAAGTGATTGGTTTTCTTTTAACAGTATGCACGTCAATATGGAATCGTATTTTCGCTGCAAGAGTAAATCGGAATATATCGGTTGTCGGGTAGTAATGCATTAGTAATATCACGAACTACTAACATAGTGGTATTTTAGTTTAGCTCATGGTCTATGACTTTAAAAATGATTAAAAATATACTTTCAACGAGAATCAATCTATAGTATTACTGCAAGAGAATACCTTCTATGACTGATCTACGCCTGATTTATCTTTCCTTTTTTAACTCCAAGCCTGATCGATCGAAGTGCAAGTTTGCTATACACATACGAGTATTGATTTTTAATGTCGTTGGAATGTTCGGGTTTGGGATTGACCATGAAAGTCAATCTCGATGAATATCATATTGTACAATAATAGTACTACGTGATCAAGCAAGTACACGGAAGTTAGTATGGGTTCTCTTTTTTTCCTTTGTTTTACTTATCAAGTAAAATAAATGTAATAGCAAATCATTCAATACCAGTGTAAAAGATCGACATGTTAGATCATGGAGTCTCTACCTTTGCCGACAAGTATTGCAATATTTTCGATTTATGAAAAATGGACATAAGCATCATCAGTACAATGTACGAGTACAGCATCGATGATGATTTCTAGGGTAAGAAGTAAGTTGCTACTTTAGCTGATACTCAATATTATCGATTGATCCATTTGTAGGAGTCCCTTCTGACTTTGAGTAATAAAAAGACTGTTGTTGAGACTTGGCTGTGGCGACGTAAGTGGTACATTGGCACAGAGGGAAAGGATTAAAGTAGTAATATCAAGCATTCAACTTACAGTAGTTTAGTAATTCTTTACAGGCATCTTGATTTTCAATACTTGATAAGTAGGAAAACAATTCATCAACCGTCATCAATTGAGAACCATAATAACGTAGTATTCCATAAGCAGGATCTGGAGATCGATGTAATTCGTTGAGTTGGGCATTACTTATTTGATACTTTTTTACAGCTTGGACGAGTACTTGCCAATTGTGCTTGACATCATCAGTATTATCCAATATTGTGCATAATGGTTGCTTAATATGGTAAGGCATTTCATGAAGGAAATTGGGTTGATAATCATAGGTTGCATTCCAGATACTTTGCAACTCCATTTTGGATTGATCGGTAGTCCGTGAATGGTGGGGTAGTAAAGGAGGAGAAACTGGATTGAAAATGATCAAGTCTGTTGACTCAATCGATAACCACAGCAGAGGTAAACGATAGATCGGTTAAAAAGAATGCCGCGTTCAATGGTTAATTTCACAGGTTGAAAAGTACCTAATAGTACAGTACGAAGTACATCCACTTGAATACAATCCTTTAGGCCTAAAACAATTTGAAGGCAACGTGAAAAGGAAACATCAAATGGCTCAAATTCTCCATTAAACGTTTGTTATTTTGGCGTGTACGCCGTACAGTTTGATGCTTGTTTAATGCCTTTATAGGCTTGGCCACCCAATCTATTATACTGTACACGTCGTTTAGGACTGAAAATCTCTATGGGAACTCACCGTATTGAAGGTATGTAGACTAAGTCACAAGCCGATTTGGCCCTACAACGACTACCTTGTTCATCTCGCATACATTGATACTATCCCCAACCTCATGTATAGGCTACAGTAAACGCTGGGGTTGTTCCCTTCCGCATCCTTTGTGTTAATTGATTTTAATCGATGGAAAGTGATTTATAGCGCCTGGTCATGTAGAAAATAACTGATTTTGTACGGCTTCTAGGCTTGACCAGGAACTGAAACAGAAAATCAAGTCCTATCGACAGCGGGCTTTATGTTGACCGCGTTGTCTTACTTCCTTGATTGGGGAGCATCATCAGTAAATGTAAAATAATCGATATACAAGTTTTAGTAATAGTCATCCTCGTCGATGATAGACGTGATAGAAATAGAATACATTGACTGTACTGTGCCAAGTATACTTCCTTGATTGGGGAGCATCATCTTTAAATGTAAAATAATCGATATACAAGTTTTAGTAATAGTCATCCTCGTCGATGATAGACGTTATACAGTAGAAATAGAATACATTGACTGTACTGTGCCAAGTATACTTCCTTGATTGGGGAGCATCATCTTTAAATGTAAAATAATCGGTATACAAGTTTTAGTAATATTCATCCTCGTCGATGATAGACGTTATACAGTAGAAATAGAATACATTGACTGTACTGTGCCAACTATACTTCCTTGATTGGGGAGTATCATCTTTAAATGTAAAATAATCGATATACAAGTTTTAGTAATAGTCATCCTCGTCGATGATAGACGAGATAGAAATAGAATACATTGACTGTACTGTGCCAAGTATACTTTCTTGATTGGGGAGCGTCATCTTTAAATGTAAAATAATCTATATACAAGTCTTAGTAATAGTCATCCTCGTCGATGATAGACGTAATAGAAATAGAATACATTGACTGTACTATGCTAAGTATACTTGATTTAGGAGCATCATCAGTAAATGTAAAATAATCTATAGACAAGTCTTAGTAACAGTCGTCCTCGTCGATGATAGACGTTGTAGAAATAGAATACATTGACTGTACTATGCCAAGTATACTTGATTTAGGAGCATCATCAGTAAATGTAAAATAATCTATAGACAAGTCTTAGTAATAGTCGTCCTCGTCGATGATAGACGTTGTAGAAATAGAATACATTGACTGTACTATGCCAAGTATATCGTATCCGGTAAAGTGTTGAAGAGGTTGTGATGGAGACGTTAAAACCCCCTACGAGTAGAAATCGAATCAATAGTGGCCGATTGTAATACAATGCAGATCAAAAGAGCCTCTACTGGGTGTGATGGAGATAAAATTACAACGCGTATTTCACAAGCTACGATCTTGCAAGTGTTGCTAAAACGGAGACGTAATTTGAGTTTCAAGCAGTCACGTTTTCTACTCTAACTCTCTTACTACAGTAGTTTTTAAGACTGCAATAACACCAGCTATGATGGTAATTCAAATGACCGGTTTAACCGCTCAACACTACACCTGTTTACGGTTAAGTAAGAGTATTTCCCTTCAAACTCCCTGTCAAAGATACAGAAATAGTCAAAAAGTACACTTATTGTACAGCAATAACGCTACGCTTTCTCCTCATTGCAGAATTCTGTACAAGCTGCACAATCTCACAAAACTTGATTTGACAAAGTTTGTGAAATAGATAATTTTCGGCCAATTTATAATACACAAGGTTCTAGACAAAAACAGAAATCGATTATCTTTAGCGTCCATTGAATAAATTACCTTCCCATTCCTATTAATTAAATAAATAAAATTGAAAGCATAAGTTCAACCATAACGACTATCGTTATTCCACTTGTGGTGGACTCTAATGTCGTAAGACCATAGAGTTAATATGCATAAAAGACTCCTGACTCATGGACTGTACTGCACAGTACACTATACATTACTGTACGCCCAGTGTATTGTACTGCCATACTGTTTTATATACTATAATGGGACTGGTCTCTATAGAGACCGATGCTCGAAAAACCAGCAACAACTGCCAACTGCAGCCAGTGATTTAGATCAACGCGGTGCTCTTAAGTAGTAAACTATAAAATAATAAAAGGCAAACTCAGCTATCCATCTTGACAGCAAGATATAGATATCGATAGCTCTAGTCTTAATAACTCCTTTAAAAATGCCTATTTTAGTCAAGGACTATACATGGAAAGAGAGTGAAACTGCGGTTATTATCACTGTACCGTTAAAAGGTGTTAAAGCTAATAAAGTCGACGTCTTCAGCACTGATCAATACATAAAGGCACGTAAAATCTGCAACATTTCATTCATTGATTATATTCTTATATGTTAATGATGCTCGTAATCATCGTATGTACATCATTTCATAATCAACTAATCCTTATAATGATTAACTTAACCTTGGTTCTATGAAAGCTATAATATCAGTCTACTATTTTGTATTAAATGGAAATAATGAACCTAATCTAGTCTTCCTCAATGAAGTCATTAGAGGCATGATTGAAAAAGAGAGACGTAACTGCATACCGATATCGATATTTCGCATTATACCATATATGCGAATGCAGTTTATTAAGACAAAATTATCGAACAGATATATGCTTAAATATGCTCAGACCTAGTACGCGTATAAATACCAAAAAGAATAGTCATGCAATTAATTTGGGGACTAATATTAAGCGTGAAATATCCGCTATAGAACCGCATTTAACCGATCTTGAATTGAGCTATTTAGTAAAAAATCATAAATATATTTCATTAAGCTTATACAAAAGAAAAAATAAATTTACATCTGCTTTCATATGCGTATTCTCCTTTGTTAAAACCGTCGTATCTTCAATTCGAAATTATCTTTCAACAGGTGAGCTATCCTCCATACTTGTTTGAGATATACCTATTAGTACCTATAAATGAAGAAGTGAGTGGTTGCAAAGTTGGCGACGGAGCTGTTGTCTTTACTTTAGAAAAGTTAGAGCACATTGTATGGGGCAAATTAACAGAGGTTAATGAAAATGACAAGGAAGCATGGAAAGAATTACGTCAACATGCTGTAGAAAAAGCTCATGAAAAAGTAACAAAAGATGAAGAAGAAAAGGCAAAGAAAAAACGAGAAGAACACCAAATGGCTATTAAACGACAGATTGAAGTAGATACTATGCACATTTTCTATATTGAACTATTAAAGTATCCTATAATATAATAGCCTTCCATTTAATCGATTTAATAACTATATTGTGATACATACATAGTTAGAAAGTGAAGAAAAGAAACGTGTTGAACAAGTGAAAGAAGCAGAGCGTCAAAGAACCACTGAAGAAATTGAATATTGGAAAGAAACAGACACATATCACTCTAAACAAGCTAGGAATGAAAAGAATTCAAGTAATAAATCAAATTTTAGGATTATGTCTATCCATAAATGAATTTTCATAATTTTCTTTATATACATGTATTTTTTCAAACTACACAACTATAATTAAATTAAATGCTTACTTACATCACTCGCTGATCAATTTTAGTTTTTGAAGATAAAGACAAGATACCGTTACCTAGAAGTAGTGGATCGATTCAAGTCAAATTTACTTCTCGAACATTTCCAACTGCTGCTCGGGAATCTAAAGCACAGGAAGAACAGGAGGTAACATTTAAAAAATAAGACTTTTATATGCTTTCAAGGTGAATTTATACTTTGGTAACGTAGTTGAATGGTACTCATAAATTAATTTAATATGGTGATTAGTTAATTAATTAATATGATGATTTCATAATGTTTAGTGGCTGGATAAAATAGCTGCTGCAAGAAGACCAAAAGGAGATGGAAGTGAGAATCCTGAAGAAAGTGATCCAATGTGGCTTAAAGATAAGGGAAGGTTGTATTGAGTCATTTGAATGTAATTCTTTTAAATCGCCTCATCTGATAAATCAGAATATTTATACTTGTTTATAATACATATATTCTTTCTAGTTCTCTATTCAAAGCTGGCGATTATGTTTCTGCAATAAATGCGTTCAATGAAGCAATTAGACTAGAACCAATTTTACCATCGTACGTTCAGTTATGAAATCGTCACTTAATGATATCGATTACTACACATTTGTAATGGTATTATGCTTGCGTTACTGAATAATTTTTACCTCTCATTGTTTTAGGTTATACTTAAATCGATCTGCGTGTTTTTTAAAGATTGGAGACTATCCGTATTGTATCGAAGATTGTTGCAAGGTTAGTACGTTTATCACGAGCCTATCATGAACTAGATAAGATCAATTCTTTGAGAATTAAATAGCATTTATTTGTTTTTAGGCTCTTGAAAGGCTGACTCCACCAGTGCCTGCTAACGCCGCACAGAGGTCAAAAGCCTACGTACGGCGTGGAACAGCTTACTTTAAGCTAGAGTTATATGTCGATGGTAACTCAAAATAACTTAAGCAGTTTGAAAACTTGTAGTCACAGTTCACCTCTTTGTCTATTTTCTTTATTTGTTATCATAGCTTTACAAGATTATGACCAAGCAATCAGCCTCGATCCTGACAATGAAGGCCTTAAACAGGATGCTGATATGATTAGAAAAATTATTCAGGGATCAAATCCATCAGACGAAGATACAGTCGAATGATGTTCCAACCAAATACTTGGTGCAGCTATTTGTATGCAATTACATACTGTACAGTAACTGTATATTAATTATATAAAGTTTCTATAAATGCGTAGTTATTTAAATCTATAGCAGTTTGTAGTGCTTCATAATAGATATTACAAACGAAAATAAAATTTATATTACAGTAATTTGCAATTACATAATTATCGTTAGTATAATATGACATTGTCTATTATACGTGAAAAATAACGTCATTTTGGTAATGTAAACTTTCAATGTTTATCAAAGATGTTAGATAACACTTTTGTTACAGACAAGTAGCAGTTATGAGAGACCTGTACTTGAGCTAAAGAATTTGTTAAAATCAATTCGTAACAACAATTGTGATAAATGCGGACTGGCTTGATGGCTTCTGACACTTGAAAGAATTTTTAATAATAGCGAAGTTTGACGTTCGAAACACTTGTAAGAGAAATATGAATAAAATGAATCAAAACAACAGTTGCAAATTTAATTGCAATATGAACTATAAAAATCGAGGTTACCTTTGATATTTCATCAAATTCTTCTGCGCTTGATTCTAATACTTCGTCACTTTGGCGATTGACAAATGCACAAAATCGCTGACAAAGATTAAGAATTTCATCTAGGCAGTGTGACACCTAGTTTGTTTTAATGAATTCAACGCGATTATTACAGATTTCTCAATCATAACTAAATAGCTTTTATATAACAAGAATTAAAAGAATATGAAATTTTTTACCGGTTTCAACAGACGAAAAGATTGCCCAACAAGAGCACTTATAAATTGATCATGAGCTATTCGAACGTGCTCAAAATCTTTCGTTGATTTTATTTTATCCATCAGGATAGTAAATTGCCCTTCTAAAACGTCAACCTATTGCAACAAATGTTACGGATATCACTTCATACTCTACTCTACGTTTTATCCGCTATATTGATAACATACTTGCAAATAGTATTGCAGATTATCCACAAGAAAAGCCATATGATTTCTGAGATTCCAAATGTTGCGAAATTGAGTTTGTTCTTGCCATTCTTGTCGTTTCTGCATTTGCAATTTCCAACAGTGCTGAAGCTCAAGTTGTATTCTATTTACAGAAATCAGGAAACGAAATAGCACGTTGTACCTAAAGTTAAAAGACAGTAATTTCTGGTTGAGTATATCTTGCATATTTTAGCATAAAGGAGCCAAAAGATGTAATAGAAGGCTATCCTACTTTTCTAGAATGGGTTTAGTCAGTATGAGTTGAAGAGGCCACTGAACATTATATTGTAAATTTAGACATGTCCAGCCACATTCTGCTTCCTCTCTATCACTCTCTTGCTGTTCTATTGGTATATCTACAATGATGTAAAGTCGTTAATTGATCTATTATACTTTGATGTATAGAATTAAGTGCGACATTTAATAGTAAATCTTAGAGCAAATCATCATCCTGCGTATTACAGACTTTTTTGCTCTACTTCCGGCTGAATAATTTTCAGGTGAAATTGGCTAAGAAAGTCTTCATCTGGTAATATAATCTATAATAATACATATAAAGTATGCAGTATATACGCGTATGTTAGGTGTAAGAGACTATTATATTGGCACTGCAATATATAAAGATAGTATGCGGTTACAAAAATAGATAGTCAACCTTATGAGCAGCTTGCTGAAAAGCAAGATTAAGATCTGCAATAGAAATGAAAGAGCTTTAGGTAAATATCTTGAACATGGACTACCAGCTAGAAATTTGTATACGATATATACTCTATGTACGAGCGTACGTGTGACCTGATTTGGATATGTTTACATGTATCTAATTTACCATGTTCTATGATCGTAGATGGAGGTTTCTTTAAAAAATCATTGCATTGATCGATAAAAGCTAAAAATAACTCTCCACGACCAAGTAGGAAAAATTCTTTTAGAATCTAAATTTTAAGAAATTACTCATATTTATTACACAAGGCTGATGATGTAATGCTTGAAAGACGTATGTTGTTGCAATTAGCTATATGAATCTCTATTCTGGTTACCTTAAGATGATCTACAAGGTTAGCGTCATCTACTACGATCCGCCATAGGCTCTAATTTTATGTAATATTAATTATACACATCGGCAATTAGTAAGATGCTGATTACAGTAACCAATATTCATGATTTACCTCTGCTACAGTTGAGCGGATTTCGTCAATAACTTCTTCAAAAACACTCAGTGAAAATACTTGTTGTGAGCTTAAACTCTTCAATCTTACGATAATCTCATTCATCTTATCTCCGTATATAGAGTTTAATTCTGAAGCAATATCAGTTAATGTGGAGAAACATTAATAAGTTGATTACATGAACTATCGCTACTAATCTAGAATCAAGTGATCGATTTACCTCCGTTATTAAGTAACGATAGCTCCCTAGCGTTTTCAAAAATACGGACCGATTCACCAATAAATACAATCTAGTGAACAGGATAAGAGGCTAAGAGCTCTATTGTATTATTTAGCCAACCGTTGTGCTATATTGCACTACCTAACAACACTGTTAATAAATATTCTTGCAATACATACTATGTATCATCGTTTTCTGTACCTTATCTGCTATCCGTGGTGGAATGTGAGCTGGTAATACTTCAGATCTAAGTGTGTATCGAAGATATTTAAATTCCTTCATAATTCGTACAGATTCCTATTTAATGAAAACGGGTTCAGGTTATACGGAAACATAGTGATTGATAATGAGAAAGTAATAATGTCGTTTATTTAATGAAATAGAATAAAGAGTTTGCATTAGATTCCTACACTATCTACAATTTCAATTAATTCTTGACCAGAGGCGGTACTATGATCAAGGTTCGAGTCACTTTCATCTTGGTCCAACGGCCTGGCTTGGCAAATGAAAAATTCTTCATAGCGATCAACAATGAATCCATGTAGTAGCCATGTCGATAGTTGTTTACACATTGCTTTATAGCAAGTATTGATTATTCTGTATTTCAAATGGTACGTGCATATCGATTAATAAAACGGTATAAGCTTAGAGAAAATGAGGTTGAATGTTTTCAACATATAATATTAAGCCGTAAATAACATTACAGTAAGTCATATCAATGCTAATTAACCGTTGTTGATATACTACAATATGTATATTATTATATTATATTTTTACACGACTGTCTTCCTTTTTTAGTACATACATTTGGAGGCAATCTTCAACAGATTTAATTCCGCAGTTTTGCTGTTGATATAAAAGATCAAAGATCCGACAGCCATAGTACTGTAAATCGGCACAAACAGATAGTAACATAGTCAGATAACGGAGGATTGAATATAACTTCAGTATTATAGTCTTATTTAACGATAACTACAGTAATATCTAAGTCTCTATAGTAGAGATGATAACATAGAGTAAGATACGACTATAGGTACGACTATAGCAGCATAAAGAATACTTATTATTATTGATCAATCTTAAGGTGTACCTCTAAACGATAGCAATACTGTATATAAATATCTTTTTCTCTAATATATATTTTAGTACTAAGTCTAATTAAAATTAGTTACTATTAATTATTATTATAATTTTTAACAACTATGACATATATGACTGTATTACATGTTATGTTCACCTTGCCGGATGATAAATAACTTAATGTCTCAGCGAGTACGGGAAAAGTCATTTGGTACTGTAGAAGGACGTTCAAGGTATCGCCAAAAGTAGGTAATAAAAGCAAAAAATTCGTAATTCGCTTAGTCAAATATAGGCTACTTACGTTTAGCCATAGCAATGTAGTGTATTCAACAATAAGATTTACTACGGATCTTAATTTTTGATCCATTGTCATGTTACAATAGTGTAGTCTTGTATTGTAGTAACCTCTTCAAGTTGATGTTGAAGGTAAGAGATAGGTAGGTGAGAATCCCTTAAAACCTGTTGATGAATAGTTTCGTTTAGGAAATGGCACGATATCACTAGGTCACAGTACGTATTTAAAGCTATCAAAGATATTATCGTAATGCATGCTAGAACTTTTGAAGTCTACGTACTTCTTGTTCGATGACGAGTATTGCCTGACGATAAGGTTCTAGGACATTGTCTAAACCAACACAGAAGGCTGATAAGTAAACGCCCGAGCGGAGCTCATTAGGATCATCTTTTCTTTTTTCTAACAGATAGTTATCAAGTTATTAGTTTAGCAATACAACGATTGAATATACTTTTACTCCTGAATGATTTTACAAGTAACATGGTACTACGCGTATGACTGTCATTACTCTCTCTCTCTATATATATGTACAAGCAGGGATCTGCGCAATGCAAAATGATTTGATATTATTCTTGAATCCGCGTATTTCTAGATATGACTTTAAGAGTAAGGTATCTCACAGTCGATGACTTTTTGAGTCTTGTCTCTAACCTGCAATATTCCATAAATGCCTACTGGATGTACTTAGGTATTTGGTAGCAAAGGACTGAAATTGATAGTAGTAATAACCTAGACGACATACTCGATTGATCAAATCGGCCTCACCACTATGGAGAAAGTCAAGATTGGGCAACACCTAGAAGCCATGATTGAATTCAAGATAGCGTTAGAATTCAATATAATTTTGTGTTGGTGCAAATTGAATGAAGGATATCGTAAGATGAGCTAAAAAATAATCAGAAATACTTTAATAACTTCTCATGATAAAATTATTATCCGATGAAATTTTAACTTTATCTACAACGCATAACAAGATACGGGAAAGTTATCTATCACTCTTTCGATTTATTGAAGTCAGTGAACGAGTGAAGCGAATGTTGACGTTGGCTTCATTTCCCGCCTTTCATTTAAACTATTTTCCTTCGTTTTGACAGTGGATACCGTCCATATCGATGGACTTTGCTACCTAAAGGATGATATTTAATATGGTCAATTGATCTACCTTGAAAGTTTTACCATCATCGACAATAATACCGCCGGGATAACCAGAAAGAGCAAGTAAGATTTCGTGCAACATATTAATTTAACGCAAGCTGAATCTGACATGAAATGTTTGTTGATCGTTTAGTACAGTACAGTATAGTTAGTACAGTATGAATGCTGTATGAGTAATTGAGTATGCCTAGAATCGACCTTTCCGGTACAGTATACGCAAGTGCAGTACTACTCGTCGATACCGGTAAGTGATGACGTAACATACGTCACACCAGTTCGAGCACCACCTACTGTACAATGTACAGTACATACTGTACGTACAGTATTCGGTGTCATACTGTACAGTACTGTACTGTACAGTGTACAGCGTACAGTACTGTATAGTAAAGTACTCTACATACTGTACTATACTGTACTGTACAGTGTAAGGTACTGTATAGTGCGGCTGCTTTTATACAATGAGATGAGGGGGCACAGCATAACAATACATCGACCAATCAAGTCAGGACATATTCTGCCGATGTGGTTTGCTATCGACTGACTCCAAACATGATCGTTTGACCGCCACGTCAATAAGTTGAGGCATGTTGCAAGTGGGATACTATGCAACAAGTTGTAACGTGAGGTTGCAGCCAGTTTTGAGCCACCTCACCATTAACTAATAATACTGTCAAGGCGATATCTGCAGGCAAGAATTGAAATTTTGATAGCTCAACGCTACCCAATTTCCTTGCTCATTATTTTGTTCCAGTGGTAAAATACTCTATTAGCAGAAATTGAGTAGAAAGTGCAAGTCTTGCAGGTATTCAAATTGGTCAATGCTTCTTGTTGTGCTCGTCAAATTGAAATTGATTTGTTGTTGTCATTTGGTACATGCAATGCCAGACTAGGTGGTATCGAATTTGAATTTATCCAAGGTAACATTGAGGTGATACAAGTTGTGATGTGTAGAATATGGCAAGATAGACTTCTTGCCCTAACATTCCAATTGGAGCTAGCTCTAACTTACAACTTGGATTGAAAGTGATGACTGCCGACAGCCCTGTAGTAGGATCGTCATTTAAACGACGTCTCGTTTTTCTCTTATCTAATGTAGTGCTCATGTCGGTCTTGATGATCAAAAAAAAATCAACCGCCGCAGCTTGTCTACGCATTGATATATCGTGTATATCGTCTCTGCCTACTGTATAAACTGTATATGCGAAGAACGCATTTTACCTTCATTTTCTCCCATACTTGATATCGTTTGCTTCGATTATCTGCAGATACGCTGCAAAATACTGTTTCCCCCTCCTCTATTGATCCAGTTTCTGGAATGTACGCTGTATTTCGTTATCAGTAAAGTAGCAAGAAATGGTAATATTGTTGAACAAAGTGCTTATTAGAGCCTCGTTGTTTTGACTACTTATTCCTTAGTAACCAACAACGTTTGGCAGCTAAACTGGCAACATTGGATTGTATGGAATAGTTTTTGCATCCTCTTCATAGACGTCAACACATGTTGTAAATACAGTAGTGCATCTTCCTGAGGATCCTCGATTTGTTTACGCAATACAGCTGTAGATTAACACACTGTAGAGCACTGGCCTGCTAACTTTAATATCAAAATTCATTTCCTGTCCACAGATGCATCTGCGTTATTGATCATATTGAAGTATGTGAACTAATTGCAACATTAGATGAATGTACACAACTGGAGCTTATTCGTTTATGCCAACTGATAAACATGCAATTTATAAAATGTTCTACAATCTGGTCAAGGCCTTTATGGATTTTTGGAGGGAAGGGGGATGGCATTATTAGAAGTCCATTACACGTTAGCGCAATATCGAAAATTAACAATTTGCATACCGGCTCAAATGTGCAGTTAAAATAATAAGTTTGAATATTTGGCACTAAATACTTATTGCATTACAATAGAATGCTAAATATTGCAAATTGCCGCTAACGGTGTACTGATGCCTTTTCGAAACGTGGGTGTCTTAGTATACTTGTAAATGCGAGACTGTGTAAAGCAACAATAACGTTCAGTATGTAAATATAGGTCATTCCAATTGGTAGAAAGGCAATCGGAGTATATTGAACAGATTATACAATAACTAATTATAATAATTGCTGTCAAGATCAACGTGTTTGCTTTACGTTTATACCAGGAACATCGAAAACGTATTAAATAAATCACGACATTAGCCGAATGGAAAACGACTCACCACCTTCCGTAATTGAAAGTTCCCAGCAAGAAGATTTAAGTTTAACCGATAATGACACAGCCAGGTCGAAATTACTACAGGATCTTTCTCCTTTGAGCTCTCCGATAGTAAAATTGAAGAAGGTACGTGTATAAATCGTTAATAGGAACATACAGTACATAGGAATGGAGTGTGGAAATGCGTAACTTTCAAGTGAAAAAGTCGTTAGAAACAGATTAATTTTAAAAAAGTATTGCATACAGAAATTAAGGATAAAAACTTTAAAAATTTAACCTATTTTTGCAATGATTTACTACTTCATTTCACCGACTTCTGTTTTACTGACAGTGAGTTCATTTATCTAGAATCAGTTGAAACTATCCAACGAATCCATTCAATCCAAAGATAATAATGATACTACTTCAAAATATTTTAATAATGGAATTAAAATAGACAAAGCAGCTATGCATCCAGGTGGCTCGCAAGATGGCTTAACAGCTGCTGGAAGAGGTGGACATAGTCAAAGTGGAGCTCAACAAACGGGTAATAGTGAAGGAGTTACTGGCAATACCGGTGGTAACAATAATGGCACAACTGGTGGAAGTGGAGGAGACGGTGGTGACAGACGAAAAAATACTGATGATCATGGTAATGATGATGCAGAAGTGCTTGAGGTAGCATCCGAAACAACAACAACAACTTCTTCCAGTGTTGATTCCAGTCTTGGTTCTACTGTTAATCTACCGACAGCAAAAGATCCTTCTCCAATTCCTGAATCTACATCAAATATTGAATCTCGAGTTTCATCTACTGTACTTACTAGCCAGCCTCGCGGTCGTTCAGATAGTAGCGGTGGCAATAGCCCAGTAGGACCTTTACCGTCTGTGGTTACTCCCTCTTTCCGTTCTCGAACGAAAGCTGTAGAATCTGATATATCAGTAACGGTACTTCCTGTAGAACATTTGTCTCGGGCTTCACCTGGCAGCAGTCTAACAACTACAAGTTCAAGCTCTGGCCCTTCATTGGGGGCAGCGGCAACAATTGCTCACTCTTTACGAGAACTTGTAGAAGTCTCTACAGCTGCACCTGAAGATAGCGAACAGGAAGGAGGCAATGAAGGACATTCCGAGAAACACCAAGCAATTTCACAAGTTATAGAAAAATCAAAAGCTGCAAGTCACGAAGCCAAAGATCCTTCATGTCGAGTAGGCTCCTATGAAAGTAGTGACGGAAGTCAAGGATCAGAAGGTAGGCCTGAATAATTTTTTGCTAATTATGAACTTAAAATCATTTTGAATAGTCAAGAATTGTGTTATTACATCATTACCGAATGACTGGTGTTAACATCATATACGCATGGTTTATCAAAGTACCTATAGACGTTCAACGACTATCAAATAGATCGGCGATGCCATTGCAGAGTAGCTCCAGTAGTGGCTCGGGCAGTAGTGTATATCCTGAAAGTAGCCTTTCCTCCTCAGGAAAAAGTGAAACTGAACTATCGGCTGGTAAAGCAAATACTTCCAGTTCGACTGGTGAAACAGCGAGTACACACACTACTGCTTCAGGCCCTGAAGCTACTTCACAAACTGAACCCCCGCCAACAGCAGGTAAACATTTGCTGTCACTACTACTGTTTATTCTGCTGTATACTTGTAAGACTGCAGTCGATTTATATTCTTATTTTATGATAGTTTATTTCTATTACTAAAAAATGCGCGTGTACTCTAGTACTGTACTGAAATACTACAGGATTACAATGCTATGTTGCTGATTACAGTCTTATGCGATTTGTACAGTAGTAAAATAGGTAATTTAACATTTGCATTGTCTATATAAGTTGATGTGATTACCTTAGTTGCGGCTCTACTACCAAATAAAGCTAAATGATAGAGTTCTGATTTAAATGATGGTTTAATAATAGGTGAATTTGCAACCCCGAAAACTCTCGGATCTTTGACAGCAAAAAATTCCAGTAGTTCTAGCAGCAGCGCCGGTCAGGTAAAGGAAAGATATTCAATGGAGGGGGTTATCACTATAGACCCAACAGAGACCGAGAAATCTATAAATTTAATAGCAAAGGATGAAGGTAACCTATTTTATACTATTGCGACTTTACTCAAAATTTTCGTTTTCAATTTATCGGAATGAATATCTTCAGCACTGTCGTTTATAAAAAATTTAAGTAAAGACATAAAACAAATATTGCACATATTTAAAATGACAGTCGAAGTACATGGTACTCCGGAAGGTATTGAATGTCTACAGTTGTCTAAGGAATCAATATTAGTGCAGGAGAGCTTACTTGAAAGGTATGGTATGACGTTCTGTTTCTATCTGATATTTAAGTTAACTACTGTATTTATTAACAAATTCCTACTGTCTCCAGCCTTAAAATGGTACCTGGTTCAGCTGAAGATATTCTTCGAGGTACACCTCGAATTGATCCTAGCTCGCCTACTGCGGATCAAGAAGGTGGCGATGTTGATCCTATGGCAAGTCAGGATATGTTCTCTTCTAATACACCAGCAGAAACCCGTGAGATAAAACCCGAATTGCGACGTCGATCAGATGATGCCCAATCGCAAGAAGATCTAGATGCCCTAGTGGTAATGTTTCTTTGCTTGGGCCATAATGTTCATTAATTTAGACTTTCGTTGTAATAGATCGTACCCTTTTTGCGGCTAGACCTTAGCAAAACATCTCGTGTTGAAAGTATTCACTTTATTAATTATAATATATTTAGAAACGTCAGAAAGCCTGGCAGATAGAACAAGGAAATAACGTTATTGATTCCGGAACATCAGCTAGCAATAGTAGTATCGTGGAAACGAAAGTTTCAGAACCCTCAAATACCGTTAACAAAGAGTTAGGAAGAGAACAACAAGAATGGCAGTCTTTATCATTCATAGTGAGCAAAAATTTCTTAGTTTTTAGATTGTGTTCCCCTTGGAAATATTAAAATGGAAGGATTTGATTTAATGCTGTTTGTGTATCCTGCTAGGACGCTCAGCCTGCTTATACATCGGATGGAGGTGAATCATCCAAGACGAATATCAGTGAAAGAACAAGTAAAAGTAGCAAGAAATCATCTAAGGTATGCGGCGAGGCTATTTTATTTCTAATCAGAAATCTAGTCTGCTGCGTGTATAAATTTGCGCATTATTTTTCAGAGAACTTTTGACGAACTTGATGAACCGGAGCTTTCAGAGGTTGAATACAGCGAATGTATTAGTCTAAACAATGCAATAAACTGGACTTGCAGAAGCTTTAATGTACTAATTTGCAAAATTTACATTATTAGGATGTTTTTCAACCAACGATAAAGAAGGTTTCCAAATCAGGTAATGTTAGAAATACAATATAATTTTACTGTAGATAAGTTAGATTCTATATCACTGTTTTCTAAACTGTTAACAATAATTTGTTCAATAGATTCCACGGCAGCTGACATTGCTAACCCTTATACATTTGCGTCTCAAACCTCAATTTCTTTACATTTAACTCAATCCCAAGACGTTGCGCCATCTGTGGAGAGTTCCGAGAATCGACCACAAACATCGTTATCAGCGGATGAAAGCAAGTTACATACTAAAGATATCAAAGTAAATACAAGTCAGCCGCCGGAAAAGGAGTCAGTACCAATCCGTAAAATCTCAATTTTACAATCTCAGCCCAGTGAACAGTCGCAAAGTCAACCTCTTTTTCAGTTGGGACAGATATTACCGACGAGTAAATCAGTGGCTGCTAGTAATTTAGCGGAACCTTTGACTGAAAAGGCAGTTGTAGGAGAATTAGATAGTGATTCTCATCAATCTTCTGGAATAATTGGGAATACCGCAGATCCTGAACATCAACAATCATTTAGTATTGTAGCAAAAGAATCTCAACCTCATGTGGATGTTGGCAATGCTGCAGCATTGATGCATGATAGCCATAAAAACCTTGCAACCACCGAGGCGGCCGCTCCTTGTCCTATTGTTACAACTACAGTGGATTCACATCTAATAACAACTGCAGCAATAACTGTTACAACATCAACGGTATCAGCTTCTTTCGACGATTCAGCTCCTACTGATCTTACGAACGTTAAAAGTGTTGTTGAGAAAGTTGTGAAAGAAGATTCTTCTGGATCAAGCACTAACTTTCAATTTGCTTTACCAACCACGGGCACAATATTTCGATCTGGTGCTACTAAAATAGCAGAAAAAGCCCCACATGAAGTGTCGACTTCATCAATAACAAAGGAAGCCATGGCCATTGGCAAGCCTATAGCCAGGCAAAGTGATGCATCCGCTACAATGAGAGAATCAGCTTCAGTTGATAGCGAGAAATTTCCGGCATCTATATCGAAAGGCGAGTTAAAATTAATATTACTACGGGAAAGAATTACAACTTTGATCTCATTCTTGATGTTATTTGTAAAGAATCTAAATTTATTTATATGTAATTGAATTAAAAACTGTTATTTTTAGAAAAGCATAAATTAACGGGAGAAACCACAACCTCCAGCGCCACCACTCGGTAACAAACCTTACTAAAATTTAAAATTTCGCATCTCGAGTATCCTAACCATTACAAATGACTATGTAAAAATCATTTATTATTATCAGAGATGAAGAAGTGGACACACGAAACCAATCTTTACTTAATAAACGCCTGTTAGCAACTGAAAATATACCTGCACCTGTGAAACAGAAAATAACGTCGGAAGAAAATCTGTTAGCGTGATTTTGTTGCTTATGATTCATTGATTAATTTATAATGTACTGTATATAGATTGTTGACATTTAATAGTAATATTATGTACGCATTATTAGCGATCCATTTGAATTTCAAGGTAGCAGTGAAGACACCACTTTCAGACACTTTGACCAACCCGCTGATAATTTATCAAAGAAATTTGAGTCGCAGGATATTACTCTTTCTATGGAAGAGGTACACCCTGATTTCATTCATTATTTATACTCTTGGTCTTCGAACTAAAAGTACATGATTCCGTTAGCAATCTGTAGAATCACACCACACAGGAGTTACTTTCAAGAAGACAGTTATTGTTGAAAGATATGAAAATGGTCAACTCATTCATACTGCGAGAAGTGTGGTATGTTGATATTGTAATTAGTGACAGTCTTAGTGATATACTAATTGTTACGTACATCATGTCTCATGCAGGTTTGGCTTAAGGAGGTAAATTGTCAAACCAGTTCTGCTCAAACGAATACACCCAGTAAATCAGAATCCATGAATACGTCGACAGCTAAGGCTTCATTTTCGAAAACTCCTTCTTCCTTGACTTCTGCAAGTACAATAATTTTAGGAAATTCGACAGATAATAGTTTTGCATCTTCAACAAATGTAAGGATGTAATCAAACGAGCATTGGATAAATTTACTAATTATATCAAAGTTCGCAATTAATGATACACTAGACAGCAATACTTCTATACTTTTAGTGATGAATGTTATTATTAACTATTGTTAGGATAAATCTAAAAATCGGAGAAAATCGTCAAGCCGTCGGCTGCAGTGGGCAGTAAAACCCTCTTTGGATCCGACGTCTGCTTCAAAGAAAGGTTCTTTATCAAGTAAGCGCTCAAAATCTGATACTTCTGCTGTGATTACGTCGACCCCTGAGCATGCAAGTAAGTCCGTTACTCCGTCAAGATCCCTTGGTATATCGCCGACTGATTCTTCAATAACGATTGGTAATCGTGTCTTCGCCAGGTGGAGCCTGTCCGATAGTCATTACTATCCTGGACGGGTTGTACGTGGCGATCGTAGCAATAGCAGGTTACTATTTAATTTTTGGAGGCGAATATCTAATTAACTGGGTATTTTTTAATTAATGTTTACATTTCCCTTTACAGATACACTATTGCCTTTGACGATGGAACAAAATCAACAATATCAAGTAAACACATAGTTGTAAAGGTAGGAAATACGCCGTTAAGAATTTAGTTGTTCCTGTGTTTAGTACTCCTGTATGAAGATAGTTATTCTAGTAGTAACGCGCTCGTACGTTTATTTTTCATAGGAGAATCTTGCAATTGGTCAAGCAGTATTATGCCAGGCGGAAGAAAACTATTTTGATCCCGGTAATAAATTAAGTGTGTAGCGTCTATAGTTGAACTCGTAAAAGTGTCTTATCATCTTGTAATTGAATTTTTATGCACGTATTTGTGTAATATTAGGAACGATCATTAATTACGAGGATCAAGACGGCTCAATTTATTACCATGTGAGACTAGATGGAAGTGGCAAAGTGTTGAGGTTTGCTATTGAATGACAAAATCAATTTGTTAGAGGCGATATTGAATGTAAGCACCTTGTACTTGCATTTAATAGATTTCTGCGTAAGGAGATTATTTTGACTGAAAGTCAGGCCCAATCAATAAGGAGCAGTAGTAGTTCCGCTGCGACTACATCCTTATCAGACGCTAGTCCTAGCTTCTCTGGAGGTACACATGAACATACTTAATAATGAACGTTATACATTAGTATTTCACGAAATATTGATGGTCTGATCATGACATTACAGCACGGGATTCTAGCAAAGATAGTAGTAGTGTCACTAGAACAAGCAGTTCCGGAAGTAGAGGTAGCAGAACTAGCGTCCACAAAGAAATTGTTGGCATAGATAAAAATAGCTCAATAGAATCCATGAGAGACGAAATACCCCCACCAGCCAGTAAGATTAGGATTATAATTTAGTGAAAAGTTTGATTTTTTTGCATTTTAAAAGCAACAATTTGTTGTGCATATAATTATTTATAACTTCCTTTCAGAAGCAGTTTCTCCCGCAAAAACCGCTTCTAGAAAGAGAAAAGCTATTCCTATCGAAAAGAAATCACCATCGCCAAAGATGTCACCAATATCGTCGTCGAGAGGTATACGACAGACGAAATCCCGTTCTAGAATCCATACATCAGGTTTAAACGACCGTTTATACGTTTATACCTTGAAGTATGTATACTAAAGGTACCTATTCGTAATTTATATTTACGTCATTGTTTGTACTTCATAGAAGCAAGTCCATTGCAAGATATATCTGCCAAGAAGAGTAAAGTAGATACGGATACTACCGGTAAATGTTAAGTAACATCCTTGTAATGATAATTTCCGGTTCTGATGAATATCCATAACATTTTTGAAATAGAAAAAGGACCAATCCTTCAAAACAGTACAATGTTTGAGGGCCTTGTTTTTATTTTAACACGAAGAGAACGACATAGCGATGAATCTTTTGTTGCATCATGTAAGAATGTTAAAATCAACGGTGTTGCTAAAGTTAATACCTAAAGTAAATTGTCTTTTAATTCGTAGCTGAAGAGCTAACTCCAACTTATGATAAAGAACATGTTAAAAAACAAATTGAAGCAGCTGGTGGACAAGTACTGTCTTCTATTGAAAAGAGTCAGGTTAAAAATTCGTAGCTAGTAACGTCTGTCGTTGTAAGCTGGTTGTATTTTATTCGGCGGATTAAATTTCGTTTATCATAAATCGACTTCTAGATCACTGTAGCGTTGCAATGTTTTCTCATCTCTAATGAATATTGCCGAACAACAAAATATATCCAAGCCTTAGCGGCTGGACTTCCATGTGTTCGTCATACTTGGATAATAGACTGCTGTCAACGGGTTAGAGATATTTTATGTTATGAAATAGCCATTAGGTATGGAAAAACGATAGAAGCAATGGCATTGTCTACTTTATTAGGAAATCGTCTTGGGCTATCATGCGTACTTACTACCAAGTGGATATTCTATAGTAAAAAACTCTTTAGTGGAATGGTAAATAATCTAATCCCAGACTTTGTTATAATGGTTTAGAGGAATACCGTAGCGATAAATTATGTATTGGTTACGAAACCCTGGACTAAATTTATTTTTCTTATAGCTACTTCTACGTCTGATAGCTAGTTTCATATACTAACATTTATAATTGCATAATGATAATCGAATTTACATGTTGCTTACGACATGTCTTGTAGGAATAAACACGGAAAACCTTTGTACGGTCTAAACGTTTATATAGTGTCAAGTAAAGGAACGAAGAAAAAATATGGCAAGAAGGAAACTTTTAAGGCAAGCTAACCATAACCCTCATTCAAGACTGTAATTTCATTTAAATTTGTTAGGTAATGAAAATTATCTATCATTTAAAGGACACATGCGCTGGTATTCTGATGTGGGCTGGCTGCACAGAAGTCAAACGATTGCCTTCTCGACCGGCAAATTTTGTTGATAAAGGTTAATGTTAGGGTTAATACTACGCTATTAGATAAACGTCAAAAATTACGACTTGTCATGAATTAAAATCTCTCTTGCAAATAACTAGATATTAAAGCATGTGATGTAATTATCACCGAAGATAGTGGAGTTATGGATGCCAACACGAATAGAAAGGCAAATGTATGGGGTATTCCAATTATCACTTTTGAGTGGGTTATACAGTCATTAATACACGGATATAGACTGCCTTTTGATGCTCACGAAAAATTTCGTGCATGATTGTACAGTATTATAATGATAATATTGATATTAGAATCAGATATCGATTTGTGATAGATTCTTGTCCAAACGTGAAATTATAACAGTTATTAAGTGTAAATAGTTACCAGAAATCACTTTACTAAAATGTTAAAGCTGACGATACTACTCTGTCCTCACAACTGTCTTGACAACGATGAAAAAAATGGCTTTTATCACTAACACAAATTGGATGTAAATAAAGACATGTACGTATATTGTTAGCGTAAGAACATGCCAATTTACAATATTTAAACGACACGTAGCATGATTTATAAATTCAGAGTAACGAATTTAATTTCATTTTCTATCCTAAATGGTTAACAGTATTTATTTTAGTTACAAATTTGAGTTTGCAATTTATCATATAAATCATAAATGTGTTTATTGCAAGCGAAGTGTACAGTTAATTTACATAGTGTAGTAATTGCTGAAGCAAGATGCAATACTAAGACGCTGTTTGTACTTTGGTACTTGATGTTATAACAAGGCTGTAATAGACACAATAAACCAATACCGACTTTCTATCATTCATGCATCAAAAATTTTTCCTGGCATTTCACTAATTTAAAATTGGAAGAAGGAAATAATTTATAACGAAAGAACGCACAGTGCTGTAGACAATACTGCAGTACTCTGAATTCGTAATAAATCATTGCCCTTTAATAAAATATTATTGTTAATTCATAGTAAAATGCTCGTATAGCATTGCTGCGTTCCGTGAAGTACTGTAGAGAAATATTTTTGTATTTTTTCTGATTAGTAAATGGCGTAACGCCATTCTTTAGAAGGTTATCCCATTTGCAGTACATTAAATTACAATTCGCACTATCATACGTGTAAGACAAGCATTTCCCATCTGCGGTAAGTTGTTAGCACTTAAGCCGCATTACTGACTACGTGACGAATAAGTGCCCTTTCGAAATATTGGATGTTTCAAGCAATTCATTGACGTTCTCCCATGGTATAAATTATACCCTGTGGTCGTACATACGAGTCGATGCTATCTTGGTTTCTCACTATACGTACATGAAAATTTCATGGTATTTCTTTATCATGCTGGTGCTGATGTATGATTTCAATACGCTACACTACGTGTACAATCTATCACTCAAGAGATATGTTGCAGAATCGTATTTTTCTCTAACGTAACTGATAAAATGGGAAGCCGCATTTATCTAGATAAAACGTTACTAAATTGAATGCCATTTTAACCTATCTTTAAAGGCATAAGTTTAAAAAGTCCACCCATTCTATTACGAATCGTCCATATTAGACTACACTGCATGACTAATAACCGACACGAGTATCAATATATCATGATAAAAATCAATTTTTCAGTAATTATCATGAAATGATGACTTTATTACACATATATTTCTTCGTTAAAAGACAATTGTACATTGAATACATTTAGGCTTTGCTAGCGCTGTTTCTGGATGATGAAGCACGCCTTTTTCGGCTCAAATGTTCGGCACGTTTCTCTTTAAGACGCTTAGCCAATAGTTTCTGATATTCGGCAGCTTCTTCCTTATTTTTCTGTGAACGTTGCCTCTTGAGAGCCATCGATTTACGCTTACGTTGCAAGCGTACAGGCGTTACTAATCGTTGAATTTTAGGTGCTTTGGCAGTACGTTTTTTGCCTTCTTTGTCTGGTAATTCTCTACGAATAACATAGCGACGTACGTCGTCTTGTTTATTCAAGTTGAACAATTTACGAATCTTGTTGCAACGTTTAGGGCCAAGACGTCTTGGTAAAGTTCTGTCGGTTAATCCTGGAATCTCATTATCGCCTTTCTTAATAACGACCATGTTGAGTACGCTAAGATTAGAATCCACAATACAACCACGAACGGATTTACGTTTACGTTCACCAGTACGGCGTGGACGATAGCATGAATGGCCTTTAGATAGTAGTAAGCGCACACGACCATTGGTTAAAACACCTTGTTTCATGGGAAAGCCTTGCTTGTCGTTTCCACCAGTGATGCGAAGGATATATCCCTGTAAATGTATAAATAGAAATGGCGTCAACAATCACCCATCGATCTAGTAATTATTACAAGCGTTCTATTTTCAACATCAATAACTATAACCAATACGAATTTTTAATCTACAAATAGTCACTGCTACCTTTGATCTCATTTATGCTATTTTTATATGTCGAATATCAACTGGTAGAATGGCTAATTCAGCTCAGTTTATTTGATATATTACCTTCCATTCTTCGCCTAAGCATTCTGCAGAAACTTCAGCGCTTATGCGTTTTTCGTAAAATTCGCGACTATAAAGTAAAAGCATGCCAACGTTATTATTAATGCTAGTACAAGAAGCAAGGTTAAACCTGTTAGCCACTCTATTTTGTTAACAGCGAATGCACTGCAGTTAGTTATAAATATTATCAATAATGTACAGTCTATTGATAGCAGTAAGTTACTATCTCCTTGTTCACCTTTCTTACTAAGCATATAAATACGATAGCAGCCTTAAAGTTACTTTAGTATATACTGAAATTCTTACAACCTAATCACTACCATTACAAGAACGCCAATGTAAATTACCCCACTTTGACTTTATGCTTTAAATACAATGTATATCTACTGTAGTATACTCACTACTAACCAACAACATCGCTACTTTACTGTAATTAAATGATAGAACTTTGATCACACTCACTAAATCTGCAATAAGGTAAGTGCCAAGTTACTAGCAATTATTGTATTCGAACTATTTTCAGGGTTAGTCAATGTGATCAGGTGATTCAAACATGATTGCAGTTCTTTATCAATTTTCCAGCAGGTTGTAGCATATAACTTAAAGCGACTGCTTGATTTGTTGTTGCCTGGTTGCAAGAATGTTAAGTTCTAATTCATCATTATTAAAGCATTTCAGTACAACTTACTACTTGTGTTCATCTTCGATATCTATCAGTTTTTGACAACCAGTTGCCGGAAATGCAATATTCAACTGAAATAGAAGTAAAACGGAGTTAGCAAGGTTATCTCCACATCATCTTAAAGGCTATGATAACTACAATCCTTTGTGGCTTAACGTCTAGCCTAAGTTGCTGTCCATCTCTCTCTAACTGATAGGCATACAGCTATCTCCATTTTAGGGTATTTTTACGACAGGGAGAGCGCGGTATCCCTTCTATTGGTGCTACTACAGTGATGCGCGTATCGAAATGATTCATCTACAGTCATCGTTTGGAGTGTATTGATGATCATCTCATGTAATAGCGAGAATACGAAGGGATAAGTGTTTTGTTATTAACAGTAAATTCAGTTGGTTTGATATTAGCTATTAGTTCTGTAACGAGAACATCGTTTGGCCATTGACTGCACTTCAGTTTACGCCTTGCCTATTTGGCTATTACACAGTACACTATAGCGATTTCTATCATGGCTGCCTACCACGCCGTCCATGTAAAACTATCGTATGAAATTCGATCCATAAGCAATGTCATCTATGATTGAAATTATCACGTCCAATTTAATGTGATTTCTACTGATCATGGAGATGATTTTGCAGGGCCAAAATGGATTCTGCAAGCAAAAATCTCACCTTCATCTTCCTCGATGGTTGCTGGACGCCACGGCCAAAAGGTAAAAGAAAAGAAAGGGCTCGAAGATACAGCTGACCACGGCTTCGTGTTCACAAGATGTTCAACTGCGTCGGCGCAGTAATTAGTCCAGTACAGTCCAGTACCGTACTGTACAGTACTTCAAATCGTACAGTGTGCATTGTACACTGTACAGTGCACGTGCTCGTTTCTCCAGAAATGGATGACCTACTGTATAATACAGTGTATATAGTTGGTACTAAGTACTATACTTTTGTGATGTCTTCCACAGCCATGCAAGAAGTTTAAGACGACATTCTATACTGTAGCTATCAATAACTGTTGATGGTAAAGGAATGCACTAAATTAGTGCAGGTACTAGCAGGAAAGGACTCCTAAAAATGAAAGAAACGGATACAAGTTAACGTGGACTACTAGAAGAAGGAGGCCTAGTAGGTCATCGTCTTCTAGTAGTCCATGAAGTAACCGTAGATATGTGGCCTTAATAAGAGTCAGAGGCAAGAAATGGTCGTTCAGCAGACTCCAAAAATGCACAGACCGGCTGGCTACTGTATATTGGCTGGTCATTTCAGCCATAACGCATGCGTATAACTGGCCCTACTCAATCAGGGCTAGTGTTACCACTGGACGCTGTCATACTATCCACGGCTATAATACAGTCATACTAGAGTCTACAAGCGTAACACCCAGGCCCAGCCCAGGCCAGTGTGTATCATATATAACATATATACCCCGGGGTTGCGCACCAAGTGAAATGCGCGTGTGATCATATTGAAAGCACTGGCTCAGCAAGTTGGACTCTTCGCCTCCATTCCAATTGGGATATAGTTGCAAAATGAATACAGCTATACAATTATATGAACGTAGTTTAACAGCTATTAATACACCTATACCTCGTATAGTAAAAGAAGATGATGTGGTGATATGTGTATCGCATTCTGGCTTAAGTAAAATGGATGTTCGAGTCATTCGAGGAGACATCAAGATCACCAAACCAGTGATCGCTGGACGCCAACTCAGTGGTACTGTCTATGCATGCGGTAGCAACGTCCAACATATTAAACTTGGCGATCGGTTAGCCTTTACCTATTCTCAATCTTGCTGTATACCTTCTTGACATCTCAAGGGATTCGTTATTCAAACTTCTCTTGTAGTAATGGCAATAACAGTCAATAAAATCAATCAAAGTGGGTGGCTACAGTACAATGCAATACTGACTCTAGGCTAGAGAAGGAGGAATGAGACATTGTTCATCGTCGCTTTGTTCATGTTCACATCCTGCACTAATGAACATCAACCGAGTTCATTAATCTTCTCCAACTGTAAATAGTGATAAAAATTCTACTCACTTGGAAAATGAACCGACATTTTACTGTACTGTCCAATTACGATCTACTCTAGAATCATTATTGATGATAAAATGAGATCAACGTATCGACCATAGTCGTAAACTTTTAGTTTTCGTCCTGGTCAATCGATGACAGCCTATACCTTAGCTCATTCTTCCTACAGTCTTATTAATCTAGACTAGAATTTCTATCAACAGTATGCTAGTATAAAAGGATGCCCACGACCATTTTCATCATCATACAAGATGATTAACCATTCTTCATAATTCTTATTTTGTTACGTGATTCTATCATTTTAATGTTCTTTTATTTTCCCTATTCATCTTAAGTGTTATTCGATAACGACGGTAGATAGAAGGTCGTCGATCATTTTAACCAGTTTGGACGATGTATTTCTCATGGCTAGACCAATAATCGCATGTTTTATTTGATACTCTTACGGTAGATGCAAAGATCGTGGATTAATCCAACGAGTTTTAATTCTAAATTTTATACCATTATCAAACACTTTATTATGATTATTATGTTATGGATCAGTCTAGCCAGTTGTATCGATACTATAGTACTGGACTGTAGACGTCTATGCACAAGTATTGATCAATTGATTGCTTGATCAATCTCACTAATTTTCTAGACCGATGTGACTACAGTTATCATTGGTTCTGATTGATTGATTGTACTATTTTACAGAGTGGTAGTCAATCCAAGAAGCCCTCCTAAATACATGGATCGTTATTGCTGGAGAAATCAATCCCATATGTCCGAGGAATGTAGTATTTATAATGATATTGGTATAGCTAAGAATGGTGGTTGGTCAGAATATTGTCGTATATCAGCGAATCAGGTCTATCTTTTACCGCCTGAAGTACCTGAAAATGTTGCACCCTTATGCGATTCTCTCAGTTCCGTCATTCACACGTGGAATAAATTGGATAATGTTCCTTGTGATGCCAGGATTTTAGTTTGTGGAGCAGGTACATCTTAACATTCGTTGTTCTAATAAACTTTTCCGATGATAAATTCGAATCAAACTAAACGTCATCATTTAGTACTAAAGTAAATTAGAAATATTGAAATTCTTTACATGGATCTGTTAACTCAAGGTTACATACTTATTTGAGCATATTAAATTACTCAAGTTATTGTTTCTAGATATGCGAATAAATAAAGTATACAATGTACAGTGGACATCCTCATGAACGGGATGCTAAAAGATTTAGAATCTATCTTATTTATTCGCTTATATTGTCATTACAATTCATGCTATTGAGAGAACGAACTAGAATTCATACGACAATCAAAGGTTAATATACGTGTAACTCATCAATTAGACGCTTACGTCTATACGATTAAGCTACATGTATTCCATTCACTTTACTGGTGTAAGTTGAAACAATTCTGCTGTAGTTTAAAACCTATTAATATTACCTGGTAAAATTACCTCTTTGTACAATCTTCACACACCTTAAGGAAACTAAGGGTAATTTACTATATCAAATTTGCTCTGTTACACCCATACTGAAATTATTCGGGAAATAGTAAAGTATCACATTACTTGCCTAATAAATTGAATATACAAAATTCTCGTATCCAGGTGTTTACTATTGCTTCAAGCATTGTTATTACCGAAAAGTACTAAATTATGGTAGCTTACCTATATCACTGATAGAAAGAAGTCGTTGTATCGTCCATTCATAGTATTATAGTATTAATGCTATAATAATCAATTTACCATATAGGAATGTCTGGATTACTGTGGATTTCATATCTTCATTTTCGAGGCTTCCGTGAAATAGTGGTCTGTGAGCCAGTTGAAATACGACGTAGGGTTGCAGCTGCTTTAGACTTAGGGTATGAAGTAGTCCATCCGACAAAACTTGATATTTATGGACGTGACGACAAATTAGCATTTGATGTTCTTATCGATACATCAGGTAAGATGAATTAAAAAAATTCGATTGTAGCCTTACCTGTCTAAAGGATAGATATCGCATAGAGACTTAATATTGCTATATTATTTATGTAAACTGGATAATAGGAGACGGAGATGCAATCCAAGACGCTTTAGTAACGTTGCGTAAAGGTGGAAAATTGATTATTTTCAATTATGGGCTAGTTAATACTGAGATCAAAATTAATCCTTATAATATCGTCGCCAAAGAATTAACTATTATTGGCTCATCCGGCAATCCCCTAACTTTTGCACAAGCTGTAGCTGTAGCGAGAGATATGGCCAATTCTTATCTCAATGTAGAGAAACTTGGAATTCGAGTTTACAAATTGAGAGATTATAACTTAGCTTTAACCTCATTGTTACGAATGGAAATTACCCAAGCCATTTTTTCCGTTTCACACTTTGTAATATAGTTAGAGAGTTTATGATAGATAACTAAGTATACGGTATACCAAGACAGAACTATCAATATTTATAGACAATCGATCTGATCGGTATTTCTAAGTATATTTTAACTGGCAATCTGACTCTATATAGTTATCCGAAACAAATTATCGACGTCAATTATATCAGTAAGATTACCTATCCAAGAGCATTAGTTGTAGACAATCCACTAAATATTCGGCAATCAGTATATTCTAATAGTATATTTTACGTACTAATCAGGCGATATATATTCATCATTAATAAAGGCGTGCAGGACATCATTTAGATGATGTTACAATCGCTAATTTGTACAGTGTTTCCTTCTGTTCGTTATTTTAACCCTTCCATATCATTTTTAATAAATATTATTATGTATGAAAGTTTTGGGCTGTTCTTGTAAAGTATTACCAACTTGGAAGTAGACTACCTTATTTAAAGAGCTGTGCAAGCTTAACTATTTCTACAGTATGATCTTATTGCCGACACAATATGCTCATATTATATTTTTTATACCTATCGTAACTTCGCCTAGAATTATTGTTGGACTAAATGCTAGCACATAGCAAAGCCAAGATCAGAATTGTAACTTTCACTAGTGTTTTACGGCAATACGTATTATCAGATCTCAATCAAGAAATTCTAATTATGTAATAGATTTTATTTACGAGGAGTCAACACTTAAGTAAATCTATTATCCACCGTAAATGATAGCCAATTATTATATCTTTAATTAATTATTAATATTATTTACAAAGCTTTTGTTTCAGTAATGATAGTTCGTATTACTACTTTCTCTTAATCGATTAGTTATAAGATATTACTGCCACATTCATTTTGTGATCATCATTGCTAGATCCTTTACAAGTCTCCGTTCGATAACGGATGGTAATCATAGTCTAAGCAAAACTATATTTGATTTACTGATAATATTTACAAAAATTTTGCCACGGTACATACTGTTAAAAGTATTTTCATCCCTTGATAAACAGTAAGATGTAGCGGTTGTACAGTATTAACTGTTATCGCTGTTTACAAAGGGTTTTTATAGATTTTGATTGATAAATCTCTATATATTACTTGTGTAGCAGCGAATCTTGATAAGTTGTAGTTTCTGCTCATTTCTAGGCCATTATTTGCTGCGATTGTTAATAATAGATCAATATTCAGTCTTCTATTCTGCCATCGTTGTAAAATTCAACGATTTTAAATATTATCCGCTAGGCGAAAGTGAATAGATGTGCCCCAGAAATGGCTGCTTCTTTTAAGATCGCTAGAGTTCGTATCTTCTGCTAAGAGAGCATACACAAATATGAAATTAATCCATATGAAGAATATGTATATGCAATTACACTGAAACAATTATACTGTACAATGCACATTCTAGAATATATTCACGGTGTAGCAATTAACATAGCTAATTTATCGATACTAACCAGAGCACTTGCTAAAATCGGATAATTCTGGTGCAATTCTATTTTTTTTCACCTCCTAAGAGTAATCAAGATATTTATATCGTCAGCAACATGCTATTTTATCAGAATATAATTTACTGAATTAGTTCTCTACCTTTGGAGGTATGGAACGTATGACAGTTGGCATGATTTGCGAGTGGCCATCACGATTTCGTTTAATTTGGAGTCTCTTAATAAAATAGTCTTTCACCTATAAACAAAAAGAATTCCATTTTGACCATAGAATAAGAATTTTGTAATGCTCACACAAATAGGTAGATCATATTTTAAATTAAATATTATTTACCTGATGATTTGTGGCACAGTGAAAAATGAATATGAGAAAGCCCTAGTCATCATCATATTACTGTTCATCAGTATTAATTTAAATATGCTTTCACATATACAGTACATATATACAGTATAAACGTAACTTGAACCTAACTATATCTATACCAGTTTATTCTTAATTACATCGGATTATACCTGTAGAGAGTTAATTACGACGAACAAATATCCAAAGGCCAAAGTAGTGCTATTAAGAAAGAGAAGTCCAAATAGCCAAGTCAGGCCAAATAATGGTAATAAAACAATACTTGCGCGGATAGACTTTCTGCATGTTCGATATCAAACGTGGTATGGAATCGAAATCAGGATTAGATTCGGTAAATTGTAGTATCATTAATATTACTATTTAATATACTTCTTCGCAACCTAACAAAATAGTTGTATTTGAATTCGGCTAATCTAGCTCTGTCATGGAATTTAATAGCACTAGCTATGCATTAACTATCAATCTCTTGATCGTCAATATTCATCTAGTTTTAAAAACCAGCAGCAGTTTTAGCTAATCTGTGGCTATAGTATTTTAGCAAATAGTGTGCCATTTATATTTACGCTTATGATTGTACACCTATGTATTTCAGATATATATGATTTGTTGTCTAATCTCACTCAGTTACGGAATTTAATAACGCTAGCTTAATATCGATTATAATTATCAATCTCTTGATCGCCAACATTTCATTTTGTTTTAAAACTACCAGCAGTTTCGATTAATCTACGGCTATAGTATTTTAGTAATATATTCTGCCATTTATATTCATACTTATGATTGTATACCTATATATTTTAAATGTTCATGATTTACTATGAGCTCTAAATAATTACCTATTATTACTATAAACAACTAATTTACCAATTTTAGTTTACCTAACTTTTACAAGATTCGATCTATCTGATACCAACTTCAACGTTAACAAGGACCGAACTGCTAACCCTAAGATAATCCCGTTGATCTAGGTAGAAGGTGATAGAAAAATTACAGTTACAATATAGAAATTATCGTTATAGAGATCCTATGTACATGAAATATCTATACCGCAATAATGATTACAATAGGGCCAATAAAAGCAATATTTAGTCCATTTTTATGGGATATCCAACAACTAAGAAATGAACAGAAATAGGTAAGACTGATAAAAGTATCTAGTTAGTTAACAATTCTTCAAACAACTGTGCTACTTTCAGACATACTAATTGGGGTTACGATAAGTTTCAAAATAAGCTGCCGCAGGGATAGCCACAATAAGAAGCGGTATTCCTATAAGAATTGATGATAGAAAATTTCATTATATTACCAGAAAGGCTCGATATTTCCCATGTAAGTAAATGGTGCAACTTACCCCATCCTATTAATGAATAAATACCATACATGGATGTCAATTTTTCTATCCTGGTCGTATTTCGATATAACCATATAGCTTCGATTAACATCCACATAAAGCTGGCCAAGTAAAAGTAATGAAGGGCCATGGCGATAATAGTGCATAATGGCTTGGTAAATAAATGAGTTAGGATAAATAATAAATCAATTTCATAGCCCGTAATACAATAATATATCCATCAGATATTAATACTATAGTATAGATAGGCTAAGCAATCTGTTTGGAATAGTTAGATTACCTCTTTATCAGTCGAATCGACGCCAGCCACGAATATTAGATCAGCTAGGAGTAGAGCTAATGATAAACAGGCGTGGATGAAATTTCGGAAACACCGTAGTTGCCTAATTTTAAAAAGGATTGCGGAAAAAGAATCAAGTAATATTAGATAACGCAAACGTCTTGGTTTGCTTATAAGTTATTTTAAAACTGTTAATCTTGGGATTGCTTTTAACATTGCAAGTTAGTTAGGATTAAATTCCTATTTAAGGTCTGTCAAAAATAGCTCTTGCTACATAGAATAAAGTAGAGTATCTCGTATTTCTATATTGCAATTTCTAAACGACTACTGTAAGCTATGGCTTTAGAATAACTCTTTCAATTGACTATATACTGGTATACTTTAGGATTTATGCCACTTTAATGTTATCCCTAACACTAAATAAGTTACAAGTATCCGATAAAACCACGAAGGACAATTAAAAGCCGACAATAACAATTTCTTTAGTCCTTGTATTGATAGAACTGTTGAGCCACAAAATCGATCAAGATATTATTTACAGGTTTAAAGTAATGGAACAGTTTGATGTATCGAAATTCTATTCTAATTAGAGTTGAATATTGTAGCCTGTAAGGAATTAAACTATAATTTTAATAAGTACGACATAATATTGTCTAACGATAAAATGAGTTTAAAACAGGTAAAATGATCGACCTAATTTAGGGTATAAAATGTTAACTTAATGTCTGAAATAAGTGGTATTACCTAATCAAAGTAAAGACGGCGACATTGATGCTTAAAGCCACGATAGAAACGGCCAAACCAAATTTTGATATTATACTTAAAATTCTTTCGTGGATTGGTGTAATCTGGTAAGAGATCAGCAACGGAAGCTGTTACTCGTACTAACTTTTCTAATCTACTAATTATTTAGCAGCCATCACTCACCGATATTTCTCGTAAAGACATTAAAATTGTAAAGCTAGTCAAATGATTGGTACTACAAGTAATACAGGATTCATTGCGATTAGCCATGACTACTCCATCGGTTAGCCATTTGCTTTTGGAAATAAGTGAATACAAATTAATTCATTATCAAATGGACGGATAAAATTAGTAAGAGTTTTAAATTCCGACTAAGCGGAGGATATATGTAGCAATATCTCTGGCATAATTTTAAAATAATTATTTTGGTTAAACTCGCATGACATTCAATCACAAACCTCGTATTCCAGTATTGACATATTGGCAAATAAACCGAGGTATCTGACTATTATTTGTAAATAAATGAATAACAGATACAGTATGTATCTAGAAGAATGATATACGCACCAGGCGAGTAATTATTGTTATTGTACTTACTAAATTTGATGCAGTTTATAAGTAATGGAATACCTTAATATCTGTAATAATGTCGATATTCTCTTTAAAAGGTTGTCGTAACTTTGGGTGGGTTACACATGAAATAACTGGAGCACTAAAACCTTTCAGTCGGTACAGGTGACATAGAATGCTTACTTTAGCTATAACATAAGCAAAAGTGAGCATCGATAAGGATCCCTGAACATTTTCAAATCGATTAAAAGGCTAAATTATTGCTCTAACCTTGATGTTGTAGCAGCATAGTTGGTATCATAATCTTGACATTATCATTTTGAGACGGCGATTCAGTGATTCCAATGTTCAACCAGGAGGCATTAGAGCTCATTTCCGAACTCATCAAAGTTGTACCTTTAATCGCTAAAAAGAAAAAATACTTCCATTAATTTGTTTAGCATTTCTATAGACCTTGGTTCATCTTCTCCTGTTATGTAAGAATCGCATTATTATCTAACTATGCAACTATTTCAAAAGCTAGACCCTTTCAAAAAGTTTCTGTCGTTAGTTAGCATTTATGCGAGTATTGTATCATTACTATTGACCGCTAGTTTGGAATTAATGTTGATAGTAGATCCAACTATCGGTACTAATGTTCTATATAATTGGGTAATGAAAGAATGGCCTGTATAACCTTGAAAGGAATCAGCATAAGAAAAGTCGTTGATTTGATATTTCATCATCAAATGAAGCAGCTGATGATCGAAAACATCAACAGCATTTAGGAGCTTGCCGTTAGCACTCTTAATGGAAATTTGAATTGTTAGTAGAATGAAAATGATTTAGCGTTGCAGTTCTCATAATTACAAACTTGAATGATATTTTGACGAATAATCAAGCTAAGTTAGAATGATTGCCGCATGCCTACAATCCTTACCTTAATATGATCAGGGCTATTAGATAGATTTGATTGTGGAGTATCGGAAGAACCATCATTATCGCAACAGGAGTTCATACCAGCTAGAGTTTGATTTCCAATAAAATGCTTCTTAACCATGTCGGTTAAAATTGATTTAATCTTATTGGATGTGGGCTAAAATAAAAGAATATCAATTGTATTACTCTACTGATCACTTGGGAGAAAGTTAATTCTTCAAAGCTTTAGGCAATAGTAATAGCTATTGCTCCTAGGGTAATTCATAGCATTAAAATTGAATATTTACCGTAGGTGTAGAATCAATGATGGATTGAAAATGAGTATGCGAATCATTTGCTTCAATTGCAAGGCCAGCAGTACTAAAAATGGATTTATTTTCTGTCGCCGTACTTGTCGTTAATAGTATCTCGGCTGCTTTTTCGAATGTTAGAGTAATGTATGAATCTTTTACACCATTATACACCAATAATGAACTAGAAATACCACTAGTACTTCTAATAAGATGTAATGGGTTGTAGAATGAACTATCATCCATTCTTGTTAAATGCGATTGAACTGGCCATTTTGCAGTTTGCTCCGCTGAACTTTGCAAGCTAATAACAGAGCTAATACTCAATGCTGAAATAGAAGAAGACATAGATTGATCTGGTGCAACAAATGGCAAGCTAGACTGACTTGAATTTTGCATGCCAATTATAGAGTTACTTAATGCTAAAATGGAAGATTTGCCTTGAATTGATACAGAAGAGGTTAAGGTAGGACTGGTACTCGATATGAAATTAGAAGAAGATTCGACTTGAACTGGTACAGAAGGGGTTAAACTAGAGCTGATACTCGATATGAAATTGGAAGAAGATTTGACTTGAATAAGTGCAATATATAATAAACAAGAGCTACTGGTGGGATTTTCGATACAATCTGTAGTGGAAAAGGCTAGAGATTCTGCTACATTAGATTGAACTGCTGTCGATAGAATCTCAATTCTTCGTTGGATACTCGAACTCTTTTTACTTTGATGCATTGATGAAGCAGTGGCAGTATATGAAACAGAAGTAGTATCATAACTACCCAAGGTATCTATCAGGAAATAAAGGGAAAAAAATTCTGTTCGTAATTCATATTTACGTTTATACCTAGGATAGCACAACCAAAAATTGAGATATACACGAATGATATTACCTATTGTGACCAAATTCTCATCACATGAAAGGAAACTGGTTGTTGAGCTAGAAGTAGAAGCTAGTTCAAGATCAAAGTTTTCAGTTCTTGTAGGACTTACAGAACTAGGTGTCAAGTCTCCTATTTGATCGATGGTAAATGTGGGTGCTGTTACATGGTTACTGGGTACTTTGATCATCATAGTTGGCGCATAGGAAGTTGTTGGCTGATCTAACTGTTCGTGAATGGACGAAATTACTATGAAATCATGTTGTGCTTCCGAGGTTGAGCTAGTTATACTTACAAATAGCTCATTAGAGGTACTGTCTATCATCTGATGATTCACTGAGTTCGTTGAATAATTAGAAGCCGTTTGAACAACATTTTCTTCGGATGCATTGACATCCGTGCTTATACTATTAATTTTATGAAGATTTACGGCATGATAACTTGAAGTAGCTTGAAGATTGGTCGAATTGGATTCTTCATCTAGAGAGGAAAGGGACGACGGATGTAGGATAGTTTTTTCTGCAGTTACACTGTCAATAATGGTTGTCATAATTATGATTGAGCTATCGCCAGGATAATTCAGACTTGATTGCACATGCAAGGATGACTCAATAGCTGAGAGAGTATAAGAACTTTTTAATAGCAACCTGGAACTGACTGTTAGGCTTGGATTTGAATTGATTAGTATATTCATGCCAGAAATGTCAATTAATGGAGTAGCGTATGGCACATCATAACTTGAAGGTTGAGGGTCTGCTATGATATAGAATCAAGATTAGGCACTGTACATATATTAAATTCCTTCTATTCCCTAACAGCAAAATTTAGAATGCATCTATAAGTGTTTTTGTTTATTTTTTACGATACAAATATTTTTTAGTAGAATACTATATATCCTACATTTCTACAATACACAGTAAACATAAGATAATGTTATAACGACAATGTTTCTCTGATATAGAATCAAAATTATTCTATGTTCCGGATACAAATGTTATGTTGCAGTGTATGGGTTCTTAATGTAAATCAATTCTTACTTTATTAACATATACAGCTTTACACTACATAGTACCACTATATTCCCTAACACATAGCTACTGTAATTAGCCGAAATCACTACATATGTCAATAGATTAATATATCGCGCAGTTCTATGATGCACAGTAGACACGGGATAATGAAATAAATTGATGACTGAAATTTAAAATCCTGTTTAATAAAGACTGATGCATTAATATATCTATGAAATATATATCCACTATTGGAGCTTTTGCGGTGTATTTTATAAGTATTGTATTAATATAGCGATCATGAGCTAATTAAAATTCTTAATGGAGAATGGAGATAATTCATTCTCTTACTTTGCAAACGGTATGAGAGCTGTGACTAACATACAAGAAGTGGCTTCAGAAATAGAAAGTAGCGATACTGAAAAGAACTTTGTAATTTTTCCATGTTAACATTCAGTAATAAATTGATTTTATTGCTTAGTGTAACATTTTACCTTCTACCTTCTACTTGATCAATGTTATAATAAACCGGCATGAGCCAGTAGTGTAATATCGGAAAAATGATTACAGCTAATATTCTAAATTATTCATGGTTTCTAGCGCAGTTTAGGAGTATCGAGATGAAAACAATCTCTTATTCTCCTATCACCACAATCTTCCAATAAATACAGTGAAAGGCGACAAGACAACTTGCCTATCAAGATATTCACTTCTCTTCAACATCATTGTATAATAGATCCAATATTTGACTGATATTAACTTACCTTGTTGGCTATCAGGGATAATGCAACTACTTGTGGTTATCTGACTGTAGGGTGCCATTTCTATAATTTGTTCCTGATTGCCTTGCTCACAAATGAAAGCTGATAGATTTTCAACACAACTGACAGCTATCCAAGTTTCGTTGAATAAAGCACCACAAGAATAAGATGGACTTTGAATATCGATTTGGTCCCAGGCATGGAATGATGTATTTTTGACAGGAATTGGATATTTAAATTGCCAATTGAAATCTTGTTTACAAGCCGGTGTTCTCTTCCCAGTTAACCCCAGCCAGTAGGTTTGATTCCTATCTGTTAATTCAATTAATGTATCGTGAATTTCGCTTGTTAAAGCAAGTGCTAAACGACCATAGAGTTCACGGCATCGCTTCATTGCTAGTTCATAATTGGCAGTCTCTTGAATAACTTTATAGCAACGGTGATGTCGATAGATCCAACCATTTTCCGGGCACAGACCTATCCGATAGTGATAATCAAGATAGAGATTGAAGTATTTTTTTAATCATTGCTGATTTCATAGGTAAATTACTTTGATTATGATATTCCAGGATATTAATACTAATAAAAGTAAAATTAGCTTACTAAATGAAACTTTAAACCAATATATGATAGAATGCTTATCCTATAAAAGAGTATTGTAAAGGAAAGCTTTACGTTGCTAATGGAAAATAAATCGATGATTTGACTATTATAATCATTTACTTAATAACCTGTAACATAATACATACTAGTTTCAAAATTATGACATCTACGATTGAGTTTCTACGCTGTCACTAGTAATTTCAATTTGACATTGATCATTTTATTTTTTATTGTATTTCAGTTTTCTAACACTTGATGTTGATGAATATTGTAAGTCAAGCAAGAATAAAACTTTTCTTCTATACTTATACATGATAGATGGAGAATTAACTCAGCTAATAAAGATAAAATCATTTGCAGTATAGGTATGCTATATGGTCAAGAAGTTCGATATCTGGTAATTGAAAGTAAATTAGACAAGAAATGAAGGCTATCAACGCCTTGTAAAGTTTACTTACGCTTTTCACAGATATATTGGTATTGATTCAAGACACAATTGCTTTCAGATAATTGTACATTATCAAGTCTTCTTATTGCAACTGTACATGGACACGATTCAAATTCTGAGTCTAAACTAGCTTGACGCATAGTAATTACGTTCTTAGAAGTAACAGGTTCAAGTGGATCCAATTCTGATAGCTCTGAACTTAGCACTACATACCTTCTTTTATAACTTAGTAATAAATTTAAATATTTTAATTTAGATGCTGTATCTATATTGGCTACACTAGTATCATCTCGATAACCGAACGCTTTGCAGATACCAGGGACATCACAGCCGCTAACATAATTCAATAATGATGATACAAACCAACATATATTTAAATCTGCGTTATAATGCCAATCAATAGGGCAGCCAATATCTAGACAAATTGATGATTAAAAAGATCGAAATATTTCATTATTATTTAAAGAATTGGACTATATTAATAACATCCCACCCTATAAGCTAAATTAGAAGTATCCATATGGCATTACATCTGTCATTAATGTATCTAAATATTTTATCATTATTTCAATTAATGGATTCTGTAAAGGAAATTCCATCTTATAAAGTAAATTAGAAGTATCTTTACGGTACTACATCTGTTCTGAATATTATCTACATACTTCACTATTATTTAAATTAATAGATTCTATAAATGGCATTCCACCTCATAAAGCAAATAAGAAGTATCTCTACGGTACTATATAACCTACCGATATCTACCATGAATATCGGTAGATTCTACTTTGATATCAATCGATATCGCATGTTGTACCATTTGTGACTAACAATTATCTAAAACCTTCATTAAAGTACTATACGGAGGCTTTCCTAAATACAGTTTACTAAATAAGCTCTAGATGTGACTTGTTCATAATTTGTACTAAATAGTATGTACATAGGCATACAAGCAAGTAATCATTATATATTTAGGTAAAGTTAAATCACTTTTAACCTTCCACTTTCTGGTGGATACCCTCCGTGCATAGGATAAATAGTAATTTTTAAGAATGAATTTATACAAGTATTGGAAAAGCTATTTTTCAGTGTATCTCGTAATCTACATAGCGGGACTCCAGTACTTTAAAAAAAAACATTTCCCAACAATAGTTCTTATAATTGGAAATAAAAATGGTACCAGTTCATAAATTATATTAAATAATGTGAACATTTGCATTAAATAAGAAATTGCTATATCCTAACTAGGACTCCAACACAAAGTAAGGTCACTTTTATTCTTCTATTTTCTGGTTGCTACACTCCATACATTGGATAAATTGTAAATTTTAAAAGTGAATTTATACAAGTATTGGAAAACCTATTTCCAACGCATCTTATCGGCTATATAGCTATTATCCAAAACTGACAGAAAATCATTTCATAATAGTAGTTTGTAGAATTGAAATTAAAAATGGTACCTGATGTATTAGTTGCGTTTACCGGGCATTTTGAAATTGTCAGTATAGGTATTACCTAAAAATACATTAAAACATAAATTAATTAGTTTTCGCATTATATAAGGAAATGGGCCAGCCGGTAATTAAGATATAGAAACAAGAAAATAAGATGCATATTATGAGGCGTAGGCAGAAATGCAAATAATGCCCGGTATGTGGATAATGTCAAGTAACTTCATGCATTAGCTTAAATCTCCATGTTTTGAATTTGGATTCGAGGGTTGTGTACAGTACTAGAAATTATAATATTATTTAGGAGAAATTTTACCACTAAATTCCTTATTTTGAGATACGATTAGTAGTAGGATCTGAAACTAACGTTAATAAGAAATTATATCCTTCATTGATTACGCTAATAAAGAACTATGAAGAAAGAGTCTACTACAGATGTGTAATCATGCATAGCTAAGATTATTTATTAGAGATATTTAGATTCGAAAACAGAAACTATCTAGTCAATTCTTTTTCTCTCATATCTACGAAAAAATTTATAAAAGCATTAATTGATTTCACTATTAGGCACTGCATTTTATTTCTATTTCGAGTATTCGTATTGAATTCAAAGTATTCGAACTTTTTTAAGACCAGTAGACAAAAGCTGCTTTCTATTAAGGATCATAACCAATAATTCAACCCGATTGTATTGATATTTAGCTCTAAACTTCTTATAACTATGGAGACTAGACTGTAAATAAATAATATTGTAACACGTGCTCAAAATAAAATCAACCTTCCCTATAAAGTCTATAAAACTGTAAATTATTGTAAACTATCAGTAAACATAATTTATCATTAATTTATAATAGACTTATGTACAGAATCTTGGCACTATCAGTCCTTTACTAATAAAAGTAGAAAACCAATAAATTGAATTTTGTTGCTACAGTTCAAGAAATTAATCATTTCATTGATATCTGATAATATTGCTTTAGTAAGTAGATATTAGCATCATAGACCCTCGAAAGCCACTGAATTGTCCCTTCCTATGTTCAACAAATATGTAATATTAAAAATATACATATTCTGTTTGTATTCTATATTTCAGAAAAGTTATTTACGTATAAGGCACATATATGCAGTATATTGATGCTAAAATAGTAAACATAATCCAATTGTTAATTTTAAAACTAAATTTTAAGCACTACTTAAGGATATAGATTTCATTACAGCACGATCAAACTAGAATACGTATGATGCTTGGCTCTCATTTGTAATATAATGCTATATTACCAATAAAATTTATCTGTTGATGTATTGATAGTCTATGGATGATGTTAAACAGTGATATTCGTCGTCATATATAATTTAGGTTTGTTCTAACATAAATGTCTACGATATATTAATTAGCTATTGTCAGTAGCATGAATGATAGTGTAGAGCAAATGTAATACTATATTTCAGAAAACTTATGCTCAGACAAGAGGGCATATAAATTTATAAAACTTGAATGAAGTAAACATCACTAGTATCAGTACACGAGTACTGTATATTTGAATAATCTTTGAATCGGTATTGGTGATCTTAGGGAAATTATTTCTATTTCTACAAACTGGCATTGCTTTTGAAGTATTTTTTGTGCAGAAAATATCTGTGGAGCTCCAATACAGTTAATGAATAGATCTTCCTTAGATCAATAATCCTGTTTAAGCAATCAAATAAAAGACAAACACAATATCAATAATAACTAGCTATAAAATAGGTATTTACACGTCAAAATGATCAGATTTCTTTTTGTCTAGACATTAATTAAAAATAGCAATACCAAATGATTTATAACTATTGCATTATATCAGCCTACTATTGAGTCTTTATGGGTATAAAATGGATATTCTCGATGAAAGACATTTACGGATAGTACACTCTCTCATTAAAAGATTAAAAACAGCGTTATGAGCACGGTACCAATACTATTAGTTAAATGATATAAAACAGTCAAGTATCACGTCAGATATTATTTAGGGATATGTAAAGGAATTCAAGTAGCGAATGCTTGTATACGTAGTGGAAATGTGCATAATTCAAAACTAAATGATAATTCATAAGGTTACATTAGATAACAGTGTTGTTAAAAGAAAAGTCGAAAAATTGTTTGTATCAGAAGACCAAGTGCAGTAGTAGTTGAGGTATTTAATTTCGCTACTTACTCTTCTGCACATATATAAGATGCTACCTCACCTATCATGCCCTTGCTATCTTATCATTTTTAACTGAGGAAGTACCTAAAATATTAACTGAATCTGTACTAAATAAATAATTCTTTTCAAAATATTGCTGCGATATTATTTAATAGTGTTAATGCTAGAGTGGAGATGGAATAGCGAAAGAATAATTTTACTGGGATATAATTAATTAGAATGATCTTTTCCGAGAAAAAAATTTCCTTATTAGGATCTTATTAATAAGCATTGCTTATTATATTTCACTTGCTCGCAAATTTAAGCGTAGAATTCACTTGAATAAATACATGAAGCATAAATATTAATGCTTTCTTCTTGTCAGACCTTACCTTGAAATCGGAACTATTTCATAAATACAAATTTTGCTAGAGTAATAGAAGCGATAAACTCTCTACTTCTGCCTTATTATGCTATATAATATATTAAGTTTTGAGAATTTCAGTTGTAGAAATATGTATGTATTACATATAGGTTAAGATGTCTTAAATGCTTGTATGATTTATTTTTGAAGATAGTTACTTAAAGCCATGAATTTTTCCGGTAGTATTTTGTTCTATTATATGGCATATTAAACTTAGGAAAGTCTAGTATGAATATTTTCAAGCATTAACCAAAGCAATTAGTATGCTCTAATATATCATGACATGCAGCAAACTATATCCATATTTTGAACTTTCAAATACCAATATAAATTATAGATGGAATGGCTAGAAAATACGGATCAACAGATTCAACCATAAATTAATTATTGTTAATGCATGCCTCATAAACTACACGGATTTTAGAATGATATCAAAATGTTTGGCATGATAATACTTCACTAGATGATAAAATTTAGAAATGAGTAGCTGAGCAAACTGATTCAGCTATTTATGCTAATCATAACACTATCATTTTGTCTGATGCACAGGACGAGGTAATTAGCAAAATTTCCCGTGTGAATCTTGATGCATAAGGACTATAATATGACAAAAGATTTATAGTATGCCGACTATATCCTTAGATGATCCTAGCGTTAGTGTAAATAGATTTATAGAACAAAAAGCACGCTACGTATTGGCAAAATCATAGAATTTGTAAATTATAGCCATCATATGGATTATACCCTTGATAATAACATGCTGAAATACTGCAACTACGAGTATATCAGCGCAACAATTAAGTAGAAACTGATGAATGACGAACGAATTAAGCATTAGAAAGATTTATAACTATTTCTACTAAAATAATTGATGACAGCCTACTGATGGAATAGCAAACAAAACAATGATTACAAAACTGAAAATCTATCAAGATGGCATACAGTAGTTGAAATAATAAGGATCTGTTCCGTTATCAATTCTTATTATTTACTAGAAGAGTTAATAGACAATCATTGATATAAAATTTATATTAGTTTAACGACAGAAGCATACTAGAAAAATAAATTGATTCAAATAGTTATAGAGATTAAGTTTATACAACTATGGAAATTCTGAAATGTGAAGTATTGCATTGAAGTCTATGCCGATATCTACAACTGTAAATAGATAAATTGTTCTTGGCACTTAACATAAATTTAAAACAAATTTTATAATAATAAGTATACGAAAATAAAAAATTGATCAATTCAAATATCATGAAGGAAATGTAAAGCTGAATTAAGGACTAGAAACTCTCATGTATTTGTTTCCCTGAAAGAATTGATATCATTTACTACTACAGTACTGAGCTTATACAATGTGATTATTATAGTCGATCAGCTACGATAGCTTAATTCTATAAGAATTGAAAAATTATCTATTAAACAAGGTCTACTATATTGTCATAATCTATATTAACTGTAGGTCTCTCAACAATTGTATTTACTATAGAATCACTGCCATTAGATTGAATAAAAAAAGAAAAATCAAAAAGAAATTTCAGAGATGATCAGAAATAGACTAGATGTTATGATAGACCTTACAGTATAAATAGTAAAATCGATGAATGCCATTTTACCAAATTAACTAGAAATAGCTTTAACCATTCAGTTTTTTTGCAAAAATAAAACTTTCACCGGATTAAGGAGGTATTTTTAGTTGTAAACTATACTTTAAAGGGCTATATTATGCCACACTACCTTATATACATTACCCAAATTTATCAGCTATATCTATCAGTAT